TACGGTATTTCTCTAGTGAGAACTATTCCGATAGACTAGCTATAGGCTTCTTAAACTTTCTCTCTAGAACTTTTTCTAATACTTGTTCTTACTTAAGCTAATATACGACTACTTCGTTAGGTTTTCTGTACTAGTTGTACTAAAGAGTTAGTTTTATTAGAAATATAGGGATTATAGGCGTAGATTTAGTACTATAGGCCATACTACTAAGTATACTACCTTTTTATATAAGAGATTTTCTCTCTCTATAGTAGCTCCTTATATAACTATAATTTTAATATAATAATAATTTAAATCGATTATATAAGACTTTAAAACTTTATTTTTATTAAGATCTTTACTTTATTAACTCTTAGTATATCTACTATTATACTATAATATTATTTTAATTAAAAGTACTAATTCTTATTATTACTAAAGCCTCTAAAGGTAAAACTCTACTAGAGTTTAATAACTTCTTTAAATAAGCGCTTAAGATTAAATAAGAGCTAACTAGAGCTAGAGTTCTTTATTTATTTTCTTACTATAGTTAACGTACTAAATAATATTAATTAATAGAATACTTATACTAAAGAAAAGAAGAAAGCTTTTAAAATAGTTATTAACTTAATCTTAAAGCTTCTCTTTCTTAAGTATAGAGATATTATTAAATTAAATAATACTAAGTCTCTCTAAGAAGCTATTTATACTAATAAAAGTAAAGTAGTTTAAGGGAGCTTTACTTTTACTAATATAAGAAACGATTTCTTTAAGATAAGGTTTATCTTAAGGGAAAAAATACTTTAGAACTATATTATAAGACTCTTACTCTTTAAAGTAAAGCTTAGTAGTAATAATAAGCCTCTTACTAATAAAGATATATATCTTAAGCTATTATAGTCTCTATTAATATTCGAAGCTTAGATTATTATAACACTTACTTTAGAATCGTAAGACTTAAATCTTAGAGATATTATATAAAAGCTTAATAAATATCAGATTTAATAAAAGAAATAGCTTCGACTTATAATTGCTAATAATACTATAAACTATACGAATAAAAGCTATAATAGAAAAAGAAGTAGTAAAGATAATAGAAGCTAGAAGAGTAAAAGCTACTTATATAAGAGAGGTAATATATATAAGAATAAAAAAGAATAAGAATAATAGAATAATAATAATAGAGGTAGTAGCTAATAGAAATATAAAAAGCGCGTAGAAAAGAGAGAAAATTATACTAAACTAAGCCGAAATTAGTATACTTAATATAAAAGCTATAGCTACTAGTATATAAACTATACGAAAGCTAAGAATACTTATATAAGAGATAATACTAATAAAGTAGAAGAAATTAAAGATAATAATACTTATCTTGTATTTCTTTCGGAAGAGATTTATTATATTAAAAATATAGAATATACTTTATTAATAATCTCTATTATAGAATCTATCTAAAAAATCAACTTTAGCGCTACTTACTACTTTAATAAAGTTCTAGCTAAGTTTAAGTAACTTAAGCGCTAGCGTAATACTAAATATATTAAAATAATAACTAATTTATATTCGATAGCTAAAAGTTATAAAGATATTACTATTAATAGACTAACTCTTAAAGACGTATAATATATACTTAACTTCAGCGCTATAAAGCTAGTATTAATATATTAACTCTTAGATAAAGGAATTAATATAAAAAACTAACTAATATATTAGTAAATAGATATTAGAATAGTAAACTAGCCTTTATAAGTATAAGAAACAGAGGTTTATATATTCTAAATATAAATCCCCTAACCCTAACCCTAACCCTAACCCTAACCCTAACCCTAACCCTAACCCTAACCCTAACCCTAACCCTAACCCTAACCCTAACCCTAACCCTAACCCTAACCCTAACCCTAACCCTAACCCTAACCCTAACCCTAACCCTAACTAATCACCCTAACTAATCACCCTAACTAATCACCCTAACTATCACCCTAACTATCACCCTAACTATCACCCTAACTATCACCCTAACTATCACCCTAACTATCACCCTAACTATCACCCTAACTATCACCCTAACTATCACCCTAACTATCACCCTAACTATCGTTACAAACTTACCGCGAAGCCGTTATATATATAAGATACCGTCAAATTTACGGCGAAGCCGTGCAAGGCGTAGCCTTGTTTATTATATATTATATATTATATATAATACTTAGGGTCAGGCTTAGGGTCATACTTAGGGTCATACTTAGGGTCGATTTTACCTATTATACCGTCAAATTTACGGCGAAGCCGTTATATATATAAGATACCGTCAAATTTACGGCGAAGCCGTGCAGGGCGTAGCCCTTTATATTATATATAATATAATATTCAGACTTAGGGTCAGACTTAGGGTCACACTTAGGGTTATACTTAGGGTCACACTTAGGGTTATACTTAGGGTTATACTTAGGGTCATACTTAGGGTCGATTATACCTATTATACCGTCAAATTTACAGCGAAGCCGTGCAGGGCGTAGCCCTTTGTATTATATATAATATAATATTCAGACTTAGGGTCACACTTAGGGTTACACTTAGGGTCATACTTAGGGTCATACTTAGGGTCAGACTTAGGGTCATACTTAGGGTTAATTTCACTTATTATACCGTCAAATTTACGGCGAAGCCGTGCAAGGCGTAGCCTTGTTTATTATATATTATATATTATATATAATGCTTAGGGTCAGGCTTAGGGTCATACTTAGGGTCATACTTAGGGTCGATTTTACCTATTATACCGTCAAATTTACGGCGAAGCCGTTATATATATAAGATACCGTCAAATTTACGGCGAAGCCGTGCAGGGCGTAGCCCTTTGTATTATATATAATATAATATTCAGACTTAGGGTCACACTTAGGGTTACACTTAGGGTCATACTTAGGGTCATACTTAGGGTCAGACTTAGGGTCATACTTAGGGTCGATTATACCTATTATACCGTCAAATTTACGGCGAAGCCGTGCAGGGCGTAGCCCTTTATATTATATATAATATAATATTCAGACTTAGGGTCACACTTAGGGTTACACTTAGGGTCATACTTAGGGTCAGACTTAGGGTCACACTTAGGGTCACACTTAGGGTCATACTTAGGGTAATACTTAGGGTTAATTTCACTTATTATACCGTCAAATTTACGGCGAAGCCGTTATATATATAAGATACCGTTAAATTTACGGCGAAGCCGTGCAGGGCGTAGCCCTTTGTATTATATATAATATAATATTCAGACTTAGGGTCAGACTTAGGGTCACACTTAGGGTCAGACTTAGGGTCACACTTAGGGTCACACTTAGGGTCATACTTAGGGTTAATTTCACTTATTATACCGTCAAATTTACGGCGAAGCCGTGCAAGGCGTAGCCTTGTTTATTATATATTATATATTATATATAATGCTTAGGGTCAGGCTTAGGGTCATACTTAGGGTCATACTTAGGGTCGATTTTACCTATTATACCGTCAAATTTACGGCGAAGCCGTTATATATATAAGATACCGTCAAATTTACGGCGAAGCCGTGCAGGGCGTAGCCCTTTGTATTATATATAATATAATATTCAGACTTAGGGTCACACTTAGGGTTACACTTAGGGTCATACTTAGGGTCATACTTAGGGTCAGACTTAGGGTCATACTTAGGGTCGATTATACCTATTATACCGTCAAATTTACGGCGAAGCCGTGCAGGGCGTAGCCCTTTGTATTATATATAATATAATATTCAGACTTAGGGTCAGACTTAGGGTCAGACTTAGGGTCACACTTAGGGTCACACTTAGGGTCACACTTAGGGTCACACTTAGGGTCAGACTTAGGGTTAAGGATAAGGTTAATTAGATACATAGTATCTAATAGATACTATGTAATTTACTAGCGCAGCGGATATTACAGTAGTAATATTAACCTTACTTAGGGTGAAGGATAAGGTGAAGGATAGGGTGAAGGATAGGGTGAAGGATAGGGTGAAGGATAGGGTGAAGGATAGGGTAGAGGATAGGGCTAGATATAAGGCTGAAAATCAAAGGATAATCGAAGAATCAAAGGTAAAAGAATAAAGATAAAGGTAAAGGTAAGAGATAAGGTGAAGGATAGGGTAGAGGATAGGGCTATACTTAAGGTGAATAAAATTTATTAGAGCCGAAGCTTTGAAATCAAAACTTGAACCTTATAACCGATGCTTTGAAATCAATAGATTAAACCTTATAACTAATACTTTGAAATCAATAGATTAAACCTTATAACTAATACTTTGAAATCAATAGATTAAACCTTATAACCGATGCTTTAAAATCAATAGATTAAACCTTATAACTAATACTTTGAAATCAATAGATTAAACCTTATAACTGATACTTTGAAATTAATATTTTAAGGGTTAGGGTCGGACTTCGGGTCGAGCTTAGGGCCGAGCTTAGGGTCGAGCTTAGGGTCAGACTTAGGGTTATATAGAAGGCTATTCCCTTTCGATTATTCACTCTTCATCACTCTCTTAACTATCATCACTCTCTTAACTATCATCACTCTCTCGACGATTATCACTCTCTCGACTATTATTACTCTCTTACCTTATCTTTCTAAACTATTACTCTCTTACCTTATTACTCTCTCACTTTATCCTTCTGAATTATCACTCTCTCAACTACTTTACTATTATCGACCCTATACTTACCTTATCCCTGCCCTAAGCCTTACCCTAGGCCTCTCCTATCTACCTTACCGGCGCCTACCTTACTAGCGCCTACCTCACCGTCGCCCTCTCCGATTTTTTACCGTTAATTCGTTACTTACCCCCCTATTTCAGCACCTAAGGATCAATTTCCACCGTCTAAAAATCGATTCTACCGGCTAGTTTTCGAGATATCATCACTTTTATAAGTTATCTCGCAATTCTACTGATAAATCACTAAGTTTTCATATTTCCCCTGATTTTTACCCCGCACTTTACCCCGCAATTACCCCTCTACCCCTCTTTTACTATGCCGTTCGAATGCCCCGCGTGTAAAAATGAATATATCGATATTCTCGATCATATTCGTAAAAAACACCCTACTGATTCCTTTACAGAGCTTCAATTACAGCCTATAGGCCTTGTTCCCTGCCCTACCTGTGCTACAGCGTGTAAAGGAGCCCACGGGATTAAGACTCATAGCGCTAAAATCCACGGAATCACCGGTAGCTCTAGGGTATCAACGCAGCACCGAATCCATACTACCCCCTCTGCCTCAGCACCCTTAGACGCTGAAATCGACGATTCTATAGGCACCCCCTACCCTGTAATCGATTTCCCTCAGCTACTAGCACCCTTTCGAGCCGCTACCCCTAAGGCCAGAGCCTCTCTAGGCCTTTCAGGCTCTGAATACCCTACAGCTCCAGGGGCTACAGGCCTGTATAAGTCGCCTCCAGCACCTACAAGCCGAAATCTCAGTACCCCTCCACCCCTACCAAGCCCCCCATTCGATATCTACCCAGGCTTTACAGGCTCTCTGTCCCCTGTAACTTCAGCACCAAATAGCCCTAAATCGCCTACCTACGCCCAAGTTACCGCCACCCCTCTAGGCTCTAAGCCTTCAGCACCTACAGGCTCCAAGCACCCTACGGCTTCAGGCTCCAAGACCCCTGTACCTTCAGTACCTACAGGCTCTAAGCACCCTACGGCTCCAGGCTCCAAGTACCCCGCACCTTCAGCACCTGCAGGCTCCAAGACCCCAGCACCTTCAGCACCTACAGGCTCTAAGCACCCTACGGCTCCAGGCTCCAAGTACCCCGCACCTTCAGCACCTGCAGGCTCCAAGCACCCTACGGCTCCAGGCTCCAAGTACCCCGCACCTTCAGCACCTACAGGCTCTAAGCACCCTACGGCTTCAGGCTCCAAGTACCCCGCACCTTCAGCACCTGCAGGCTCCAAGCACCCTACGGCTTCAGGCTCCAAGACCCCTGTACCTTCAGTACCTACAGGCTCTAAGCACCCTACGGCTCCAGGCTCCAAGTACCCCGCACCTTCAGCACCTGCAGGCTCCAAGACCCCAGCACCTTCAGCACCTACAGGCTCTAAGCACCCTACGGCTCCAGGCTCCAAGTACCCCGCACCTTCAGCACCTACAGGCTCTAAGCACCCTACGGCTTCAGGCTCCAAGTACCCCGCACCTTCAACACCTACAGGCTCTAAGCACCCTACGCCTTCAGGCTCCAAGTACCCCGCACCTTCAGCACCTACAGGCTCTAAGACCCCTGTACCGTCAGTACCTACAGGCTCCAAGTACCCGACGGCTCTAGGCCCCGACCTCCCTACAGGCACCCGAAGGATTCAGACCCCACGGGGTATTTGGTACTCGATTCCAGGGGAAGTAGACGCTATACTCCCAGCGTACGACGGCCCTACAGGCCCTGAACCAGACTCCCTCCTAGGCTCTCGACCCCCCACGCCTACAGGCTCTACGTCACCTATATACGCCCAAATCGTCGCTACAGGCTATATACCCCCGAAGCCGTCCACTAAACGCCCTGCAAGAACACCCTCCCCAGGGGCTCAACGCCCTACGACACGCCAAAAGATAGGCCCTACGCAGCCTATAGAGCCTATAATCAAAGACAGCTCGTCCGACGAAGATCTTTATAGTGCCTCTACAGCGCTATCGTCCCCTACCCCTAGCTTTGAAGACGCTATCTCAACGCCTATACCAACTACACCTACCGATAAGACGCCTACCACACCTAGCCTACCCTCTGATAGCCCCTACTTCCCTCGACTATCACGAGTAGGCTCCCCTATAAGCAACCGAAGCTACTCACCCCTAGAACCACCCCCTAAAGCTCCCCAAGCTTCAGCACCCTCTCACGCTAAAGAGCCTATAATAATAAGCTCTTCTCCCCCAACAACCCCTACAACACACCTACCCTCCAAAACTACCACAACTCACCTACCCTCTAAAAACACCACAACTCACCTACCCTGCGAAACCTCCACACCTAGCCTACCCTGTAACCCAACACTCCAGGGCCGTACTATAGGGCCTACAGCGTCTAAACGCCCTATATCAACACAAGGCACAGCATCTTCAGCGCCTAAACGCCCTAGAACGTCAACACTAAAACGCCCTACCGACCCCCTCACATCTGAGCTACCCTTTGGATTACAACAATCGATCCACTGCCCCCAGCCTCAGGCTACCTCAGCACCTACACCCCTACACCCACAGGCTTCCTCAGCGCCTACACCCCTAGACGAGAGCGCTAAAGACCACTTGAACGCTATAAGCTCAGCGCTAAGAAACCCCTATATGCAATCCCTCATGAGATATAGCACTATTAAGGTCCCTGAAACACGTCTCCACGCCAGGCAAGCAGCGCTATTTACAGAGGCCGCTAATCGAGCGGCTTTAGTGTTCTTACGGCAGCCTAGAGAGAAGCAATTACTGGACTTTTTACTGCTTCCCAGGGTTCTCGGCCTAGGATTACAGAAGGAAGAGCTCGCTAAAACGCTGAAAGCCTACCCTACGACTATACCGGATATCCCTGAAACTCAGGGACCTCCCCCTGAACCCCCTACCCCCTCAAACGACTCCCCCGCCAAAAGAGCGACTAAGCTTCTGGAAAAAGGCTATATAGGGCGTGCCTCTAGAGCCCTAATCGACCCTACGCCTCTAGCTCCTAGCACTCCAGAGACGCTAAATACGCTATACTCGAAGCACCCTATAGGGCATAATAACCCCTTCAGTAACGCTAACCCCTCCCCGGGGCAAAATATCACCCCTGAAACGATACGACAGGCTATTCGATCGATTAATAGAGAGAAAGCCCCTGGCCTCAGCGGCTGGACCCGCCCGCTACTTGATATAGCGCTAAATTCGGAAAACTCCCCTGTAACTATAGCGCTTACACACCTAGCGAATATAATTCGACAGGGTACAGCTCCAGGGGTCGACCTCCTATGTGCTTCCCGACTTATAGGCCTTCAGAAGCCTGACGGAGGTGTTCGACCGATCGCTATAGGGGACCTTATTTATAAGGTAGCCCTAAAAGCGATCCTTATCAGCTCCTTCAAGCCGTCTATGCTTCTACCCTGCCAATTAGGCGTTAGCACCCCAGGGGGTGTAGAGCCTATAATCTTCCTCCTTGACGACGCTATTACCGGCCCAAATACCCTAAAAACTCAGTAAATCGCCTCCTTAGACCTTATTAACGCTTATAACCGAATCGGACGAACCTCAATAGCGGCCGCAGTCGCTAAATACGCCCCTACCCTCTATCGGACCGCTAAATAGGCCTATAACCAGCCTTCAGTGCTAGTAACAAACGAAGGCCACACGCTAGCAAGCGCTGAAGGAGTACGCCAAGGAGACCCTATTGCCCCCCTCTTATTCTCTCTAGCGATTCGCCCCCTGCTAGAGCACCTCCAAAAGACCCTACCGAAGGCTACAATTATAGCTTATTTGGACGATATCTATATCCTTAGCCCTGAAACTACAGCACTACTCCCTGTAGTTATAGAAGCCTTCAGGGACTCTCCAGTAGCTCTTAACCGCCAAAAGAGCACCGAAAGCCCTATCTCCCAGTTACAAACCACTGGACTTAAGGCCTTAGGGACCTTTATAGGCCCTGTAGCACACCGCCGAACGTTCCTCCAGGGGAAAATCGACACTCTCGCTACAGCGCTATATACCCTACGAGACCTCCCTAAACAACACGCTACCCTACTCCTACGGGGTAGTATACACCTACTCCTACGACACTTACAGCGCCAATTGTACTCGGAAGACCTACTAGACCTCTGGAGGTTAGCGGACCTACGAATCAAGTACGCTGTACAAGCCCTAATCGCTAGGGAGCCAGGGGAGAAGACTACCCTAATTCGCCAGGCTTTACTCTCTCTTCCAGTGAGAGAGGGAGGCCTAGGGCTCCCTATACACGCCTTATTAGCCCCAGGGCTCTATAGGGCAGCTAAGGAAGCCTCTCGATCGATTCTAGTGGCTATATGCCCTAATCTCTACCCGGAACCCCCTGGACGCCCTGTACCGACAGCCTAAGAGGTCTTCTCTAGTGTTAACCAAGACCTAGAAGAGAAGATTCTACCTACCCTATCAAAACAAGCGCTAAAATCGAAGCTTAAGAACGCTAGCTACCTCGGACGATACTGGCTTAGAACCCTGCCCACGCAAAAACACCACCTTTTAGCGGATTCTACAGTTACCGAAGCACTACGGACTAGGCTCTTACTCCCTGTAAAGCCCCCTATTTCGCCCTGTACCGCCTGTGGAGCCTACCCTCAAATAGGCCACGAAGACACCTGTAGAGGTGCTGAACAACGCTGGATTATACGCCATAACCAGGTTACCCGTGCATTTATTACTACCCTTTCTAGCCGGGAAGACCTTAAAGTGGAATCGGAGCCTACGCCAGCTAGAACGCCTATAGCCCTAGAAAACAGCCAACGACCGGATTTTTCAGTGCTTATAGGTACTTCTAGGCACTATTACGACGTTCAAATAGTAGCAATCAACAAGGATTCAGCACGCGAAGAAGCCTATGCTACGCTATCAGAGGCAGCAAACGCTAAACGGCTTAAATACAGCGACTTAGGCCCTGTATTTCACCCCCTGATCTTCTCGGCAGGAGGCCTAATGGAAGCCGAAACAGCGAAGACCTATAAGGCCCTACAGGGCCTATTAGGGCACTCTAGGGCTAAGTGGTTAGACGGGTATATCGCTAGCACCCTAACTCAGGCTCGAGGAATCGCTGCAACCTCGATTCTAGCACGTAGGTAGCTTATAACACACGCTATACCTACCCTACAGCACACACTACACCTACCCTATAACACACACTACACCTACCCTACGGCACACACGACACCTACCCTACGGCACACACTTCACCTACCCTAAGTAACTCACACTTCACCTACCCTGTGATACATACTCTATCTACCCTATAGTACACACTCTACCGACCCTGCGACTCACACTCTACCTACCCTTTGGTACACACCTTACCTACCCTATGGTACACACCTTACCTACCTTGCAATACACACTTCACCTACCCTGCGACTTACACTTTACCTACCCTTTGGTACATACTCTGCCTACCCTATGGTACACACTCTACCTACCCTGCGACTCACACTACACCTACCCTTTGGTACACACTCTACCTACCCTGTGGTACATACTCTGCCTACCCTATGGTACACACTCTACCTACCCTGCGACTCACACTACACCTACCCTTTGGTACACACCTTACCTACCCTATGGTACACACCTTACCTACCTTGCAATACACACTTCACCTACCCTGCGACTTACACTTTACCTACCCTTTGGTACATACTCTGCCTACCCTATGGTACACACTCTACCTACCCTGCGACTCACACTACACCTACCCTTTGGTACACACTCTACCTACCCTGTGGTACATACTCTGCCTACCCTATGGTACACACTCTACCTACCCTGCGACTCACACTACACCTACCCTTTGGTACACACTTTACCTACCCTTTGGCACACACTCTACCTACCCTTTGGCAAAGGGTACACACTACGCCTACCCTCTGATACACACTTTACTTACCCTTTGGTACACACTCCACTTACCCTGCTCTTACCCTCTGTATTATTAGTATAGTCCTTCTGTATTTCAAGACTATTAGAGAGAGATAAAAACACTCGTCGCAAGCTAGCGTAGTTAGAAACAAATATAACCCAAACCTCAAACCCTAACCCTACCTGCAGATGCACGTTACCTGCGACTGGGACCAGGGTGAGTCAACCAAACCCATATCTTTTCCTCCGCCGAAATTGACGAAGTTGCCCCAAGAATTTCGCTATCGCGATGGTCGAAAGTACGCTGGGCATGTCTTTGTAGACAACTCAGAAACTCGACTTCTTTCACGTGGCGAGTGTGCCAATGGGAAACAGCCCGAGGTCTGGCTACATGTATAACGTTCTTTGGCATAGAGCAATTTTCTTTGCAAACTAGTTGGCGTAATGGACATATATTCATTGAACTCATCTACAATTCTCTTGCTTTTTGGGAAATTCAAATTCCGGGTCTGAATAACGTATACTCTGTCTGAATGATATGTATTCGTTTTGCTTTAGCTATCAAGTCTGTAGACAATGTCTATTACTTTTATACGACGTCTTAATCTATTAGTATCAGTCTAGTAGGGATTATACTATTTCAAAACAAAGCTGTTTAGACTGAATCTAATCTCATTCTGTTCTTATCTAAACGCGAATACAATCATAGTTCGTGAACTATGATACAGGCGTTCCGTTGATAAAACTCGCTAAACGTTTTAAGCCTCTTCTTCTTGGCAGAAGCCAACCTTTTCGTATCAAGTGTCTCAAGATCTCCGAAACCCAGTGACGACAGTTCCAATCACGTCGAGAATTATTCACTGGCCATCCATTTATAATCCTACGAACACGTCGAAGGTGTTCCCAACGAATTCTTCCGGCGAATATCGTCACCTGGTGAAGGTTGGATCTGGTTGGTACACAATTCCACCGAGGGCGACTGACATAGTATCCTCGTCTATCTCCATTGTTGTTGACTTGGTGCAGGCTAGTAGTATGGCCGCGGGGAGGAATGACGTATAGAGCCCAGTGGCCGGTCTTATATACAGCTACATCGATGCAAGTATCGACATTGCTACGGTGGAATCTTGGGAAACGAGGCGGAGATCGTGACAGCCTTCGGCTAGGTCTAGAGGAAGATCGGAATCGAACGGGAGAATGGATGGATCGTCTGTTACTTTTAATACTTAGTATATGATGACTATGACTTAGCCCTACACACTTACGCCATACTGTAGCTCCGAGAAGCGAGAAATAGAGAAAGTAAGCAATATGAGAAAGACTAGCACTGAGAGAATAATTGCCCAAATCTATTACTACTGTGAATACTTGATGTAATGATGCATACCAATCAAGAATGTTTCTTACTCTCGGTAAATTATTTGACAGACTCAGATCGTTATGAGTGTGGCAGGAGCGATACGGCTCCGTGTAAACATCTCTGAACTTGAAAGTCTTGATCAAACGATCAGTAACCTATCAATTGTTTCAAGGCCACATTAACATTCTGTATCGATTTTTAATTGATATTCCATAGACATTTGATGCGCTATATGTTTGGAACTCATAATTCTTGTAGTTCTTGCCCCAGGAAATAGAGCCGCACCTCACCTCGTGAACGACGAGATTTGTCCGAAACATATCATTTCATGGATAGTGAGCTGATAGGAAGCTCTAATATAATTCCAACCACTATAGTGATCTATTATAAGGACCGGATGCTCTGCAGTCGCCTAGTCTCGACTAGCGTGTGACGTGGGTCTACATTGAAAGGTCAGTTCTGAAACCAGACGAAGGGCATTAGATTAGGGAGCTAGTCCAAAATCAAATCCTAAGCGAGTACTTACATGACTCCAACTTTCTAGCAGCTAAAATTGCAATCTGTCGTCGCACAAAAACCAGATCTGTTCAACAATCGGCCACGCCGCATACTCCACACACCACGCCGAACTCAAACACAGTCTTCGGGTAAACAACAATGCAATTTCTAGATAGTATATCTGATGGAGAAGACACTCCAAGCACAGAATCAACAGTGGTGCCACCATCTGCCCCTAGCCATACCCATACCGTCATCGTTCTCCATGGCCGAGAGGACTTTGGCGAGGATTTGGCGAAGAGCTTCTTTGACAGCAAATCAAGCCAGAATGAATCCATGGCGGAGTTGTTTCCAGCGGTACGATGGGTGTTCCCGACGGCCAAGCTTCGATACTCAGCACAGCGCGATTATGAGTTCAGCAATAGCTCGTTCGCAGAAGCACTGAAAGGAGAGGAAATCATCTCGCAATGGTTTGACGTCTGGGACATCAAGGAACCCAACCAGAAGAAAGACCTGATGATCCCAGGTCTCAGTGACAGCATTCTGCAGATAATACGAATTGTTCAAGAGGAGGCGAAGATGGTTCCTCTAAGTCGAATTGTTCTCGGCGGAATAAGCCAAGGTTGTGCTACAGCTATTCTCGCTCTTGTCGCATCCGGAATCAATCTTGGAGGATTCTTTGGTCTATGTAGCTGGCTCCCGTTTAACGAAGATATTGCAAGTATGTTTGCAAGTCATGACGAGAAGGGCAACATATCTCGGTCCGTACGAAATCTTCTGCGACTACCGCCTATTGGAAGTCGGGAGTGGGAACCTACGGAGCCGGAAAAGGAGACCCCGAACGAGAACATTACTAATGGTAGCATTGTAGACGCTGCGTTCGAAAGGCTTGCAATAGGGAATAATCTCACGACTCCAATCTTTCTCGTGCACTCGATGGACGATGAGACTGTACCCCTAGAAATGGGACGAGAATTATATCAAACTATTAAGCATATTGGGTTTGAGGACATCAGGTGGAAGGAATATGAAGACGGTGGACACTGGATTCATCCAAAACTGGGAGTAGATGACATGGCTGGCTTCCTGAAACACTGTTTTAAGAGATGCACACTGTAATAGTAATGGTTCTTCCAAAAAAAAAAAAAAAAAAAAATATCGCAATAGAGGCTAAATCATCAGTGAAAGACTCTCCCTGTTCTCACTTGGATATTGAGATACCTCTATCATTAAGTCAAACTATTTAGCCAGGACTGTTTCTTCTAGAGCCGTTACAGAGATGATTTTATATATCTAAATTGCCTATCTTCTCATCTATTGTGGTAGTTTCAGGTAACTCAATTCCTTCTTTCAGCCACTCTACAAAGCCGCTTTCCTTTAGTGACTCATTGCCCAGATCCCAGATCTCTACCTTGTCAATCCCGTAGACAGAGCTAAGGTCACAAAGTCCAGGATCAGATTTGTACACGTTAGGAGACATATCCTCAATGAGGTCGCGCTCAAAATAAAGACGCAGGGTTCTGAGCCTCTTACACTGCTTGAGCAGTCTGACACACTTTCCAACATGAAAGCTTGGCAATGTCAGCGAATGTTTGCCAGCGACCGGATCTTTGTCCCATTGACCCTCAAAGTCAGTTTTGCTCTGCCATGCAAGCTCCAGTGATGCAATATTGTCACGACCAATATCACCAACTGCAATGAGAAGCCTAATGAGATCGTCCATATCATCCAAGTGAAAGACGGTCCGACGATACGCCAAGGGCAGTGCTTCTTGACGCATTTGCTTGTTCACTCGGAGCATCGCTAGGCTGCTCAGTGGGAAATAGAAGCCACTGAGATCACCAATACCTCCTGCGAAGTCGAGCTCAACTGAATTGCCGTCATGCCCTGTGCTCCACGCCTCTATTGGAAGCGCGAAAAGATATATCTTATCTCGAAGTTCTTTTGGGAGCTTGTTGAAGAACATTGACTCCAAAACAATGGTTCTGCTGAGTTGCAACTATTTATCAATTCAGTTTATGGTTCAACATTATGCATACAGTGCGTACCTTCGGGACGGTCATAGCCCTGCACGTTTCATTTTTGGTAAATAGAAGCGGTAACTCGAGTCCGAAGCCATAGTGAATATCCACGGCAACACTGTGTAGCCCAACGTACATCCTACGTGTGGACGTCACTGTGTCCTCGCCATGAGCGATTTTCTATTGCGACGTTAGTACGATGAGCTTGACCAGAGAAATTAGCTAACTTGAGGCACACCAAGAGCCGGAAGGACTGTCTCCAATATCGTATCATTCTCCTTAGGGTTATTAAGCTTCTCAAAGTCCTTCTTGGTTCTCTCGTAGGGGCTATTGGGCACTGGTCTGAGATCAGAGTAGAAGCGTTGCACTCCATCTTCAGGATAATTGAGGGAATCAGCCTTGTATCCCAGCTTCCTCTCCGTTTCCACAAGCGTGAGCGTGTGTCTTCGTTTAGCCATGTGGAAATACTCGGTCAGTCATGCTCGAAGGCGAAGGTTGAGGGCGGGGTGAAGATGAAGATGAAAATGTGATCATCAGTAACCACTCCCTTGCATCCTTTGACCAACAAAGATCCCGCAGGTGCTGCTTTAACAACACCCACACCCTCCTCATTATTGGAGAATCGATTCACAAACATCATAATTTCTAGAGGTCAAAATTCACATGTCTAGTTACCTTGCGCAGCAAACTAAGTACATTCTGCATCGACGAAGTGCCTGTGTATCCGTAGCAGAAAGCTTCCTCGATTTCCATAGTTGCTAGAATTAGTCATGTCCAGCATAGAATCCCGAGCTGCTGCCAATGTCGCCGGAAATGGCTGCTGCTAGAGCACGGGACTTGGATCTGCTCCGCTCCCAGCATCCTTAGGACCTCGGGTTGGTGGGCCACCGAACATGGCTGGTGCCAAGTTCTCCTGGGTAGCAAAAAAGAAAAGAAAACCAAGTCCACGATGCTCCACGGACGCAAGGGTTGACGGGCGGATTTACTCTGCCCGTACCGGCCGGCCAAGCAGCTGATTATCCGTCGCTTCGGGCTGTTGCTACGGGGCAATCACGTGCAGCTGGCACTCTTCACTGCCATCCTCGCAGCACAACCCAGATAACTGGGAGGGAGATGAGGAACAAGGCACAACAGGGGACAGTAAAGAGTGCTCTTCCACGGAACAATACAGAGACGAAGCCGCCCGAGTGCTGCATCACTAACGTGGAGGACGGTAGGGCGATTAATCTCAACCGAACAGTGCGATCCGGTGTGATCCTGATTATGGTAGGGATGGCGAATCACGCTCCAAACCCAGACGCAGATTCCGCGCTCCAATCAGGCCTCTCGACACATTCTCCTGAATGATTCACCGCGTTTCTTTCATTCTCTGGAACATCCGGTATAGAGTCGACGTATTCAGGAGGCGATCGCATTCGTGGTCGGTCGGATGATGATGTAGGTTTGTGGCTGCGAAGCCTCTGGAACGTTTAGGGGTAATGGAAATGAGTTTTGCGCCTGGGTGCAGCATTTGTTAACCGATGAAGTTGTCATGTGTACGTATGGCAGCCGATGCAAAACTGACCACAAATGCACTACATCCATTCTTCGATATGAAATGGATTATTTCCAAATAAAAACTCAAAATTATTGTGATATCAACGAATCTATTGCGAACTAGACTCCTGCTCAGATCCTAGCTCGAACTCTGTATACTCTTCATCGTCAAGAGCCATGTGCGATACCATTAACGAGTGTTGAGATACAACAGGAAGCCAAGACAAAAACGCGAAGCTGGACAGAACGACAACTGCATAAGGGAAAATTCCAATTCCAACACCTTGGATGAAAGCTCCTATACCGAACGGGAAAATTGCTCCTCCGATCTGCCCTGCAGAGGCCCCAAATGAAACAGTAGCAATATGTAATTCGGGAGGTAAAAGTCGGGTGACCATGACAATCCCAGAGGCAAACATAGGCCCCATAAAGAAGCCAATAAAGCTCACAAATACGACAGATGACACTTTCCCAGGAACTAGAGAGAAAGCAATCTGGAACACGATGGTGATAATGAAGTATCCAACAGTTGCTCGCCTCACGCCAAGTTTGTCTGTCATGACACCCAAGGTAAATCTTCCGATAGCCATCGCGCCCCAAAATGCGGACGAGCACATACTAGCAAGCGATGGCGTTGCTTGTCGATAGCGTAACATGAATGGAACTGTCCAACCTGAGATGGCGGTCTCGATACCAACATAGGCGAAGAAGTACAAGGAAACTAGCCAAGTGGCACGATATCTAAATATATGCCACACAGAGGTTTTCTCAACTTGCTTTTCTCCGCGATACTTTACTGCGTCTTCATTTCTGCAAGCGAATGACAGTAAACACAGCTCAGCCAACGACGCTGCAACCTATGGATTGTAAGTTCGACATAATTCTTAACATTGGTTAGTTTGGGAACTTACAAGAACATAATACCAGTCATACCATTGTCTACCGAAGGAAGGTAGAATCGTACCTGCAAAAAGAGGGCCCACAGCCGCGCCAACGGAATATGACCCTTGCAGCATTCCCGTAACCGTATTTGCATTGGGAACTGTTGTAGCCCAAGCACACAGCGATCCATCCAAGAATCCAACGCCCAAGGCTACAGCCGCGAATGCTACCAGGACGACAGGAAATGGAGGGTGGGTAGCAATGAGCAAAACTCCAAGAACATGCAATGTTGGTGCAATGACCGCAACGCCTCTTTGGCCCAGTTTCCAATGCACAGGGCTGCTGAGCTGGGCTGCGATAACGTAACCGACTGGGCCGACCACAAAGACCAGAGAGACTTGGATGTCCGTCAAGGCATAGTGCCGAGTCAAGGGTTGGAGCATCACACCGATTGATGATGTAAACACACCTAAGAAAGCGAACGAGTACATTGCTGCACATATGCGAAGGGTCATCCGAGGATGGGAGTCGGCATCTGGTGTGATTGTGGTAGCGTTTGAAGACTCAAAGTCTTCCAGGAGAGGCCTCCCCTCGATCCTGGGTTCAGCCACCATGATCCTCACGTCCTTCTTCAGACGTTTATTCTTTCAAATCTGCTGCTTCGGGAGAGCCTAGCTAGAGGTGGACTGCTATAAGATGTTTTGTTATCAGGTTAGAATGGAAGTCGTCAGGAGGAGAGAAAGGCCAAGCTAGGTACTTAACCTTAGTAGCGGCATCAGCCGGCTAGCGTCAAACACCACGGAATGTATCATTAGCGGGGCGGCACCGTCCCTCCTTACCGACTTTCTCTTCTGATCGAATCCTCGACCGATATCTTCGACGGTCGAGCCTACATAGAAACTTGTCCGATGATTTGGGAGATAGGCGTACCTAACTGATACCCATGCATAACGTGGCTCAGGCCTGCTGCTGTGACCACCTTGTTCACGGCAACAAAGTCGCCTAGGCTGCAGGCACATGGCGACGAGACGATAATGTCGCGAGGCCCGTCCCGATGACAGGTAAGTTTGACCATTTTATGCATACGACGCCAAAAAGCAATTCTAAAAAATGTACGCTAATCCCAAGAAGCTCAGACGAATGTCCTACATGTCCTTATCAGTCACCCGACCATCTCAGTAAGCGATACCTCCCTCGTGCAGAAGAAAGTAAGACAAGGAAAGATAGCATCGAATTGTCAAAGAGCAAACAAGTTATCAGAAAAGCTTCAGTGAGCCCTAGATTCCAGTGTTTAATATTTACCTTTGACCCTATCAGCCGAGCCATCGGGCCGAGCCGACTACCAGATTCACTAGTCGAAATTCGGCATTGCCTTTCAAAGATTAATTGAGTGGATGAGAATTTATACTGGCATTCACGTTTCGTTGATCCCTGCTGAACTGCTGAATTATATTTCTGAGCGAAAATACTACGCACTGTATTTTGCCCCCTGTAGTGTAACTATCCTCCTGCGTCCTAGACGGTGTACAGACCCAATAATCCCTTTGCGCACTCTAGTATTGATGGACTCCGCATGCACAGCACTTAAAGTACTCCCTTCATACCTGGGTTTCTATCTACTCGACTCCGCCAGAAGCTTGGTGGATGAATCCGATTAGGGCTCGCTCTTTCTTCCTGTATAAGCATTGCCACCCCAGAAAAGATTCCTATATCGGGACTGGCAGTCTGTTTCCTAGTGATTGGTGAGCTAATTACGAACATCATTCACTTCAGCTTGCTCGAATTTGTTCTTGTCGGGCATTCTGTACATTTCCCATCATGAATCCAACGCTTCACCTCCAGAGCTGACTGCACTCCCGTTCGTCGTGGACACGTAGCCAGGAATAGGGTCGTGAAGCACATTTCTGTTCGTCTCATCGAGTATTTATTCTCCTCCCAGAACAAATTTTTGTTTCATCACCCACCTCTGAACCCAAACCCAGACCCTGCAGTTCGCACTTCTTTTCCAATGATGTATGAGTTCCAGTCCCAGACTCTTTGGGCAGCTTGTCTAGGGCTTCTATCTCACTGGACATACTTCATCCATGGCGAATACCACATGCTGGCCCCAGTATATGGCAGCCTATTCCTTGTTCTTCTCTCAATCTTGTACATTATCGAGCTGCACTTCCACAAGAACACATCTGTAGCTCTTGAAGCCGAGCTGGAAGTTATTGCAGCATACCTTGGCACTCTGTTTGCGAGTATTGTTGCTTACAGAGTACTGTTCCACCGCCTCCAAAGGTTTCCTGGACCCTTCGGTGCCAAAGTATCAAAAGTTTGGCATGCTTGGAAGGTCAGACACTCACAAAACCATCTGGTCATGGATAAGCTATACCACAGATATGGAACATTTGTGCGAACGGGTAAGCCACTTCTACTGGTATCCATTTGACAAAAACCTCTTGACACCTTGTCCAGGTCCAGAGGAGATAACCATATTCCACCCCGACGCCCTTGTCGCTATGAATGGTCCTGGAAGTACATGCACCAGATCCGACTGGTATGACGGACTTTATCCCCTCCAAAGCCTCGCCAATATCCGCAGTCCGGCTGTTCATGACCAGAGACGACGCATCTGGGACAAAGCATTCAGTGCAGGTGGTAAGTGAGCCATTTTATCGCCAAACGACACTCTCACTAACATCTCCAGCTGTCCGAGACTACGACTCCCGAATCATCAAGTACGCTGAACAGCTCAACCTTCTCATAGCTGCATCTGTGGATCAACCCGTGAATGTGTATGCCAAGTTCAGCTTCTTCACATCCGATGTGATGAGTGATCTGTCATTTGGAAAGTCTTTCGGCCAGTTGGTCGAGGACAAGTTCCACCATTCGGTGTTGGGAGTCCGCGAGTTCATGGGCGTGTTCGGAACGATGAGTCCTATTCCATGGCAAGTCCCCCCTTTGTTTATCACACTCGCTGCCGATCAGGCTGCGTCCGTCTCAACATCATGTTCCATGACTTTGTGTAACTTTGAACCGAGTTTCAGGATGCTGATGATCTTGTTTAGGTTCGGACGACTCGGGAATAAGCCCATGATGCAACTCAACGGCTGGAAGTCATTGATGAACTTCACCAAAGACAGTCTGAGAACGAGAATGATGGTGAGACGAGCCCAACCTTTCTATTCATTGTGCCCGTCAAGTTTACTAACCTGAATCTATCAGAACGAGCCACCTGTCCCAGATATTGCATCGTATCTACTAAGCGCATCCGCAGGACGCTTAGAAGAGGACGCAAACTATCTCGACGGTGACGCCCTCGTGTTGAACATCGTTGGCAGGTAAGTATCAAGTCAACTTCACCTCAACCTTGCATTGCATTACATTTCTCTGATATCGTGTCCCTTTTAGCGACCAGACTTCCACAGCCCTCATCACCCTTTTCGCCCAACTCGCTCGCTATCCCAAGTACCAAGAGCAGATCTTCCAAGAAGTCCAAAAGATTTCCTCCGTCACAGACTTCCTCGCAGTATTGAGACTTCCCATCCTGAAGAGCGTGATAATGGAAACCTTGAGACTTTGGCCTCCTCTCCCAACAGGTATTGGTCGCGTAGTCCCTGCCGGAGGTCTGACGATCGCTGGACGACACATCCCACGTGGCACGACAATATTTGCACCTCGCTATACGATTGCCAGACGTAAGTGAATTCCTGAATTCAGCAACTCGGGGGAGTTATGTTAATACCTAGTAGTGGAGAGCTGTTTCGAGAAAGCTACTGAGTTCGTCCCCGAACGATGGACATCACGACCTGAGATGGTTATCGACAAGAGAGCGTACAATCCCTTCTCAACGGGTAAGTGCCTCCTACATCTCCTTTATACCAAGACATACTGACACGCTCAGGCCGCTACTCCTGCGTCGGTCAACGACTAGCTATGAGAAAGATCTCACACGTTACCGCTCTCCTTATATCCAAGTACACAGTGGAGTTTGGGCCAGATGACGATGGAACTCGTTGTTTCCGGGATATGCAGGATAATCTCACGATGAACCCGGGACGGCTGGATCTTGTATTTAGACTTCGAAAGGCGGACTAAGGGATGATAGGCTATCGTAGTGATGGGACGAGCCCTTGAAGGTGAAGTATTTGCATGTTGCTGAAGAGCAGGTCTTGGGCTTACCAGGAAAACGATGCTTTGCCGATGAACCTTTCTCGAAATCAATCTTGTGATTCGGGAGTGTTGTGCCGCGATAAGTTCAACATAATTGATGGCAGAACGATGTGCGTGATACCCAGCAATATCAACTGGCAACATACATTCTTGAAATGAAGTTGGGACAAAACAATCACTCACGATGTGCATGAATCGAGGTCATACATCATATTATGCATTTCATCTACCTCAAACCCAACACATTTTTCTCCATAACTTTCACACCATCTCTCACATTCGGAGAGAAATGCTTCCTCAGCAGTTCTCCCTCCCAAATAGTAGCGGCATATGGATTGCTTCCCTCCACCTCGCCAGTCAGAGCATCAAACACGCCATCACCCCTTCTCTCCTCCGTATTCCACAACGATGCCACCTTCTTCTCCTGAATCTTCGTGACCTTGCCTAGGAATGTGGTTATGGCAATACAAGACTTTTCTGGCAAATGCAGCGATGTGGTTGCCAGCTGCTTTGTGAAAGCCGCGATTCTCAGCGGTGGTACAGCACGAGCGGCGAGTGCAGGCGTGAGAATCGAGGAAAGGGAGCGGAGCAGGAGCACGGTAGTTGTCTGGATGTTGACTTTGTTCTCGGAATGTGTCCAGGTGGGCATGTTCGGGTCAGGGAGATGTAAGGACTTCGCACTGAGTTCGATGTCTGGATTGAGTGAGAGGGCGTGAAGTGTTCGGTAAAGATGAGTAATGAAGAAGCTGAGATCCAGACTCAAGGTTGCCTGAGCTTTGGCGGCATCTTGGCCTTCGAGTAAAGCGAATGCCGTAATAATGCATAACAGTGCTTCACGAGTCAAGTTTCGCTCTGTTTCAATATCTTCTGGGTCTTCCTCGACATCGTCTCCTGTCTCAGCGTGGCCGATCAAATCCTTCAGCGCTTCTAGGAGATCACCGAACAAGTCCTGGTTGATGAGATGTGCGTATCGGGCCAGTCCTTCCAAGACAGCACCCATGAGATGTGGAGATCTCAGCTTTAATATCCGGAGGTAGGTGACGAATACCAGCTTCAATGTCTCAGACTGCATGCGATCACGGTCTTCGTGACTGACTGTTGCATCCGCCTGTTCCATCTCTTTCTCGACAATTTTTCGTTCCTTCATCATCTTCCTCTCCTTCTTCGTGCGGAAGACCCTCTTCTCTTTAATCTTCCGCTCAAACTTGTTCTCCGGTTTGTCGATATGATTCGTTGAAGCCCTCCATGAGAACTCCGTCAAGAGACGCAAATGGAGAAATGTATTCAGCACACCCTCGTCAACACGGTATGACCTCTCCTTCATCATTCTCGTGAGAATTGAAACCGCATCCAAGGAAGGAGTTCCATCTTCGTCGTTCTTGAACAGTGATTCTATCGTCTCCCTGCACTTCACGAAGTCCTCGTCCATCATTCTCGTGCTGAGCTTCTTTACCAGAATCTTCAGCAGATCTCCACGGAAGTTGAAATGTGGAACCTCGGTCAGGAGAGTGCATGCACAAGAGATGGCAACGCTCCCCAAACTTGGCCCACTTTCTTTTGATCCTCCAGACCTGCCAGACCTTCCAGATTGAGAAAGCTTCGATAATTCTCGAATATATCCTTGATATCCGCCAACTAGAGCCTGTTCGTATGCCCGCAATTTCCGTACCTCTTTCGACACCTTGGTCTCCATATCTTCTTCTGATAATGGTCGTATCCGATACCCTGGGATGACATCTTTGTAAACAGCCAATTGAACTCTCAGAGCCAGTTTCTTGATTGTGGTGTTGTGCGATTGACCAAATTGCGATAAAGCTTTGAAAGCTCCAACGTGCTCTTCCGGATCCTCCTGCGTGACCATCAATGCAATCCGAGCCATCTCTTCTTGTGCTTCTAATATTTGCTGTCGCATAGGGACCGTAGGTTTCTGTTCCACTGGCTCTTCCTCTGATTCCTCCGCACCCAGCCATTCCATGTCGCTCTCAACATGATCAGGCTCCTCGACGACCTCGAGTTCCTGGACTTGTCCATCTGATGTTTTGATTGGCAATCGAGTATTCTCCTTGTCCTTCTTCTTTCCTTTTCGAGGTCTGGTCTCGTAATCCTGCTCCAGATTCCAGCTCGATGCTTGCTTGAAGAATGCACTGGGCTCGGAGGCATTGTCGAGTGTTGACGGAGAGGAGTCTTCACCATCCGTAGGAGGCGGAGTCAACTTTCGCCTCTTGACCGCTGGTACTCGGGCCATTGTGTCTTAGGTCATGAATGGGTGGGTTTGAAGTTCGTTGTATTTCGAGGCGAACCATGGAGGGAAATTTTGGAGGATGCGGCCGCCCGAGGAAAATTCAACGGAACGGAAAAACTTCCCCGCCCGAGGCCAAAAAAAAAATATCCAGAGCTTCAGAAAATCACAGGCGAACTTTCAAGTCGTTCACAGCACCACCAAATACCTATTCACGATGCGCCCTCTCACAGAAACCGAGACGCAGACACTATTCGCCAAGCTTGCGAACTATACCGGAAGCTCTTTGAAGAACTTAATTGCTCCTCTGGACAATGGACCAAATGCTGATAGATTTGTCTTCCGCCTCCACCAGGTTCGTCTTCCTCCGAATCCGAACAAACTGCCTGGTCTTGCTAACCTATCTGCAGTCGAGATGTTACTATGTGCGCCTATCGCTCGCCAATCTTGCAGTTTCAGTAGCCAGAGAAAAGCTCCTGTCGCTGGGGACCTGCTTGGGTAAATTCACAAAGACCGGAAAGTTCAGACTGCACATTACGGCGCTTCCTATCCTCGCAGAGCATGCACGATACAAAGTCTGGGTTAAGGCAAACGGAGAAATGCCGTTCCTGTACGGTGGTCACATTGTCAAGGCGCATGTTGGAAGATGGTCTGAGGATTGCCCAGAGCACCAAGGTGTGATAGTCTACTCGATGAACGATACACCATTGGGTTTTGGAGTCACAGCCAGGAGTACACAGGAGGCACGCCGATTAGATCCTACGGGAATTACCTGCTTCAGGCAGGCAGATTGTGGAGAGTACTTGAGGGACGAGGATAGTTTGTTCGCAACTAGCTGAGGTGCTGGAAAATATGGATATGGCATTGCCGGCGTTGGGGAATGGATATTTGGTGTTCTATGGCGTCTAAGATGCTACTTGTGGTATCAATTAAGGTTTAAGGCTGCTATGTCCTACAGTAGCCGTCGCATTTGTCTGTCGATGTTTCTATGGGCAAGCCCAGTGCCTGAGCGCAGTATACTATTTCGAATTCATCCAAGACAACAGTTTACACAAGTTCATATGTTCATCATATCGTTTCGCAGCGATTGTAATAATTTCTTTCATGTTGAAAAGCTGGCATAGATTTATCAAGAGGTATCATGCACCGGATAAACATTGTTCCATCCCCTGTAAATATTTTGGAAGTCTGCTTCTGATAACTCATAAGAACTGAACAAGCTCGCGACAACTCCGACAAACACCTCTATCCAAAACGAAATGCGGTAATCGCCCCTTCACAGTATGCTCCGACCAAAACCCTCCGCATGTCTGCTCTGCACTTTCAGAGCAGCTCGAGTTCCCGCCACAGTAAGCAGATGCCGTACCCAGCAGACGGCGAGTCTGTACCAAGCCTCGAAAGCAAATGCTAGACCGAATCGCATGGGACTTGCGAAAGCTAGAGTCGTCGGGTCAGATGGAATAAAATCAAATGAACCAGGACGACCTGGAAGGAGGCGTCAAGATGGACCATTTGGAGGCATGAATTTGAAGGTGGCAGGAATTCGAGGAGTTCCCGAGCGAGGCAGCCAGGGCAGCAGACCAGACAGTACGACGGCGATAAAGAGTGGAGGGCCCCAGCGGCCCGCTGGTAGAGGATCCAAAGATCGGAAAGATCGTGGCTTCAAAGCTCTGAAGATGCAGAGAACATTGGCTCCTGTATCATATGATCAGAGGACGAGAATCAAGGAAAGGATCCAAGAGGTGGATTCGTTCAACAACTTTAACCTCCTGGACTCAGTAAAGGCATCAATACCGACACAAGCCCTGCAAGGAATGCAGGACCTGATTCCAACCCCAGTACAGAAGATTGCCATTCCAAGACTATTGGGTGACAAGGCACCAAAGAGAAGGAAGGATACTGTGCGAGAAGAGTTCTTGATTGCTGCAGAGACTGGATCGGGAAAGACTTTATCATATGTGCTACCCATGATAAACGCTGTGAAGCTGGCCGAACAAGAAGACGCGGATATCGAGGCACACGAAAAAGCACTAGCGGAGGAACGTCGACGACAGAACGACTTGACTCTGGTGTCTCCTCCTCTGTCGAATATGCCCCATCCTACTACTGGGCGGCCGCGAGCGATCATTCTTGTCCCCACAGCAGAACTAGTTACACAAGTCGGAAACCTCGTTAAATCGATGTCCCATACCATCAAGTTTCGCTCTGCTGTCATCTCATCCTCCTTCAGCGGCACAGTTATTCGGAATCGTCTTTTCTCTCCAAGAGGAATCGACATTCTTGTCTCCACGCCCCATTTGCTTGCCTCCATCGCCGACTCGGATCCAAACATCCTCTCCAGAGTCACTCACTTGATCGTTGACGAGGCTGATTCTCTCATGGATCGAGGATTCGCTCCTCTAACCTTAGCAATTATTGATCGAGCCACGCCGTCGCTCAAACAGCTCATTCTATGCTCTGCTACGATTCCCCGGAGTTTGGATGGATATCTTAGAAAGCGATTTCCTGACATCCAACGTCTAGTCACACCCAACCTCCACGCCATCCCTCGTCGTGTCCAGCTTGGTGTGGTGGATGTTGAGCGCGCGCCTTACCAAGGGAGCAAAAGCCTCGCATGTGCCGATACCATCTGGTCGATTGGCAAGGCAGCAGCTGATCACGATGGGCCCATCAAGGGGATGATTGATGTGAAGAGAGTCTTAGTCTTCGTTAATGAGCGAGAAAAGACCCAGGAAGTTGCAGACTACCTCACCTCAAAGGGAATCGATGCGATTGCGCTGAGTCGGGATACGCCCGACAACAGGCAGTCCGAGATGCTTGCATCTTTCACATCTGCAGAGCCTCTCAATGCTCCTAAAGCAGAGCACCCAGGTTCTCTCGCCGAGAATCAGCCCAATTACGTGCCCATGGGCCGGACCGCTCCACCTGTCAAGCGGAAATTGAACAATGTGAAGGTGGTGGTGACCACTGATCTAGGCTCCAGAGGTATCGATACCCTGGCTGTAAGACATGTCATTCTGTACGATGTACCACACTCGACGATAGATTTCATTCATAGACTTGGAAGGACTGGGCGAATGGGGAGGAGAGGGAGGGGTATTGTACTTGTAGGGAAGAACGATAGGAGGGATGTCGTGGCGGAGGTCAAAGACGGCATGTTCAAGGGACAGGCTCTCATCTAGATGAAACACTTCTATTCGGCGTTGAGTTGTAGAACATGTACAAAATTGTATGAATATATGGACCGATAAATACTCGAGCATCTACTCATTTGCTTCATGGGTTTATCGTAGGCTGTGTTATATTGGTCGTGCATTTACCTCCCCTCCTGCTTTGCCAATTGCTTGAACATGAGATCAAACAGCTCCAAATCCCAACAAGCATCTTCAACTGAAGTTTTGATAGTCTCCCCCAAAGTAAAGCACATGTACATCTCTTTCAACTCAACTGTATGGGCATCCTCAAAAGACGACAACACTTCCCTTGACACAGCGTCGCCATGCTCATTCAGTTCATCAACTTTGACTTTGATGGGCAACCCCTTGACGAACGGTGTATCATACACAATACTCACAGTCTTCGTCTCCCCATATACGGTCAAGCTTGCGTCGAACCTCGGGACACTGTCGATGCCACTTTCATAAGTGACTGAAAAAGGGTCACCATTCGTGTTTCTGTAGTTGAACATTGCAGTGTAGAAAGGCTCGTTTGCAGTGACGCCGGCTACAGACTCAGGAAATCCAAGGGCCTCTCGCATCAGAGAAAGGTCATGGGAACCTAAACTTCCAAGAAAGCGGCAGTACTTGACATCTCGTTCCGTGGGACTGGTGTCCGGAAATGCCTCTCCAACCAATCTATCTTGATTCCGCTTCTGCTCTTGCCCAGATCCTGGCGGGAAATCGACAAACTTCTGAGGAGAAGTCCCAGACTGGTTTATAAAATGTTCATTTGGTCCAATGATATCCCTCGACCTAGCATATAGTATCTTCGGGATAGTGGCAACCTCGCGTAGGAACGCTGCTGTGAAAGACGGCGCGTAACGTCTCATGTATCCAACGAAGACCTGCCCTCCTCCTGCCGCTTTCTCTGCAGCGATAATTCTCTTCGTGGATGGTATGGAGAGAGATATTGGTTTCTCGATGAAGACCTTCTTGCCGGCTTCGAGTGCTGATATACAGAGGCTTTCGTGGAACTCGTCTGCGGCGAGGATGAATACCACGTCAACATCGGGGTGATTGATGAGTTCGGATGCATTGGTACTTTTGTGCGGGATACGGAATTTGGTTGCGACATGATCGGTAGTTTGCTGGGAGATATCACATATAGAAATTACTGTGTAACTGCGAGGAGTCAGTTGTTGACGCATTAGTTGCAGTGATTGTATGACTTACAGATGGGCGAGCAATGCCAAAGTTGGGAGGTGGATCACTTGCGCGACTAATCCTGCGCCAATGATGCCAACACGTAGAATAGGGGAGTTTTGGTTGGACATCTTGCTTGCTTGATCATGGACTACGAGGTATATCTGGGGCTTCGTGGGTAGCTTCAAATGTTGAGTTGATCATTTCGCGGGGGAAGTGAGGGGTGCATGGCGGGGTATGCCCTCGTCTCGAGGGTCATTACATGAGCTGTACCATCTCAAATCGAAGAGCTGTGTTGGCCAGGTAAGTGCATCATGATAGGGCGAGGCGATGATAACTGCAGTCGGAGGTATTAGATCAAGAAAGCTTTTTGAGATTGTGTTAAGATTGTGTTACTTACGCCAGGGGTGGTTTCGCCGCTTGAAACTTCCTACCCCGCCCCCTCTTACCGCACTAGTTGTGCCCCGTCCCCAAACTCGTCCACGGCGCAATTGGGTTTCCATCGGTTCCCGCTTCGCTTTCCAGGCGTACTTATTAAGTAGAGTTCCATAATTGAAAGCACGGTAGAAAGAAAACTGTCGGTCTGATCAAAGGACGCAATAAAGTTTTCAAATCCTCAAGCAGATGAAGTTCCTTGATCATCTCTAGGATTCAAGATCCAAAACACAACTCCCGCGCCACGTTCGCTTTGCTACCCTGCTCCTATTTTCGACATCATTTTCTTCCACTTTCTTACCTCAAAGAGAAAAATCCGCGGGTCATGAATGTTGTGTTTCGTTTCATGGCTCCATGTTTACTTTCGCTTCTACCTCGCTTACCGAGTTGACGTTCTTCTTTAACCGTTCAAGAGTATCTCGTGAATTATTAGCTAAGACACAGACTGCTTCGAAAGCTATAACAAGTACTCTAAAGTCTTTTTCAAATTAACCTTTTTGTTTCCTTCATTGATTGACAGTCATAAAGTCGAACACAGGGGACTTGTGCATTCGGCTTTGAAGCAGGCCGAATCTGATTACGTGGGCCAACCACTCCACTTGCAGTCACGACCAGCCGCCATCCGCACTGACTGTGATGCACTGAGGGTAGGTGTCTGTCTGCACAACATATATCGGAGGTTATGGCTTCCTTCCAGAGAGAACAGGTCCGGTAGGGCTTCAGCACTCCTACTGTCTGCTCGAACCAGCACATCGGAGGACCAGCAATGTGTGGGTTGCAAATCTCGAGTATGGTCCACCCAGCGTGTCAGTCACCTCATCCACACTACGACACCTATGATGCCATCCTAACCTGCCACAGCCATCCTGACAATGTAGTGATAAAGTCGGCTAGTCAAGTGCTGCTTCATAATCAGACGAAACATCTCACCGCCTTGCGAGGCAATGAAAGCATTCGGCAAATGGTTGAGACCATCGAGTCTCCGCCTTTCATTGTACCAGAGTACGCAGAAGAAGACCTCCGAAGCTTGTCAATACGCAGGAAGCTAGAAAGGGCAGAGATAAAGACAATCGCTCGACAGATTTTAGAGGCACTGGCCTTTGCGCATGCAAGAAATATAGTTCAACCAGGTACGCTGAAACACACCGAACCAGCTGTGCCTAATCCATCGCTTACCAGATCATGGCCAGACATCAAACCACAGAATATTATGCTCTCTGGATTTACGCCCGAGTTCAAGTGCTCTAAAGCATCCGTCAACTAGCTGATTTTGCCCATAGTATGCCTGATCTCGCTACATGTCCTTCAAATGCTTCGCGCTTACATTTATAGAGCCTTACTTCCATCAGATTATAACATCACGCCGAAGTCCTTTCGCAGTCCTGATACCTGGCTTGGGCTGCCCTGGGGGCCTCCCGCTGATATATGGTCCTTTGGCGCGGTTGTATGTTGCCATCTGGAAATCGTCTATAAACGCTCTTGCAAGCTAACGTTCTTGCAGATCGGTTCGTTAATGCTAGGTCCTTATGGAGAATCTTTTGGCTCTTCAGCAGCAAATGAAGAAGATACCGACATCAAGACTCTGCAGAAACAGAACTCAATGACCAGCCCATATCCTGTCGCTCTACTTCAGCGTGCAGGTGGAGATTGGCCAGTTCTGTTCGAAGTCCTTGCAAATATGGATCAAGATGAGGGGGAGCCGTTGACGTGGAAAATGATTGTACAAGAACTCCAACTCCCGGAGGAAGATGGGGCTTTCATCGAGCGCGTCTTGCGAATCGACCCTTCTGAGCGACCAACCGTAGAGAATCTGCTCAAAGACAAGTGGTTCTTCTAGTTGTTCTCCTAGTTGATCGGTCAATATCCTCACTAAAGCAAATGTTGAGTATTCACAAGTAACTTATTCTTTTCCGCTCTTGAGAGAATACTGAATATAAAGAACTGTTTTTGGAAGATTACGGTACATGATCTAGAGTGTGCTAGGGCTATCACTCCCACGGACTCACAAGTGATGAACGACGAGTATTCCACGAAGCTCAATCACTTGTGGTACTGATCCCCATCATGAACGACAAATAACTTCAGTCTTGGAGACTGTCTCTGAGAGTCGGCTCACGTGAAGTCACTCTGGCAAAGATGGAAACTCGAGTGCCGATGTAGGCACATGTCAACGTGTACGTAGGCGATATGGAAGATGATCATCAGGCCTCAGTCGAGACCGAATTGGAGGTACATGATGATGGGACGCACTTTCTCACAGGATATAGAACCTTTGTTATTGTGTACAGATGGTGACAAACTCACGATTGAGTCACGGCACAATACAGAGATTCCAAGTCGCTTCAGTGCTACGTATCAGGCTTCCCAAAAGCATCAAGTCACATCGTCACTCCTATAGCGTTTTTCAACCATGTTTCATTTGCGAGGTTGCGGGGCTCACATTCCCATAGCAAAGCAACTATACCCTTCTGTCTTTCATCTAATGCAACATCGAAACATGAGAGTTGAAAATTCAGGCAGAGCTAGTGTATTATCTTGTAACTGCGAAAACTTCTGGGTAACAACTCTAACCCAATCTACTCTAGGGAGGTGTACATCGCCAAATGGGTCGATCTACACAATCAAGAGACCACGCTTGATATATTCACTGTTAATATACCAGGCTATTCTCAGAAATCTGTAACGATCCTCCCGATACCTCTGGAGACACAACTCAACATCGAGCCAGCCTTCTCACTCTCTATCAAACCCGTTCCCCTATGCTCCACCTTCCCGTTACAAACCGTCACCTTGCAGGTCCCACAGTTTCCCACCTCACAGCTACTGCCGATTTCCAATCCAGATTATCTGAGAACATCCATTAGTGTCTGTTCTTCCTTGACTTCCAAAACCCTCCCAGACGAAATCAACTCGGCTTCGAAAGGATCGCCTGAGGTTGATGTGGTGAAGGTTTCGAAGTGGATGTTTGCCAAGGGGAAGTTCATCTTTTGTACAGTTGAAGTGATGGATGACATGAGTCGGTCAGGGCCACAGGTATAGATGTGGGTGCCAGGTTTGGCTCGCTCAATAATTCCAGGGATGTCGAGACGTTGACATTCCGATCCATCGAGAATGGTGAGATTGGGAGATAGCGGTTCCAGGTAGCGTCTGAAAGCAAGATCTTCCAAAGATCTGATCGCGTAGTACAAATGATACGCCAACTTCTTCTCCTGAGGATATCTGGCGCTTTCAATGAACGCTGTAATGCCAATACCACCAGCAACCAGAATATGAGAATCAGCCTCCTCATCAAGCGGGAAGTCGTACTTTATGACACTGAATTGAAGCCCATAGCCAACATTAACATTCTCGTGCAGATACTGTGAGCCACCTCTTGACATATCCTTCTCAAATGCAACACCCAGCTCAAACCGGTTGCTGTCTCCTCTCACAACAGAGTACGCCCTCACCAACTTCCCATCCTTGCCTAGCTTGACTCGGATATGGGAACCAGGCTTTACATCAATGACAAGATCAGACAGGATCGTTGATTCAAATACGAAAGATAAGATTCTCGGCGTCTCTTTTCGCTTCTCGACAAGCCTGTAAGGAGTCCACTGCAAAGCTTCGCCTTCTCCACCTCTCAGTCTTCCAGAATCGTCTTTGAACAAGTTCTTCGTTAGTCGGTTCAAGAATATAGTCCTGGTTTCCAAGCCGAGTCCTGAAAGAGAAGATAACTCTCTCATAGCTTTCTCATTTTCGATGTCCTTGTACAGGAAATTCTGCACATTGGCGATTGTCCACTGCGGATGTTTTCTCTCAATGAGGAAGATCTCATCGCCAGCTTCCAGCATCCCTTCCTGCAGAACCCGATAGTACCACCCCGTACGATTGAGATTCTGACTTCGCAAACTCATATCCCTGAGCTCGAACCGATGATTGAGCTTGTAGCACGGCGCCCTCGGCTCACTGACTTGTATCAACAACTCTTTCCCCAACCGATAAATATCGCCAATGCATACCGTAGTCTCGCTCATCTTCGAAGTGACCAGATTCTCACCAAAGCCTCCAATGGTGAACAGATGTGCATTCTCTGGAATTTCTTCTTTCCAAATAGCATAGTGCTGGGAGGCGTACTGCATCAGAGCTTTATCGGGACCGCCGTGAGATTTGTAGGCTTGCTCGTCACCGTCACAGCCTAATTTTCTAACCATGACAGGTGACATGAGCGCCGTTTTGAATATTGCTGAGTTTTCGGAAATTGTAAAAACAGGCTTGACTTTGCCAACGCGAACATGTAGCAGTGTATCGACATGTTGAGGTGGTGGATTCTGGTTGAACCCCACTTCTGTTTGGGCGTTCATCTTGCTGAGAATATGTTTAAATTTTGGTTATTGGAAGGGAAAATCTATAAGGTACCTTGGTAGGGCCTGTAAGATTTTTCGCGCACGATGGAGATTTTGTTCTGGCAAGAAAAATTGATAAGGCTGACCAGGGCTAGTTGTAGGCTGCCGCCTGGTGTCATTGCTTAGAGTCAGAAGCACGAGAAGCCGTTGTGTACGGAGTATGTGATGATAAGCAAGCTCGTCGAAGCACCACGCTCTGTTCTATCACTCTGTTTCTCTGTATCAAACAAAGGCATTTTATTAGTCAAGCATTGAAAGAAATTCACGACATGGAAGCGCAACTGAAGCAGGTGGGAAACTACCCCGCGATGTCACGTGGCTAAGATCCACCGCATTTAGAAGACTGGATTTGAGAGTGAATCTTTACAAGGAATATATCAATCTGGTGTATGATAGGAAAATGAGAATAAATTTATAAAGACAGGCTTGTCAGTTGGTTATCTAGATTGGATTTTCGGGAGGACTCTGATTCGGATTAAGCGACTGTAAACAACGTTGCCAGCAGTGGCCAACAAAACCTGAACTTTAGGCTGCAGGGAATCTGTACTTCACAGAATCCAAAAGTTGCATGTTTCGAGAGGCTTCAACAGTGTACGTACCATTCTCCTGGATCAGGTCTTCAAGAACAGACAGCCGTCTACTACGTGTCTGCTCGTCAAGCGGATTCTCGGCCGCTCGACACTCCCAACACTTTCGAGAAAATGTGACCCGAGTAGAATTGCGTTCAATACCTTGACAAGACCGTTTCTTACATTTCCGCTTCCATCTAAGCTTCGTATGTAGGCAAGTGTATAAATTGTGTTCCTCGAGACACATGATGCCTAGGAAACTGAAATGAACCTAAAACAGTGATACCTATTCTAATGTTGGTACTGCAGGTGGAAAGGCATATGGTAAGGTTTAGTGGAATGGTAATGTGGGGATGAGAAGATTGCCTCATTCTCTGAAATTAAATACACAGAAACCAACTATTGGGCATTGTGCAGTGTCAATGGTAGCGACATGTCAAAGGACAAAGACTTGGAGCCATGTTGCTCTGCCATCGGATAGCATTTCTTTGTATTCATAAAGCTAGATGAAAGACGGAGCTATAACGCTTTGTCGAATGTTTGGAACACAAGTAATTGAGAGAAGAAGAGCACCAGCGACGTTCCATCTTCGCCTTTGTACTAGAATATCCAGTCTTTATTCTGCAGAATTGTTGTGAAAACGTTGAAACTTGACTATTTCCACATATGGATATGCCCAAGAGATGACCTTCGATATTTCGAAATGCCGATATGAGCGATCGTGGGTAACAAACGAAGGCAGGCTGCGAGAGGCGTTGCAGCTTGATTGGAACACGAAGCTAGTGAAGCTCACTTGAGTATGAGCAGAGCAGTGTAGAAGAATTCTTGATATGAGTTACTTGTTTAGAAGTCGCGGAAGTGCTCCAAGAAAGCAAGTATCCAGAGAGAGACTGGCATTGCGTTTTGGACCTTCAAGCCAACGCTCTCCTGGCCCAACATAAACTAACAGTGTTGAGGAGGATGCAATCCAGTATTTCTTTGAAGCTTGCGTGCATGTTCCAGCTCAATATAGGTCAATTACTGCGCCACGCCGCTAGGCTCAGTAGCTTTTGACATCGGTGTTGTAAAGAAGGTAATGGAGTTCGGTCGGGAAAAAGGCGGAGACAGTATGAAGTATTCTGGAACCGTGGAGGGAATATCCGTGGGTCTCTCTATTTTGAGACTGTGAGTGAAGCAGTTCGATCCGATGTCGACGCAATGCTGACTTTCCACCGCTTGTAGTATACCAGTCATCAGTCAGCTTCCGAGCATCGAAGATGATCAATGACAGACAGAGTAGCCAGAAATGCGTGGCCGCATTAATGTATTGGTAGTAAACGTCAAGCAGGAACAAAAGTGTCTGTAGATCCTCGAATCGATTATTGTGGCAATCAGAAGCCTCGAAGATCTGATGCTGTACCTGCAATTAACAATGTCGCTTCGTGACAATGGATATCAGCTGAAAAAAAAAGTGTTAAAGTAAAAGTGGAAGCGTCATACCATACTTTAAAAGTATCAAGTCTCATTGTCTTCAGATTTATGCTTCCCAGCGAACGTTGGGGTAGTCGTGGTGGATCTGTCCCTACCGGAGGAGGAGGTGAAGATAGGTACCTAAAGGCACGGAAATGAGTGATGTAACAACAAATTTCTCGTTATAGAGAGTTCATCTTCAATTTGGCCAATATGCCAACATTATGCCTAACTCTTGTGGGTAAACCTTTGGTTCTCGTGAAGTGATTCTCTCACCGCCGCTCCCGTCGATCCCATCCGATGATCAACAATAGCCTAAAAGACAACTACTTTCGCTAGGAACAGCTCCCGTTTCAGTATGTCCGTAGACAAGATAGATCCAACTCCTGATTGACTGCCTAAGCTGTCGGTGGTGTAATCCGCACAAGCTGGATCCTCGGTGACCGTCGTTGGAGAAGGCTCGGACATTCGTCACGGACTCCTCCAATTTGAGCCAGCGCCGGGGAATATTCTCGCCGACAACTTTGTTTGAACTTCTGTCTGGTGCATTACCGAGATTTAGAAGCTGTTAGTCTTTAATTTTGGAAAAGTTACTACTATTTACCAGCGTATCACGAGGATGGAGGTGGTAAATGGAGATGCTGGTCTCGTCTGCTTCAACCCAAGCGCCTCGCTTAATTCCTCAGCAAGAAATTCGGAGTATACGTAGCGCATGGTTCAAGCACTTTCAAAAGGTGAAGATACGTTATAGCCTCACTGATTTATTCAAATATAAGCCAAGCACTCTTCCTGTTGTCGAAAAAGTTTGAAATGATCGAGCATCTTTCGCTCGGCATTAGAGAAAGTCAAATGCCGCTGATCGCACAGTTCAAAATGCCTAGCCGTATCACTTCAAGACTCTTACTCGCACAAAGACTGTCTAAACTAAGTTATTAACCTTATATTTTCCTTGAATATTCCTATCCAAGTAGACAATTTGATGATCAAGCTATCGGCGCTGACAAAATCCCGAGCTTGATGGTAAGTCACTCCTCCCAATCAATCTGGACCCGGCAAACAAGCTCGGCATTTCGGTTTTGTGAACTCTTACTCGTCAACATTAGTTACTCAAGGGATAATCGGCTTGCATGAGAAGTGATAAATGATAGGTTCTTCGCAATGGTGAAACACAAAAATTTGACGATCCTTTGAAACGTCCAATCCGGGAAGCAAACAACAAACCGTAACTCGTTCGCTTGGTCCCGAGGTTGCGGAGAGGTATCTTTTTGCTTCTTAAGGGGCGAAGATCAAATATAGATGCTTTTCCAGAGGGTCAATGGGAAACACTTTTGAACTACGTGTCGTCACCGGTGCCAACTGCTGTCATGATTTGGCATGAAACCCATGTTCTAAAACTCTCTTCCGTGTTTATTCATTATAAGAGGACTATCCCACAGCCATTTTCAACCTAATCCCCTCTCTTCATGGCTTGCTCAATGTGAATAGTCTACTGGGCAAACAGCGCCACACACCCAACATCGTCAACCCCGCACCACCACCACACGTACTCTCCATTACCTGCCATGATTACACCCCCACGAGTTGGCCCAGACCTCGGAACAATTGACTGTTGAGCGATATATCACATGGATATCAACAACCTCCATCATGCTCCACCATACAAAAACAGTTCAGTCATTTCCCTGTTCCAAGTCAAGAACCACCCACTGCGCACGGTATACATAGCCCTCCCAAGCCCACCAGCAGCAATACCCTCGAGTTCGACTTACTGCTGGAGATCCTTCTATGACAACAACGACCACGATGTCCAACCATGGAAGCCCAAACCTTCATCCAGGACCTAAGCAGGGTCACAAGACCAGCATTCGCTGGATCGCTCCATCACCTGCCAATAACAACACCAACAACGACCCTCTGGTCAAGACTACGGCGAGGCCAGTACTTCATCATCATCAACATATACCCTATTTGCTTTCACTCAAGGCTTCATGGACTTTTATGTTCATCACCCCCCAAGTTGGGCACACCAGTTTCCCTCCAGCGCCCACCGGGCACTGGTGTCTCGTCCCATAGCATTCCATCACCACACTCAAGAACACTTCACTCCAATACCATCAAACTCAAATTCAAACGACAATACAAGCCAATTACATCCATTATCAAATCATTCTACTGCCAATCAAACAACCACCCATCCACCCACCTACCACCTCGCACTCTCTCGTACCTTCTCACCCTCAACCACGAGACGACTTCCCACATGGCTTAAAGCTACTGCAGTGGCAGCATGGACTTATGTGAGATAATGAACTGGCGGAACCTAACCCAATCGAACGGCACAGAGCGAGCGAACGGGTCCAGCTAGTCAGCATTGGAACTCCGATTCGAAGAGGGCGGCGACAAGGAGATAACAAACTTCGATGTACCACCTCGAAAATTGGGAGAGATGTCTGCCTCACTGCTACATCATACCTCGCTTCCTCGCTTCGCCGAGTCGTCGCCCTCTGCTGTTGTCGAGATTCTCATCCCACCGTGCTCGTCGGTCTGTGAATGATGTCGACGAAAGACGCACTCTGGTCTTTTACATTGCATCAGGTCTTGTCGAATCTCCACCGCATCATGCACCGTCCAGCATCTATCATTTTCGGAACAACACTCTGATCCCGTCCTCCCGTTCAGGCTTCGCTTCATACAAAGAAAGAAAAGGAGATGGAGACGAAGGGGAAAAACGGAGTTACTGAAAATCTGTTCGCTCTACTGGGACAGGACAAATCACCACATGCAGAACGAGTCAAGAGGCAATGTAGATCAATCATCAACCGTTCATATCGCTCTTCAGACTACGCCTCCCTGCCAAACCTAACCCAGCCAGATGATACATTACATCACATTTAGTTATCTCAAACCAAACGTCAACAAAGAAAGCAGAACTCCTGCCTCCGCATACCCGACGTCAAAGCTGGTCGAGGACAACACTCAACCGAATAAGCGAGAATGAAATTTAGAACAACCACACGCCATTGTCCGACACTGACAAGCGACGACAAGGAGGAAGAAGTTATTTTCAACTCAACGGCAAACTCCAAGTCCTCCCCAGCTCCTGCAACTTCCTCTTAATCCCATCACTCACCCTCGCAGCAACACCCTGCTCCAACAGCCCCACCGCATGACCCAACACCTCATCTGGCACCAATTGCACGTATGTCTCCCGCTCCATCTCACCCTCTCCTTTGACCGCCGTCAAAACAGGAACTCCCTCTCCATTCCACAAATAACTCACCACCGACCTATCATCCGGCATTACCGCATCAATCGCGAACATTGGACCCTTCTCCATGCGCTGGGAATTAGCATCCACTCGCGACAGACTCTCGACCCAGAGAATCAAGCACGCACGATAGATGGCCGTAGACCACCAATGTGGTCGCCCCTCTTTAGGCATCGAACTCACAAGGCGGATGACCTGTCCGCAATGAACGAGGACTTCTTCGGGTTGGTGGATACACCGTCTATACCTGAGTCCAAGCTCACGACTCGATCCATCGAAGGCCTCACGTCTTGCAAGGCGTTCGATCTCAGGGAATGAAGTCACGGCATTGAGGCTGATGAGGTGATAGAGAACGAGGCTTGCTCGCGTGACGGGGCAGGTCGGGTCAGCTTTTGCGTGGACAGCGCACAGCTCGTACCATTTTTGCAAGAGGGATTGTACTTCTTCAAGCCGGAGGAGGGTGCTTGCTTTGGTGACTGTTCTGCTTCCGCGACGGGCGCCGAAGAAATCAGAGAAGCAGGAGAGGACTTGCCGGAGGTGGCATAGTAGAGATTGGAGGGGGTGTAAGAGCAGCTTTAGCTGAAGAGGAGAAAGTTGCTCGTAACGACGATCGATGTTATCATGGAGCATGTCCTGGAACAGATCGCACAGCGAAGGTGTGAGAGGATGAATTTCCAGTGGGGAGTTGGGACTTCCCCAGCCTGAGCCGGTGTTGTTGATGTTGTTTGTTTGTTGCAGGGCAGCGAGCCATTCAGTGGAGTCTTTGGCGAGCCACAGGCATTCCATCCCAGGCATCGGGGTCTGCAGCTCCGTGATGGATAGGATAGGTGCTGTGTCATGGAACAGGCTCAACTCCTGATCCACCATCACCCAGTTGTACACTAACCTACTGCTAATTAGCCTGGAACACTGGGATGTTTGTAGGGCTGGTAGGGTGCGCTGGGTGCTGATGAAGTGCCCGTCATGGCCCCTCACTAGGCAGATGACCACTACAACACGGCACTTGTGCCCCAAATGCCATGGCGGAGCCGTGTCATCCCCGCACAACTCACTAATGCTATTGGAAAGGAGAATTATGTGACGGAAGTTTCAAAGAGGAGAAAAGCCTACCTGTTCTTACTTTCCTGGTGCTGCCATGCTCTCCATTGAAGTTCCATATTCGACGGATCTGTCGATATGGACATTTGAACTGAAGACTCCAGCATACCAGCATGCTTCAACATCTAAGGAAAGGCAAGTCAGTAAATCTCGATATTCTAGGTACGTTTCGTCACACTTACAGCGAGATACATGCCTCTCTGGCCCATGGCAATATTCATATGCCATGCATCACCACTCCAAGCACCAAGGATAGTAAACAGCAGAGCACACCTCAAAACCACCGGATCAGCCGAAAGTTCAACATCTCTTTCGATGATGTTGAAAAGCGAGATGCGACAGGTCTCGGTCAACCCCGCAGTAAGACACCTCGCTTCGGGTGTCTGGACCGCAGTCGCACCACTGGCGATCATCAAAAGCAGGAGAAGAGTAGACGCTTGGTTATTCATCATCAACTCGTTGGGATCAAGAGCACCGCCGTTGATGAGCGTGTAATATGGCGCGAGACTGCGGACATAGCTGCGGAGAAAATATTCCAAGACCTTAGAGGGAGGAAGGACAAGAAAGTTGAAACTCCCATGCGGACTCCCTTTATCCCAAGTTTTCATTCCACCACGATGAGTCTCGAGAGCAGTGTGCAGGAAGCTCTGAGTAATCGCCAGTATGCGGTCTCGGGTGCCGGATGAGAAAGGAACAACTGATATCTGATTCTTGTAGTCGATCTCAGTGGAGTCTATGTTACTGTCCAGTAGCTTCCACGTACTTTCGTATCTGGAGTGCTGTTCGAGATTCTCCAGATGCAGAATAGCGGTTCGGGGACATGAGCCTGAGAAAATGGGCCGATTACAACGAGCAAGCGGCCAAGCGGCTTCAGCTGCGATGACAACCTCGAACTCAGGCATCATGGAATCTCCACTCATGAGACCACTCGCCTCAACAAGCTTGAACGGTCGTTCGAAGTCAGCTTGTGATGGGATACTGGTAGATACCGTATGAGGGACAGAGATCGACGAATGGATGGAAGTCAAGGCATCAGAGCTGGGATACGACCCCGCTATGTCCATGAACGGAACATCAATCTTGCCATTCATGGTATCCGAAAACATCTCCAGGTCAGAGGGATATTGATTCCACATCATGAGGTCCTGATAGCCGGTCTCCGCATTGAGCATATCTTCATCACTGAGACACATGAAGGTGTCCATACCCCTTACACTTTCGCTCGGCGAAGTATTGAACGGCGAATTTCCAAAACTCAGAACCTGCATATTGTGCACTGGTGTTTGAACGACATTCTGCGGACTCCCTTGGACTTTGTTGGCCTCCAATGGACTTCCCGCCGGCGCAATGGTAGGAGTTTGTGTTGCTTGCGCCTGAACAGGTTCTTTGGGAGCTAACCGATTTGTTGTTGTTGGCGACCCACTGTTCCGCGCTGCGGAAATCGCACCAGACAGACTGGCTGATCGCATAGATGCCTTTCCCGAACGACGAGCGAATCGTGCTTCACAGGGTAAATTCTTATCTGCGCAGCGGGAACAGGGTACGGCTTTGTCGCAGCCGGTCTTTGCATTGGCGCAGTTGATGCAGGCGATAGGGGTGCGTCCTCCTATAGACGGAACGGCTCCTGGTGCTGCTTGCATTGGGTCTTTAGCTTCGTGGTACGTGAAGTGGTGGCGTTGGAGGAGATCTCTGTTATAATTTGGTAAGTAAATTGAAAGTCCTGTCTCGTCAAGCTCTGAAGTTTGTTTACCTTCTGGGAAACGATAGTTGGCAGAGAGTGCAGCGATGGGGTTTGACATTCGTATCTGATGGGGTGTATTAGTGATGGATTCGAGGGCATGTGAGCTTGAAGAATCTGGAAGAAGCTGGTGGTACTTACGACTAGGTATATGTCTCTCGAGATGCTCCTTTCTTGTGAAGCTCTTTCCACAATACGTGCAGAAGATCATGATATCGACAAAAGGGGCTGGTTCATCGTTTGACCCTCGAGCAATTATATATTTCTTCACGATCGACTAATCACAAAATTGTGTGCCGAAGTAGACTTATCCAAGATGTAGGTAGGTGTAGTAGTGGAATGGTAGGGAGTGTTGAAGACGCGAAGTTTGGAAGTGTTGTTTGGAGGTAGGTGCGTGTCGTTGAGATATCAAATCTCGATTTCCGAAATTGCTGAGAATCGACACAGAAAGGTTTCAAACAAGTACCAGAGCCGAACTTTTTTCCGGTCAAGCAACTTTCGAACGAACGATGTACTTTTTGTATGCTTGCAATGCACGCCTGGACTTGGTGCGACGACGAACTCGATCCTTGTGGATTATGGTAAACGCAAACGGATAGTATGTCCAAGTTATGACCGAGGTCGAAGGGGCTCGAATGTGTTCCCAAAAGATAGGATAAAGCAGGGAAGTATGCAAACGAGAGTTGTGTATTTTCAGCCCGCCTCAATCAATGCCGGCCAATTTACGCAGGCCAGCGTCGTAACCTGGAAGCAGATTAGATCCTTGTGTCTGCCCTGTAAGTGCAGTGGTGGGTATGTATGGGTCCTGGATATGTTTAGATGTTGACTTTCGGCCTTTGGATTTATCTACTTCTTGTATGTACTGAATCTCAAAGCAATGATCGTCTGTCGTCTTTTCCAGCCGCACTGCACAGCACCCACCCACCCCTTTGACCTACCCCTTCCTTGCCCCTGGCTGTCTGATCAGTACTGTTTCTGTCCTACCCCACATGATTTTGAGAGTGGTAGTGTCATAGTGTTCATGTTCAACGAGACAAGACAGGACAGCAGAGGCAGACTAAGTGGCATGGCGGAGGGAGTGAACAACGAGTCGCTAGGCAGAGGACCTGACCGTCTGTTCGCAGGGCTCGAGAGAGGCGCTGGGAAATCCCAGTACAGCTCTGCATAGCTTATTTTGTTGTGCAATTGCCATTGGCGGACAAGTAAATCAAGAAATACACGCCTCATGCACAGTTCGGTGATGGACTAAGTGGCCAGCACGGGGCTGCGGCGATGAGCCATGGGAGGCTTTGACAGTGGACACGAGAAGAGGAAACGAACCAGCGAACGAGCGAGGATGCTAGAGAGGAACAGGTATCCTGGAAGTTAAGAGGTAGGCTAGAGATAGGCGCTGCGTATATTTTGATGTTTGTCTGTTGAGCCTAGCCTGATAGCGCTGGCTGTTCTATGCTGCGTAGCTTTGCTCTTTGACAGCTCGGTACCTTCCTGACAACTACAGATCAGTGACTGATACCGTTAGCTACAGGCAGAAAGAAGCTCGGGATAGAACAGGATATGGTAGGCACGGCAGAAAGGTTGACGTGCTGTGGATTCTTGGGCCGGTCTACAAGCTAAAATGCTTGAGTGTGCTCTGATACCACGGGAAAACCTCACAAGACTCAGGTCAGTAAGTGCCATGATTGCACTCGGCATTCATTCTGCATCTCCTGTCATGTTGATGTCAGATCTTTTGCTAGCAAACATCCCATCATGCTTTTGATAGGAAAGGCAGCGTATGCTACCGTTGCCGTGTAGCATGATACCAGCAGTCATACCAGCCATGCCCAAGCTTTACAGGGCTGTATGGAAGGATGCTAGGCACTGGCGGGGTGACGGGATGGATTGCAGTGGTTCAGTACACGGCTTGAGCTTTTCCTTGCCTGGTAATGGGATGTTGGGATGTGAATATCTGGTACAGAACAGAGGATGTGAGTGGAATCGTGGGCTACCGTGGGCTGAAGCCGTGCCCTCCACCCCGTACGAATAGCGGAGGCTACTCCCCACGGAGAGCCTTCCCGCAACCTTACAGCGTACCCCTGCCCCTGTTCTGCGCTGCCGTCTCCCCCACTTCGTCCCCTAAGACCCGCCCTGCAGTGCGCTAATCTCGAGCCGTCAGCACGGTCGCCGGTCCAATCCAGGGGCATTGCAGTGCACCACCGCCAATCCATGCCCTGAACAGGCCTAACCTTTAACGCACTGGCCGAGATGTGCCTAAACAGGCTGAGAGGCTCATCCCGCTATGTCCAATTTGAGCATATGTAGTCTGCACGCACACGAAGAAATGTTCTAGCTCGCCGCTATTCAGATATTTGTTTGGTCTGTTCTATTTATTCCTGTACCGGATCTTGCCCTGTACTGGTACTCTGCCTTGCTGCCCTGGACCGGCTGAAGTATGATTCCACTATAACGATCTTCCCAGGAGCCAGTTGTGAGTAGGTTACGGTATGATTCGGAGTCCTGGGTTTGACTTATGTGCACTGTACGGGAATTGTACATTGAGTAGTGAGTGACAGCCAGTACCAGATACAGAAGCAGAACCATACTAAAACTGCTGCACGGCTGGAACGAGCATCTATTGAACTTTATCCTGCATTTGTTGTTCCCCTATGTCGCCACATCCTTCAAACAATCTCTCTTAGGCTCCTGTACCTTGTTTTCGTTCCGGTTAGTGCAAGTGTCTTGTCATTTAGTTGAAGTCTTGTTGTTTGAGCTTGTCTTTTGGTGCACTTTCTCGGCTCGACTCCGAAGTCTGATTTGGTACCTCTCTTTCGCCTCGCGTGCATGTATGTGCCAAGGCAGTATCAACACCATATGCTTGTACATTGCTGGTTCGTGTCACAGTGCTCTGGGAACTGAGATCCAGAAATTTACTGCGACGGGACGGGATGGTACGCTATCCAATTATCCCCATAGTACCGACCCGGTTGTCGTGATACAAGCATCATGCGGATGAATAGGCAAATCTTGGGATTCCGGTCATTGGCCAGATAGCGAGGAAGTGTAGTGATCATTGACAGGGAAGGAGAAGACAATTGGAATCTGGTTCTGATATTGACTTCACCCGACCCGACTTGAATGTGCAGAATGCAGGTCTTGATTAATCTGTCAACAAGCTCATATGAACATTGAGAGCCGCAAGAGACGGAAATGTCTCCTGTACATCCGAACGATATATTATTCTGCAACGGAACGGAGAGTAAGTTGCTCCTTCAATCTATCAAGCAGGTACTTTGTACCGAGCGAGATTGTATGTATTTTGAAGAAGAACATCTGAGTGTAGGGGTCATGGAATTGGAATACAAAAATAGGTCCCCACGCATCCACCATCCGTCGTCTCAGACTGGTTCCCGAGCCAAGTAAAACATCCCACGCATGGGTCCAATTCATATCACCACTCTTAGTCTATTCTGCAGTACGTCCTGTCGCGTGGGGTTTGTACCTGTGCCTCGTCGAGAGCCCAGCCATGAATTTACAGAACCTACCTTGGAACTGGTACTGTACTACCCGCCTGTCCTGGGCTGGGACAGAGAATCCAGACAGATATGCACTCGTGATGCAATGCGCAAAACATAAAATGCAGATGACCTAGTTGGCAAAGGGACAATTATCGTCTACGACTGCATCAATTCTCTCGGCGACATGTCCGCAACTCACATTCCTACCATCTCCACGTATCGCATCGCATCGTATCTCCTCCTTTGCTCAAGTTCCAAAATGGTCCGACAACATACCTACTGACTGACTTCTACCTAGATCCTCACTACCACGGCAAAGCTTGCCGCAAGCGCAGTGCACGTTCAAGTGGCCTCGGAAGCGTCAAATTACGCCATATTGACCGATTGTTTCATACTTGTCGATCTCGGCGCAAGATAACCTCACGAGCATCTGAATCTGCCGCATATTTCGGTATTTGAACACAAGTGCGCATAAAGAATCGCTGGTCTTGATATTAGTTTTAGTGTTCGGTGTCTGAAGAGAAGCAGGTTCGGATGAGGACCGATGATGATGATCGCCGAGGATGCCGGCCGAGCATATTGACATGCGGATGAGCAGGTCAGCTTCCTGCTCGGCCAGTACCAAGAATTGTTGTTGAACTTTCTCTGTCCTCTGTCTCTGAGTGATTCTCACGATGAAGAAACCACCATTCTTGACCTTATCATATGTTGAATCTGAATAACATATCTCATCTCATCTGCCACCTGTGACGCCGCAAGTCTCGCTTGGGCATCCGAACCAATCGTATCGTTCGGAGGTAATATCGAAGTCGATCGAGGGGACCTGGCTGAGAGTTAGCGAGATCAGACCCTTTTCATCGTCTCTTCCGTATGCATGCACGTACGTTTTTATATACCCAAGTACAAGCAGCAATCAGCTAGCCCAGTGGCAAGGTTGGGGCTCTCTGCTATATCTCTAACCTATCTCCGTACTCGATCGCGAGAACTGTGCATACGAAAACACGAACAGGAATCAGTCCGAGGACCTGGTGATCCAGATACCACCATCAAAGACAAGACCGACTGTGAGGCCGAGTAACGCAATGTCATCTGTGCAGAAGCTGAACGGCGCTGGAAGGTTAAGAGTCAGTCGGTCGTCGGCGTCGCCAAGGTTGACAAAACGGTGTGTTGTTCCCTCACTTCGTTGCCTAAGGTACATGTACATTCTCCTCACTCTTCTCACTGCGTCTTTGTTGAATCTGTGGATTTTTGTTGGTACGGACGCACCGCTCAGGTCGTCGTATCTGCGAGCCAGGAATCTCCCTCATGCTGCTCGTGTAGTATTGTTTGTTCCGTGATGTTGTCCTTCCCGCCCCTCGATTCGCTTCCTCGCTCCAGCTCGCTCCTCGACCACTCAGCACAAAGCACCACCCCCACCAATCTGTACCTTCGTAGAACCTCAAGGGAACGGAATCATTGCAGTCGATCTTGGCAAGGGTCCCTGTCCGTCTCCATCTCCGCCGGAAAAGCTCGTCAGCCTTACCGTACCGTCCCCTGCGAAATGTTCAAGCGAGAGCAAGCTAGACGAAGCCAACGGTGCGTGGCAGCAAGAAATAATAACAGAAAGAGAATTTTAGCACCACCTCGGACAGCCAGCTCCAAAGCTTGGCACGACGTCTTGCTGAATCCGGGTGTGGTGCTGTGGTGTGGTGGGTGGTGTGGTCGACAATAAATCGATTGGGCTTTTTGGTGATGATCTCCTCCGGGCTCAAACGCCTCGAACGCCAGATTCTTGCTTTTGAGCTTGGTTCTCATTTCAAGTTCAGATAAAGCGAGGAAGATGCAGTCGTATTTCAATTTACGTACCTCCGATATCTGGGGTGACGAAATGAGCCGACTCGTGAATTCTTCCTCTATCATCCGTCGTCCCTTACGAAATATATAAAAGGGCCTCTTAGGAGGAAGACAGTACGTTCGGACCTATGAAACACGACGGAACGGAGACCCTAGTCGGAGTTCCGAATTATCCAGATTGAGTGCAATGAGTCCTCTCTGTGCTTGTTTACTCGTTTGAACGTCTAGCCCAGCTCAAATCACAGGTTGGTGAACTAGATATTCCGTTGCGAATTCGGATTCCCTTCAGCGTGATCGTCGATGCGTGGTGTACACAACGGTATCACGGTAATGCTCGTGGTGTGATGTGATACACCAGTGTACGTTACGGTCTTAGTATCATCACATGCACTCTTCGGCCTTGTGAAATCAAGCATGCAGAATTACGTGAGTGGCAAGGCAAAGAAACCTTATCGCCCACCTAGTTACTCGATATGCCTAAGCTTGAGCCGCGGGCCAGCGAGCCAGTCGATATCAAAGTCTCGAAGTAGCGGCTGCACATGTGATTACAAACCACGCAATATTCCCAGCCGCAACAAATATCCAAGCAGTTATGGTACCTTGGTATTGAATTTCAAGACATTTTATTCCTCCCATGTGGCTAGTAATCACGAAAGTTTGAAGGAGCGAGTTTTTGACTTTCTGGCGGGGTTCTCAGGCTACACCAATGTGCTGCCAGCCGTGCTGGTGATCTCTTCCGTACTCAGATAATACATTCGGATCCTTCTCCGCAGCCAGGCTGAAATGAACCAGATTGGAGAAATCTCGGAACTTATTCAAGGTGCAGGCTGCATGCATGCTCCAGTTGTTCTTATGTGCGTGCATTTCCAAGACCGAGATGTCACGGAGATGCCGGGAGATACACGAGAAAGATACCAAGTCATGTACATTTCGTTCTCGTCTTGGAAGAAATATACACCGGGCAAGTCCCTACTGATACATATATTGGGTTGCGTTATCTCTTGGCTCTCCTATCTGCAGCGGCTTCAAGTGAGACACACCTGCCCTGCACCCCAAGCCCAACCAGCAAACAAAGTGGCGTGCGAACCAGGTTGAGTGTCTCAAACTACCAGAAAACCTTCCTAGCGGAGGCTCAAGAGAAACAAGATTAGATGTGCAGTGCAGAGGAGAACAGTGCACAGACACGTGGAGAAAGATCTGCAACGTTTAAGCTTTCAGCGAGGGTGCGAAGCGCGACTCGAGGGGGAGGGGAGGGGAGGTTGACCCGAACCCCAGATATACACTTACCCGTTTTTGGGGCGAAGGGTACGATATCATGGTAATGATCGTCGACGCCGGAGATCCTTTTGATTGAGATTCCACCGATACGGTAGGTTCCATCTAAGTATTGAAGGATTCAGCCAACAGCCCCGTTCAGCCTGGGGAGTTTCGGGATTGTTGTCTTTGATGGGGGAATCGGGTGAAAAGAAGTGAGGCCCTGATCAGCCCCTGGTCGGATGAACTCTCTATCCCCTAGCCTTGAAATCCGAATCATCGCTGTCAATGTCACTCACTCTCCTGGGCTTTCGGTGTTTTTACCGGACTGGGAATGGGGAAATCCGACATGTGATCACGATTCTTGTTTGTGTTGGTGGTGCTGTGGAGGTCCATCCTGTGGAAGTCCAGCACGGGACACGGAAGAATAATAGAGCCTTTGAATGGAATGACAATGGGAGAAAAACGTGATAGCGTGACAAGCAAGACCCGGCGAAGCCATTTCCACGGATCGGAGGCGGTGATGGATTCTTAGACGGGGGTGGAGAAAGAATTTATTCTTACAAAGACTACTCGATTCTGTGTTTCGAAAAGGGGAAGAGTATAAACGTTGATGTACAGCCACTTCGAGTTTATTTTTTACTGACACCTGCAAATATATCCCGCGTAGACACTTAAAATATCTTCCTCAGAGTCGCAGAAAATACGCAAAGGCAAAGCAAGGTTTTGCCAACAATCGTCAAGGAGGAGCTCATCAACCAGCACCCAATGTCTCCCCCGCTCCGTGATCAAATCGCTTGAGGATGCATATAACCAATCCTGGGGAGCTCACTATGCGGCTTCGAATTGGGAAGGCTGATCTTGTATTAAAGCCTAATCTATTGCCTTGTTTGACAGGTTTGACCAAAAGAAAAGGAAAGTGGCTGAGGCAATGTTTCATACTCACTTTGGAGCTTGTAATTTGTCACGCTCTTGAATTGAGTCAAAGAGAACGAAGAAGCACCAGCTGACTACGACCACATCTTGCATTTTCTAACCTCCATTGACAACAATTTGTGGTCAAACAAGACAAGGCGACCACTTGATCTTCCTCTTATACGCCAGCCTCATCCTTCAGCCATGAACAAGATCTCCCAGATATCCAACCACAAGTCCTCAAATATTGCGGAGACAAACGCAAATCATCCTTACACCATCCCTAGCCATCACCATGAGTCTACATATCCAATCAAAACCTGTACGCAGGCGGCAAAACCTCCATCGAAGGATTTCACACACTCTTTCTCGTGACTGCGGTGAGAAAGCAGTCACGGTATATGCCTTTGGACCAGGCGGGATCAGAACAGATATGCTCTGAGGAGAACGCCTGACATCACCTCAAGGAGTATCCATGCATGCCGATGGAGGTCACTAAGACGTAAATTGCCAGCAAGACGTCGTTGAAGAAGTAGGGGTTGACTTCTTCTAATTTGTAAATGCTGTTGAGCTATTAGTCAGGTATGATAGTGAGTGAAGTGATGGTTCAAATTTATGTGATCTCCTTTCACTTCCTCGCTTCAATTCTCCTCGCCGAGTGGTATGATACCGGCCTCGTCCCATAACCGTATCAGCGGCTTGGGGCTTGGATAACATTCTGCTCGACGTTTTTCTCTCTCGCTTTTGCTTTTGCTCTACTTCATTCCACTGAGCTTGATTCGAGTGGCACAACCTCTCCGTTATCAGCGTCTCAATAATGATTCTCACGATGCCCAAGGTTTTTGCATCCAAAGAGAAGTCGTAAAGCTCAGTTGAGGATCAGTGGCGAACTATGTCTGTCCGATTTGGGCAGCTTCGACGTCAAGACGGCTTGGAATGCTACCGTGGCTGTAGCTTACCAACTGATGAAGAAGGCTCGCAAGTGGGTATTGTCCAGTGTGCAAGGACACATGTAAGAGCAAGCAGCCAGCACTTTTCGTTTCGGGTAGAGAGTTGCGTGGGGTTGGCTTGCGTAGTGAGCTGGTTGTTGATGGAGGGGGGAGCGAGGAAGCTTGTGTGGAACAGACATCTTCAACAATTGGTGGATATCTTGGGGGGTCAGGAGAAAGCCATCAGGGCAACATTTGGGCACACCATCAAGCTGTGCATCAGCAGTACGAGAGCGGGACAAGAAGCTGACTTTTCGGTCCTTTCCCGACTTGTCTGTCTCATTTCGTCCCGTGTGGAAGATACGATAGGGTTCTTACTCGCTAGTAACTCCTCACTACACTACAGACTTTTCCCCGCCATAAAATCTACAACCCGCCCTCACTCCATAAAACCTCTCCATACGGAGAAAATCACTTCTCCCAAAGCCCAAAGCCCAATGTATCCCACCACCTGCCAGGACATAAATCTCCAGAATATTCGGGCAAAGTGGCAGACAAGGCGGCCAAAACATATCCACCAGATCGTTATCCAGGGTCGCATACCCGTCTCACAGCATAACACTCCTATGATAAGGGACTGGGCAAGGCAACTGAATGCACAGCTTCGGCCCGGATTGGGAATATGGCTGACGGCGGGCGTTCAGGTTATGTCCGGGACAGCCGATGCGATTCGGGTCCATTGTTGGCAGGGCTGAAGAAACGCTGTGCTGGAACCAATCGTCTACCCTAGACTGATAAAAGCAACATCTCACTGTACTCCCACCACATGTGAAGGCCAAGAATCACCGTCTGAACCATTTGACCTACTGAAAGTCACTGAAGAAGGGGCCCGCGGGAGTGCCTGAAAGAGCTGCTCTCGCTCAGACATCCACTCAGGACGTGTCTTTCTATGACGAAAAGAAGGAAAAACGCCTAGAATCCTTGGTTCATCCTTCCAAACAATCAAAGTTTCTTCTGTCTCGAGTTCCTCGTGTTCTTCTGCTTCTTTAGGACACATCGCTGGTATTTGGAGTCTGGATACTGCAATGATCAACTGTCACTAAGTACAATGTCAGTATCAGTGCAAACTATTAGCCTGAGTCCCAAGGACAGCAGTGCATTTACAATTCTCCTAGCAGGCATGATGCTCTGTGAATCTAAACCCCGCCCTCCCGTACTGCAGATCATCACTAGGGTCCGTCACTGTACAGCAGACGTGGACCCTGTATGGTAAGCGAGCAGTAGATCAGATCCACTCAACAACGTCCAAGTTTCCCTGAAAAGCCGATTCAGTAATAGGTATCTCAGACCTCGTTTTCTAGCGAGTCATGATGAAGTTGAAACATACCTTCGTATCGTATCTGCTGTCGGGTAAGAAATTCGGAGAATAAGACGTAGGTAGGTGTAAATGTTGATTCATGGCGATATCTACAACGTAGTGAGTGCATGTCACCCTACTGCGCACTACAACCAGTCCACCCACCATTGTCAAACACCCCACCATGAAGAGTCCCGAGCTCATCCCATGCAATCCGACTGGAACGCCTCTCCACCAGTAAATAAAAGCTACCACACTCCGCCGAAAGCAGGTGAGTGATCGCCAAGGCTACGCCAACACTACGACTATATTGGTAAGTCTGGTCTCTCACGAATGCAATGCGGCGGCATTTTTGACGTTGCTATACTATTTTGGGAGTTTGCTACAGGGCTTAAGTCAGATATGCGAGATGTCGGGCCGCAGGGGTCCTTGTCTTTAAAGATCCTAGCTTGTTCTTTACGAAGGGCGAGTGCCGTGAGGTCCGAGTGAGTAGTTGAATTACTTAGTCGTGCTGTATTATGACCTGACTTCAGGAGGTTACGAGACTGTGAAAGTTTACGTCAGAGGAGCGGATTTTTAAGAATACGAAACGATGGTGGGTGGAAGGGGGACTATTAGGTAAACGAATAAGTGCTTTGGCATTTTACAGTCCGTACAATGATACGGACTTGGTGTGCCGGACAGCTGCTTCTTGATACGAAGGACGATAAGCGGTAGTTAATTTCTGCAATGTGGAAATAAGATACTTCGCAAGTGTCTGACTCCTTCAACACCGTAGTATTTCACAACATCACATCTATCCCGCCTTCAAAGCCCGATCGTCGCACCCTCATCATGTGAGTGGCTGTACGTTCTGTACGTTCTTCCAAAACTGTAAGTATCACAAAGGGAGTCTGTGCTCTGCACCGTTCTTCAACGTACCCCACACAACCACACATAAGCCAACTGCAGCCGGGCGTCTCAAACATAGATAAGATCGACAAAAACTATACCGCCCTCCTAAACTTTGGTGCTCATTGGGTAAATCATCGTACAAATCTACCAGGTGGGTTGAGAGAACGCCAGAAACGGATGTAATTTCGTAGCCTTTTCCTTCTATGGGGAGCTGAAAGAGCCTCGTCGTCATTCATGCATGAAGAGGTGCTGCAGAACAGGGCTGTGGAAACGCAAGTTGAGAGCAAAGGAGATTCCCCTCCAAAAAAAATATACCGTGATATCCTTGCCTCGGAGAAAGATCTGAGCAGGCTGTGAGGTAGGTATGCATTGTGATAACGAATGGCGCAGCGGTTCAGCCCCGACAGAAGGCACAGGACGAAAGTGGACGTACGTGACCTGAAAATGAATGTGTCGATGTAAAGAGAAAATTCAGGAAAAAGGATGGTTGTGAAAACATGTTCACAAGAGGTTCGACATCTAATTGAATTGTACAGGAAAGAGTATAAACAAGCGATGGCCAGTCCGGGTACTCGAGTAGTGAAGCGAGCGACATCTCTCATCCAAACATCCTCATTAAATCATCAATCATGAATGACCCGTCCCTGCCCGACCAACCATCCAAAAACCACAAACACTCAGCACTCACTTACTCAATTATCAATATTGCGCCCCTGTAAAACTCCTCTGCTTCCTCAACGACTCAAAGGTAACGTTCAAACTCCGACACAAATAATTGCTCACCGCCCCATGCATGCCCGCATCCTCCTCACTCTCACTCATCAAACTCGTCTCCTGAAACTTCGCGAACAATTCCTGGAGCTTCTTCAGATCCCGCAAAATAATCTCCATCTGCAACCACCTGACATCTTCATTCGCGACGCGATACGTCCCGAACGTGAGGGGCAGAGGAGGTTGTGGGAGTTGCTGCCCGCCATTTTGGCTGGATGAAGAGGAGGATGTGAGCGCAAAGTAGTTCTTCGATGCGTCCTGGTAGATCGATATGATACGCCCCAGGATGGTACCCAGGAGCATGGTTCGGAGACTAGATCCGGATTTGGAGGTGCAGATTGGGCAGTTGAGCATGGTTGAGCAGGTTTCAACGGCGCGCTGGTTGATAGTTAGGATGATGTCGAAGGGAGAGGAGGGTGTGAGGGCGTCGGAATTGTGGAGCGCTTGGAGGGCTGATAGGCATGTGTTGAAGCAGTTGCAGGTCGGGTTTCTGGGCAGCGCGGAATTATGAGATATGTACATAGAATGGCCTGTGACGGGACCGGATGCTGAGGTAGAGTAGTCGGGTTGGTCGTACCAGGAAACGAGCAATGGTTGTGCAGTGGATGGATTGACTAAGGATTTTGATTGTTGGTGGTAGATATGTTGATGTTGTGTGTTTGAGTCGAGGTATGGAGAGGCCATGTCCGTTCCTGGCGAATTGGTCCATGAAAATACCGGGTCGAAAACATCTTGGTTGGCCCCAGATTCTGGATCTGATCCTCCCTCGTCTCCAGGAACCGGAACTGCACTCGAGGACATCGACTGTCTGTGATGCATCGAAGTATCCGGAGATCCCATGATAGACGACCATTCTTGGTCCATCCCATATGAATTCGCCTGCTCGACATCGATGCTCATCGAAGGTGTTGGGTATTGTATTGCAGACTCCTCCTGTTTCGACACGTCCTTTGACTGCCGCCTATGACTGCCATCGGATTTGGGCTTGCCTGCTCGAGAAGATGGCGAGTACTTGCAATCAGCACCGCAGACAAGACATCGTGAACATATTGGCCGGGCTTTACTGCATTTCACTTTTGCAAGGAAGCATGTGTCGCAGGATGCCCGCAATTTGGAGTATCGAGGTTTGGAAGATTCGCTTTTTGCCGGACCATACATTCCGACGGTGGTGGTGGATCAACAATTAATCTTTATAAATTAAATCTGGTGAATCTTGCCCGGAACCTTGGGTACCGAGGCTGCAGCAGCAAAAGCTGCAAGTTAACGAATGGGGGTTAGGAATCAGGAGCAATCTCCGGAGATGGGATGTTGAAGGCAAGCGCTAGGCAATGTATTGCCTCAGAGAAACTCAATTTCTTGGGAATTCTGAAGGACAGAAACGAGAGTATTGAACATGCTAAACAAAATCAATCAATATTTTGCATTGGTCAGGGAAGAAGCTTTGAGTTGAAGTATGAAAAGTAGAGAAGAGAGCAGGGAGATAGAAGAAGGATCGACGGCTTGGACGTGTACGGGCTGGGATTGCCTGTCTGAAAGAGCAGTATCAGGCAGTAATAATAATTGATCCCCAACTTTGCAGCCTGTACTGCACTGCGCTGTCTGCCGTTGTACGAGTACATGGCTTTTCGCTTAGCGAACCAGCAGCTGGCTAGAAGAGAAAAGCAAGGGGAGGCAAATTCCTGATGGACGAGGATAGGACCCTTCAATACATGGGTCTGCATCTAGGTGGTGTCCGGGGTATTATTCGATTGCACTGTAGGGGCTCTGTAGTTGTGCCGCCCTAGAGGAGGTGCAGGCAAGGCGCACAGCAGAATGAGCCATCCCGATGCATGGCATGATGATGGAATGGAAGAGGATGGCTGACTTGGTCCCAATTGTGTCGTTGGCTCCTCTCTTCTCTTCCTCTCTCTCTTCTGATCCGCCATCATGAATGTAGTTGCTGGATGTATCTTTCCCTAATCCCATCCACGCGATGAGAAACTTCGGACGTCCGAGAGGCCAAGGAAAGGTGGTGATCGATATCAGGTACGGGGAGGATGCAGGGTCGAGTGATGAAGAGTGAGCGACAGTGGGATGGACAAGGCTGTCAGCACAGAGTGCCCAGGATGTCCAGGGTGTTCGTCAGCGCCAGCTACAGGGTCTCCCTAGCGAAAATAGACGCTGCAGTGTGCCTTGAACATTGGTAGTCGTGACCACAACCGCGCATCGTCGGCGGATGGCTGCGTAATGTACAGAATGAACCACTGTGGATGTCTCACCAAACAGGCCGAACCGATCCGAGCACAACACCTCGTTTTCACATGTTTTCCTTGCACTTGCAGTAAGGTACTGCAGTCATGGCACAATCTTCTGCATACGAGCACAAGGAGTCAAGTCAACTGTGGTACCGTAACACGATACTGGTCCTCACGAGCTCACGAGCTCACGAGCACACAGGCAAATGGGGAAATGTAATGTGTGACACGAAACTTCAATCAATGAGTCATGATATCAGAATAGAACAGTGCAGATAGAGTGAGTTGTGACATTGTATTGGTAAGTACATTGCAGCCGTATAAAGCATGTAGATAATAAGAAGAAAAAGGCAAACCGAGCATTCTGAACCAGTGAAACCTGTCCCTCCGTATCTGCACCCAGACATGACACGAAAAAGTAAGAAATGGAAACCCAAACCCCGAAATCCGGTGCATTAAATTTGACAACTGATAGACAACTACTAAGTCATTACACTACAGCGTTCATCGCATCCCTAATTATGTCTCCTAATGTGCCAACCTAATTTTCATTGTCAGCAGTAGATTCACATGGGGAAGGGTAAAATGACGGATCAGGAGCGAGGGATGGGGAGGGAGATAAACTCACATATGGCTTCTTCATCATCGAGAAATGGTTCCCGGACAAGTGCTTACACTCAAACTTCTTGGGGTTGAGATACTTGTCCCATAGGTTGGGTCCGAAGTCCGTGCGATTGTCTAGCAAAAATTGGGCGTGACCGTAGGGGAAGGGATCAGGTCGAGGATCCGAAGGGAGCTTGCAGACTCCATCTTCGCACCATATGGCAGTCACGTGTGGACTCTTTTCTGGGTCAATGACTTCTGGCGTGTAGTTCGACAGGGCATTGACAGATGCTGCGAAATGTGGGAGAAGCCAGGATGGCAACTTGGAGAAGTCACCGTCTCCTAGCAGGCCGATGGAAGCAAACCATCTATGCAGGGAAGATGGAAGGGGCTCGATGATGTCCGGGCATGGAGAGTCGATCAGAATGAGTTTCTCGACGGACTCACCAGCTTTCGTGAGTTGGTTCACAGCCTCGAAAGCAATGACACCGCCTGCACTCCATCCTGCAAGTATGTATGGTCCTATGGGTTGACGCCTCTTCATCTCCGTGATAAAGGCTTCGGCCATACCAATGACACCACATTTGTACTCCTCAGGCACTTTCATGTAAGGAGAGTTCAGTCCGAACACAGCAATATCGGGTGAGAGATCCGGGATATCGACGTACGACGTCGCAGATCCGCCTCCATCAGGGATCATCCACAAGGTCTTTGTTGCTCGCCTTGCATTGCCCTGGAGAAGAACCGAAGTCGCGAAACGTTGAGGCGGGAAAATAGCAGTCGAAGTGACGGTGCTCTCAATGCGCTTTGAGACGGACACGGACACGACAGGCTTTGCAGGTTCACCGATGTTTAGACTTCGCTTGATGTCTCGGATTGACTGGTTGACGGTAAGGAGATCAGCGGGTAGAGACATATCGGTCTTTTCGCGCAGACGGCCTAGAATAGATAGACTCATGAGTGAATCCATTCCAAGTGTGGAGAGATCGACTGTGTCTGCAATCTCCTCAATGTCAACACCCATCTCCTCGGCTATGGTCATTCGGATGATATTGCCGAGACTTTCATCCTTGTTCTCCTCGACCGGAGTATCATCCAGAGGTGTGGTGACATTCGAGTCGTCGACAAGATCTGGCGTAGACTTGTCTTCAAGGGATGAGTGGCTGCGAGTATCGCTGGAATCGGAGCTTGGGATGATAGTCTCGAACTTACTGAGGAAAGCCTTGAAGGATCCAATTGTTGGGTGGTCGTTGAAGTCATGAGAATGAACATCAATTTCGAGCTCTTCTCTCATCCTTCCACTAACTGTGAGTGACATCAAAGAATCAACACCAAGATCCGTGAAACCAATGTTGTCCACAAGTTCGTCAATGCCCACTCCAACTTCCGCAGCAAGAATGTCAAGTGCTCTAGTGCAGACAGAGATCAACTTCTTGTTGACAGTGGCAATGTTGGCCATGGTAACTTGGGCTGTCTTTGACTGCTTAGCTGATGGTGCTTTGATAGCTGCTGGTGTTGACCTGACTTGTGCAGTCTTGGCACCTCCAATTGGTGGTAAGAACATGTTCAGCACTTTACGGGGGATACACTGGAACTTCAAACATCCGACCATTCCAACGATCCTGTCTCCATCAAAGATGTAAACATCACCAGCCAAGACCTTACCTTCCTCAGGTTGCATCTTCACATAGGCGCGGTATGTTTTGTCCTGAGAGAGGGGTTCGGCAAATCTCAAGGATTCCCAACCATGAGAGATGTAGACATTCTCACGAGAGTCAACAGCATCGGACCCATTTACAATGAAGCCAGAGATGTGTGCAAGACTGTCGATCCAATAAGGACTGACTTTGAAGTTGCCATCTTTCTCACTCGTCTGGAAGTTGACTTTCGATGTCGCCTCGAAATTCTCACTGTGCAGAGTGACCTCTTCCATACCACGATATTTTGGGTTGTAGTCCACCAAGGCAGCGAAGAGCTTATATGCCAAGCCACGACCAATTTTATGAGCTCGGCCGTCTTGTTCAGCATTCCTCAACCAGTCGATGCGGGACTGAATGAGGTATGCCGTGCGTTGCCATTCCGCCAAGTATTCTTTGGTGTTGCCAAAAATGACTTCGCAGATACCGTGCTCAACTTTGTCCTTGTCTATTCCAGTGGAGAACACGAGATCTGCTTTGCCGGCAGCAATGTCCACAGTTGCAATAACTCTAAGGATTTGGCTTGCACCATCCGGACGTGCGATGAGTGGCTTTGGATTCTTCATGTTGCTGACATTGATACCAAGATCAGTAGCATCTGGCCGCACAAGTCTGTATGCATACTCGCTTAGAGTGATGGCCATATCCGCATATAGTGACTGTAAATGTTAGCTGAGAATCAAGATGAGACGAGGAGAGGACACGCACAGATGGGCAGAGCATGGCTCCATTGACTTGATGTCCAGTGACTACACCTCTGAGGCCCGCCTCGGCCAAGTCAGATTCGGCACAAACGACAGCCATCTCGTCCTTGACAAACTCGCTGGTGATCGTCTGCACGGAAGTGGTAGAGAACTTGGGCTTCGTGTCCTCGAGAAGCGGCGTCAACTTCGCACCACTGCCTTTGGTCAAGCACCAGTCGCCCTCGTATTGAATCCAGTAGTTCTTGTCATCGAATGAGTAGGTCGGGAGATCAAGAAGGTGGACAGAGTCATTGAAGTCTCGGTGGTATTCGTTCCAGTCAACATTGAGACCAGCAGTGTGCATTGTGCACAGGCTGGTGCTGAGTGTCTTGTATGCGCTCTCATTTCTGCGAAGTGATGGTGCGATGATTGTGGAAATATCGAGCGATGCCTTGACCATATTCGAACAGACTGGATGAGGCCCAACTTCCATCCAGACAGTCTTGTCATCAGTGACCCCAGAGACTTGAGCAGATTGAAGTCCACCAACGAAGTTCACGGGGTTGCGTGCATGGTTGCGGAGGTACTCGGCATCGATGGCTTCTGGCTCGTTGAGCATTCTACCCAGGACGGAGGAGATGAGTGGAATTGTCTCCTTGCCAAAATTGACCGACTCGGCAGCCCTTTGGAAGTCATCGAGAATTGGGTCGACTTGGGCAGAGTGAAACGCGAATGGTATCTTGAGCTGTGTGCACTTAAATCCGGCATTCGTCAGCAGGTCTGCAACTTCAGCCATCTCGGCAGCTTCTCCACTGAAAACAGCCTCGCGACTACTGTTGTTGCAAGCAACATTGACATCGCGGCTCTTGAGGGCCTCCATCACTGACGCCGTGGGTCCTTGAACAGCAAGCATGACATGCGTGCCTGGTGTGCACTTCTGTACTAGCAGCTGAGCTCTGGTACCGACGAGATAGATGGTGTCACTGGCAGAAAGAATGCCAGAAACATTGAGAGCAGCATACTCCCCGAGGCTGTGGCCCAGCACGACGGTTGGCTTGATACCCCATGCGTTCCAAAGTCTCGCCATGGCCATCTCCAGACAAACGATCCCGATTTGTACAACAACAGGCGATAAAGTCTGAACTTCTGCTGCACTACCATCTATTAATGGAATGAATGAAGGAAATCCATGCAATAACGAGATCTTATCGAAATCATCAATCGTGTCTTTGAATAGCGTGCTGGTGGTGTACAGTTCTTTGCCCATCGCGGGGTAGTGGGATCCTTGTCCAGTGAACAGGAAGGCAACTTTTGGAGGTTCAGGCAGGACAGGAACAAAGTTCTCGTGGAGCTTGGATCCAAGGATCGCTTGCACTTCACCAATGTCCGTGGCAGTTATGGACATTCTCCAGTTGTGCTGGGTGCGACGTGCAGTGGTCGTGTATGCCAAGTCGGCGAGTGAAGTGGTGGGATTCTGAGCCAAATAACTCATTAAACGCTCGGCATTTCTCAGCATTGCTGACTTGGACTTTGCAGTCACGGTCACCACATGGGTTGATCGAGGGTCGATCACAGCTCGCTTCAGTGCTGGCCCTTCCTCGAGCAGCAATCCCGTGTTGCCGCCAGCAGCGCTGAAATTATTGACGAAAATGCGACGAGGAGCATTTGTTCTTTTTCTGAGCGGAGTTTTATGGAATGCGATATGCACATTTCGTTCGGCCAGATCCGATGGGAAGCCCTTGTTGATGGTGTTTTTGATGCCGACATGAGGAGGGATCGCATTCTTCTGAAGCATCAACAACACTTTTATCAGCGCAGTGACACCAGAAGCAGCTTCACCATGGCCTACGTTCGCTTTGACTGCACCGAGATATAATGGTTGTTCTGCTGTTCTCTTGCGATCAGCGGGCGCGAAGACGTTGGTGACCGATCGCATCTCGGTACCGTCGCCTGCTTGTGTGCCAGTGCCATGCATCTCGACATAGTCGATATCAAGTGGATCAACGCCAGCTTTAGCGAGAATACTACGATAGAGAACTTCCTGAGTTCCACCATGGGGATGTGTAATGGAGATGGCATCGGCAGAGTGGTTTGTCGCAGTGCCAAGAATTACAGCGAGAACATTGTCCTTGCTGCAATTGTGTCAGCTTAGTTCAAATATTATGCGAGATCTACTTACTCGGCCAAGGCATCTTCGAGTCTCTTCACAATGACAGTGCCGACAGCATCGGCTCTACAATATCCATCGGCATCGTTGTCGAATGTTGCGCATGGCCCTGTCTTGGACAAGAACTGTCCTCGACTAAGACCCGCGAAAATATCCGAGTTGGTCATACAGGACACACCACCGACAATCGCCGTGTCGCAATCATTTGCCCACAATGATGTGCAAGCTAATTGAATTGCTGCGGCACTGGATGAACAGGCAGTATCGATGCTAAAGGAAGGGCCAGAGAAACCAAAATGGTAGTTGATTCTACCCGGGCCAAAGGCTCGCACACCGCCCGTGATAAAGTAGGTGTCAACATCTTGAGCGGCATTGATCTCTCGCCAGTCATCACTAGTCTGTCCGTAGAAAGTACCGATGCGATCTAACTTCGTTGAGCGAGTGCGATTCGGGACATAACCAGCCATCTCCAAAGCCTCAAATGCTGTCACAAGGGAAAGTCTTTGCATGGGATCTGTTTGAAAGGCCTCTCTTGGTGACATGTTGAAAAATCTGGGATCGAATAGACCAGGATTCTCAATCCAGCATCCATATGGTGTGTGACTCGTGTTCCTTGCTTTGCCGGTGGGATCTGTGTGTGTCTTCACGTCGTAGCGGTCTTTGGGAACCTCTCTGTGGACGTCCAGACCCTTCTCGAGAAGTTCCCACAATTTCTCGTGGCTCGCAGCATCTGGGAACCTTCCAGCCATGCCGACGATGGCGAGCTTACATCTTCCGTTAGATGCATTTGCAAAATTACTCGAGGTTTGACTAGGCTGCTTCGTCGCAGATGGAGACCTTCTAAGGATGATATCAAGGTCCGTTTGTGCTTTGAGGGCTGTTGCCAGGCTGTTGGCCGCTTTTGTAGGACCTATGTAGAGTAAGTGCATGCACTTTATACGCTCAAGATTGGTTGGAGATACGAATTAGGTAGCGGGGGTTGTTGTTGTCGCTTACCATAGGGGATCACCAGACAATTGGGCCCTCGGTAGCTCTGCGCCTTCATCACACAGCCATGAACGACCTTATGAAACTGCAGAGGCTCGGTAAGGATATCGCGAAGCACAGCTTGAATTAATGAGATCGAGGTTTCTTCCGAGTACCAAGTGCCTGTTCTGCAGGACATCACAGGTTTGATTGGCTTGGCCTGTCCTAAGACTCTCTGAGCTTGTGAATCTCCCAGACGAAGGATTTTGTCGGCATCGACGGAGGAGTACAAATGAGCTGCATGGTAAGGCCCATGGACTGGGATCGGGATAGGTTTTTCTTCGAAAGTATGGAAAGAGAACAAAGATTTGAGGCTGGCAGGTGGTCCGCTGATGGCGATTGAACTGCTGGTGATGGCACTGATGTACACGTGATTCGCTGCAGGGACACCCTGCCAAAGTTAGACGACAACCGAGCTACAGCGGCTTTTACTTACAACTTCATTGTGGAAATGGTCAACGATTGATCTTATCTCTGACTCGCCGATTGTCGGTAGTACGTATGTCCATGTTTCTGAAGAGTCTGACACTTGGTAGAGGCGCTCGGCCAGCGCCGCAACATGAGCCCCTGCCCGAAATGCCATTAAGGTAACTTGGACTGCGATGGGAATGAGACTCGAGAGCGATGGCGAAGATGCAATGCCAGCTGCTGCAAAAAGACCGGTACATAGGCCGACGAGGCATGTCTCTCCAGGTCCTGTAGCATCTTCATGAACTTTCTCGGCGCGACTGAGAATTGTTAGAGGAGAGGTGATGTCAGTCAAGTATTGAACTTACTCGATATAATGGGCTAATTGAGCAATGCACAGTAGTACGCTATCCATTGCCGAGTTTTTGAATTTTCTGACCTGATAGTTTTCGTTCAGGTCCTTGATGCTTGAGAATGGAGGTACTCGTTGACGTTCGATCGACGACATCTGGTCCACCTCGACACGAAGAGCAGCAGCAGCCTGCTCCAAAAAAGAGAGAGTTAACACACTGGGGTTGCCATCACGGTAGAAGTCGGCCAAGAACCCATGCACTCCCAGTGACTGATCTCCAAAAAGGAGAAATGCCATCTTGTCTGACATGGTCGATCGTCAGGGAATTTGCTGGTACAGAGAAGAGAGAAAGAGGCCCAACTAGGAGGTGTCCCCTGATCCTATATCAGACCCAAAAGCTTCACCTCGAAGTCAGCTCAAACTATGCCACGCTAATGTGTGTCTGTTCTATTCCGAGGCTGGTTCGTTTCCGCCTGAAACCTTGTAAGAATGCGCGCCCCCAGGACTGCTTTCCAATTGAGGTAGCGAGCCCCTTGACACTTGACACTTGACGGAGGACTTGCTATAGGCTCAAAGGCTTTCGGTCACCGAGCCCGGTCATGATAGAAGGCAGTGCTATTCAGTTTAGCTCTCATGCTGATACATTTTGGAGAAGGACTTGGCCGATTTTGATCCATTATCCCGCTGAGATGCATGACATCTAGGAGAAGTCTGAAGACGGCATGAACGTGCATACGACTTACTGACGGACAGAGAGCTTGATTGGCCCCTTTTTGTCCGGAGTGAGGTGATCTGGGAGTTCTTTGTGACCGATGCTGTGTATGTGAAAGCATCGCTGCAGATCCATTGGCGCGTTGGCCGGATTCAAAGCGAGACATTGCACAGCAATCAAAGTCGTTGCCAGGAGATGTATATTCCAGGTCCGTGTTGACACTGATGATCCCTCACGCTAGTGTGGCATAGCTTGGAAACATGTTGTTGTGGTCGTGAAGGTGGATCTGTGTCCTAGCTTTATCCGACGGACATCCCCACGGCAGGCTTTCGGAACCACGCAACAATCCGCCCAGCACGATACAATGTCGATGGAACGTGATTAGTTCGCGGCGACATGTACAGTAAAAGAACATGACTCATTGAAGCTGTAATTTTCCAAAATAAATCGTGTGCCACGGCTGGCGGAAGCGACACTGTCTTCCCGCTCTGCTGCTTTCCCAAAGCCGTCCTGAGGTGCATAAATTAAATGTCAAAGAAAAGCTGAAAATCATGCAAGCTATCGACAGTATGCGCACGTTACCCGCCCGCTACTTCGTTGCATGGCACCGGTGCAGTGGTGAACCAGAAACGTGGATGTCGGGAACTGAACGCTTGGGTAGCTGAAACGAAAATTGATGCATAGACGAGCAAACGAAAATAGAAAAACAATCAAATCAATGATTGTGGCGTCCATATTTAATCCAAGAGATATATGAAGCCACTCCTGGTCGTTCTTCTATGTTGTGATGATTTGGAATCGAGTTCGTCTGATATTCTGCTTCTCAAGGAGTACTGTTCCGCGTTCCCGCCCCACTCCACCATCGCAACTGAAGCAAAAGACGCGAGCCGCTCTAGCTCCATCACAGCCATCCTTCACAACAGATGCGTTCAGTTTGTTCCTGGATACCACGATTGCCAGTGGACAACACTCGGTTGCAAATGCGGAGGCTAGCAATTGAATATGGCTGGGGGTCATGGCGTGAACATGCTCGGAACACTCACAACACACATACTAGAGTCTATACGGGGCCACGCAGATACCGAGCCATAAACGAAAACATGATAAAGAGGTACCTCAGAGGTAAATCACATATGTGAAGATGTCTGGTGAGTCTGTGATGATGCCGCGACTCCATGTCAGCATTGAGGCGAATTCATGGAAAACGATGTTCGATTTTGGATTATCCGCTAACATTAGCCAGCTAACCCACCCCGCCCACGGCAAGCTTAGCTGGCCGGATTTACCTTAATCCGAGCTCATATCAGATTCATGATTCACCCTCAACGACAGCAGCACCATCAAGGAGATTCGTGAAAACAAATTTGCATATGCAACACATTCAGACATGCAAAATGAGAAAGACACCGCCGTCGCCATATCTATGCCATGGCCGAGCCATCCTCGGCACAAGTCGCCACCATGAATCAAAGGGGAACGACACAATTGACAGCCAAGAATGGGCAGGAAAAATGAGACCAGAAACGACAGTCCAACTGGAGAGCAGATGTTCAGAGATGTACAATCCAATGAGGGGTACAAATGGGACAGGGTGATGAGTCGCTGTATCTCTCCAGTGATCTGGATATCACAGTTCTTCGGTCAACAACGATCGACCTACACAACGCACTCGCTGCGGTTTTCCCACAATGTGCCCAGGGAAAATCTACACTGCTGGTACCTTATGCATTCGCTTGGGCAGAGGCGGCGTGCGTTCAAACGCTTTTGATGCTTTCACCATTCGCTTTGGAAACGTTGCTCTGTTCAAGAGTTAGCCTCTACTGAAAGACCCAGATGGAGAGGTAGTCCTACCCTCTATCTGGAAATTCTGGAATGGTATTGGCGCCAGCCATGTCTGTCAAGTTGCCAGTCTTTCCAGCAGCATTTCCCGCCGTCGGAATACCTTGAGCGTCGCAGTTCGCCTTGTGATCAGCTGGGAGCGAGATCCCTCGAAGAAGCTCTGGGGCTTCAATTATCGTTGCCGTCAGACCCATGATGACATGCCATTCGATATGGCAATGGATGAGCCAAACTCCGGGGTTGTTTGCTTTGAAACGAATTACAGCGTAGCTGTTGGCGTTGACCGCGTATGTATCGCGCTTGACTGGTACACTGGGGAAGTTTCTCCCCTTTCCAGTGTATCTGCCCTTTCCGCTGGAAGGTCTTTCAACCACTTGGAACTGATGGCCGTGCAAGTGGAAAGGGTGGATAGCTCCATCAAGATTGTTCACTGTGATCTGGACAATCTCTCCTTTCTTTACAACATATGGGTTGACTGCACCATAGATCAAAGGGTTGGTATTCGATGTCCCCGTGCTGATTGCAGTGAAAAAGGAAGGCACCTTCTGCGGAATGTATGTGATATTGTTGAAGTATGTTCTGGTTAAGATTAGCTCAAAGATCGCTTAGCTTCTCTCCTTCTTCTTCATGTTTCGCGTACCTTGGAATACCAGCCTTGTCTAATTGGAAGTTGAAATCCAATGTAATTTTCTTGTCAACCTTCTCCCTGGGTCCGAGAAGTGCTTCTCCATCCTGGGCTACAAGCGTAGCGTCGTCGAAGGGCTTCCATCGTTGAACTAGGTACGGTGGTGCAAGTGCCTTCGCCTCGTCGTAGATGATGTGACCAGTGACATTGAACGGCCACACTGGGGCTGTGGCGGTATTTGTAAAGTCTCGATTCATGTCAAGGGAAGCCAAGAAAGCATAGTTTCTCCGCGTAGAAGTTTGCGCCTTCAACAGGACGGAGTATCTCTGAGCTGGAGTCAGGCGTAGTTGATATGCCTCTTTCTTCACCGTGTAGCTGCCATCAGCTTCGATGATGTTCATTGGATGGCTGTCAAATTGGATGAAGACCGACGCGAACGCTGCCATGCTGATTATCTTAATCTTGTATGTCTTGCCTGGCGTGAATTTGAATGCTGCAGTTGTTGATTCGTTCACAAGAAGGGCATTTGGGAACGGAGGCACAGCACGTGGATTGGATGTTGACAGCATCGAGGTGATCAATTTCGGGACTTTTTCATGGTACCAATCTGATACGGTGAGAACGAGTTCTTCGTCGTATTGGCCCTTGTAGGGGTCATTTGGATCGTGTACAATCAAGGCACCTGGTTCGGTCAGTGTGAAACACCAATTCGCTCCACACTACTCGCCTCGCAAGCCGTCTGGGTATTGCCCTTTGTTGTGGGAATGATACCAGTAGGTTCCGGGCCTGTCAAGCTATTTCTTTGGTAAGCTACAGTTTACTTTTGGTCTGCTTGAATCACATACCATGAAGTCATATTTGAGAGATGCTCCTGGAGGAATTGGGCATTGGGTTACTCCAGAAGGCCCATCCGAGAATTGGGTGCCAGGCTGGTCCAACCCGTGGAAATGAATCGAAGTTGACTCATCTCCAAGCGCGTTGTATACGTTGACGATAATTCTATCTCCAACATTTCCCTCAATGGTTGGAAGAGGGAATTTCCCGTTGATTCCAATTACTTTCCTGGTGAAGCCATCAGGAGCGGCAGTCACCCAGCCGATACTCCAGTCGTAAGTGACTGTCTTCGCCAGAGCAAAGGAAACCAATGAAAGAATGGTAACGATTGTGTTGAGCATGTTTGCGCGAGTATAAGAATTATTGATTAGAATTAGGAAAATGCCACTGCTACCATTCACACCAAAATCCGGGTTGCGGAGGACTTAATAGCTCTTTCAAGGAGAAGAGCTCTGTCAACCATATCCTTTTTTTTTCAGGAGTACCGCCAGGGATTTCGAACCTCGGACAGGTCCAAATTATCTGTGGCTTCTGACATCTGACTATCGACTGTAAGTACAAGCTCATGCAGCTGTCATCTGTCCACTAGCTGGGGAAATTCCAGCGATACAACAGAAAACGAAAGATGAGATGTTTTGTGCCTGCATTAGTCCCGGCCCTACAGATAGTTCAAGGCCAAAGAAAGCCCAATGCACCCCACATACGATAAAACGGTGACACGATATCCGAAAGCCAACTTTCGAGCAAGTAAGCCTAACTGTTGTGACAACGCCACGCTGGCTGTCATTTCATCATAGCCTCACTTTGCGCCTAACGACCGAATTCGGCATCCTTCGGTTCCCAAAATTGTTATCAGCCGCATGCATGCAGCTGGACCCCAGTGTACCCTGAGATCGACGAGATGCCATTTGCTAGCCTCATGTACAGAGGGCTTTTCTGGCGTTCTGCACTATTCGGGGCTGGTGGTCTCGGCGCTGCACGGCTCGGTGCTGCTGCGTTCGGTCACAACACTGAACATTCTCGTATTGGGGCCTCACCGACATCATAACAGGATCAACAAAGAAATATAATAGGAGCGAGAACGAGGTTAACACCAAGACTCCGACGAAATGCGGCTTACACGAACAGCTCATAGTGCATGACAATCCCAAATCAGCATTTTCGTGTTGAAGATACTGCCACGAAATTCCAGGCATGTGGTTAACTAGCGCCAAGCACGACCATCTGGTCAGCCTAGAAACTGTGCACCAGTATTTTTATTTTTCATATTCCGAATCGTGGATGGGCTGATCATCCACAGGAAGGATCATTCTGGCGATTCATGGATCAAGATGACTTGAAGTCACACCCCTCAGATATGCACGTCTTCAGCCATGAGGATTGGTGAGATCCACTGGGTCTTTTCTCCAGCGCAGCGCAGCCACCGGCCTGGACGAAAAAGTGTACAAACCACGACTGGAAAGGTAGCGTTACGATGAAACAGGTACGCTCGGGAGTTCAGCAGACAGGAGTGCTGGACGCGCGGTCAACGACAATCAGAGAATGGAGATATAAACCGTGGTCATCTTCTCCTTGGGTCCATTTTCACTCTCCTCTTTCTGGCACTTAAAATGCTTCCCAATTCCACGACGAGGCACCACTACCGAGTCCCTAATCGTCCGAAGTATGAAATCCCAATTAGCGCTTTTGGCTTGCTTTATTTCATGCTTGGTCCACTGCACAGCCTGGGACGAAGGGACTTTTGCTTCCTGCGCGGGACGTTACTCGTCTCTTCTTCAACCGACGCCAGGCATGTGGAACCTGTGCCACTAGACCACTCCTCACCCGTCCGACATCTCGCATCAAAACAATACTGGCTGGCAAGCATCGCCTCAATGTAGTGGCCCTGCGTGACAAGCTTTCCCAGTCCCGACTGCGATAAGAGCAAAACCGGCTATTGGGAGGGTTGTTTTTGTGCGAATGAAACGTTGATTGGAGAATTCAATCCTTGCATTGACTCTTCTAGCTGCGCCGACTCAGATAAAAGAGGTCAGATATGTCTCGGCATCCCCTACCGTTCCAGAGATTAACCCGAACTTTCGAAGCAAGGAATATCAAATGCTAACGTCTCTCCCAACCACCAGATGCAACAGAGCTATGCAGCACAACGGTCACATATCTATATCCGAGCGCCACTTACTTGGCACATCTTAGTAGTAAATACTCAAAGATAGAGAAGTGGTCAACGGAAGGGCGATCCTGGTCTGCGTACCACACTGGCAGTTACTGGAACACGAGGGGAACACACACCTGGTACGACAAGGGACCATGGCCAACGGGCACCGCAGGGCCTTGGGCCTTAGGCTCCTCGCCGGAAGATAAATGTCCCTCGTCGGACCGACCTGGGTGAATGACGAGTGGCACGTGGAATGGGCGTCGTGGAGTTTTTGACCAGACTGTTCGACGAGAACTACCACGAGCATGATGATGACGACGGTGTCGACAACAAGTATGACGAAAATTGAGACGGTGAGGACGACGGGTGCTAGTGCTCCTGTTCGCCCGACGACGAAATCGGTGGTGACCACTTCGACGGCTGTGGCTGGGAGCTTGGTTACGAGTACTCCCAGTCAATCCGTTTCCGTGGCACCTTTAGGCGAAACAAGTGGAACGTTGGAACAGTTGAACTTTCGAAATGAAAAATGAAATCGGCCAAATTCATGGAAATGGGTGCTACTCTTTCAGGGATATCCTTGAGCATGGTAATTATGTTCTGGGGCTCAACGTAATGTGAAATTAAAGTTTCGAACACATGGGTTTTGTGTGCCTTTGGAGTTTGCTGGCCTGACGGAACTGTTTCTTCTACATAATACAGGATCCATTAGACAACATTCAGACACGTAATCTTACAATTTTGCTAAAGGTTCTTCTTCTTTGGGACAAACCTCCCAAACGCAGAATGTACAATGAGTATCCTGGCCCTTGGATTCATGCCATGAAAAGTCTTGTACAACACCTCTGTCTTTGGGAACCTCTTAACATCGGCCTGAAACTGAATCAACTAATATCTAAGGTGAAATTCCACCATCACATGCCAGGTTCAACTGTATTGGTTCTTGAGAATCCATTTCGATGCTGTGTGGGGATGTTGTGTGATAATGACTGATTTAAGGCACTCCACAGTCAGAAGATATTCTCCCGACGGCACGAGTATGGCACTTGTCAAAAATGGTTATTCGGCAGAAGTCCCCAATTTGTAAGCACTATCCGACACTCAGATCATAAAATTGCCCTTCTCACCTTGAATTATGCGGGTATGGAAAATGTAGACAGGATCGTCACATCGCGGAATTGATGTCACTGCTCATTAGATATCACCTCATGCTTACTCTAGCGTAAAAAACACTTCTGTGTAGTGCCTTAATGGGATTAGAATGATGGCATCGTGTCAGGAAGTCATGGCCTTGCTTACAGGGGCTGCGCAGTGTAAACAAACGAGGCTACCTCATATCGACCCATTACCAGATGGGGACCGCTAAACATTTGAACCTTAAACCGAAGATCTAATTTTCATACCCGTTGGTAACATTTATTGTACGCTGACATGACAAAAAGGTGCAGTTGTATTGAAAAGCCAACAAGGGGTGGGCTAACATGAATACAACTGAAATTGATGATCAAGGAATAAAATACGAAGTTCAGGCCCTATCAGCTATAACGGGAGGAACTACAAACAGTATAATGATTCAGATATAGGCGATCTTTGATAAAAGAACCGAATGGAATTGCTCAAGTCTAAATTTGAAACTGCGAGCAACTAAAGACTATTAATACATGGACTGATAAGAAAGCAAAAAGTTTTGAGGTGTTCGCCTAAACCAAAAGCAGTGTAGGCTAGCAGCTTTGCCACAAGACTGTAGCTGGCATAAGCAATACTAAAAGAAATGCATCCATTTCAGAGGCCATGAATACAAGTAAGATCAGATAGCAGCTTGGACCTTTGCACTGAACTCAAGTTATGAGCCGAGTCTAGACTCGTGAACAAAAAAAGGACTAGAATTTCGAACAACGTCTACTCGGAAAGGAGAGAAAGCGACCTGCCAGAAACAAAACCTTTGATATCGAGAGTAATTACTCGAACTCCCACCAGTCAGCATTTGATCAACCACATTGCTTTAGCTGGACAGATAGGTACTAGAAAAATGCTGTATCGTTCTATTCTATGCGTCTGTACTAAAGACGATGCCTTCCATCTAACCTGTCGTAATTTTGTCCGTTTCCCAATGCTAAATTCTATGCTGTGCAATCAATGCAGGTACAGATACGCTCATAAACCCTCACCCCAACACCACGCTATGCCATACTTAAAACAATAAAACAAATCAAACACAAAAGAGATCATTCTACAACCAGACAAAGTTGCCGACAGCAACCACACCCATCGCCAAAGCAGCAACACCAAACCAGCTCCCCGATTCTGGCCTTGCCCCCGCACTTGTGGCAGCAGTCAACTGCGCCGTGCTCAGGGAGATCCGTCCTGTAGGTGTAATTCCATTCAATGTATCCGCAACCCTAACTGCAGGTCCGACATTGAAGAAATCCACCAGCACGAAGGTAGGTTTGTTTCCCCACTCGGAGTTGCACTGCACAGCGTGAGTGCCCAGTGCTCCGGTTGTGTTCGTAGCAGGCGAGTTCGTCGTCTCGATGGCTGAGATGGCTGGTATGGTGATGCCAAATGCCATCTCGTCGTACTGGAAGTGGTTCATGAGGGACATGTAGCCGGAGGAGATGGCAGAGGCTCCTGTGCCGGAAGAGAGCGATGAAGGGCGGTCGACGGTGCAGTTGAATCCTGTGGAGGATGTCACCTCGAAGTGGGTTTCAAACATGTATGTGAACTCGGGGAGGAGATAGGGAAAGGTTGTGTCGTAGTCGATGTTGGTGATGTATGTTACTAGACGGGTGTTCGCGGTTATGAGGGTCTGGAGGGTTGGCCAGGTTGCCATGGCAGACCTTGATGCAGGCGTATATCCGTAGGTGGAGATGCCGGAGGCTTGGAAGACAGTACCGAATTCTGAAACTTTGAAGCTGTCCGAGTTGACGAGGATAATGGAGACGACCTCGTTGGGGTTGGCATCCATCCATATCTTGATCTTCGATAGCCAGCTCTCCAAGGTTCCACCATCCAGCAGGGAGCAAGAACTATGGCATAGCTGTAGAGTACCGTTCGAATCATGAACTTGTGCTTGCAGTAACCTTATACCTGCTGACAAGGCCACCGTTGCGTTGTAGAATGTATTTCCTGACGTCGAAAACCCCGTGCTACTATCCCTCAGAAACGCAACATCGTGTGCTCCCATATGTGTTATATTGTTGTAATTTCGATTGCAGAGGTCGGGTGAGTTGTTGCATGCTACTGTACTCGTCAATGTTGCAGGTTGGGAGCCAGATGGGGCTATTGCTGTCGTTGTTGATACTGCGGATGAGGATATTCCGAACTGTGGTACAGCTTGTGCGAGACTTGCGAGTGAGAGGAGTGCCGTAGAGGCAGTGAAGATTGAAATAAACATATTTGCAGTATAGATATTCTGGCTCTGGTATGAAAGGAACCCCGTCTTTCGCAGCTAGATGTATGAATATGTTCCCAGGGCTTTTTTGGGGATGAGGAAATAGTCCAAACGAACGAATGTCTTCAAGGAAAAGAACAGGGAATGGGAAAGAGGGAAAATGGAAGCAAAAATACGATATAGGTAAGTAAGGAAACAGAGATAGCATTATACTAAAAGGAAGAGGCTCAGAAGAGGCTCTTCGCACTGCGCAGCCATTACGAAGAGCGGATCACTGCGCCTCGACGAGATTGATTTCTATGGGTCTCACCCGCAAATTCGTCGTCAGCAACACGAACTGTCGAGAATCAGTGGACCGGTAGTTCGGGAGAAGTGCGATCAAACTGCCAATCAGCAGTCTTGGTGCATCATGAAACCCGCCGGGAAGCTTGGTACTGAGTGCCAATTCAAGGGGTGCTTGCACTGCTTGGGTCCTTGCCAGGCGGGAGTTGAGGATTCGGAGAAATGTTTTTTTAGTGGAGAAGAATTGCTGGCAGTTCGTACAAGGTTTGTTTGGCTTTGGTGGAGGAGCAGCGTGGCACTGGGCCAGAAGGAGGTTGGTGTGGTGGGTTGACAGCAATACTCGTAGCCGAAGCCGCCCCTATTTTTGGATCTCGGACCTCAGCACCAGCCAAATGTCATCGTTTCAGATGACGACGACCAGCGACCAACGACCTTTATGAGAAGCAGAAAGAGCCTTGAAGGTTACACTTGGAGGATAAAGAGGGCCCATTCCTCTCATTCAAAGCCCGTGGTCGTGGCATTTCTTGAAGAGCATGATTTGAACCACCACAGTTCTTGTTCATCACATGAAAATTGTTGGATTTGTCATATGTCCAAGAGCCTCGAAAATCCAAGGACTTGGCCCCCAAAGGCCGTGGACGGGCCAAGTATTTTTCGCCATCCGAGAGTGACATATTGAAACGGTGCCCTTTGTTCACTTGAGCGCCTTGGGCCCAAATTTTGTGGCGTCCGTCTGATTTGTGGTATCTTTGTGCCTTGTCCCGGCATTTCCAACCTCTGCACATGCTCTTTTGTTGTTGCCTTTTGGGCCACGTCACACTCCTCTGCATTGGTCTTGTTTCGCGTCAAAACCTCTCTCTACATATTATTTTTGTCTAACCATTCGTTCCGAATGGCCAAGTTGGTGATCTGTATAGTAAACTATACCGGGCCATTTCATGAAGAGAGCCACAGCGTTTCGCGAATATCATGAATATCTATCCTTCTCACGAATATCAATTACTTTAGGTTCCGGCCCTATCAGGTGAAATCAGCAGTCGTTCAAATTTTAGATCCTGATTTTCCCCATGTTTGTGCCGAGACAGAAAGAAGCGCGGATGAAGAATCCTCGTCGGCTCGAGCAAGGCTTTGAGCTCATTCTCACGTCAGTGCTCAGATGCTTCAAACTGTTCGATTCATCTATATTACCTTTCTTCCTGGTTTGTAAGACCAGAAAGCCAGTATCTACTCCTCGCGATTCATTTCCTCGTGATCACTATTAATTATCCTGGCCTGCAGAAGGAACATACCAATGAATTGGCATCCCAATATGCACCATTCTACAGTCCGTATCGGATCTATCCCCACGACGATACTTTCCCACCCGCATAGAAGAAGGTCTTTTTGATCTCTTGTGTATTCTAAGTGGGGTATCCTTAAAGTTTGGCTCGGACAAGAGATCTTTTCCCGAAGCAGATTCTGTCACTTCCAACTTTCGTGACTGCACGTCACCATATCATCCAGTCACATGCAAGAGCCAGAGCGATCCTGTCCAAATTCTTTGTTGTCAATGCTCTAGGCGATTGCAGATCAAGTCAACTTCCGGTAGCTAGCTAAAGTCACTGCGTAACCTACGGCTATCTCGATAAGTTTTGGGCTAGGAAGGGTAAGGCGATGACTACTCGTATGCCAAAATTGAATGATTAGCTGGAATATCAAGACTGATATCGCCTGGAGTAATATAAAAGCCCAAAGCCACTAAGAGCTTTTGGAACATATCTTGCGAGTTCAAGGCAATGGCGTCGGTGCCGCATTGCAGGTTTGCATGTAGCGGGCTTTCATAGGCTCTGGTGTGCTCCTAAGATGAGGCGTTATCTTTAACACCCGATTTGCATTTCTGAATAGTCATATCATCATCACAAAAACATCATCACAAAGTCTCGTTCGCTTGATAACAACGCTAATAACAAATACCATGTATCTCTTCGCCTTGGCCCATTCCATGAAGAACTCTCAAATTCTTACGGCAACTACCCCAATCAGATGAATCAGTCTACTCGCTCATGCCCAGCCTCTTGAATGCGAATATTCCGATGTGGACTCGAAGAACTCTGGCCGTGAATTATCTCGGGAAGTAGTTCAATCAAGCGGGTCATGGGATCGGCTTGTTGGTGTTGGGGCAATGGGAAAGCCATATGCACTGAGACAGCCTGGGCTTCGTGGTCACCTGGATATCGAGATTCAGCATGATAGAGGCAAGATGAGAGATATAAAACGGGAAGGCAAATAAATAAATGGGTTGGCACCTACCTAAGCGGATTCGTTGACCACGAGCGTAAAGGGTTGCCAAGATTGCACAAATGCCAAGGACAGTTGCGAGAATGCCGAAAATAATAACGAGGGTGTCACTGAGTGAAGCTGTTGAAATATTAGCGTGATCTTAATTAGCAAAAGAGGCTTCAAATTGTACCCATGAGTGATCAAGTGCGATAGGTACATAGGTAGGTAAGTCGGATTGAGACGAAGCTGGGCCGACGGTCTCTCTTTTGATATGACCAACAACCATGCCTTTTTCCCCGGCCTGGGTAAGAGACCGCGGTCGGCGTGCACTCCCAGAGCAAGCGATTCCACTTGCTTACCTTGCACACCAGAGACACTTTGAGCCATTGTCAAGAGCGATGTCATTTCTAGGCAGAACGTTATTGCAGCGATGGATTGAGCCTTGAAGTTGTGCAGTACAGCGAGGGTAGTCTCTGTGGCTGTAATTTTGTTGAGGAAGTCATGACATGATACGGCTGAAAGTATCTGCGCGATCAATCGCCGGTAGCCTTCTCTTTGCAGAATTGTCACGATCTGATGAAGAGGTACTTGTGTATAACCATGGTTTAGAAGTTCATTTGAAGTGCAGTCGGACAATGGGGCATCTTTCTCTACACAGGTTGATCCCCACATAAGCTTTCCAGAACAGTTGAAAATAGCATCCTAGCCTGGTACTGGCTTCAACCACAGGCATTTCGTTAGATTATGAGAAGAACATCAATTGATGCTATGTAATCCTTTGTTTCGTTCATGATATCCATAGCAGGATACCTGCCGGCCAAGTAAGTAAGGTAGCAAATGCAAGAAGCTGGATCACAAGCAAGCGGATAAAAATGACAACGAGTATTTCCTGAGAAGCCTATGCTCGATCGCCTATGCTCGGTCTGCGCTTTGTAGGTAGTGTCAGGAGCGTGTGGAGAGCAGCTAGTGGGAGCAGTGCTCAATGGAAGGTGGGGTTTATTGTGGGAAAAAAAAAATCGCAGGCTTGACGCTCGAGGTCACAGCAGTAGGAATGCCAGGTGAATGATAGAAAATTGAATGGGCGAACCTCAAAATGTTCTACAATCTAACATTCTCCTTCCAAAAAAGTAAAGGAGTATTTATAGTCGCACTGAGCTGGAGAGGCTGTTAGTTATATGGCGATTATATGATGTGAACAGTTGCTACTTACGATCGAACTCAGAACCATCTCGGAACATGTTCAATTGATTGTGAACGAGATATCATAACCATTAGACCATGCGACTTGAGTTGGTTGAAGCATGTGCTGTGTCCGATTTTTCTTATGTGGCTACATACGAGCAGCAGTGGGGACTCGAGCGCAAAATCCGCTGAAGTCCGGCTTCTCCGAACCGAGAATTTGCCTGATACGACACACCAATAGACTAAGAATAGCCTTGTAGAGATCAATAGCATGGAGCGTTGGTATGTTATGACTTGGATAAGTGAAGAGCGAGTGTTTATCTCGCTAAGGATGTTTCTGTCCGCAGATAATATTTACCATATAATCAACAAAGAACCAGCTGCTTGCTTTGAAATCCAAAAATAGAAACATTGAAAGTTGACGGAAAGGGGCAACTGAAACGCAGCAATCAACACGAAGACAGACGACTTAATGCGATAAAGTAAATAGAGCGAATAGGGATAAACACAGCTCCTCCAGAGTCAATAAGCGAGGATCGCATAAGAAAGTGTGCTGCGCAGGTCGCTTTCACTTGGATCGCATCAGACCCGCCTATCTAGGACATCGTGGACCTTCAACTGCCCAAGCCGAGCTTCGACCACCAAAGAAAGCGAACTCAAGCTCAACACCAGACAACCACAATACAACCACCACTCGGTGACACTCACATTATCGCTATTCCTCGTTTTCGCCGGTATTCACAAACAAATTGAGCCGGATGGCAGGCAGATTCGTGCGCGCGTCGAAATATCGTAGGTTTCACCCGCAGATCGGGCAGAGCACGAGGGCAAGCTGACCGCAGAGCAGGACATGTCTTTGGGAAGTCCACACGCAAGGAATCTTGCTACGACAACCTCCACATCAGTCGCAATGCATGGGACACGAATCTAGTCAAGGTGGGAGCCCGCATGCATGGAATCTCCATTCACGCCATGACCAGACAAAGAAGCTGACCAGACCATGCGTGTGCGTACAGGCAAACCCCGAATATCTCGCCGTCAATTGGGAGGCCAGTGGAGGCGGCGCGTTTGCGGTTATACCGGTTAATGAGAAGGGGAGACTGCCTGAGCAGATTCCGCTGTTTCGTGGACATACTGGGCCGGTGTTGGATACGGATTGGTGCGTGGAGATCGGGGGGATGTTTCGGGGATTTGCGCTGATGGCTACGATTTAGGAATCCTTTCAATGATCGCCTCATTGCTTCTGCGTCTGATGATGGGAAGGTCTTTATATGGCAGGTTCCGCAGGGATTCACTCTCTACTCTGATGCGGAGGAGCCCACAGATGTTGCGCCTGTCAGCAAATTGACTGGACATTCGAGGTAGGTCGCGGATCTAAGGGGGCAATACATAGGGAATTTTTTCTGATATGACGCAGAAAAGTTGGACAGGTCCTCTTCAACCCTGCGGCGGAAAACATCCTTGCTTCGGCTTCGGGCGACTACACAATCAAATTATGGGACGTGGAGAGCGGAAAGGCACCCCTTACATTGAAGCATGGCGATATCGTACAGAGCTTGTCATGGAGTGCGAATGGTGCTATGCTTGCGACAACATCTCGGGACAAGAAGTTGCGAGTATGGGATGTGCGACAAGAAAGACCAGCACATGAGGTCGCTGGACACAGTGGCGCGAAGAATAGCAGAGTGGTTTGGATGGGCGAGCACAACCGTTTGGCAACTACAGGTTTCTCGAAGATGAGTGATCGGCAGATGGCTTTATGGGATGTTGGAGCTCCTGCAGAACCTCTTGGGGGATTCACTGTATTGGATTCTATTTCTGGTGTTTGCATGCCATTCTGGGGTAAGGTCGGTGGAATCGTATCGTAATCATCACTGACAATGCTTAGATGATGGAACGCAATGTTTGTACTTGGCAGGCAAGGGGTAAGCAGACCTTATTGTGCAGAAGAGCCCTGCTGACGAAATTAGTGATGGAAACATTCGATACTTCGAGTACGAAAACGACAAGTTCGAATTCCTGTCCGAATACAAGTCCGGAGATCCACAGAGAGGTCTGGCATTCGTTCCAAGACGTGGCATAAATGTGAGTAGAATGGCAGATTAGGGAAACATATCTAATATTGGATAGGTCCACGAGAACGAGGTCATGCGAGCATACAAGACGGTCAACGATAGCTACATCGAGCCCATCTCCTTCACTGTCCCAAGACGAGCCGAAGTCTTCCAATCGGATATTTTCCCACCAGCAACTGGACTCAAACCTGCTGTTTCGGCTGCAGACTGGCTTTCAGGAAAGGATGGAATCCCAGCGAAGATTGATCTGGAGAGCATATATGAGGGCAAGGCGCCCGTTGAGGTTGCATCGGACTACAAGCCACCAGTTCAAGCCTCAGCTCCTTCACCAGTCAAGGCTGCTGCGCCAAAGAAGGAAGAGCCAGCTCCAACCCCCGTCCAAAGAGCCCCTCCACCTACCATGTCGGAACAAAAGGGTTCCATCTCAGCTATGGCATCTAAGTTCCAGGACGATGGAGCAGATGACGATGATGACGAGACATCCAGCTTCGAGGAGATTGCCAAACCTATCCAGAAGCACATCCCAGCTGCAGCTCGCGTAGACTCCAAGCCCGTCTCACCAGTCAAGGCCTCCTCCTCCCCAACCAAGACCGAACCACCGAAGCCATCTCCAGCCTCCCAGCCACCTCCACGGTCTTTCCAAGCACCTGCTGCCGCCGTCAAATCTCCAGTACAGACTCCTACTTCAAGTGCTCCTCCTCCTTCTTTGGGGTCCTCGTCAAATGGCTCAGTTGAGTCGTCTCTTGCGCAGATTAAGGAGCTGCTGGAGGCTCAGACACGGACTTTGAATGCTCAAAGCGAGAAGATTGTGGGCTTGACGCAGGAGGTTGATACGTTGAAGATGAGGGTTGGTAGTGGGACGCAGGATCAGAGTGAGAGGATTAGACAGCTGGAGTTGGAGCTTGAGGCTTTGAGGTCATAGGTGGCGGTGTGATTGAGGTGTGTGAGGTATGTGAGGTATGAGAGTGAGAGAGCGTGAGATTATGAAAAAGTGGCAGGAGGTCGCGCGATATGATTCGATGCTGGTAGTGGTAGTGGTGCAGTGGTTTGATTATTGATGACCTTGGTTGAGTAGCGAGCGAATTGAAGAAGCACGACCTTTTCGGTGGCGATTTTGTTTTGTTTACGGCTTGAATATGTGAAATTGGATGACACTACCAACAGGAGAATGTTGGCCAAGTGGCATTGCATTCGTAGTCACATGTCTTTGGACTATCGCTTCAAGCCTCAGAACTTGCCTATCAGCTTTGTCTCCTGTCACAATTTTGCTGTCAGTACACTCTTGTATGTCATCTTTACATTCAATAGGAAATTCAGGTCGGTCGCCTCGCCACAGTCTTTGAAAAGTCTCTCATGTGTGAACTCATTCTGGGATCGTGCTAAAAGAAGGGTTGATTGAGGAATAACGAAGGCATCAGAGATATATTTAGTTGACATGCCTAGGCTCGCTAAGCCCCTGGCAGCTGTGCGGCAGCGCCACGGCTCGAGGTATGTATGGATAACCTTAAATGTTGGTTACCTAGCTGCCCAGGTAAGTTGACTCATAAGATGAAGATGTTCGTTCGTACATAAACACAACATCACCAGACTTGTAATGGCAATGGAAGGCAACATGAACTCCAGCGAAGCAGTAGATCACACGGCCGTGAAGAGCATTGCTCATCATTCTAAACAGCCCGCTGAATCCCAGCCGAGACTGAAGAAAGAAAAGGCTCCAAAAGCACCCAAAGGACCAACCCCGCCAAAGCCCAAATTACCACCACTAGCTAAAGATAAAGACATACACACCGATCCAGATTCAATATTCAAGAGTGGATTCCTCGCAGAAATATACAACGAGCGATCCTCCGGTCAAAACGGCATCAATAAAATCGTGACCCGCTTCCCACCAGAACCCAATGGCTTTCTCCATCTCGGACACAGCAAAGCGATAATGATCAATTTCGGGTTCGCGAGATTCCACGGCGGGGACTGCTATCTGCGCTTCGACGATACGAATCCCGCTGGCGAGGAGGAAAAGTATTTCACTGCTATTGAGGAGATGGTCGGTTGGTTGGGCTTCAAGCCGAGTAGGGTTACGCATTCTAGTGATCATTTTGATCGGCTGTATGAGCTGGCGGAGGAGCTGATTGGGAGGGATGGGGCGTATGTGTGTCATTGTAGTAGTGAGTTTTGATGGGGATGAGGGACTGTTTTCGTGGTCTTCAAGTCCGAGTTTGGTATTATGATCTAACACTAAATACAGAAGCTGAAGTTGTTGCCCAACGCGGCGGGGGGAGGAGTAAACCCAGATACGCCTGTTCACACCGGAATCGTCCACCTTCGGAATCTTTGACTGAGTTCAGAGCAATGCGAGATGGTAAGTATAAGCCACAGGAAGCTGTTCTGCGCATGAAGCAGAATCTGGAAGACGGCAATCCACAGATGTGGGATTTGGCCGCCTATCGAGTTCTCTATTCGGTGGAAGAACCTGTGCGGCACCATCGTACTGGTGATAGATGGAAGATTTATCCTACGTACGACTTCACTCATTGCTTGTGTGATAGCTTTGATGGTATTACGCATTCGCTGTGTACGACGGAATTTGAACTCTCGAGGGTGTCGTATGAGTGGTTATGTGACAAGGTTGAGGTTTACAAGCCGATGCAGCGAGAGTAAGTCGTCTTATTTGTGGAGTCAGAGTTTGATTACTATCTCCCTAACCTCCTAGCCTTTTCATATACATTTAATTATTATTACTCCCGCTAACGTAACTTGAAGGTTCGGTCGACTCAATATATCTGGCACTGTCCTTTCCAAACGCAAGATCAAAAGCCTCATCGAAAATGGCTACGTTCGGGACTGGGACGACCCTCGTCTCTACACGCTCATCGCATTACGTCGTCGGGGTGTCCCTCCAGGCTCGATCCTAACATTCGTCAACGAACTTGGCGTAACCAAAGCCGAGACTACCATTGACATAAAGCGATTCGAGCAAGTCGTTCGTCGATATCTGGAAAGCACAGTCCCTCGTCTGATGCTAGTGCTGGACCCTATCCCAGTGGTCATTGAGAACCTACCGGACGATTATCTCGAGATGGTGGAATTGCCATTCTCTAAAGATCCTGCTTTTGGGGTGTGTATCTCAGTGCCAGTCTCCGAAAACTAACTAATGATACCATTTCTAATAGGTTCATACGGTTCCTTTCACAAAGACCGTATACATTGATCGAAGTGATTTCCGCGAAACGGCCTCAAAAGATTTCTTTCGACTTGCGCCTGGAGCTTCAGTCGGACTACTGAAAGTGCCCTTTCCAATCACCGCTACTGGGTTCGAGACAGACCCGACAACTGGCCTGGTGACCTTGGTGCGTGCTCACTACGACAAGCCGGAGAAAGGGGTAGCTTTTAAAAAGCCTAAGACGTAAGTTTGAATGTCCATTTCAGTATCACAGAAGACTTGCACAGACGATCAATAATTGACCGAATCCCTTTTATACTAATCGTCACATAGTTACATCCACTGGATCGCAGACTGCCCCTCCAAAAACAGCCCCATCAAAGCCACAGTCAGAGTCTTCAACCCCCTCTTCACCTCTGACAACCCGGACTCGCATCCAGACGGCTTCCTAGCCGTCGTCAACCCGTCATCCGAAGAGATATATTCTAATGCCATGATTGAAACGGGACTTTCTGAAATCAGGGGGAGAGCACCTTGGCCGAACTTGGAAAGGGAGCGGGATGAAAATGGAGAGCCTCGACCTGACACTGTTCGATTTCAGGGGATGAGGGTTGGGTATTTTTGTTTGGATAGTGATACGAGTGATGATGAGCTTGTTTTGAATAGGATTGTTAGTCTGAAGGAGGATGCGGGAAAGGCGTGATGGGGTAGAGAAAGTTGGAATTGCGTAGGGAAATTCTGGGAGTTGTTTGTAAGTACGTCTTGGGTGCGAAGATGTGATGTGTTTAAGGCTCAAGGGAAAGTTTATACATTGTTCAGACTCTGGTAAGTTCGACTGAGATTTGAACTGGAAAACAACATTCAATTCATAGCCGAGATGTTGTCATCTCCTTTTCTGACGAATGAGGAAGACCTCCTAGACAGTCAGTAAGAAATGATCACTACAGGGTAATTTCAAGAAAGTGCGTTCCCTGTCTATTAAGCCGCGCCACATGGGATTAAGAAACCCCGTACTAAGTCATTTCACATCTGAGCAATTTTCGTCTCTGACTGGAAGCATTGCATGCCAAGTCCAGAAAACTGGTTGATGTTCAACTTCACGAAGATGGAATGATACTCTTTGTTGTAAGATTCGAGCATGGCATGGTAGATGGAGGGCTTCGTCGTGATTTTAGCAACTCTTACACATGGACTCACACTCACACTCTGCATACCAAGAATTACCATCTCACACGAAGCAACCCAGGCCATACCCCCTGTAGATTTTATTCTTCCGTCGTTCATCCAAAATCTATATTCTAGAATATACAACCACATCATCCCTCAACCTCAATGGTGGCAACCCAAAATCGTTGCCTTCAGCCCATGATCGAGATCCAGAAGCGGAACCGGATTCTGTTCTCTCAATCCTTCTTATCACCAGCAAGGATACTCTCCACTTTACTCACTTTCTCCGAGAAATGCTGTTTCTTGTCCGTTCTGTTGTACGATGATAGATTAGCATGTTTCCTTCTGATCTTGGCTCTTTTTACTCAACAAATCCAGTTTTGAGATCCATCTTTCATTTAGGGGTGAATGTGGGAGAGATACATACCTCGTTCCGGCTCTAATATCAGTCTGGACTCTGAGAACGCCGTTTTGATGGACGAGGGTGTGGGCTTGGCCAATCAAGCGCATGACTTCGTCCCAGGATCCTTCTGTTTGCGGAAAAGAGAGAGTTAGTTATTGGTCATTGCTCAAGATTCGGGGAGATGAGATGAAAAGAGAACAGAATCGAGATGGAAGTGTCGATTTTTTTTCTCAACAAAACTTCATCCAAGGTCGAGAAAAAATCTCCTCCTTTGTCCCTCATTCCCCAATGGCAATACTCCAACGATGGACCCAAAGAACAACAGCAGATGTAACAAGATCGACATACCGACTGTCGTCCCAGCACTATGCATGGAATAGCTCAACCCACTAGCTTTCATAAGTCTCTGAACAGCAGCAACTTCATTAGAGACGGAAGCTGTAGGTGTGCCGATCTATTTTCCCTATTAGCCTGATATCTCACTTTTCCATCCATGTGTTCATTCTTTCTGAGAGCCGGATGTCTGTCGGGCTTGTATGGTGTGAAGGTAGCCGAGGAAGTGATTCCGATCCGAACTCACCGGGATCAAACAGAAATCTGCCACTGCTGCTGGTGGTGTTGGTAGGTCGGCGTAGTCGATTGGCGTCGACATTGTGAGTTACGATTGGGGAAGAGAAGATTCGGGTTTGTGAGAGGATAATGGCTCTGTTGAGCTTGTGTGGAGGAAGGTGGGTCATGAGGGGATGAGGAGATGAGAATTTGGGGATGGAGGGGCAGTCACGTGAAAGGAGGGGTAACTTTGGGATTTGGAAAAGATGGTTTTTGGCAGGGGAGAAATCCATATTTGCTTCCGATCAGATGAAATGAAATGAATTGAAAAGATCTTGCAGTGATCTACAGCACCGCAAACTTAGTTCGTCTTTGCTAGGTTTTGCTTTGTTTACTTCTCCTCGGTTGGACTTTACCCCGCCATTACCTACCTCCGTACCCCTCAGTGACGGCCCTGTCTCACACTATCTTCCGCAAAGCACCATATTAGTGAGAGTCTTTGCAACAGAAGCAATAAAAGCCTCCAGGAAGGATGTCCAAAATTTCACTCACATTCTGATCGGTAACCTCATACCTTCTCCAAATGCCACCCCTCCCATCCACACCACTCACTCTCCACGGCGGCTGCGACTGCACCTCCATCCGCTACACCATCACCATCCCCGCCCTCCCCTCTCGTCCCATAGCCTACACAGACCCAACAACCGGGGAAGTATCCCGATACCCTCAGAGTTTCCTAGACCATTGCAACCGCTGCCGTCGCGTAAGCGGCTCTATCATCCCCGCCTGGATAACAGTTCCTCAGGAGTGGGTTACATGGACACAAATCTGCATCCCAGACAACAAAATAGAGAATACAACGGCTGAGCTGGTCCATGTTCCTGAACAAGACGACAAGAATGAAAAGAATGGGAATTCGACTGGCAAACTCCCTGTAACGAATTATATTTCCAGTCCTGGAGTCAGACGTAGCTTTTGCTCGATATGCGGTACGAATCTCGCTTTTGTGAATCTGGAGAGGGATATGGGTGGGGAAGGAAGGAGGGTGGCGACGGTGGATATTGTGCTGGGGAGTCTGGAGAGGGAGAGTCTGGAGGTGGAGGGTATGTGGCCGGAGAGGCATGAGTATTGGGATAGTGGGGTGGAGTGGATTAAGAGGTTGGTTACGGAGGGCGATGAAGTGTTGGGTGGTGCTGGTGAGAGTGGTAAGGTGCCTAGACATCCGGAGGGTGAGTGGGATGTTGTCGTCTGAATTGGGAACTGTCTCTACACTGTAGCGAGGGCTTTCGGGTGTTTATGTTGCCAATAGGGAGCGGATAGGGGTCCAGTTTTTCAAGGGGTATTGAAAGCAAAAGTATTGTAATTATATCTCATTCCCCTTCCTCGCTCTAATGATCCGGCTCATCCACTCCCTGCGCAACAGTATGCTCAACCGCCCATTTTCGAATACTCTCATAATTCCTACACACCCTGGGCGTCGTATAATCCGGCCAGGGATCTCCGTCGTTAAATGGAAATCTAAATGCAAAGATATTCACATCGCCCTGACACATCACGAACTGTCTTAGGGCATCAATACAATGATCCATATGGCCCGCTAGGTCGTGCGCTGGCGCTGCCGTGTCGCCTCCCAGAGGCGCGTAGTGAGATTTGTAGTTGGATTGACGGAGGAGGTCGAGGCAGTGGAGTTGGTGGAAGACTTCGATGGCGACGCGAAAGCCGCGTTTGCCTGTCGCCGGGTCGGTGATTTCGAGGGCGCCTTCGGGGTCGAGGTTCATTTTTATCATCTCTTCGCGGGATACCATCGTGTCGCCGACTAGGGTGAACATTGATTAGCAGGCGAACTTGTAAGGCTACGAGTTGGTACAGAAAACATACTGTCATTTGTGATATAATCCCACGCTGCATCGACTTCTGGTCCCATTCCTACAAATGGTCCCACAGGGACAGGAGGTAGATCGAATTGCTGGATCTCGTATTTGATGGCACTTCGAGCAGGTACTACATAGCGAATTAATACAAATCATCAACAAGAAATTTTCCTCGGCTGAACGTACAATATGTAGTAGGTACCGTTTCCGCTCCCCACGATGGCCGTATGTAAACCGACAGGGCCAGACATCCCAACGATATCGATAATAACACCGCATGAGCGACCCATATCCATCGAGATCCCAAATTCCGCGACCCGAATTCCATCATCTTTTCTGAATTCCACCTGCTTCTGAAACCTCCATCCTCTCCAGTTAACGGCTCCGCCTCTTCAAGAGAGTCATCCCGATAATCGTCCGGCATTATGAGAGGGAAAAAAGTATATGGGTAGAAATGAATGCACACCAGGAGCCAAAAGAAGAGAAAATAGATTAGAAATGTGAAAGAAGTGAATCGTCAAAATTCAAGGTTGGGGTTGAGATGTGAGGCTCTGGGACAGTACTTGTTTCAAGATGGGATGCCTTGGCGTTTTAGTCGAAACAGCGGGTGTGAGAGTTGCGGGCCAGGCAGGCTGTTAAGCGAGCGTCTTGGCACACTTGTTGATGCCCGTCACCTCATCAGACGGCTCTCTGCTTATTCTGTAATCCAATTGGATTGTAATTAATCTGGTTCAATGTTGGGCAAAGCCTTGAATAAAAGAAAGCATCATAATGGTGGAAGCCGAGCATGTCTTCTCGCGAGATCGGACATCCAATATTGTCACAACACATAATACACGATTCGTGGATACGGTAAGTAGATTGACAGGACAAGAACACCCTCTTGATTCAAACACTGTAGGGGAAAGGTTCTATCTTCAGGTGAGCAGTGATGGTGATGAGGAGTTTGATACCTGACATCTCAAAAGTGTTGCGAAATATAATCTGCCTGCCGCCGATCGAGGTATTTTAAACCAATTTAATCTCTCACGGGAGGCTCTTATCCACCGCAGTCTTCTTCTCGCCCTTCTTCCTCGCTCTCAAATTCCGGACAAAAGCCATCGGTCCCTTTCGATGCACTGACGTTGACGACCCTCCCTCTCCCATAGATTCAGATGCACTTTCAGCGTTCTTTTTCTCCTTCTCCAGCTCTTCCTCGGCCTGATCCATCATATCTTCCAAATCAAACGGGTCATGCATACCGAGTTTGGTGCGAACGATCTTCACAAGACTGTCCCAACTGCGTATGATGATTCCGAGGCTCTTGGCTAGAACAAGTGTTGAGACAAAGAAGATCACGATGAGGCCGCCGAATAGGTTGGGGCCCCAGTTGCTATCGGTGACTATGCTCATCGAGAAGACAGTCTGTAGGAGATATGTCAGTCGGGCTTTGGAAGGTGCGGGATAACTTACTGCAATGAAAGACAAAGGCAGGTAAGCGATTGTAATATAGGTGAGGATGCGGATGGTGTCATTTTGCTTGAGTGCAGTGTGAGTGTCTTCGAGGTTGGAGACCGCGGAGATCTGCGAATTCTTAGCCTGGGCGTAGCGATACTCGGAGATTACTGACTCCTTCACGATATCTGGAAATCTGATTGATCTTCTGCTCAATTTTGATGTGGACCGAAACCAACCGACCATGCTTTTTGTCAAATTCTTCGAGTAGTATTTGACACTGCCTTTCAAGCTGGTCGTGCCGTCTCCCTGGACCCTGTGATACATCAGAATGTGGCAATTTTGCGCGCAGTACTGAGAAATACTTACATGAGTCAGATAAGTTCGCATCTTATCTCTGGCTTCTCTGATAGTGTCCAGAGACTCCCCGAGTCGATCATCAAAGATTCTAAGAGCTTCCAAGGCCCATAGCATGGACTTCAATCGTTGGATGGCATCTTCTGCATGAGTCCAATCAAGTCCTTTCTTCAGTACCTCTCTCTGTACAATCGTTAGAGTCTGTGTCTACCAGGGGTAGAAAACGTACACCGAGATTGATTGCTCTTGTAAGCTCATCCAGAAGCCTCTCATATTCAAGTGAAAGATGCTCGCACAACTCTCCAAGGAAGGATAGGAAAACAAGACATCTTCCACTGGATGGTTGGTGAATGAATTCTGTCAAAGTAGACGTCGAGTCATCCATTGCTTGGCGCATCACCGCTTCTGGTAAGACAGATGAGATCAGTGAACATATCCACCAGCGTCCTGTATTATCTCCTGAAAATACAATGGAGGACGAGCCCTCCGCAATGTATCGTGCAGGGGCGTCAGTTGGACCTCCTGCTTTGGATCTCTTGTTGCCCTTCTTGGCCTTGAATCTATGCCAGCGTGAGACCATCTTTGGAGGGAATGGTGCTGTATCACGAGGTTCTTCAAACAGTTTATCATTCACGGAGCCTTCGACTTTAAACCCCCACTATAGATTATGAAGTTATTACAAGTGGTCAATAAGGTGTGAGGTAAGAGACCCGAATGTATCTTTACAAGATAAACGCGGGACATAAAAATTCTCCGGCTATCACTTACATACGAAATTGTAATGCTCGTGCTCCAAGTGTCCGATTTGGAATCCAAGAAGGTCGAGGCATTCCGAAAGTGGTCGTCGAATGTATCAATAGATTGTGGATGCCACATATAAATGAATGCTTTGACAATAGATGGGGAGCATCGCTGGATGAAGCTGGGCGAATTAGCTAGTCGAAACTGCTAACGCGGGTTAGTTATACATACAAGATACGATTATGGGTTTGACAGTCCACAAGCTAGATTCAAGTCAGCAAGATCACCCCCTGGGAGCATTTGATGCATTACGCTGTCGCCCAGTCTGGTTAGAAGCTTCTCTCGAACCTGGGCTTTTGTAGCCTTGCGGATTTCCTCGGTCTCGATTGTTTGCCTTTGCCAAGGCGAGATTTCATTGTATCTTCGTTTGATGGGGTCTGGCTTCTCTCTGTATCCCGGTGCCCCACGACGTTGATTATCAAGATATGAGGTCCACATGCCCAGTCTGGTTTCTAATGATCCATTGTCGAAAAACATATGGAATTCGAAGCCAAATTTGAGCCGCCCATCGAACAAAATGTTTTTCAATGGCTCGATCCGACCGATAACTTGTCGCTCACAGTAGAGACCATCCTTGAGCTCCATATCATAGAGACTTATAAAGAGAAGCTCGTCGGGTTTAAACCTTTGGGACACGTTGTCCATCGTCCAGTCAGGGGGGGCTTCCACGAAACTGGCAACTCCCCCATTGAGCAGCACAACAGGTGGTCCGATAAGGTATTTCTCTAATTCGCTTCTTGGGTGAACCCTTCGTGTTTCTGTAGAACGGAATAGCTCAGGGGTGTCGTCGAGCGATTGCACCCACGTAGCTAGGTGAAATGGAACAAGAGGCTCACAGCGGGTCCAATCAAACGCGAATGCATTGTCACTTTGCTTTGTCAGCGCCTGGATGAGAGCATCCTGCTTCACGAGCTGTTTTCGAAGCAGGTCAATAACATTTTCGTCCCAGAATTCGCGTTTACCCTGAGGATCGACCTTCGTTCTCCTTGCATCAACAGCAAATTCTTCCTTAGGAACCTCCGGGGCGACTGCATTTGACGGCCGTCTTCGTGATGTGTGCGGCTGATGCGTGTCAGAGGACTCGGGAGCAGAAGTGCCCAACAGCAAGTCTAACTATTCTTCGCTAGATCGCATATCCAAAAATGTTGCACAGATCATACAAGAAGCCTCCAAATCCCAGAAACCGGCGACAACACTGGTGTTTCCTGTATTCCATGAGCTAATGAAGATAAAGTTCGTCGACCAGAATTGCAAGCAGTTTTTCCGTGCTGAGTAGAGGCCATCTTCTAGATCTGGATCTCTCCAAAGTTGGAGCCGGATGTGATGGTTAGCACATGTCAGCTCCCCTGCGAAACTCGAAAGATTAGTAGTTGATGACTTTCTCAGGCTCACTACCGATCATAATATGTGGGATAGTAGTATCGGAACAACTTACAGGGTGCTGAAATAGAGACTCGCTCAGATCCGTCCTGGCCGAAGAGTGGGGCTCCCGGGTTGAGAGACAGGGTCGGCTTGCGGTCTAGAATCCTGCGACGAGACTGTGATAAACATGAAGATGGTCGCTTCATTTCATCCTTTTGGACAAAGCCTAGCTCAATACCAAGAAAGGTTAGTCGATCTGCAGACTCGTCCTGGTCCGAGTACGAGTCCACAGCTGCTCGCCGGGATGAAGCCATGGCTTTCTCCGCCTTTTGCTGCCAAGCATATGCTTTACTAGAAAACCCTAAAATCTCTTCAGCGGAAGGAAGTGTTGGTGTACTCGCCTGGTCAGCATCGGATGAAGGCTCTCCAAAAGCTGGTAAATTGCGCAAGTGTTGAGATATCCGAGCCAGACAGGAGTACCGATACCACAGAAGTATGGCCAACTTCGGCGCGTGATTGTTACTTGTAATGTCAACCTTTGGAATCCTCTGGTCGACTAGCTTTTGAATACAGTCCGCCAGAGTCGTCATGAAGACTGGAGGGAGAGCTTCTGGACATTTCCTCATCACATACCAGAGTACAATAGGTGGGTAAAGGCTCCTATCGTCATCAATGTCTTCAATATCAAGTTTGGTATCATGACTGTAAGGCCGAGTTGATGGAAGGGCATGGTAGCCGCTGGGCAATATAGCTTTTGCAATCCACACAAGGGAATGGTGGATGTGGAACTTAATGCGGTTGAGATATGATGTCCGTACTTTTTCGAAGCTGGCTGATTCTTCGGGCGTAGACACGTTCCTGGGAACTTCGTGTGAGCCTTTGGAATGGGGCTCTCGCACAGCTAGGAAGTTGTGTGCTTTAACCATATACCGGATTTGCCAGCTAACAACGATTAGCATTCTCGTCAGACTTTGGGTATGACAAATTACAATGACCGTTGAATATCAACCCACTGGTTACACAGTATTCCAGAGAGTAGAGCAATGCCCATATTCGGGTCGTCCATTTCCAGAAGCTGGTGTGGTGGTATTATGGTAACCAAGTCGACTGTTATGTCACTTTTGGACGACGCTCGTGTACTCATCCTACGAATACCCATAAGGTCCGCTTCTGGCGCAGGACTTTGTGTTGGAACTTCCTGTATCTGGTCTTCGAAGGCCCCTTTGTTTGTGGAAGTGGTTGATGAAGCAATGATGGAGCTTTTCTTTCCTGCCGTATCCATGTCTAACTCCGCAAGATCAGTCATCTCAGAAGTCACAGCAGTCTTTCCGAGAATGGTAGCCACTTCCCGAAAACTACTGTCTTGACCTTTCGTTGCGGTGGGAGCATCATTCGAATCCAGATCTCCCACTGGTAGTACCTTTGTGTCTGTAACTGCCTTGACGTTATTCTCAAGCCCAGTCCCCAGCACGTTCTCCCTATCTTTAGCTCGATCATATCTGTCAGAATTTTGTGTCGTCTCACCCTCATGACGTACAGAAGTGTTACTAGAGCTTGCAGAACCAGGTCTTCGAAGATGAACTTTCCAGTAATGGCGCATGGGAACTGATGTAACCCCAAGTATCTGCTCTCTGTATCAGAAAGGGCTAATTAGTATGAACCTAGAAGAAGAGGTAATAGGTACTATATCGCCAGCTGTACCTTGAACTTACAAGCATGCGGCACTCGTGCAGAAGTCATCGTCATCAATGTCGGCATCCAGATCAATGCGACTCATCCAAACTCTGTCGCTGGCATTTGCTGATGTCGCTGTGGCTCCCAGGTATTCTGCAAGCTCTTCATTTGTGGGAAGTGGAGTATTGAAAGAGTAATGATCAGTGGATCCCAGCGCAGTACGGCCAACAATGACCGTAGACTTTCCAGGCTCCAGCGAAAAAGTCTTTTTGACGGCCATGTCGACTTCTCCTATGTCACTTCGAGGCGGAGGCGATGCAAGTGTTAAGTCTTCCTTCCGGCCATTGATAAATAGTTCAAATGTTAACCGGAGAGCTTCGATTGAAATAAGTTCAGACGTGGATTTGTCTTCAAGATACGACATGGCTTTGTTTTCGTACTCAATAGTACACGCAGGATTGGTATGCGAGAAAGAACTAGGGTTGAGCTTCACCACCCCTCCCATCTCGATCTCAACAAGGTAGTCCCATGGTCTTGGGGGTGATCCAGACTCAGTAGGAGGCCACGGTTTCGGTAAATATGGAAGTGGAGGTGGTGGGGGAGCCCGCGAGGCGAGTCTTTCGGGACCAGGGACAATGGGAGATGGCGGGAGAGGAACGGGCACTCCAGGTTCAAACTTGAGGATCTGATACACCATTTCATCTTTCACGAATGATAGTGAAGATACGGTGCCGGGCTTAGTTCTTGGGCAAAAAAGAGTATATCTTTTGTATGGCCATCGAAAATTGAGCAAACCGTGATATTCGATTGGTCCCCGTCGATAGGTGTGCAAGGCGCCACCTAGCCATTTCAATCCGAACGTAGATTTCCCACCACTGGTCCGTTGTGCTCTGGCAAGAATGGCATCTGGGTTATCGGCGTATGAGCCTCGAGCATGGACGATACCGTGTCGACTATCCGGAGCAGTTATTTGCAGAAGCTCATGTCCTATATTGAGAGAAGCTGTAAATCCATTGCACCCAAAGTCTAAAGATCTTGTTTGTCCCTCGTCCTCATCTAAACGAGTCCACCACACGCCTAGGTCAAGATTAGCTCAGAACTGCCACACCAATGGAGGATAACTCACCATCTGGGAAATTATCCATGAAAGGGTAAGTTTGAGATGCCCTGGAATCATTAGCCTTCTGCATGGCTGCTCGAGTCCATCCGAGTCTGGGATACCTGTGCATACTTGACTTCTTCCGATTCGACTTCTAGTTTCGCACCATCAGTTGACTGCTGTTCAGGGTCGCCAATTGGAGAAACAGCTTTGGTAAAACTACTCCCAGCTGGAAGCCTTTTATCTTGAGATTCCTGATTCGTATCATCTGACTTCAGCGGTGAGGTATGGCTCAAGGTGCCGTTGGCAGGATCAATGGTAGAGTCAGTGTATTCTGTCGATACTGACCTCGTGATGGTCCCATACTTGCCTGGTTCGTCGTGGGCATTCTGGATTGCGGACTGGATAGCTATTCTAGATACCAGCGGCTGCTCTGTCGCCTTGTCCTTCAAGTCGTTGTTGTCATCCTGAAGCCTCGTGGTGTGAACATCGACACTTCCGATGGTCTGACTCTCCATGATAATGGGAGGGAGAAGAATGAGGGTCTCTATGGGCGTCTTTCACTGGAATTCCGCAGTTTGATATTAACACTTGCGCCATGATCGAGGGAGAGGCCAATGATATTGCTCAGGGTTCTCGATATTCGAGATATTGGAGATATTTAAGATCAGCCTAGCGCCGTGGTCTGCGCCGCTGTGGTGCTTTTGGCCCCCAAATTGAGCCCCAAAATGTGACTGATACAGCCTCATGTAGGCGCTTTCAGGGGGGACTGCCAGGATACTGCTGGCCTATCGGACATCTCCCCAATTGGAATAGATCCCGTGCGAACAGTTAAATATGGATGCCATGGAGCAGACATGCTTGTTTTCGATGACCGATACATCCCTGTAGTGACGGTCGGAGATGTAGTATCTGAAATGTAAGGAGGAAGACGTGGACAACAAGAAAACGATGTTGGATGTTGGAGGGGCGTGAGGCTTGCCGATCATGTGACTGAAGCAAACCCCTTCTTCGGCGGAAAGGACGACCGACCAAAAATAGAGAATGTATAAATACCAGGCGCAAAGCTCCTACGGAAGAGTAATATACACGCCGAGTGCTGGGAGGAAGAGAATGTGGGATCAACAATGCTTTAGACTCGAGAAATTTGGAATGTTCCTTTGGGGGCAGAGAAGAACTGCTCACACAGAAAGAGAATCGTCTCCAGAACATACATTGATGAGACTGTGATCTGGCATATAAAAGTATTTTCAAAGCAAATGACAGCACTTTTGAAAATGACAACACAACTCAGACCGTATACGTGACGTACATCGAGTCTCGAGAACAGACTGGCCAGTCTGAGCAATTCTCTACAGTCACTTATCTGGACCTTTCTAATACTCTTGGATGTGCAAGAACACTCGACGACCCGGTCACTGGATGAGATATGTGGAAGATTGGAGGACAAAGTTGGTCGCTCACATTTTTCTTCATTCAGATTAGAGTCTTAACTTATTATAATCGCACCTCTGTGAAGAGGATGTTATATAGCACTCATAGTATACAGACGTGTGGAAAAGTGGAGAGAATGAGACGCACTTGTTTAAGGATCCAGGATTGAAAGAGCTTCGCAAGGAAACGACACAGTGTGAAAGATCAGATATGAGTGAGTAATTTGAAAAGGAAATTCAGAAGAGAGCACTCATACTTCCAAAGTTTGAATAGAGGTAAAAGCATAAGTACAGCATACAGGGTGGTTTTCCTTTTGCATGTATTTAGGACAACATTGAAGTCGATCGTTTTACGCAAAGTTGGCAAGGCCAGTGCCACGGGGGAAGGTGAGGCATCCAGCATACACTTCCTGCTCAGGTAACAAAGCTGGGATCTTTCACTACGACTTTGAGAGAGAGAGAGAGAGAGAGAGAGAGAGAGAGAGAGAGAGAGAGAGAGAGAGAGAGAGAGAGAGAGAGAGAGAGAGAGAGAGAGAGAGTTGTGATTGCTTGAGACCCATTCATTGCCATCAATTTTGAGTCGAGAGAATTGACATGTTATGTTGGGAAATGGCAACACGCTCATGCATGACAACAAAAAATATAATATCACACACACCCTCTACTCCAACCCATTCCAACCCATTTCAATCCCATATTCTCAACCCCAAGAAACACGCCACACCAAAATCCCCTTTGTCGTCAAAAAATAAATAAAATAGCAAACCTCACGCTCAATACGCTCAAGAACCTCCTCAAAAAGACGCAGACCAGCGTTGCTTCAAGTTCTGGTACATGCATAACCACCTCCCGGTTGAGCAATCGTTGGGGTTGTCGCCACGGTCAGTATGGATGTGCTTAAAGAAGGAGAAGTAAGGGTTGAAAATGCAGCCGGACGGGGAGGTTTTATAGACCTTCTCTTTCTTTTCCTTGCTTTCCTCGCTCTCACTGATTGAACATCTAATCCGATCTCAAAATCCAAGGCAAGAAGGTAGGTCTAAGATTCAATATCAGCAAAGTTTTGACTTTTGGCAAATACGCAAGTGGAAGTATATCACAGGGTATACAGGTGAACCGGTGAATTCTCACTATCCTCCTGTTCGGGCTGAGCCCTGTCTCACGAGGGACGGGAGAGGGCAAGAGTTGGGTATATAAACCCCCTCCACGTCGCCAATCTTCGAAAGCTCGAACGTGCGGAAGAACAATATCTGTGCTGTAATGGGATCTGCCAAGATCATCATCCGCTTTTCTCAAAGAAAGAGCTACTTTCACAGCCCACCAGATCGTGTTTCGAGCTAAGGAAACCGCTTGACTTCTCGTCTGGGTTTGGCTGGGGCGAAGAAAATAGAACTATGAGATACAGTAAGCTTGTGTAATACAATGAAAGTGAAAAAGCACTAGAATGACAATGGCATGAAGATTGGCGATGAGAAAGAGTCCGATAATAGAGCGCCGCATCCGAAAAATCCATTCCAGAAGATCTCAAGGTAGCTTCTCCGACATGCCTGCCCGCCTGTATGTTTTTCGCAAGGGCGAGAGGGTGAGGGTGACAGAAAGATGTAACGAGATGCAAGGAAACAGAGTATGAGGAGTGTTACAACACATTGAGTAAGAAGAACGGGCGGAACGGGGAGCGGGTCCATCACCTCTTTTGAGTCGATCCCTTGATTGTTGAAGACTTCTGCGGTATGCTGTTGGTGGTATGTGCTGTAGGTGGTTTTATAGACCTGGAAAATAAAGGAACGTACCTACGATAAGATAGTGAATTTTGTACCATGTGAATATAAATGGTTTGGAGGGAAATGACACAAATACCAACTTTGGTATAACTCGTTCTCAACATGCTAACTGCGCGAGATCTGATGAGAAAGAGGAAAATGAGGAAGATTCGGGTATCTGCTTAATTGCAATCTAGAATCTTTGCAGACATTCACATCCACGCACTATCCATTCCTATAGTACAACCGTGCCTCTCATCCAGACCACGCCCACCCCAACATTACCACCGCATCTAATAGTAGTAGTTCTCCTCGAGCGTACGTCCCCTCATATGTTGTGGCTCACTACCTCGTACATAGATATCCTCGAAAAGATTCTTTGGGGTCGGCTCAGGGATAGGCATCTTCTCCGCCTCAGCGACCTCGCTGTCAACCGCCGAGCGAGCCTCCTTATCGATAGTCTTGAGCTCCTCCTCGGAAACGACGTTCCACTCGATGAGTTTCTGCTTGAGGCCGGCGATGGGATCTTGGGTGGAGCGCATGCGCTGGATCTCCTCGCGGGTTCGGTAGGTGGTTCCGGGGTCGGACATGGAGTGTCCGCCGTATCTGTAGGTGACGTATTCGAGGACAAGGGGACCGTTGCCGGAGGTGGCGTACTCGCGGGCGTGCTTGACGGCTGCCCTCACGGCGAGGACGTCCATTCCGTTGACCTTGAGACCAGGGATGTATTGACCACGCTTGTAGTAGTCTGTGAGGGCGGAGGAGCGGTTGGCTGCGGTACCCATACCATATTTGTTGTCTAAATCGTCAGCATAATTCGATTACCCAGATCAAAGGGGAACATACTCTCGCATCCGAATAGAACTGGGAGGTTCCAGAGCTTGGCCATGTTGAAAGCCTCAAAAACTTGACCCTGGTTACTGGCTCCATCACCGTACAGCACAACACTGGTGTTCTTGTTTCCGTTGTACTTGTGGGCGAATGCCAAGCCAGCTCCAACAGGAACCTGAGCTCCGACAATACCGTTTCCACCATAGAATCCCTTCGCGAACATGTGCATGGATCCACCCTTTCCGTAGGCAATACCTTCACGGCGACCGAGCAATTCACCGATGATGCTCTTGACGGAAGCACCACGCATCAGAGCGTAACCATGACATCTGTAGGCAGTGATGACATCGTCTTCCTTGGTAAGAGAGTGCTCGATACCGACGGCGACAGCTTCTTGTCCGGTGGAGAGATGGCAGAAACCGCGAATCTTCTTCTCTTTGTACAGTCTATCGGCGGCCATTTCCATACGACTATTCCCATCAGTCTATATCCAGTGCAGCAATTGCAAAACTACTCACCGAGTGGATACCATGTCGTAGTACATCTGCTTTAGCTCTCTCTTTGTCGTCTCGAGTGTGTAGGGAGGAGGGTCGAGCTCGTAGGTTTCGAAGCTCTCATCGGAGAGGTGGACGGTAAAAGGCTTGTCATCTTCCTGTAGAGGGGGTGTTGTTAGTGCTCTGGTCCAATCGTGGTCCCTTATCCATCCTGAATGCCAATTGCCTCAACGTCGTCCTGGAGAGTCCTACCTCTGGAACAGCATCCTTATCCGCGTGGGCGCTGGCAGCATCGGTTGTGACAGTCCTCTTAGCAAGGGCTGCTTTGGAAAAAGCTGAACTCCGCAGGGGAGCAGCGCGGCTCGTTCTCAATGCCCGCGAGAACATTGTTGTGGTGATGAGGGATGGGAGGAATGGGTGGTGGTGGAGGGAAGAAATGAAGCTCTCGGTGGATATCTTCGGAGCCTTTCGCGCAAAATGTTGGCTGGTTGGGAGGTCGGCGGATTAGCGTGGATGCCACGTGACTGGGGGATTCAACATTTTGGGAGGAGGGAAATGGTACTGGACTGGTAGAGGAAAGAGAGAAATAATGGTTTTAGAAAAGAATGATCTTTGGAATCTTGTGTGACTTTGCTGTAGTTCAGTGGTATATGGTACATTTGTATGGAAGCTTGGGTGTGAAAGTTCTCCTGGTCTGATCCCAACATTTGATGGAAGCTTCAATTTGCTCCTGGAAAGTTGTTGGTAAGCCAAGCTCTTGAGATAACAAGCAACTGCTTAATTGCATATGAAAACGAGGCTATGATTGATTCCGAGGAGGATGAATTTCTCCGACCGCGAAATGAAAGAATAGAATAGCATCTTTTTCGAAGGAAGCTTTGAAGCAGCTCAACCTAGCTCAGTTTGAAGCCCATCTTCAGGAGATCTCGCTTGCGCCGCCAACCCAAACAAAGGAAAACATTGGAGTAAACGATTTCCTTACTGACCTTGAAATCTTCAGATTCTTTTTATGATCCGATACTTTCCTTCGTCTGGCAGCCTGTATAATAACGATGTTTTTGCCCCGGCGCATAGCTGTTTAACATATCCGCAGGCTATCCATTTGTCTTCCTCATGCTCGCTTAATCCTTATTTCCTTATTTATTACTCATAAGCTCAGAAAGTAAGCAAGAAGAGAAGATAGCTTGTCAGGTTTAAATCCAGTAGTGCAAGACTATTGAGACTGAATTTGCTAGTGAGCATTTCCCTGCGCGGCTCAGAAGATCCAGGATGTTAACTTAGTTGCTGATGGTGCACCAAGCCTTACCCAGAAGGAAGTGGGATACCTGACTTTGAAAACTACTCATTCGCAATCATGTGCAAGGTCCTTTCCCACCGAGGCCCAAGTTGACTTAAGGTATAATTCCTGTCAAACGCGGCCTCAATAAAAATAAAGATAGCACATGTCACTGTCGCGTACCTCCTACTGTACACTTCCACCCGACGCGTTCCCGTTCCTGGCTTGGGCGGGAAGCAGGGATGTGCAAGGTGAAGCTAGATCTCAGCCTTGTAGCTCTAGGCAAGGGGACGGGGACCATCAGCCAGCCCATGAAATCCAATCCAATCCAATCCAAGCCGATCCTATCTCTCCCTATCAACCCACGACCACCAACAACAAAACTTCACAACAACCTCCTGGAACTCCAACGGTATCGAATCATTCAGGAACATCAACTGGGAAATAGTGCAAACGAGTCGCAATGTCACGGTAACGGCGCAGCGCAAAGCATTTGTTGGAATCGAGGCCCATCCAGCTAGAACACCAAATCAAGGGGTACTTTTCACAATAAGACGCTCCCAAGATGTTGGACGGACTTTTCATGCTGCTCGGACTGAGCGTCGTCATGGCTTTGGCGTAACCTCTTCCTCCTGTCTGCATAGCTGTTGCACAAGCTAATACCCAGCCAGCTCATTCCTCGCCGGCGCACTCCCCCTCTCCATGACGCTGTCCTCGTCACAGCTTCGCTTGATCTCGACCATTGGGATGGGCGTTTTGGTTGGTACGAGTCTGATTGTCATTATACCCGAAGGTATCGAAGCTGTGTATACGGCTGGTGAGGCGGGGGGGTTACATACGAGGGGATTGGGGCTCAGAACGAGGGGGGAAGTGCGCTGGGTTGGTACTGGGGTGCATAGATTCATGGAAAGGGATCTTGTGATGGGACGGAGCTTTAGAGAAGTGTCTATACCAAAGGATTTGGTATATGGGAAGCTTCCAAGAGAGGAACTCCCACCACCGCCGCCATCGAAAGATACAACCGCCCCTCCATCCAGCGAAACCACTCCACCTGCCCCAGAGACAGATGCCTCTACTAGTTCACCCACACATGGAGGAGAAGAGCACCACGACCCCCCAACATTCTACATCGGCTTCTCCCTAATACTAGGCTTCATCCTCATGTTCCTAATCGACAAACTCCCCCGCCACGCCCAAGAACACATCCAACCACCCCCCGCACCGCGCCACATCTCCCTTGACAACCTCTCCCAAGGCCTCCACTCCTCCCCTCACTCCCGCTCCCACTCACCCACCCCCTCCACAAACTCCGACTCCGAATCCTTCCTGCAATCCCTCGCACCCACACCGAAACAAACACGCTCCCTGGCCACCACAACAGGGCTAGTGATCCACGCCGCTGCAGACGGGATCGCTATGGGTGCGTCGGCAACGAGCTCGAATACCAAGTTGGGGTTTATCATCTTCGTGGCGATCATGATACATAAAGCTCCAGCGGCGTTTGGGCTGACGAGCGTGCTGTTGAAGCAGGGACTGAGTAAGAGGGCGGCGAGGGGGCATCTGATTGTTTTTAGTTTGGCGGCGCCGGTGGGGGCGTTGGGCACTTGGGTGTTGGTTAGTGTTTTGGGCGGGGATCATATGGAGGGGGAGAGGGGGCAGTGGTGGACGGGGATGTTGTTGTTGTTTTCGGCGGGGACGTTTTTGTATGTTCCCTTCTCTCCTCTTACTACCATATCCGCTTCATGCTCGCTTGGCTGGTGGAGAGGTTTCTAGTTTACTTACTGACTGTGTGATAGGTACGTAGCCATGCACGCCATGCAAGAAGACACGCCCGAACACTCGCACTCCCCCTCAAACGGCTACGCAGAAGTAAACGCGCAACGGAAACAGCCCAAACCGCAAATGAGGGATACATTAGCCGCGGTGGGCGGGATGTTGATCCCGCTTTTGACGCAGTTGGGTCATCATCATTGAGTGGATTAGGTCATGACTGGTTTATCCGAGACGAGAGACTGGGTATTATATTCCAGTCTTGAGGAGTGGAAAGCAATGGAGAAAGAGAAAGAAGTGGAAAGAGAAGGAAGAGGATCAGAGGGCACGGCTTGTATGATTGAGAGAGTCAGTGATCCAGGATCTGGAAGTTACCTCTGGTTGTTTTATCACATTACAGCCAACAACCAAGATGTATCTTCAAATTTTGCTGGAAAGCAAAGGCGTTTAAAGAATGGCCTGCTTGCCTGGCCTTTTCCGCGTTCACCTGCTTGTGTAACGTATTATCATGTAGGATTGGCTGCATGGATGGCTAAGTTATGGATGTTTTACGTATGCTCCGTCCGTCCATCCATCCATCTACCTATTTCATGTACGAGTATAGTAGATTGCAAAGTTTGATGAAATTATATTATATGTATCTATCTATTTATTTCTCAAAGATCTATGTCTTTTTGTCTTTATGGTTGACTTTAAATATGGGGATGTATATCTATCTATCTATCACCCAACATTCTCCCAGCCATCCCCGCAACGCTTCGACTTCCTCCCTTCCTCTTTTTTTTTCTCCCTCTCCCTCTCCTTCTCCCTCAATTTCCATCTTCCTACTCTGCTATAGCATCTGGATAGATATCTATTTATCTATCTATCTATCATCCTACAAGATCCTCCCATCTGCGTTCCAATCGCTACATGTAGGTAGGTAGGTAGGTAGGTATGGTATGCCTGGATAAGGTATCAGCTGTGTGTAGGTAGAAGAAAGCAAGAAATGCGTTCACTCAATGCTATGCATCAGATATAGATATCATGTATCAATAATCGTATTTACTACCTTCCTTACTCATTTCTTCTATCGAGGAGGATGGAACAGGATAGAACAGAACAGAATAGAACAGAATGTGTTCCTAAAAACATAAGTTTGTTGGAAATGTCTGGATGAAGTCGGTGCTAGATCTTGGGGTTTGGTTGCTTGAGTTTTGGTTTGGGTCTAGAGTGGATTTTCTACATTGATTGATAAAATATTTCTTGATTGAATATTCGGTTGGAGGAGAGAAGTGGAGAGGAGGGGAGAGGAGGGGGGGAGAGGAGGGAGGGGAAGAATACGTCTAGTGTCAAGAAGGCAAGTATAGTATGATATAGGTACTCCAAGATTAGAGCCGCTACCTAGCTAAGACGACATATCATTTGCTTTCAATTTACCTTGGGAATTTGGGGTTATTGTTGGTGCTGGCTGTGGTGTAGTGCTGGTGTTGACCACCTACTCGGCTCGCTCTAGTCCCGTCCCGTCAAGACTGACTGGATTCAGGTTGCTTCCGCGCATCTCGCGGCTCGGCTGGGCTGGGCAGGAGATGCTCTCCTTCTCCCTCTCTCCCGTTCTCCCTCTCTTTCCTCTCTCGGGTTTTGAAGGCTTGCTTCCCTCGGTAAATCAATTAATCAATCATCACCTCCAACTGTCTTCTCCCCCGGCCTCAACTCCATACCTTCCTTACCCCTGGTCCAGTGCTGGTGTAGATGTGAGTGTAAGTGTAATTGCACGTGCACGCTACATCTCAAACTCTCAAACTCCCGGCGTTCCATCAAGGCAGGCGAGGAGATCGAGTTCGACGGCAATATACTAGTAATATACCCGTAGTACGAGTATGACGACGGAGGATTCGCTGGATCGGGGCGGGCCTAGGTTTTCCTTTTTCCTTCCTCCCTACTGCTGGTTCGCTGGGTCTTGGCGGATGGAATGGAGCCTTGGGATAGGAAATGGTTGTAGTCTGGGATGGGAGAGTAAGGCGGGTCGAGTTGAATTGAATATGAGGGCGGAGGGAGAGAAGTGAGGATTTAAAGGAGTTGGTAGGTAAGAAAACAATAAACGGATAGAGAGAGAGCAATATGAGAACGTGACTCATTGAATTAATTGAAACAGCAAAATAAATGAAGACCAAGGAGGGATGAAAACACTTAAGATATATTATCAAGAAATGCGATATGCCAATAAAAACCGGTAGAAGAAGGTAAGGTACGAAATAGAAGGAGAAGCCCTCCGACTGCATTTGTTTGTGGTGTGGCGACCATTATCCTCTTCTCGAGTCAGGCCTCTACATCTCTGCATATCTGCTCTTCCAACACATGTCATCTCGGGTTTGAAGTCCTTACATCTTGACGTTTTTGAAAGGGGGGTTTTCTTTTTTGACAGAAGTTAGAACTCCGTTTGGAAGAACTCTCTCTTCTCTCTTTCTTTCCTTTCTAACGCTTTCTATCATATTCTTGCTAGGATGGAACGTGGCTCGTGGATGTATAAACCTAAGCGGACGATTATTGGAGAGAAGAAGATATGAGAGGGGGGAGAAGATCGATGCTTGGTTGTTTGATGTTCGATGTTCGATGTACGTGCGGACGACGAGGCGGAGTGAGTGTACGCACGGATGATGGATGGTGGATGGCGAGTTTGAGGTTTGAGGTTGTTGGAGGACGCGCAGGGAAGGGAGGGGAAGGGAGACTACTGTATTACTAAAAGGACATGGAAGGGAGGAGGAGGAAGAGGAAGAGGAGGAGGAGTTCGCGGTTAGAGGGCGGTACGGAGGTACGGTGCGGGATGTAACGAAGGAAGGTAGGTAAGGTAAGGTAAGGCAGGGGTGGTGTGGTATGGTGTGAAGCGAGCAAGGGGAGAAGAGAGGAGGATTAAAGGGAGAGAGAGGGAGGATGGGATTTGATATCTTTAGAGTCTATTTGGAGGAGAACATCGTGTAATTTACAATGACGGATATAGGTACTTACCTAGTCTTGGACAATCCATCGATTTCTTTCACATTGAAATTGAGAGTACGAAGGAGATACAAGACACATGCAAGAGATGTACACGGTATGGGTACTGTACTACAGTTGCACGAAGCGGTGTACTGAGTATGTATGTACTGTACCACGATGGCAGCTGATCTCAATTCCAGATTTCGACACAGACCGCTACATCCTTCTCTCTAGGCAAGGAAAATAAAGATATATTGGCTGAGTATTTTAACGCCTTGTCGCCCAATATGTCGGCAGAGTCAACTCGTGACGAGAGACAGGGTGGCCGAAGAGGGAAATAGTAACGAGGAGAGGGAGGCATGTATCCCTGAGTATATCCAGGGCAAGGCTGGGAAGGGAAGAGTATGAGCAGCTGGAGGAGAGTAAGGCTCATTGCTGGAAGGCAATTTTGTTATTAATTGTAGACATATTTGAAAGTCGGAGCCATGGGTGATACTGTTGAAATGGTTACAAATATCCAAAGGAAAACTCTGCGAGTCTCTCTATCGAACGATGCCTGATACCTTAGCCTTAGCCGTAGGTAGCCTCCTGATACTTCTTGGGGGCATGTCTCTGTCTCTGTCTCTGTCTCTGTCTCTGTCTCTGTCGCTAGTGTCTGCAGGTCATGCTCTCCCTCTAAACGCCCGGCTAGGAACGCATCGCATCCCCCATCCCCCATCCCCCATCCTCCCTGGTTGCCGAGTGCCACACCCACTCCCACACCCACTCCCACTCCCACTCCCACTCCCACTCCCACTCCCACTCCCACTCCCACTCCCACTCCCACTCCCACTCCCACTCCCACTCCCACTCCCACTCCCACTCGTCCCAGTCCTCTCCCCTCCCCTCCCCTCCCCTTCCCAGAGGGCCAGAGGCCTCTAAACCCCTGTACCGCCGACGGCTGCTTGCTCAAGTGAGACGCTGGGGCTGGACTGGCGGGACTGGCGAGACTGGCGAGACAGGCTGACTGGCTGGACCGGGCTTGGGCTTGGGCTTGGGCCGCTGGAACTGGCACTGACTGACACTACCCACACTACACGACACGACACTGAACGCATGCAATTGTGAGCGGCGGACCATCGAACGACATCGACACAAGCCAGCACGAGCACTTCTGTTGCTTCACTTCACTCCACTTCCATCACTTCAACCTCATCCACCTCACCTCTCCTTCTCTCCACCACCACCTCTTCCTCCCACGACAACAGCCCTCCACTCCGACGACAATCTCATCCATTGATTGTATTGTATTGTATTGTATTGAATCCGCAGACTGCATCTGCGACATCTACACTTCTGCAGACAATGCTGCACAACGCCTGCCAGCCTCAGACCTCGACTTGATCCTCTGTCGTCATTCTCCTCCCTCCCAGCCTCTCGGCTTCGCATACTCTCACGGCCTCGATTTACATTCTACCAACTCGACTTCTATTGTTGATTGAGAGGAGGATATCTGGAATTTTCGAATAGACCGCTACACTCATTGGCCTGATTGCATCTCTGTGAGACATCCGGAAACCATTCACTGGCACTGCATCAAGCCAGTCAACACCAAGAAGACCAAATACGGCGGAATTGGAGACGCTTTGCAGACCAGGACATTCACATTTCGCTGTCCTGACCTTCGTTGACTTGGAATTGTGGATGTCGAAATTCGGATCTGACAATCACCTGCACCTGAAACCCCTGAATTAGCAGCACGGCTAAGTACGTCCCTCAGAGCGGCCCTAGAAAAGCGAATTGTCCTATTGTACTTGGGCGGATCGTGTATGCATTGTTTCATGATCGAGAACCGAGGATACGGAACCTGCGAATTCTAGATCGAGATCTAGCTCCACAACTCTACACCGACCGAAAAAACCTGGAGACTCTAGATCGAAAAGCACAAATAACGAATTACGATCTTTACGCCTGGAATATTGTGTTTGATATCCCCAGCTACAAACGACTAGCCTGTCGATAACGTGCTTTTACAAGTGCATCTGACGACCCCTACCAGCAAATCCTTCTCCTCAACCTTCTTTCTACTTCTAGCTATCCACACGTCAGACAAGATGGAAGGCTTTAGTATAGGGAAGCCGATGAGCTTGACGGAGAGAAGAGCATCGATGCACACTACCTTCGATGACGGCGATTTATCACCTACTCGAGCAACCCTCACCCTCAACACCAACACCAATGTGCGACTGTCATCAAGAGTCGACAAAGTTGTGCAATCCCGTCCCCGAGGACCTCCAACCCCCAACATGACCACACCATCCGCAGACCCTGATTCTCCCACACACTCGAGCCATGATCCTCCTCCACCTCCTACACCCGCTGCGAGTCCCGGTCCAGATCATCCACAGCCGGATTGGAAAGATGCAGGAGATCAGGAAGATTATTTCCTGTCGAAGATCAGATCACATTTCAAGGTTGCATCCTCTGCGGAGAGACATCGCATATTGGCAGATCTCCTGAATCTGTGTACCAGCCAACAACTAAGTTTTGTGCGGCAGTACGTGGATCCGTTATTGAAGAAAGATCCATTCACCAGTCTGCCAAACGAGATTTGCTTAAGAGTATGTATTTTCTCGTATTTATTGGATGCAACTAATTGGAATAGATCCTGTCATGTATCGACGACCCGAAAGTCCTTGCACGAGCATCACAAGTTTCACAGAGATGGCGAGAATTGTTGGCAGATGACGTGACATGGATGAAGTTGTGTGCGAAACATGATTATGGACGTAGGATGTCAGAAAACCATGCACACACTCCTCCATTCTCTTCTCTCCGACCTCCGCTCAACCCCATCCACAATACTATACACGACGAAAGTCATATTCATTCGTTCCCTGGTGCTCCAGGTCTCTCATACTCGCCATGGAGTACTGGCAATTCCAAGAGTTTTGACAGCTCGACAAGTACAAGTGCTTTGCGGAGACCGAACATGCCGAGATCGTACAAATCGCACTTTAAGCAGAGGTATCTGGTCGAGACGGCTTGGAGGACGGGTGGACGAAATATTGCAAAGCACATCACGCAAGATCAAGGAGTGGTGACGAGTTTACATCTCACGCCGAAGTATATCGTGGTTGCGCTGGATAATGCAAAGATCCATGTGTTTGATACCAATGGAACAAATCAGAAGACATTGCAGGGGCACGTAATGGGTGTTTGGGCAATGGTTCCTTGGGATGATACTCTGGTCAGTGGTGGATGTGACAGGGATGTAAGGGTGTGGAACATGGCAACTGGGTAAGTTTATTGTGATGATATAAGGAGCAGCACTAATTCAAAACAGAGAGTCTTTACATACGCTCAGAGGCCACACATCTACTGTTCGTTGTTTGAAGATGTCGGATTCGGGCCACGCCATCTCCGGGTCCAGAGATACTACATTACGAATCTGGGATATCAAGACTGGGCTCTGCAAGAATGTTCTCGTAGGACATCAAGCAAGTGTCAGATGTTTGGAGATCAAAGGAGATATTGTTGTTTCCGGCAGTTACGACACAACAGCCAGAGTATGGAGTATCTCTGAAGGCAGATGTTTACGAACACTGTCAGGGCACTTTTCGCAGATTTACGCCATCGCTTTTGATGGTACGAGGATAGCAACTGGAAGTTTGGATACCAGTGTGCGGATATGGGATCCGAATAATGGGTTTGTTTTGTCGTCTGATTGGAAGGATTCGCTAACCTGTTCAGATCCTGTCAAGCCATCCTTCAAGGGCACACCTCGCTCGTTGGGCAATTACAGATGCGTGGGAATACTCTTGTCACTGGTGGATCGGATGGCTCAGTTCGAGTTTGGTCGTTGGAGAAGATGGCGCCGATTCATAGACTTGCAGCCCACGACAATAGTGTGACGAGTCTGCAATTCGACGATACTAGGGTAGTGAGTGGAGGTAGTGATGGGCGAGTCAAAGTCTGGGATCTCAAGACTGGTCAATTAGTCAGGGAATTGACTGCACCTGCTGATGCCGTCTGGAGAGTTGCATTCGAGGAGGAGAAGTGCGTAGTAATGGCCAGTCGAAGTAACCGAACCATCATGGAGGTATGTTCCCCCCTCCTCACTCCCCCCTCTCTTCTTTCGTACACATCTAATACAAAACCGCCAGGTCTGGTCCTTCTCCCCACCCGAAGAATCCCTCATGGAAGCAAGCACCACCCCCGCACAACGCACCCTCTTCAACTCCCTAACCAGCGGCCCCCCTCGCCCACTCAGCGCAATCGAATACAAGAGCTCTTCGTCCGCCTCCTCTTCCTCGAATATTCAGAATCATCAAGACCAGGCGATGAGCGGGAACGAGGAGATTAGAGTCCAGGTCGCGTATGCGAATGAGAGGCATATGGAGGATGTGGAGATGCTGGATCAGTTGCCCAGTACGGCGCCGTTGGAGGGGACGAGGGAGACGTTCTTTAGGGATGATTGAGCGGATTTCTCGCTCTTTTGAAATTGGATGGCAATTGCTGGATGGTGATATTGCGGGATATTTCCAGTGGCTGGCTTGGCTTGGCTTGGTTGCAGAGCTCTGCGTGTGGAGTGGAGGGAAATGGTTTCTCTTGAAGAGAGTGCCATCCACCCACATACTCTATCGCAAACATCGCCAGATCCGCAGCAGCAAACCAGAGTCAGCGACGCGATATGAACAACAAGCGTGCTGTTGGGGAAATGGGATATATACCACATTTACTATGCAGATCAGCAATCGACAGCAGGCAGGCGCACATACACACGTTCTGTGCTCCAGCTTCATATGCAGTTCCGGTCACTTGCGTGCATTTTCGGCGTTCTGCAGTGGTTTTATCTCTCGCTCACACGCACGGATCGGAGTTGGGTTCGGTTGGGTTGGGTTGGGAAGATACCTTGGTATGGACTGGATGGATTCATTGGCATGGCATGGAAGGGTCGGGCATGGATGGGTATGGAAGGCATGGATGGAAGGGCATACACGGATGCATTGGAGGGCACGGAAGGAAGGCATGGACGGAAGGGCATGGCTGGCGAAAATGAGGCATATATAACAAGGATGGGAAAGCATACATGCATGGATGCATAGTCGGATGGATGAAGGGCATGGACGGGCTGGACTCCAGGTCACACTGAGACATTCAGATACAGATACAGACGTACAGATATGGCTGGCTGGCTCTGGGAGGGTGCTTGGTTGGTGTAGAATGTCTTGAGAGGGAAGTGCTGTATGTATGTATGGTTGAGTGATGAGTGATGAGTGGGTGTATGCATGCATGCATGCATCAGCGAGCGAGAGGGAGGGAGGGAGGGACTTTTGTGGTGTGGGGTTAATCTTGTGTATGTGTGTGGAGATAGCTAGATAGATGGATGGACGAAGCTGTCATCAGAGCGAGCGAGCGAGCGAGCGAGCGAAGAAATGAAATGAAATGGAATCTTTTCGAATCCAGTTGAAACCAAATGCCTGAGAAATATCTAATCCACAAATCTTAGTCTCCTCATTGTTTCTTTCCTTCCTCCTTGTCTAGGTACAAGCGAAAAAAGCTAGCTCTGGATGATAAGGTAATCCATTACATGACCGTGTTGTGTTGTGCTGTGTTGTGTTGTGTTTGCCCATGATTGATTACCCCGGTCACCTACCTAGGTAGGTAGGTAGGTAGTGTGTCGGAATTTGGGGATGGGGATGGGGATGGGGATGGGGATGGGGATGGGGATGGGATGTGATGGGGATGGGGATGGGATGGGATGGTGGTGGGGGAAGGAGATTTATTTGGCTGTGTTAGGTCGGTTGGTTGGTATGAAGGTATGAAGGTATGAAGGTATGAAGGTATAAAGGTGTGAATGTGTTAACACGGGTTAGGAGATGAGATAGGATAAGATATGATATGATAGGAATCTCTGAGATTTAGAATTGGAAAAAAATAAAAAAAATAAATAGAATCGGGAGGGGGAGGAAGGGAGTTTGGTGGTGGTGGCTGGTTAGAGGGAGAATGATAGTAGTGGGATGGTGGGATGGTGTGAGGGATTCACTGTGTTGAGGGAGGGTGGTGGGTGAGTTGAAGGTTTTTTGGTAGGGGCGAAGTGGCGAAGGGTTGTTTGTCTGTCTCGCTTAAGTTGGGTTAGGTTAGGCAGGTAAACAGAAACAGACTGGCATGGTTTTGGTTTTGGTTTTGGTTTCGGGAGATGACAAAGAGATGTTGTGTAGTTTGGGCGTATGGCATTTCGGCTCGGACTGGGGAAAAAAAGGGGGGGCACTTTTATGAATTGACGCGCATAATGATGATTGTATATTGTGCGCATGTAAGGAGATCCTCCTCCCAGGATTGTCTGCCTGAGTACTTAAAACTATATGCTCACTCACCCTCTTACTCTCCACCTTTGCCTCAATTCAACACCCTCTCAAAACCCACTCATAAAAACATTCCGAGCCACACCCAACTCTCCTCCCATCACCATACACCTTTTCCTCCCCTCCCCTCCCGTTCTCCAAATCCTTCCACCTTTTCCTCCCCCTCTAACACATCCTCAAATCCGCCTTCGTACAAAACCCAAAATACCCCGTCCTAAAACTCCCCAGATTCGTCTTCACGCTCCTCAACCCCCCACCGCCTCCTCCATTCCCCAGCATAACATCCACGCTCCTCGCTCCACCACCGGGCGCAAGATCACCCGGCTGCGCAACAATACCTTGGAACAGTGTATATGCACCGAGGGTCCTGTAGGAAGTGAGAGTGAATTTCACTTGTGTGTATTTCGGGGCTACCGAGAGGGGTTGGATCGCGCCGTAGAAGAATGTGCCGGTTAGGGTTGTAGTTGGGGTGGAGAGGGTGGTGAGGAGCTGTGAGGGAGATGAGGTATTAGCAGCTGTGAAGTTTTGGAGTAAGGATGGAAAAGGGAGGGTGAGAAAGACCGAGGGAGGGGGGAGGGGGGAAGACGTACCGCGGCTCGGACGATGAATCTCGGTCTTCTGGGATTCGAATTATCTGAAAATGTCAAAGATGGAACAACGAAGATGTTGAGGTTGATAGCTTCTGTGTATGCGTCTTTTTTGTTGACGTCTTGGATGGTGATGCTTTTTACCGAGGGGCTGTTCAATGTATCGTTGAATGAGTAGAGTGCGATGTCGCCGAATGGGTCAGAGACTACGCCGTTGACGATGTTGTCTTGGATAACTATAGACAGCTGGTATGAGTATCATCTTCCTTCCTCATCGACAACGATGTCTGGTTTGTGTTGTATGAGGAGGGTAGTAGGAAAGAATGGAGTAACGTACCAGGCCCCTGACTAACCAACGGATACCCCGTATTCCCACCCCCCGTGGTCCCATAATAATAGATCGCTTTTCCAGGAACCTGTCCCCTCTCATACGTACTTATATTCCCCGAATACACCACCTGTCCACCAGGCGACAAATCCAAATGACTCTCCATCAAAATCCACTTCCTGGGCACAATCGGGTCCGACAACGCGACTCCTCTTGGAACCGTATCCATCATCTTCTCGAAGACGGAGAAACACGTGTCTTGGAAGGCTTGAGGCGATGACATGGCCCGGATGGTGGCGTTGTTGTCGTGGGTGAAGATGCGGAGGTCGGAGCGGAAGGTGGTGTTTTTGGTGGTTACGAGGGGGCCGCCGCGTTTGCCGCTGGAGGTTAGGTATTCTTGGACGTTTTTGTTTTCGAATACAAAGGGGGTGGTGTCGAATGTGTCGGCGCCGTCCATTCTGGGGTGGGGGTGTTAGTTGGTGGTGGGATCCTGGTGGGGGAAGGGGAACGTACTCTGGGTCGGTGCCAGTGACTTCGTCGTCGAGGACTTGGAGGTGTTAGTAACATTGCTACTACCGTGAAGGTGTTGATGGGCGTTACCGATTTCAGGGTGGTTTCTTCTGTGAACAGCACCAATTGTATGTCCACATGCACTGAATACTGATCAGTCACTGACAACTAGCTGGCGAAAAGGCAACAAACATGGATTGGATCATCTCTTTAGTACTGAATCCAGCCTTTGCAAAAGTCGCATTCGACTTATCAAATGAATCTTCTGCTTTGGGAACGCCAGTTGGCCCTGCTTTCGTAGCATCTATGCGTCCAGCTCGAAGCTTAATCATGCGCTGAGATGGATCACAGGAGAGAAGACTGACTGCCATTCCCTTTCATGATTGTCAGCCAACTCTGATAACCGTAGATTGATACTTACAATAGCAATAAAGTCTGCAGTAGAGACTTCGAGCAGGGAGAATAGGTTGAACTACATTGGTTAGCTCGACGTCTCAGCGCGCCCGCAAGCGAGTGAACATACACCCATGATCGTCTCATTGATGAAAGACTGGCGTGGCGAATGTAATGTCGAGAATACAAGCCCTAGATTCTCATCACGGTCTGCTTCAAAGCTGATAGAAGCATCAAGTCCGCTGTACATCCCGGATCAGTATACATGTGAGTGGTGTAGATGGCTTGGGGCTTTGCTTACCCAGTTCCAGCAGCTACATCCGCAGTGATAAAGTCATGGAACACGGTCCTCACCCATTGCGCCGCAGTCTGCGCACCACTTATATCGGCAGGTGGTCCATTGAGCGTCAGGTTACATGGCGTGACGGGAAAGATGATAGTTCCTGGCGTGAGGAGCATTCGCTCAATGGCGAGGACTTTATCGGCGAGTGACAGCCCATTGACATCGAGTGCTTGGGCAGCCAGGCCAGTGACCTGGACCAAGAGTGTGAGGAATGTACGGCCAAGCATTTTGATGGTGGTGGTGATGATCTCGATGGCGAAGTGTGGATGGTGAAGGGGGATCGAGGGATTTATATGTCAGAGCCTGGAGGCGAAACTCCTAGTACTGAAATGTCATCAGCCTGTATACATTTTCCGTGGTAAGCCAAGGTCCCAAAAAAGGAGCATGTGCTTATAAAAAGTGAATGCAGAATTTGAACGCAAAGGACGTGCAAGTGTACGCAGGATGTTGAGTTACACCCGAGAAGGGTCGGAAAGTGGATTTCCCACTCTTTTGGATATGCCTCCTCATTCTGTTTTCCAAAACAGGTAACCGAGCTATAGAGAAGAAAGCAAATATCTCGACGGTGGAAAAATCCGTAAAAAGCGCTGTCAAGTATCTTAGGACGCGTCTCGTATCCAGCTGGAATGAGTACATAGATCTGTGGGGCTTGAGGCTAGAACAAGCATTGGCCCGCCTTTGATATCTGAGCTGACTACCACTTGATGGTTCTAAGTCCAGAACCAGCTTTGAAAACTAATCCGAGATCCCCGACTGGTCAGACTGCTTGCCAGCTTGCAGCATTTAGCTGACTGAGATCCCTTGTAGCTGTTGTGCCGTGACCGCTCTGGCGGATTTGGTCTCACTTGCAGCTGACAACTGGACCCCTTGGTCTGTTTATGCTGATATACGAGCTCAACGGATACACTGTATCTCCACCCTCAGTCTTGAGATGACTTCCTGTTGTAATTGACATGTGAATGGATTTTAACAGATTCCAGATATCAAGGGTCGAGCCAAGACACGACATGCTCTGACTTCCCCATAGCCCAAAACTTTGGCTTGATCCTGGAGTATCTAGGATGTAAGTCCTACCAGCTTTTCAAAAAACACTCAAATGAATAATTCCACAAAGAGCAGAAGAAAACGCCACACGATTCCGGCATGCTTGTTTTGGCCATACGAGCAAACAAAGCCTGATGATAGTGGTACCAAGTAGAACTTGGGATGCAGCTATGTGGCGAACATAAGCTTATTCTTGCTTCTTCGATTACAACTCCCTGCCGAGTAAGCATCGTGGGCTGGACCTCCTCTCATACATCAGGTGAGTATTATTGGCCATTTCGCTGGAAACATGACGAGGCTCTTGATCCAGGCAGCTACACCCAGTCAGCTTTGACTCTCAACCAGATCGTGAAGCTGTACTTAGAAAGACAGTCGACAGTTCACTTAAAGAGTAAATACTAACATCCCAAAACGTTGGAAATCGGGGTCATCTAATCTCCTCAGCCATCCTCGAGCAATTGCCAAGGCAGCATCCGGATGAGCCCCGGTGGCAGCTAGCCCCGGCTCTTGCAGGACATGGCGCTTCGAGTCAGTTCATCCCATGCAGAAAACAAGGAGCGGGCCGCGTCCAAGAAAACAGTACGACTGCACGTGGAATCCTTCAAGAACATCGGCCAGTAACAGCCTTCAGAGTTTTGACGCGCGGGTCGTATGTTTTTGTTGAGCAGAAAATTGTAGAGCCCCATTTGAGATATGCAGCGACGTCCACTTCGGACGAGGCACAGCAACGCGTTACCAAGAACAAGCATTGAGCTCGTGTTGGTCTGAACGGGCGGCTGGATTTGATGACTGTCAATGTCAGCCCTAGGAAAATTGACGGCCGACGACAGGGGCTGGAAATACTGGTTATGATTGGACGAGCCCAGGTGACTTTGAAAACCAGAATGCTGGATTTCTGTATCACCTTCTACTTTCATCCCGTACCCAGACATTCCATTACGGCAAGCCAGACGCTCTCTTGAGTAACAAGAGTTGAGGCCCAGTAATCAGCTTTCCTTCTTCGACCCCGCGTGCTGAGCGGTGGGACAGAAAAAGCAAAACCAATCAGCACGCAACAACTTCTCGATGTTCGTCCCGAATCTATGTTATTTGGGATATACGAGCGATGCAGGAACGTTGTGTTACGACCATGGTGGATCGTGCCTGAAAACGTGGGGGGTAAGCGGTGGGATTTGGATCTAGTGTTGCACAAACTATCGCAACTTTCCTAGACTGTGCCTCAGCACAGGTCTCCAACAACTTGGCAACTGTCTTGTACAAGCAGTGTTGAACGTTTGACTGGAGTTAAAGACGACAAGCAGCTGAGTGGCTGCTTGGTGTTGCCCTGAATGGACTTCGTACCAGGAAAACTATCAAGTGGAGTCCCTCGCCTTATTCATGCATGACGATTGATGGGAATTGGTTTCTGAATCGGGAAAGTGAATATGTAAAGTAATGACTGTGCAAAATAAAGAAATTCTCCTCTCTATGCTACTGTACATGGCATGATGCGGGATTTTTGAGCTTCAATTGACGCCTTTTGAATGGTGGCAAACACCAATATACATACAACCACATCACTTGAAGATTCACCAACATCAGGACTCCCTATATCGAGGTATGAGGGTCTACTGCTTTCATGGTAATTTCGCTTCGAACAAAAACATTCATCAAAATTCCAGAACTCGCAGATAATTCACAAATGCTTAGTCCAAAAAAATATTACAAGATGCAGCAAAACAGATTCCAGAAAATTATGCTTACCTAGAAAATGACCGAGCATGTCCAAGAAAGCATGATGAGCACACCAAATTCCCTCAAATCCAAAATCTAAAAGTTCTAAAACAAATGGCAACACGAAATCGATGTTACCTCAAAATTTTGGCAGCATTCACGTTACTTATCAACCTTCCAAGAAAACATTCCCACTCTTTCCGACCACGCGATGATCAAATTCTCACATCTCGTTACCAGATCAGCCAGCATAAACCCACTGAGTTGAAAACAACAGGCACATCAGCTATATTAAAATTGCTTCGCCTCCAGACAATATGGCGGTAACATTGTGTCATATTAGGCACATGGTTCTTGTGTATGACTGGCTGATATAGCCTGAGTACACTGGAAAGTGCCGCGCCGCTGTAGATCGCTTCGCTTATGTCCCCGCAAAATGTACAGTTGTCAGAATTTGTGGAGCCGAGTATGGTGTTGGTGTTTGCGGCTGATGAGAGTGTGAGGGTTGTACTATGGGTATTTGGTGATGACAAGTTGGATGTGGCGAATTTAATGGGATGATGATGGGACGGATTGCCAAGTGCGGATGGGATGCGGGGTAGACTATAGTGCTGGGAATATTGATATTAGCTTTGGTATCTTATAAAGAAGTTCGGAACACGCTCCCGACTGAGCCCTGATTTGGGTTTGATTAAGGACGCGAGGCGCGGAATCTTCGATGCATGGAAGACTTTGAAAGGTGTTTCGAATTTCGGCATATATGCATTCCTTGGCAATAAAAGTGGGGATAGTAAGCGAGTCAACAAACATTGATTAATTTTCACAGTACACGAAGGCCGAAACTCAGACCGAAACGATGGAAATTTCTACGAGAAGACCATACTTAGAATCTGAATATCAGACGCTCTCAATTCGGCTGCTGGGGTCGATGTCCAATCAATGCATATATTCATAGAGGGAAGACGACGCACCAGGATTATCACCGTGTGCGGATTGAGTAGATGAAAGCCGTTTTTGCTGTGGAACGATACAGCAGCAGAAGTGGACATTCTCAAATACCACGGCAGGAGCAGTAGTGAGGCGCAAGCTGTGATGAAGTGTTGTTCGCTGACTTTGTTCGAGTGCAGAACTGGTGATTTGAGGTATGAATGCAGGCATACAGGTGTCGATGGGAGCGGTAATATCAATAGATGAGAGACCTGATGTGATTACGCCGATAGAGAATAACTGAAAGTGCTTATCAGGTAAAATAAGGCGAGTTTTATTTAATAGACATGAGAAAAATACATAGGTAAAGTGTCTCGACTGTTTTTGTGGACAAGGCCACCGGTTTCCAGGGAGTCTCGTCCATTTTTATGTCCTGCACAAATCTCGTCAGTCGTTGATAAAGAAGGATAAGCTGTGTAGCATTTAAGACTGATGATATTAATTAGAAGGACTTGATGGACCAGAAAGATAGAGAGTTGGAGCAGGTTGTCAGAGTTCAAGTGCTCCTTGATATTTTTCTGGTTGTCAAGTTCACCTCCGCTATGATCCCGTCAGCCATCCTGAACTTGCCACATCAGTTTACATTATTCAGTCTCCTGGAACTTGATCATGGCTTGTAAAAAGTGTCCGGTGGTCTCCTATGGAATTGCCTTCTGTCCTCGTCGTCTCCAATGCGTGAAGAATAATACGTATCCAAAATCCAGCTCGGAACAATCATCCACCCAACATCTTGTTGCGTACACCCATCAATAGGCTCCAAGCCTTCTTCATCATGCCATTCCATCGCCTCTACGTCTTCGGGATATGGCTCCCAATACGCATCCACAAAGTTGACTTCGCCGGTATCGTATTGATCTTGGATGAAGAAGCGATACCTATTCGGAGGTATATCGTATGGAAGATTGGTGTAACTTGATAATGGGTGTGTAGCGTTTGGACTCTCGAGGGAATAGTTCTCTTTTGTCCAGTTCTTGAGTATGGTTCTGAGGTCTGGAACGGTAGCTCCGTCCAAGGTAGACGGGTCAGAGATGAATGTTCATTCAAGTGCTGCGTCTGCCTTTTTCTTCATCTCTATCTCTTGATCTGTAATATGTGGATGAATGAAATAATCGCGGGACTCGCTGGTAATGAGCTGTTTGAAATGGTCCCAGTTTTGGTTCCAGTAAGGTGTGTGTCTTGTTCGGTAAACTACCCAGCCCCATTTGTTGTGATTGATGTCCTGGAGTTCGGTGAGGATAAGCTCTTCGGGTGGGAGTTCGGGTGGGAGCTTGAAACAAAAGGGAATACGATAGGGTGGATTTGGTGAGAAGGTACAGCGTTGTTCATGATGAGCGACTGGTAAATGGCGACATATCTTGATCTTGGGGTGGGCTGCGGCGCAAGGGTTGCCAGTCTGTAGAAGGACGTGTCTCCAGAGACCTATACGCCTGAAGGTTTGAATCATTTGTGAACTTCAAATTAGAGGAAGTTAGTGACATCGGCGTCGTCACCAAAGCCAACTTTATGGATGGAGATTTAGGATTGTCATTTGGTCACTGAGAAGTTTGATTGAAGTTGGTTTTGTTGATTGACTTCGTTGGCTTCTGTAAGCTAGGGCAAATTTAGCTATTCTTGTCTCTTCGCTGCTAATAGGCAGAAGTGACTGACTACAAGACAAAAAACGGCGGTCGGTTGTGCTACAATAGCTTTTTAGGCCATTGGCAGACAATTAAACAAGTCACTCCAGACATAGAAGAGTAGGATAGGCACATGGGAACATCCAAACATGACATACAAAGCATTCACCAGATCACAATTTCTGGCGGCCGCAAATAAAAACAATACCAGGAATCCGACATATCGCTCAGACCTCGTAGAAATCAGCCGAAACCATGTGAGGCGCAATTTTTCATCCAGCCAACATCCTCCTCAATGCATCCATCAATAGGCTCATGGATATCATCCAATTCGATCGATCGAGGGTCCGTCGGGTTTCAGTACGCCCGTACAAAATTGACATACGCGTCGTACGACTTAGGGACTTCTATAACAGTTTCCATTGACGCATCGTCCACGCAGATGAAGAATGCATGTCGTGAGATGAACTGCAGGTTGTCAAAGTTGTAGTCTTTAGTGGCACGTGGCTGTTCGAATTTGAAAGACTTGCGAGTCCATGTCTTGAACATATTGCGAAGTTGAGGGACCGATGCCCCTTCGAGGGTTACTCTGTCTTCGATGAATGTCCACTCCAGTGACTCATTGAGAGCAGGGACATCAGACCGAGCGTTGTAATTTCGAGATCGATTAATTATTTTTTGTTTGAACTAAGCCCAATAAGTGTCACTGCCATAGCCCGTACGATAGATGACCCAGCCCCATTTGTCTTGTTTCTGGTCTTGCAGAAATTTGTTGACGTTGAAATGAGGACTTGGTAGCGTTGCGCTTAGGCTCCGAGATGAAGACAGTGCGCGGTGTAAGCGTTTGGAGATGGTCAGAATGACAGCTGATTGGAATTGAACATTCCTGTTCGACTGGCAGAAGATGTTGTTGCAATGGATTAGTCTCAGAGGGCCCGCGCGGATGATAGCTTGCATTGGACTGGGTAGTGGTTGCCTTACTTCTTGTGATCAATAAACACAACGGGCGAAAGTATGCCAAGATATTTGAGGTAAATCAAGAGAGGAGAGTTGGTTGGCTCGGGCTGGATAAATAGAATTTCATACAAGGCTCTTCACGTGACATGTTGGTCGGATTCAACAATCTGACTAGGTAGGTAGGTAGTACTGTCCTCTTATAGGCGCGGATGATAGACATCTTGTTTCATCCCTTTTTTTCTGAAAAATCTGCGCCCCTTGTAGTATAATTATTAGCGGTATATGCCTTTTCGAGCTTCCTAGAGCGCTGCGACTCACCTTCTCAACATTCTCTACGATACGGCTTGGTACAATCCTATCCACGTCACGAAGCATACATCAAGCCCTAGTGTGGTGAGAGGCTATTCATTGCCTCTCTTTCTTTTTCGAGATTATCACAGCTTCGACTCTTTCCGTGTCAAAAAACATAGTGTCGGTCTGACCAAGCTCAAGTCCAGTTGACTTCGTTTGTTGACTTTGGGAAAACCTAAATCTGTCGCTTCCAGGGCCGGCAAATACCCGACACTACATCACAAGCATTCTAGTCTCTCGATCTTCCCCAGCCGGAAAAACGTCCAGCCATCCCCGATGACAAGGCTCAACCTCTAAGAAGCCTTCCCAAGGCAAGACGAGGCCCTCCACCATAGCCGCCAGGAACCCAAACCCAAACCTGATGCCCCTTGAGCAACGCAAGAATAGCTATGGCTCACCATTGATATCGCTCTCCCAAAGCTACAAAGCAATCCCTCTCCTCGACCGCGGCCGTGGCCGTAGATAAAAGGACCTCGTCAATATGGATCCGTTCGAAGTGCGCATTCGGTTTACGCAGCAGCTGGCGAGCTTGAATGCCAGTGTTACAGGTGCGAGCAAGACTGCGCAATATGCGTTGAAGTATAGGGATTTGGACGAAGATCTGCATTCGTGTATCCTGGAGCAGTTGGAGAGGGTAAGTTCTTGTACTTGTTCGGCGGGTGTATATCTTCTGGGTGCCTCCCACCCCGGCCTCGCTGCGCTCGAGATGTATGTTGGGGCTTTTGAAGCTCCAAAAGGATAGGGGAAACAAAAATATACTTGCTGAGCGGCAGGGAGACAACCAGATGCTAACGCCTCCCAGGCAGGAAACTCCATGAACAACCGTGCAAACATCATGTACTTCATCGAACACCTCTGCGATATGGCCGCCCGCGAAAACCACTACGACTACATCCGCATGATGCAGCGCGACATCCTCCGCATGGTTGACGCCGTCGCCCCCGAAGACGGCTCCGGCGCTGCCAATGTCAAAGTCGTTCGCAAAGTCCTGCAAGCTCTCCAGACTAAATCCTTCCTCCTCGCACAAACCGTCTCGGAGATTGAAGAGCTCCTCAAAGAGCGCGACACGTTGCCTGATAATATCGGCTTGTCTTCTCCGCTTGATCCGTCCACACCACTGCCACCGAGCTCAACTTCAAAGGGGAGGATTGGCGGTGCGCCGCAGAGACTGGATAAGAAGCAGATTGAGACGAGGATTGAAGAGGATCGAGAGAGGCATAAGAGGCTGAGGGAGAATATCTGGGCGATTCCGAAAGTGTTACAGGGGAATTCGTTTAATGGTGGGGTGGCGGGAGGTGCGGGTCCGGACGAATTCGATAAGCTGTGGGAGGAGACGAGTGATCTTGGAGAAGATGATTTGGTATTGTATAGGGAGGAAGGGGAGGAGAGAAATAAGGCTGGTACGGAGTGGACGGAGGAGTTTGCGAAGATGCATCCGACTGAGTAGGGAACTCTGCTCGAGTTCATGGCGTGGTATTATCGAGATGGGCTTTATGGACTGGGCTGATCTCAAGGGCGTTCAATGGAAGCATGATATGGTCGGTATTTGCATTGGGTGGCGTTGGATGGCGATTGACATCTTAGGGCGCTAATAGGAAAAGCGGAACCGGCATTTTTTTGTGACCATCCAGATAGGAGCTAAATGGACGAAAATCTACTTGAGCAAGGCCCCAATCATCAAGTGAATCATCAACCAGGCTATCGGTGAATTATATCGCTTATTCACTTCGCAGCAAAGCCGCAGGTCTGTGTCCTGAATAATTCTAACCCAGGAAGGCTATAAAAGGTTCTCCTCGCGCTATTGAATTTACTTTCTTCTGGCAATAAAGGAGACAGAATATCGATAAACGTGCTAGTAGGTGTGCTTGTTGGGGCAACCCCCCCTCTCATCTGCCCTAGTCATTACTCACTAGATCTTGTTATCTTTCGATTGGGGCTTCTTGCACTGCTGCTCGGTGTTGTATGGTGCGAGAGCTGCTGACTTTGTCTGTTATTCAAATACAAACGGCTGATCATGACAGCAAGTTGAGAAGAGGCAAGTGGTTACTAAATGACAACAAAGCTTCTAGAGGAAAGGATTTCCATTTTCCGGACTTTTTGAGTGGTCCTATCTGAGGCATGATGCATTGAAACTATTGGGAAGTAAAGGTTCCAGCTTGAGAGATATGCTGATTATCCGCTGTTTTCATGTGTGAAGCAATTTATTTCCTTCTCCCAAACTTGACAGCCTGGCTTTGATTCTTCTAGTTTTAGAAACTGTGTTGGCTAGGTGTTCTTAGCCCTGGGACTAAGGATTCCTTTTATATGTATGCTTCACACACAACAAAAAAGCACTTAGGCATCACCTGGCTTAGCAATCTTTTCCCTCGAAAATGAATCCTCAAGTAAATCAGAGGCCTGGGGACATGTTCATGCATGAAAGAGGATGGAAAGACTTGAGTATATAAACTCCTCGTCCTGGTATGATTTGTTCTTCAGAGAAAACAAATTCCGGAGCATGGATCGTTAATCTCGAGAGTCACGTCTTGCATTACCGGGTTTAAGTTGTAATCAAACTTGGTGAGTTGCTTTCAGGTTCAGAAGTGGTTGAGATAGGTATACCTCTCCTGTAATCGATTTACTGGGCTCGTTAGGTTTGGTGTACTTTTGGCGACGGTCGATGACGTTACCAATAGGGGATTATGTTGAAAGGTGGCGCATGGAAAATGACAATGAGAATACTATCGACGAAATTTTAAGAGACAAACTGTCCAGTCCTGCGACACTCTAGAATTCAAATTCACTCCTCAGTCATCTCAACGTTTGATTCTGACAGTTGGAAATATTCGTTTCTCAAACTTTCGATGGTGGATCGGGCTGTCTCCTACCAACTACTTTCTTCTCCGACGTTATCATTCGGAATGGCTGTCCTTTTACTTGGGGTCCACTGAACGGCGTAAGGATACCTTTATAAACTCCAAAATTAGTTCGAAACTTGGAACGAGCTTCGCTTCACTGCCTGAGTGAAGTAGCTGCACCAGATCATCGAAAAGAGTCTGTAGTCTGCTTGGCATAGAGATATTGACGTATATATTTGGACCCACGCTCTCTCTTGTTTCTCAGCAGACTGAACCTGCAGTATTCAGAGTTTACGAGGCACTTTGGAGGATCTTGGAGTTGTCAGATTTGAGGCAGAGGTTATTTGATAACAAGTCCTTGAATAGTATATGGAGTAGGGTAGGTGACTCATTGAGTGAGGGATTGTCTATAGAACTGAGCCTAGTAGTTGGGATGTAAGTGATGGACTACCACGGTGGTGCTAGATGTAGGATGATAGCAAAGCGAAGAACGACAGAAATTCTGGATTAGTTGTATCAAGGACCAAGCGAGGCACAACACTGGGAGTAGACAACGTGAAGGTAATCTGCTCTACAAGTTGGCTTTCAAGCTTCTTGGTCCTTGGAACTTTGCACCAAAATATAGCCGATTTCCAGAAAGCTATTTGGCAGAGACTCCATACGTCGTGACTCCAAATGTATTGGACCTGTGCTGATTTACATTTTTTGTGCCGAAGGAGTTTATGTACTCTAGGGTTAGTGTGAAGGATGGTAGAGCCACGATGAATGCTTTGAACTTTCTGCGTCAAAAAGAAGCCCTGATTCGAGAACGGCAGAAGACTACCAATCACAGTCGCCCAAGTCCATAGTAAATTCTAAGTTTCGTGGTAGTAAATTTGAAACATCATATGACTAAACTTCTCACCGGAGATTATAAGTACTGCGCGTCTGACTTCGGCTCTCGCCACAATAGCAAGCTTTCAAACAGCGGAAGAGGCCCAAGATGCTGGGGCATTTGGAAGTCTCTTTTGGAGCCGCTGCACTGATCGCTATTCAAGACTCAAATTATATCGTAAACTGTAAACTAGATGCTCAGGTTACTTATTGAGGTGAAATCAATTAAATAACACATTTCAACTCTTGTCATTTTTGACTGTCATGTCATCGCCATCTCTTATTTGCCATTTTAGTTTCGCGAATCTTGATTACCCATTTCTTCAGCAACATATACCGTGGATTCTCATTTACATATCGATTGGAAAAGATGGGCTTGTTTTGACTTTACATTTGCGCGGACGTCAAGCACATTTCTTAAACTCCACCATGTTAGGTTATGTCACCGCGAGTGTCGAGGAAATGATAGGGAGAGACAAATTCTACACACTCGACGTTTGGCGCTTTCGATAGGCTGTTTAATTAGACCAGTGATTGATTGAATCGCTGTATCGCCTTGTCTAGCTTGTTGTTTTTGTTGGATGTAATTCCAGAACTTAGTATGGGGTTAGAGACTTAAGCGAGGGGAAGGCTTGCGACGTCAACACAGCTAGAAGCACGAATCTGCTAAGGCAGTCATACCTCTCAAGCTCCAGACTGTACTTAATTCATGGATAGGACTGAATCCTGAGCTTTTGAACGTCTCGTAGTAGCTTTCGCGAATGTGACTGTGTCGAGTCATATTTACAGTTTGTGAATCTCATCAGCTTCCTGTGTCAGAGGTAACAAAGTGGTTGAAGGCATCTCTTAATAGCTGGTGGCTAACTCCGGCCGTTGAAAGGATGTATCATTAACAATTGCACGCATAAATTCCAAGGGAAAGGATTGTCCACATGGTAGGAAGAGAAGCGAGAGAATGTTAGAAGATTTGGCCTTTCGATTGATCGCTTCAAAGTGTCAGTTCTCCTTGAGGCAATAAAATTGAGTTGGCAGCAAATTTGTGCGACACATCTTCTAGCATGATGTTTGAGTAGGCATGATATACAGACTGCACAAGGCCGTTCAGGATGGCTGAGTTTCGTGCGCTCCCAAATCTTAGAAGTGATAAATTGACTTGACCACAGTGAACGAAAAAGTATCTTTATCTGCCGTTTTGGCAACTTGAATGGTGGACGATTTGGTGCCGGTGGTCTTTATATCGCATATTCGAGTTCTAACAGATACTTGTCACCATACTCCTTGACAAGAGACACGAAACACCACATAAGAGACCGTCAATCGTGTGAATGAAAACGGATGTAAAAACTCTATGAACCTGTTTTCTGAGGAGATTGTCTTCATTTGTGATCAATAAGACCCAGAAAATAATTCAGGTAAGGGAGCGTTTGAGGAATGGGCGAAGCTGACCAACCTTGTGACATTAGGAAATGCCCATCTCTTTTGCACGTGAACGAGACCTTGAAAACTGAAGAGCAGTGGACTAACGTACACCAAGAGGGTTCCTCATTCAACAAGGTTGTATCGAAGCTGAGGGTCACATGCCGATCGGGAGACTTTAGGCCATTGAAAACAGAAAAGACGGCGACAGTGTTGAGTTCTTGTGAAAGTCATGAATCGCTCTAAAATTGAAAAACCCAGAGTCCTCCCATGACATGCCAAACACATTCACTACACTTTCCAAATTCTCATACGGCCACAAGGTACCTCCCTCTGAATACTGCCTACCTCTCTCGGCTTTTCAAGCTCAAAGATATGAGAGTGCTTGGATTGATCAGTCCGGACGACAGCCTGTATAAGGATGAATGAGGAAATACCTAGAAGAACATTGACTGGACGATGTGCTTGCTTGGACCATTCTTCCATGAGAATAGATCGAGCTGGCTAGAAACTCCAGAATGAAGTCTTTTGGTTGCCAGTGGAGTGAAATCGACAAGTAAAATCAAGTCTTGACGTCGATGCCAACTATTGCCACTTGAGCAATACATATATCGTCGGGGGGGTAGATAATGCAATTGCCTAAATATGATCTGTTCCCACAAAATGGACGAGTGCAGGCTGACAAGCGGTAACTTGACTATGAAGACCGAAACCGTTAGAACCAGTGTACATGGCGCTGCCCATAGATTACCCCAGGAACGATATCTTGCTTTTTGACCACGCAAACCCAGAAAAGTAATTATCAAACATCGCAAATGAAAGGGATGGGCTGAGAAGTAGATTTTTGTACACATCTCTAGTATTGATACAATCTTCCATTCCATACACATCATACACTCCCACCATGATCCAACACCCCTTATTCCATGACAACCACGCCACCCAACTCCTTCAATGCAGCCACAATCTTCTCAGCCTCCTCCTTCGGTACAGCCTCCTTCATCAACTTCGGCGCACTCTCCACAAACTTCTTGCTGTCCACCAAACTCAGACCCAGCATGCTCTTAACCTCCTTGATGATCTTGGGCTTGGAGCCGGCCTCGAAAGACATCAGCTTCAGGTTGAAGAGTGTCTTTTCCTGCTGCACTGGAGCAGCCTCTTCCTCCTCAACTGGAGCAGCGGCTGGTGCAGCTGGACCGGCAGCAAATCCTCCCATTGGCATATCTGGGATGTTAAGTCGAGACTGTAAATCGAACCATTAGCAAAAACATATCCCTTGACCTCTAACTAACCAAATCCATACCTTCAAGCTCGCAACCAAGTCTGCAGTCTCCAATAATGTCAATTGACTGATCTGATCCACAATGCCCGAGATCTTGGGGTTCGCAGCAGCTGTTTCCGTCGATGCCCATCTTCTCGCTGGTGTATTCCTCCTTTGTGCCACAGCCGCCGAGGAAAGTCGTAGGGAGGATGAGGATCGCAGAGAGCGGACGCAGCTTCGAGCTGCAGACTGGCAGGATAACGACATGGTGGGTGGAGGTGTGAGGGTTGTGAGAGAGTCGGACTCGTGAGGTTCAAAAATGTGTTTGGGAGAGTTCGCGATGGTTGATCTTTCTGCCAGCCCGCCAAGGTCTGAAAATACGCTAAATTTATTTAGCGTGCGGCCGCCTCGAGGTCTTTATCGCGATAAAAAAAAGTTTGGATAGAGAGGCACGAAATACAGCAAACCTCACGAAGGTTGCGCAGTTACGCACAATACCACGAAATGGCCGCCGACCAGCCGAAAGGAGAGATAATGACTGGCGTGGAGAGTACGGAAATATTAGAGGAGTTACCGCAAGAGATATTGGAAATTATACGGTTGCAAAGCTCCCCGCGATTTCTCGATGCGCTTGCAGTTGCAGCACTCAAGCCGGAATTGACACTTCAACTTTTCACGAGATACGAGGATATTTTTGCGGACACATCTGCGAGATGGATTGTAGGAGGAAGAGAGGGAACACAGAATGTTGGAGTCATTGGAGCTTTTGCGCGGATTTTAACTCTTGCGCCGCATCTATCGACTTTCTTGGAGAGATACCTGGAGAATACCTCGAAGCCTGGACACGACAGAGAACAAGTCAGGATACATTGCCTATGGAACTCGGAGAATGGAATGGATGTGTTGGAGCTTCAGAGAATACTGCTTGCGACTTTGAGACTGCTCGATTTCAACGGCAATACTTTCTCCAGAACCGTTGCGGCCTCGAATATCCAGCTGTACCTCAAGCATGCCGACAGATGTGTACGATACTTGGCAGCCCGAATATTCTGTCAGCTATGTTCAGCTTCGGAGTCGAAATTGGAGGCTATGATTGAGGAACATGTTGGAAAGTCGGAGGCAGTAATGGGAGACTTCGATGGAGACTTGGTGGATTTAGGATTCTTGACTCTATTTGAGGAGAAGCGGCTGAAAATTGCTGCCAGAATCTTGAATCAGAAGTCCAAGTCGTCTGTATTACCAGATTACCAAAGACTTTCAGTATTGGTGGCTCAATATACAAGCACTTTACTTCCACGACCAAATGGGCCTCCATCGGAACCATCTACCATGGTCAAGACAACAACCACCTCGAATAATATGGAGACATTTGCTAAATCTCTCCTTTGTCACTCGCCTATACTTCTCCATGGCTTGGCTGGATCAGGGAAGACATCACTAGTCAATGACTTTGCACGAGAGCTTGGCATGGACTCCAACATGGTCACACTGCACTTGAACGAGCAAACCGATGCCAAGATGTTGATTGGAATGTATGCCAGTGGATCAAAGCCGGGTTCCTTCACATGGCGAGCTGGAGTGTTGACAACTGCTGTCCGAGAGGGCAGGTGGGTCTTTATTGAGGATCTCGACCGAGCTCCAAATGAAGTAATCAGTGTCATTTTACCCCTCATCGAGCGTGGAGAGTTGTTGATTCCCAGCCGAGGAGAGACAATTAAAGCTGGACGTGGATTCAGACTTCTTGCTAGCATCCGAACATCACTAAGTGTAACTGGGCATGAAAACCCACCAGCTTTACATATGCTCGGAGCTCGTCTGTGGCAGCGAGTGCCTGTACAGATGCCGAGCCAGGAGGAGTTCACGCAGATTATCGATGGCACTTATCCGATTCTACACAAATTCCTTCCTGGCATCATAAGCGTGTATGATAGGCTGTACACATTATCGCAGAAACCTTCGTTTGCCTCGAGGAGTCGTACCTCACTGGGTCGGCCGATCAGCCCTCGTGATCTTTTGAAATGGTGCCGAAGACTGGATGGTGTTCTCAGAGCGGCCGGATCGCTGACTGGAGATGAGCCCATCACTGATGCTATCAAGTACGAGATGTTTCTCGAAGCTGCAGACTGTTTTGCCGGCAGCTTGCAATCAGACGACACTCGAAAGACCGTAATTTCTGCCATCGCCGAAGAGATGCATATCGACCCGCAACGAGTTGAACATTTCCTGACATCCCATATCCCGCGATACCAAGATGGCGAGACAGAGCTGACAATTGGGAGAGTGCGCCTGCAAAAGCGTCCGGCAAACCGTGTTTCCAAGCCAGCGAAGAAGTCGAGACCGTTTGCCAATACCACCCATGCTAAGCGGCTGCTGGAACAAGTGGGTGTAGCTGTGAAGATGATGGAACCAGTCCTACTCGTAGGAGAAACTGGTATCGGAAAGACTACAGTCGTTCAACAGCTTGCTGACTCCTTGGGCAACAAACTTACTGCGGTCAATCTGTCCCAACAGAGTGAAGTCGGTGACTTGTTAGGCGGTTTCAAGCCAGTCAATATCCGCAGTCTTGCAATTCCTCTCAAGGATGAGTTTGACGACTTATTCGCTGCAACTGGGATTTCAGCGACAAAGAATCAGAAGTATCTCGAGTCACTTGGAAAGTGTGTAGCCAAAAGCCAATGGAGTAAGGCCAGCAAGCTATGGCGAGAAGCACCCAAGATGTTTGACAAAATCGTCTCCGAACTGAAGAAGAAAGAAGTGGCGAATGGACGACCGGTCGAGCAACGTACGAAACGGCGGAAAACAGAGTCAAGACTTCAATCTCTGCTCCAACTGAAGCCAAGATGGGACAGGTTCACGCAAAGCTTGGTACAGTTTGATATTCAACTATCTGGTGGGTCAAAGGGTTTCGCCTTTACTTTCGTTGAAGGCAACATCGTGAAGGCTGCTCGAAATGGTGACTGGGTTCTTCTCGACGAGATCAATTTGGCTTCACCCGATACCCTTGAAAGTATTGCCGATCTTCTACACCATGGATCTGGTGGCTCACCTTCCATTCTACTATCTGAGACTGGCGAGATTGAACGTGTGAAAGCACATCCCAACTTTCGAATCTTCGGTGCCATGAATCCTGCAACTGATGTTGGGAAGCGGGATCTTCCTATGGGTTTGCGATCAAGGTTTACTGAAATCTACGTTGAAAGTCCTGACAGAAACTTGGATGATCTCCTCGGTGTCATCCAAGCATATCTGAAAGGAAACAGTAGTAACGACGAGAAAGCTGCTCATGATGTTGCGCGCCTGTACCTCAACACTAAGCGACTTGCCGATGACAAGAGACTCGTGGATGGAGCTAATCAAGTCCCTCATTTCAGTCTGCGAACTCTCACGCGTGTTTTAAGCTATGTTGTTGAGATTGCGCCTTCATATGGATTGCGAAGAGCATTATATGAAGGCTTCGCTATGGGTTTTCTCACTCTCCTAGACAGAGAATCCGAAAAGTTATTGATGCCACTGATCGACCATCACTTGTTGAATAGCCACGGTAATGCCCGTGCACTTCTTGCCCAGACACCACGCCGACTTGATGATGGCAAACTTTACAAGGCATTCATAAATAAGAAGAGAGATCGCCAATACTGGATGCTTCAAGGTTCAGAGACTCCACAGGAGCAAGCCCATTACATCAAAACGCCATCCGTTGAACGAAACATGCTTAACCTGGTCAGAGCCACTTCGACAAGACGATTCCCAGTTCTCGTACAGGGCCCAACATCATCTGGAAAAACAAGTATGATTGAATATCTGGCAAAATACAGTGGCAACAAGTTCGTCAGAATCAACAACCACGAACACACTGACTTGCAAGAGTACTTGGGAACCTACGTCTCTGGTGCAGATGGCCAGCTCCGTTTCCAAGAAGGTCTGCTTGTCCAAGCTCTCCGTCAAGGTCACTGGATCGTGCTCGACGAGTTGAACTTGGCTCCTACAGATGTCCTCGAGGCTCTCAACCGTCTACTCGATGACAATCGCGAGCTTCTGATTCCAGAAACACAAGAGATTGTTCGACCTCACGAGAACTTCATGCTCTTCGCGACACAGAATCCACCTGGACTTTATGGTGGCCGAAAGACCCTATCGCGTGCCTTTCGTAATCGTTTTCTAGAGCTTCACTTCGACGATATTCCCCAGGATGAGCTTCAGCAAATTTTAGAGTATCGTAGTCAGAAGGTCGCACCTTCAGATTGTAAGAGAATCGTGGATGTCTACAAAGAGCTGTCGACCTTGCGTCAATCAAGTCGTCTGTTCGAACAGAAAGACAGCTTCGCAACGTTGAGAGATTTGTTCCGATGGGCTCTCCGAGATGCTGATAATCGAGAGCAATTGGCTGCGAATGGATACATGCTCCTGGCTGAGCGTGTTCGGAACCCAGCTGAGAGAACAGCTGTCAAGGAGATCATCGAGAAAGTCATGAAAGTGAAGATTGACCCCACTGTTCTTTATGGTTGTGATTTCTCGCCTGAGATCAAATCGTACAACGAGACATCAAATTCCCAAGGTGTCGTCTGGACTCAGGCAATGCGTCGGTTGTACGTTCTTGTCGCGCACGCACTCCGTAACAACGAACCTGTTCTGCTCGTCGGCGAGACTGGTTGTGGGAAAACTACCGTCTGTCAGATGCTGGCAGAAGCGTTCGGCAAGGAACTCCATATCGTCAATGCCCATCAGAATACCGAGACTGGAGATCTCATTGGTGCTCAGAGACCCGTGAGAAACCGAGCCGTCATCTCGGAGCAGTTGAAGCAGGATCTTCTCACTGCCATTCATAGCCAGGGTGTGCAAGTGACAGAAGATATGGAAGTTGATGCTTTGATGGCGACTTATCATTCATTGCCTCCATCAGCAGCTACGCATATCCCAGAGGAACTACGTCAACGAATCGAGCTCAATCATGGAAAGTCAAAGGCTTTGTTCGAATGGTCGGATGGTAGTCTGGTTCAAGCCTTGAAGGAGGGTCAATTCTTCTTACTGGATGAAATCTCCCTAGCAGATGACTCTGTCCTTGAACGCTTGAATTCCGTGCTCGAAACCCAACGGACAATACTCCTTGCCGAGAAGGGTGTCGACAACTCCTTTGTCCAAGCAGCCGACGGTTTCCAATTCTTTGCTACTATGAATCCCGGTGGTGATTATGGAAAGCGTGAATTGTCTCCCGCACTTCGAAATCGTTTTACCGAGATCTGGGTTCCTTCATTGTCTGAACACGAAGATGTTTTCCAGATTGTGGAGGCTAAGCTCAATGAGAACTTCAAGCCTCTTTCAAAGGCTATGGTACACTTTGCAGAATGGTTTGGCGAGAACTATCGATCATCATCGTCGACTTCCATATCAGTCCGTGATGTACTGGCGTGGGTCAAATTCATGAACGGAACAAGTTCGACGGATCCATACTTTGCTGTCTTACACGGTGCCGCGATGGTGTACATCGACACTTTAGGTGCAAATCCCGCTGCTTTACTAGCTATCAATCCGGACAACATCTTTGAAGAGCGGAAGAAGTGCTTGACTCAATTAAGCACTCTCTTGGAGCACGATATCAGCCCGATATACTTCAAGCCCATCGATCTGGTCAATGGTGACAGGTTCTTGGCCATGGGAGACTTCTCGATTTCAAAGCAGCCTGGCACAGACTCTGATCCAGGATTTGCGTTCAATGCACCAACGACCAAGTTGAACGCCATGCGAGTGATCCGAGCGTTGCAAGTCCAGAAGCCAATCTTGATTGAGGGAAGTCCTGGTGTGGGAAAGACGACTTTAATCGCTGCTCTCGCTCTTGCTTGTAATCGACCTCTGACTCGTATCAACCTCTCAGAGCAAACCGATCTCATGGATCTGTTTGGGTCCGATGTGCCGGTTGAGGGCGCTGAAGCAGGCCATTTTGCATGGCGTGATGCTCCGTTCCTTCAAGCAATGCAGAATGGAGAGTGGGTTCTGCTCGACGAGATGAATCTTGCTTCACAATCCGTACTGGAGGGTTTAAACGCCTGCCTCGATCATCGTGGAGAAGTCTACATCTCCGAACTCGACCAGACTTTCAAACGCCACCCCAACTTCTCCGTTTTCGCCGCACAGAATCCCCATCATCAAGGCGGTGGCAGGAAAGGACTACCAAGCTCGTTTGTCAATCGGTTCACTGTCGTGTATGCTGATGTGTTTAGGAACGAGGATCTCCAGTTGATTTGCAAGCACAATTTTCCCGCTATGCCAGACGAGACCGTCAACACGATTATCGCATTTGTCTCTCGTCTAGAGCAAGAAATCGTGCATCGACGACAGTTCGGCTCTCAAGGTGGGCCGTGGGAATTCAACCTTAGAGACATTCTTCGCTGGCTTCAGCTTCTTGGGTCCTCTGCCCCACTACTTTCAGCTGCTACACCATCTGATTTCCTCAATTTGATCTTCCGACAACGTTTCAGAACTACCAAGGATCGTCAAGAAGTCGATAGAATTTTTGCGCAGGTGTTTTGTACCAATGTACCGTTCCGTCATTTCTTCCATAATACGAGCGCTACTGCGTACCAGGTCGGCGTAGCGTACATGGCGCGTGACGCTCTTATTCAGAAACTTCCGTTCCCGTCTATCGATCCTATCAACCGCCTTCCAGATATAGAATCTGTCATGATATGTATTCAGCAAAACTTACCATGTATCTTGGTCGGACCGTCCGGATCTGGCAAGACGACTATCATTGAACATATTGCTGCCACGAGCGGGAAGTCTCTCGTGGTCTTCCCTCTTAATGCTGACATCGATACCATGGATCTTGTCGGTGGATTTGAACAAGTCGACCCTCAGCGAGCTGCAAGCACCTTCCTCTCTGAAATGAAGGACTTCATCAACACCAAGATTCTTTCTTCACTACCTGCTCCAGTTCCTGCCGAAGCGCTCACTCTTCTGGAACTCTTGAACCTCCCAAACCAATCAACACCAACTTACTTCAATACCCTCGCTGAGAACTTGCTCGCGCTCGAAACCACAACATCTCTCCCTGCTTTCGGCACCCTAGCAGCAACCTGCAATGACTTTGCTTCCAGACCCATGGCTGTCGAGAACGCACGTTTCGAGTGGGTCGATGGTGTCCTCGTCAAAGCTCTAGAGCAAGGCTCCTGGCTCGTCCTCGACAACGCAAACCTCTGTAGCGCATCCGTTCTGGACCGTTTGAACTCTTTGCTAGAGCCAAACGGATTCCTGAGCATTAACGAACACTGTGGTCCTGATGGTGAGCCAAAAATTGTCAAGCCGCATCCAGAGTTTAGGATTTTCTTGACGATGGATGCAAGGTTTGGAGAGCTGTCGAGAGCAATGAGGAATCGAGCTGTGGAGATTTTTGTTGAGCCTTTGAGTGAGGATGCACCCAAGATGGGTCTTTTGAGTGTGAAGCGTGAGGCTGGCATGCGACGATTCCAGAATCTAGCAACGGCTTTGGAAATCCATACTTCGGATCCCGAGCAATGTCGATTGCTGTACGCTGCCGCTTTGGACAATTTATCATGGTCCGATATGCCTCTTTTGTCGCGCTTCGTCCAAGCATTCCAGGTTTCTGTTGAATTCACCAGTCTTAGCGAGTCTTACAACGACATATACCAAGGTTCCGCAAATCAACAACTTAGAGCTGCTATCGGTGGTCTTCTCAGCGAACTCGCAACAAAGAACAAGCTACCAGTTGAGAACTTCCGAGATACACAAGTCTTACACCCTCTGCAGAACTCACCACTGGTTCCTCTCTTCAGCAAGAATTCGAATAACGAATATGCGTTCTGGCTCGGTGCTGTCTTCGATCTCATCCTCGTGATCTACAACGCGACCAAAGCTCACTCTGCACAAGAAAATGGAATCGAGGCTCTGAAGCCTAGCAAGATGAACAGATTACAGCGTTCGCTTGTCAAAGGGCGAGTCTCAGCTGTGACAAAGGATTCGACTGTCAATGTATCTGAGTTCCTCCGTAATACTCTGATGGCACTGGTTACATACTTGCAGAATCATACTGGCTCCAATGACAGGTGGAGAATTCAACAAAAGGCCTTCAAGTCACTGCTCCGATATTGGTGGAACACCTTTCAACTGGCCACATCCCGCAGCTTCGAAGAATCAACGTTCCAAGCCCATCTCACCATTGGGAACGACCTCCTCAGTCAGCTCTCCACCACTGTCCAGACATCAAATTCGCCTATCGCATTCTTTGGCCAGAGCCTGCAAAGCGAATTTTTATCAGGCTTCAAGCTCACTACAGGACTGAGCATGGAACTTCTCTGGCGCCAGCTCCGACCAATAGTGATGCCAAATCTCAACGTCATGAAAACCCTTGCAGAAATGGAACAACTTGCTCTCCGCTTCGATACACTGAGGTGGAAAACTTCTATTCCCGTCGTCGAGTTGGGACATATCATGACTTCTCTCGTCAAGGCTTACAAACTCATCTTGACAAGTGATGTGGATGGATATAGTCTCATCTCGACACTAAATACCGAAATGGATAACCTAGAGAAGAGTATTGGTGGTGAAGAAGATGATAGCGTCACGCCATTCTTCACTTCGCAGTTCGAGGCATTAAGGCAATTCCGTATGCTGGATGTCTTGACATCTGGATCTACCGCAGAGTCTTTTGTTGATGTCGATGCTGTGATCCTTGCCAATCATCCGACAAAATCTGAGATGCAATTTGCGAGCTCTACCACGACCTCTAGAAATCTTCAGGCTATCGACTACTTACTTGGGACGAGCGAGAAGTTGCAGCTGGTATCTGATGGATTTTCTCTCGGTATGCTGAAGAAGCTGAACGTCTGTGGCGATGTGAATTTAAGGTCCCTGAAATTATTCGAGACTGAATTGCCAGCGATGGGCCAAAAGCTGGCACAATCCAGCGCTACGTTGTCTAGAGATCAGATCTTTGACCTGAACGGCGTCCTCTCGACCTTGTTACCCCAAATAGTTTCAGCGCATGGAGCAGATACCGAGTTCCTAGCTTGGTCACAGTCCCTCCCCTCTTCTGTCGAGCCTGGCATCATTGACCTCTCACTATCAAACCCAAGTATTTCCCAGGATATGCTTGTGCCAAGTACACCAATTCAGCTCACAGAGGTCATCACGAAGAGCTTCGGTCCTGCTGTGGTCTCAATTCTAGCCTCGCGATCACAGCCGGATCTCCGGTTGCAGTTCTCCTCTCTGGCATGGATTCATTTTGCAATTGGATGCATCACTCTCTATGTCCCCGATCGAGCCTTTGATCCAGATAAAAGACAGCGACTCGAGCGTCAAAGACATTCTGAACACCGTACAGAAATCCAAGCCAAGCTCGCCGCACTTCGTCAATTTGAACATCTGTTCTCTGGGCAAGAATCGAATCTCAGATGCCAACTCCTGGAGACTGAGCTTGTAGAGCTTGGTGATCCACCTGAGATCCTACAGGAGATCCATCGTCCTGAAGTGTCGGAGATGGATCAACTGCAAGGAGAATTCGGAAACTTGTTGAAGACTGTGCTGCGCTCTGACCTCGAGGCGACAGTAAACCGCTACTTCAAGGCCAGCGATGAGAGTGGCCTACAGCAGATCAAGCTCGCGCAACATAATGTAGCGCAGATCATCCAGAGGCTGTCGGAACGCTTCAAAGCTTATAATGATCTGACAGCACCAGTCATCAGCATGCTTCGATGCTTGCAGATTGGATTGTCGATGGCCACGCTTGTTTCTGCTGCACCATCTACAAAGAACGAGTCGTGTCTAGCTTTGAGCAAAATGACTCCTTTCCTCGGAGGTGGGCCAACAACTGTCAACGAAGACATCATCTCGGCACAACCTATGGAATACCTAGCTCTGATCGCAACGAAAGCTGCAGCCGAGAAGCTGTCATCATTTGGACCGACTAGTCGACGAGCACTATTCAAGGGCTTTCATGGATGTTATGACCAGTGGAAGAAGAGACTCGAATCGGATCGATTGGAAGCAGAGTCGAACTCAGGGTTATACGTCTTCAGAGGAAGTGCCGAGGACGAGGAAGAGGACGACCAAGAGCAGTTCAACGAACTCTTCCCTGCCTACGATGACGAAACTGCAGATAAGCCAAAGGGTGTTACACCCGCGCAATTCGTTATTAGAGAGACAGCCATCGGTCTCGCAAAAGTCCACTCCGAGATCTGCCTGGGCAGCGCTTTGCCTCAAGAAAGTATACTGTCTTCAATCCGAAACATATCTAAACGTATCGGCTCCCTCCACGAGGATGCACCATTCACCGAACGAAAGATGACCCGTGCCCTTTTGCCCGGCACACTCCTTCTCCTGAATGACGAGATCGATACTCTCCAGTCTAGCACCGCACTCCCTGCCACCTACAACTTTTACACGTCCGCCAACCTCCCCGAGACACGGAAACTTGTCAGTCTTGTCCAACAAATCATTACCCGCTTCCGCGATCTGCAAGCAGTTGACGAAATCGGCCATATGCAGCCCTTACAAGATGTTCTTACATCCTGCCACGAACTGATGAAGTTCAGACACACGGAACCACTCGCAAAGATCATCACCAAAGTAGAGAAAGTTCACACATTCATGCACGAGTGGCAATTCGGCGGCTGGGCTAGTCGGGCCAACTCTGCGCTTTCGTTGTATGACGAGTTGACTGCTACGATTGTCAATTGGAGACGTCTGGAACTGAGCACGTGGGCTAAACTCTTCGAGATGGAGAGTGATAAATGCGATGATGATGCGAGATCGTGGTTCTTCCTTGCGTACGAAGTCGTCGTTGCAGTGCCATTACAAATATCAGATTCGCCAGAAGAGTTGAGAGTGTATGCCCGGAAACTGCTCAAAGATCTAGAGGCGTACTTCTCGAGTGCCATTGTTGGACAATTCGTCCAGCGCTTGCAGTTGTTGAAGCAGATGCAAAAACACCTGCAGTTGCTTGCATTAGACATGCCAGCTCTGTCAATCATCCAAGACGCGCTCGCGAACTTCATTGCTCTGTATGCAAGGTACGAGACGCCTGTTCGAGAGAATCTAAAGAGAGGAAGAGTCTCGTTGGAGAAGGCCATGAAAGATATCCTGCTTCTAGCGAGTTGGAAAGATACGAATATTGTGGCGTTAAGGGATAGTGCCAAGAGATCCCACCACAAGCTATTCAAGATCGTGAGGAAGTTCCGCTCGCTACTGGGACAGCCTATGGAGTTTATTCTTAAGAGCGGATTGCCTGATGAAATCACCTCACCCGCAGTGGAAGGCACAAAGACAAACCAAGCGCCTACAGTGGACGAAAATGCACTGGCGCTCTGTGCCTCATCTGTTCCAGACTGGTCCAAGAAAGCGAAGCGCTTCATCAACATCAACAAGACTGTTAGCATGATGGCTGAGACAGCTCAATTCCCCACAGCTGCCGTTGAATGCTCATCCTACCTCGAATCATTCCTCGCCAACATCATAACATCAACCGCAGAACTCCAAAAGGCAACGCCTCCGCTCCTGACAGAAGACAACAAAGACGAAGTCAAGCATCTCAAGACTCGTAAGCGCAAGCTCTTTGCTGATACGCTCAAGGAGCTGCGCCAGATGGGTATCAAGTACAATCTTGGCGCCAATGCGCTTGCACAGCAAGATTCTCTGAGTGTGGTGCTTGCCAACGTTGGGGCTTTGAACCATGTCGGCGTTGACAGTCTGGAGTACTACTTCCACAAAGCGATCGACCTCGTACCAAGAGTCAGAGCATCTGTGCATCAACACAATGAAGATTTAAGCGGTGCCGAGGTTGTGAGAAGTACGGGCTTTCTCGAAGGCTTGCTACAGGTACTCCTCATGCAGAGAAATTCTCTCGCAGAAACTGTCAATGGCATGAATACAATCGAGTTGAATATCAGAATGGTCCAGGGTCTCTGGGCTCCAGGTTCCTATACGGTGAAAGCCTCAAAGGTCACGTCAAATCACCAGAAGCTACTTCATTGGCTACCCAACATCCTAGTTGTTGCCATTGAGCTTGTTACTATACATGGCAAGCTAGGCAAGATTGATTCTAAGGATGTGCTTGGTGTTTTGGCTTCTTGGCATGACCGCTTTGTTCACTTCGCTAGACAGTGGGAAGAGCTTGCATTAGTTCCTACAGGCGTTGTGTCCACGGCATCTCAAGCTCTCGGGGAAGAGATCACGGATGCAGCACAGCAACTAAATATCGAGCTGTCTGGTATCAATGAGCAGCGCCCTGATCTTGCATTTATCGTCAATCAGATCCTACCCTGGACCAATATTACTGCATCATCAGTAGAAATCATTTCCGCTGAACAGACGAGTGCGGACCTCGATCGGAAGCTCTCTACTGTTTGCGACACTGTCCTCGTTGCTATCGAGAAGTACAAGAAAGCTGTTGCGGATCTCCCGACTTCAACCGAAGATCCAGGATGGCTGGTCAAGAGCGATTCGTCTATTTCTGCTGCTATCAAATCACTCCACAGCGAGAACATCTCCGAAGAAGTCAATCAAGCATTCGCTGTTCTCCGCTCTATGGATCTCGAAGACGACACAACTAGCCAAGCAGCCTCAGCCATCTTTGCCGTCTCCCTTCCCATCCTACAACAATATTCCTACACTCTGCAAGAAAGCGTTTCTCGTTATGCATACCTCCACCGCGCTACCTGCAAAGTATCATACATTCTCGCCAAGACATTCGTCCAGATCGCTACATCAGGATTCTGCACACCGTCTGAGAAGTCTGCAGCTCAGGATGGGCAGACTGAGAAGCTTGAAGGTGGAACTGGCCTCGGTGATGGTGAAGGTGCAGAGGATATCAGCAAAGATATCCAGGAAGACGAGAATCTTGATGAGTTGGCGCAGGAACCCAACACCGAGAAAGGCGATATCGAAGATGAGCAAGATGCTGTCGATATGGCTGATGGAGATATGGAAGGCGAGATGGGCGATGGAGAAGAGAAGGAAGAGGGCGAAGGAGAAGATGAGGAGAGTGGTGATGAGATGGATGAAGAAGCTGGAGATGTCGATGACTTGGATGCTGGGGCTGTGGATGAGAAGATGTGGGATGGAGCTGGCGAGGAGAACGATAAGGAGCAAGAAGGTGACGCTGCGAAGGGCGAGCAAAATAAAGATGAACAAGTTGCTGCGGAAGAAAATGGAAAAGAGAATAAAGCTCAAGAGGGAGATGAGGGAGAAGCTGATGATGAGGAAGAGGAGATGGAGGGTGCTGAACAGGGAGAGGAAGTCAAGCAGGATGAGGTTGAGAAACACGATCCTACTGCCCAAGAAGGTGATGCGCTTGATTTGCCGGAAGACATGGAGTTGGATGGCGAAGAGGGAAGTGAGAAGGGGAGTGAGGATGATATGGGTGATCTTTCTGATATTGAAGACGATGAGAAGGAGGGTGATGAGATCAAGAACGATGGGAAGGAAGAAGATGGCGCAGAGAATGCGGATGCGCAAGAAGAGCAGCAGATCGTTGATGAGATGGATATTGTTGATCTTGATGAGGAGCCAAACGATGAAGGTAAAAAGACCGAGGAAGCTGGCGAAAAGGTCGAAGAAGAGTCCGCGGAACAAGAACCCGAGAACGAAGAAGGTCTTCTCCAAGACCGAAACGATGATGCCAATGCCGATGCGGACAACGCGGTTCCTAGCGATGTCCAAGGAGTTGGTGAAGATCAAGATGAGAATTCTCCTGACGACAAGACCGAGTCTGCTAGCAAAGCCCAACGAGAAGATGGTGGCAAAGGAGGGGACTCGTCTGAGCAAAAGGACGCCGCGGCAGAAGATGGTGAAAAGGGCCGACAAGCCAATGGCGACGCACCACAAGATTCTCGCGACGAGACGGAAGACGCTGCTTCTGCGCAGCCCTTCAAGAAACTCGGTGACGCTCTCGAGAGCTGGCATAGACAACAATCCAAGATTCGGAATCCTGAAGAGCAGAAAGAACAAGGACAAGACCAGAAATTGGAAGATAATCAAGAAACATCCGAGTTCCAGCACTTGCAGGACGAGAATGCAGAGGCTGATGCACAAGCACTTGGCACTGCGACCGAGGAGCAAGCCAAGGCTCTGGATGAGAGCATGGCTGTTGATGAGGAGAGTAAAGAGTTGCCTGAGCAGTTTCAACCGGATGAGGTCGAGACCGACGATGTTGAGCACGATGTGATGGATGTTGAGGAACCTTCTACGCCAAAAGAACAAGAACCGTCTGATGCCTATGAAGGTCGCGCTGGAGCAATGATCAAACAAGCCAATCCCGTCAACGATGAAGATCTCGATGCCAAAGCACAAATCCAAGAGCTCGAAGAGGACGTTGAAGAAGTAGACAACCAGCTTGAAAGCACTCATCTCGACGGCACCATCGACCCTCAACTCGCAGCCGATGGCCGTGCACAGTGGATGCACTACGAGTCCCTTACTCGCGATCTCTCCCTCTCACTCACCGAACAGCTCCGCCTCATCCTCGCTCCAACCCTAGCCACTAAAATGCGCGGTGACTTCCGCACCGGCAAACGTCTGAACATCAAACGTATCATTCCGTATATTGCCTCCCAGTACAAGCGCGACAAGATCTGGATGCGCCGCTCTGTCCCCTCCAAACGCAGTTACCAAATTATGCTCGCCGTTGACGACAGCAAAAGCATGGGCGAGTCCGGCTCCGGCGCCCTCGCTCTCGAGACCCTCGTTATGGTCAGCAAGAGTTTATCCATGCTAGAAGTCGGCCAGATCAGTGTAGTCGGCTTTGGAGAGACTGTGCGCGTCGCCCATGACTTCGATATGCCGTTTAGCGCGGATGCTGGGCCGAATATCCTGAGCCAGTTCTCCTTCCAGCAGGATAGGACGGATGTCACGAGGTTGGTGAGGGAGAGTATTGAGCTGTTTAGGGCGTCGAGACAGAAGGCCAGCTCGTCGCCGGCGGATTTGTGGCAGATACAGCTTATTATTTCGGATGGAGTGTGCAATTCCTCGGAACATGATACGATCCGTCGTTTGTTAAGAACGGCATTGGAGGAGCGGATCATGATGGTCTTTGTTATTGTGGATGATGTGAGGAAGAAGGGGAAGGGGGAGAGTGTGCTTGATTTGAGGGAGGCGAGGTTTGTGGACGGGAAGGTGGAGATGGGGAGGTACTTGGAAGGCTTTCCTTTCAGATATTTCCTTGTTGTGGGAGATGTTAGGGAGTTGCCCGGTGTGCTGGCGGGTGTGTTAAGGAGCTGGTTCGGAGAAGTTGTTGATGCTAGCTAGAATTTTTGTAGAGATTTTTGCATTACTCGGAGTTTCGGTGGTGTCGGAGTTTGGACGCTGTAGCATTTTTTGGCGTTTAAGTACAGGCAATCGAAAAATAAACATTGTGGTCTTCCGACTTCGAAGTTTCGCTTGCTTCACAGTGATAAGTGTCTCTCACGGATATGGCGAGTTAGGCCTGCATGACCTCAATGCACGCGAATTCTGACTTGGGCCTTCAAATGTCCAGCTTTTATATTCTCTCAACTTTTCATGTGACACAATCCAAACCACCACGTCATATGATATCTAGCTAGAGCTTGCTCGGGATGAACTACGCTGTTGGTGCTGGCTCGGGTGCGTAATCCGTGATCATCGGAACCAAGCACTGACAGCTGGCGGAAATGGGATCCCAATGCATCTTATGGTCCCCTCCACCGCAATATATCTTGTAGTTCTCACACACAACGTCTGGTGGTGGTTCACATGGCTGACAAGCACATCGTTGCAGATCTTCGTTCCACTGTCATGGAATTAACAAACGGACAGAAATAAGTCAGACATTCTGCCATCACAGATCTAAATGTGTGATGTGATGGCTGAATCTCTCAACAGTGATAAGGGGGCATGGAACTCAATACGTACGTGTGAATGTCTGTCTCCACAAGGACAAAGGATCTTCAACAATGTACATTTGTCGACTGAAGGGGTTGGAGTTGGTGCAGGTGAAATGGTCTTTGTTGGCTTGTCCTGAGGAACGACATCTCGTTTGGCAGCTTCGACGGCGGTGTCCGTCTTCAGACAATTGCATTTCTTGGTAGCAGCATCCCAAAAGGGTGATGACCCCGGAATGCATGTAGTTGCTGCAATACAGATGAAAGCTTCATCTTCTCTTGGTTTACAGTAACATGTTCTGGATATGTTGTCCCAGTCCGGAACCATTGGGACGTCGTATTCGACACAAATTGTATCTTGTAGACACTTTTGCTCTTCCAGATTCTTGGGAATGCAGGTGCATTTGCGGGTCTTTGAATCCCAGAATGGAGAGGAGCCGACGATGCATGTGGTGGATGCGAGACATTTCGAGACTACATCTTTCTGAGGCTTGCAACTGCATTTCTTCATTCCGTCATCCCAGACTGGAATCATCGGGGTATCGAACTCGATACAGATGGTCTCAAGCAGACATGTCTGCTCGTCTTTGCTGGGGCCGGGGGCGGATGTTGGCTTGGCGACAGAAACTTGTTTCTTTTAGCATCAAGCAAACTAGCAGTGTATATTTCCGAACATACCAGCTGAAGTGGAGGCGGTTGAAGATGCAGGAAGAGCAAGGATGCTTCCAACCTCGGCCAAGACAATGACAGCAGAGTAAACGAATTTCATGGTTGCGCGCGGATCCCACATGAATTATTTCGGTGTGCCTTTGAATTGTATCTGAACTTCGCGCTGGCCGATTGTTATATAGTAAGTGAGGATAACTCGGAGGTAATGATTTCTCGCCATCTTGAGTGTTTTTTTTTCTTGTTTCCAACATCAGCTATGAGCCGTACAGGCTGAGAGGTAACACTTGAAAACACGAGTTGGAATTTCTGGGCGTTGGGCCTGTATATTAGGCAAGTATGAACAGGTGACGAGGGTCGTTTAAAGTTTGTATTACCTCGACTTGAATCGGAAGCCAAGTCCGAGCATTTGCAGGCTGAATCCATCGGCGCGGCCTAAAAATATCTCGACTTTGGATAAGCGAGGTCATGTTCAATGACAGGAAACACATTCTTGACGGGAGAAATGTCTGGCCTGATCCTGCGAGAAAGGATGCAATTGATTTTTATCGAAAGATCTGGCATGGGCGAAGGTCACTACGTCTCCGAGCTACCCGCGAATAAATTACTCTCCAACATGAGATTATCAGGGCTGCACTCAAATTCTCCAAAAGGCTTGGAAAGTTTCTTGTTACAAGTTTTCTTTCATACTTATGTAGGTACATTTCATGTTATTGGGTTCGGACACTTATCAACCAACAAGCCAAAGTGCCAAGTCTGCAGCCAACAAAACTGACATAGTCACGGCCATGAAAATAGAGAGGCATGAAAAATGCACGCACATCGTTTCAAATAGAGCTCCCCACGATCATTTTCACTTTCAACATTGGGGACCGTATCAATAGAGGCAGCATTGGTAGTTGGAAGGCCCTGGGCAGTATCCCCTGAAGTAATTTGTGTAAGCTCAATTCCATAGTAGCTGAGAAAGATGATGAAAGAAATACTCACGCGACATGAGTTCTTCCTTGGCTGTTGCACCAGCTAACAGTGTGACAAGTACCCGTGTGACTCTTGCAGTCTGGAATGTAGCAACACTTGACGTCGTCGGGATCGAATGGGCAGTCGCCATTGCTGGTAATTCCAACTTGGGCAGATGCCCTGCACCAGGTTGTCTTCTGGCAGGTACCTTTGTCAGGTGCATCCTATGACCGAATATGTTAGAATGCACAACGAGGGTTTTTTTTTAAATTGGCAATGCGAAGCTTGGACCTACGTCTTGCTGACAGTAGCTTCCGATGGCTCGTTGCTCAAGAATATCGGCATTAGCTTCAGGAAGAGCTTCTGGGAGAGCTTCTGGGAGAGCTTCTGGGACAGCTTCCGGCTCTGCTTCTGGAACCGCCACGCCGAAAGCGTAGCTGGCAAGAAGTGACACGAGGAGGATCTGTAGTCTCATGATGGCTGCAGGATGCGGGATGAGTTTGAGAAGAGTTAGAGGTGTGATTTTCTGGTTTTCACAGTAGATTGGATGATGTTGATCTATCAACTGATGGGAGGAAATCTTTGACTTGATATAGTGGCCATCTCGATACACCATAACTTCCTCATCAAGTGCGAACCTTGTGGAAACTCTGTCGACGATGCCAATTACGGTAAGAACTCCATTTATCACTGCTCAAGTGTTTTTCTCCTCTTCAAAAGTACCATACATCTGCAAGACGAAGGCTTTACATTGGCTTTCGAACGCCATGTCAATAGAACTCACATCGAAGGATCCGTAAGAAAGAAGCCACAAAGGAGTTTTCTTCCAAGCAGGACCATTTATAGGTGATACAGAAAGCCAAATATAGATGAACCGGTGCAAAAAAGGTCCGATCATCAGGGGAGCTGTAAGTTCTGGAATATCTTGGTCCGGTTCAATTGAGGCTCCATGCATCTCGGGTTACATTGCATCTCGCCAAGAGCGGGGTCGTGGACGGTGCCGAGATTCGAAAGTGTGAGATCGGATGATTTGAAGGCCACCCGAAGCTAGGTAATGGACAGACAGCATCAAAAGTCTCCAATTGTATTGGTGAGTTCCAGGTCAAGCAATATCGAGTGCCTTGCCTGTGGCTTCAAATTGGGAGACGTGCATAAGCGAGCGCGGTTGACAAGGCAAAACATTGGCCTGTCATCCGACTAGAGCCAGCAGTCTGGCAAGTCCAAAGGAAATTTTTCAGAATCAATAAGGGGAATTCAAAGCTATGCAGCTTCTCACGACCTGTTCGGATGAGGTCAGACTGTCGACTAAATAAGGTACCTCTCTCTTTCCTCTCACTATCACGTGATTCACCAGCCATCATATGAAGCTTCTGTCCCTCAATGGGTCTTAGCTACGCAGGGCTTTGACTCAAGGCGTGCACTGCTATTATCAAACAAATCTAAAGAGCGGATGAATGACATTCATTTTGAAGGGGCATACAAGAACTTGAGAGTTTTTAAGTGGAATGTCTGTTGGAGTGGTTGTTTCGTTGGCGTTAAGGCAGGGGGGTTTCAAATATCTGAAGTATAAAGTGTCTCGGTATAAGGTCTGTGATACATGTAGCCTCTATTCGTTACCTGGAGTCATTGATGAAGCTTGTCCAGCCACCTCAAGAACGAAGTCCTGGTCCAAATATCGACCCTAAACCACAAGGTTCCGCCACAAGTAATGACATGCACACTTGATGTATAAGATGATTCACAGAATCTAATTATATGCTTTGAAACAGCTATACTATTTGATAATCTGGTGAGCCAACCTCAACGAATTCTCGCTGAGGAATCTTACCCGAAGTGGCCTCGCTTAAGCCCAATGGGAGAAAACACCAGAATATCAGAATATCAATGGCAGGCAAGACCGGAAAACGCACGACAAGTTCCTTGAAAATGCCTAGAAAGCTGATTTTCGCCTGTTAGCTGCAAGTATGCCATCGGTAGAAACCATTCGACGGCTAGCAGACCAAGTAAGAGGAGCTGGACCACGCTGTGAACTATAGTTTGAAAGTTGAACTGGTTCTTCCAGCAACCGCCAGCTTTTGAACGCAGTCGGACGCTCCGCCATAAATAAATACAGAACCTGACAATCTGCGTGTGTCATGACAACTGGCGGAGGTGTATCAACTATCGGATTACACGTTCGGTCTAAGCAGGTTGCAACCAAACTATCACGCTGATCATCGTGTCCGATGTAAAATATCAGGACAACCTGATGCCACATGAGAGCTTTAGCAGATGAAAAAATCATCACAACCTCAGGAAATGGTCAAGTAAGCGCCATATATAAACTGGAGAGAATATATTCTCGCGCCGTAGCAGATTTATTCCCCTAGTAACCAGTACGGCAATTGTTCGTCAATGCCGAGGTTCCTGCAAGTCAGGTTTTCTCCCACCAATCTGTTGCCCTGAAGCGGGTTCGCCCAGGCTTTACAACGCCGAAATAATAGGGAATTTAATCGCCTACGAGGAAGTGTTGATGCGCCAATGTGGCACAGTCCTCGCCTAGCACTGCTGACATGGGCATAAGCCAACCAGGGCGATATCAGAATACGGGGCAAAAGTGAGCACTAGGGCTACAACTTCAAAAACAACGACAAATGCTTGTCCAGTTCGTCTCGTCATACTTCCAAGCTATGATTTCCCAACACGATGTTCCATTCCATGTGCGATGTTTTCCCACTTGACTCAAGCCCGGGCACAGATCGTGATTCATCTGACATCTCGCTCCGCCCACTCGCGGTGAATAACAGCGATGGGTCGAAGTCCTACAATTCGAAGGAGAAGGAAAAGGAGAAGAAAAGTAGAAAGGCGATGCCGAAATCGCGGACCGGATGCAAGACTTGCAAGTATGATGTTCTCGCCCAAATTCTGCGGCTGAGTGGGGCTAACGGGCGTGAAAGACAGCGGCACCTCAAATGCGATGAAGGACGGCCCGCCTGTCAGCGGTGCCTTAAAGCCAGTTTCATCTGCGATGGCTACGATTCTAAGAAAGCCGTAGTAGTAGATCGTAGATCCGCGAACAGAGAATTGCTTCCCAAGGTGGCTGGATCGTACGGTCCACGAGCTCCAGAGGGCAAGATCTTGCTCCCTGCACAGCATGGGCTGCCAAGTCATGCGCTGGGTACTCAACCGCAAGATATGGAGTATTTTCAGTACTTCCAAGAGCAGACTATCCTTGAACTCTGCGGTGGATTCGATGAACCTCTTTGGAATCGCTTTATTCTCCAAGCATGTCAAGAGGCTCCTTTCGTACGGCATATTGCGCTTTCTTTGGCCGCAAAGGGCAGGGCAGAGAAAGCGAAGCAAGCAATTCCGTTGAGAGATCGGAGCAGTGCACATGAAAGCTATGCGCTGCGAAAATATTCAACATCGCTTCCCCAGATCCGACAATATCTCGCTGGGACAAGTAATCCGGATCCTAGGATGTTCCTCGTGGCGGGGCTTCTAATCTTTCTGTTTGAGTTCCAGCAAGGAAATAAAGATATGGCTACGAAGCAGCTGAAGACCACCTTGGCCTTGTTCAAGAACATGCGATCAATCAAGACAGAAGGATATACGCACGTTCACCACCTAGACTTCCCCGATAATCTTGAAGAAGCTGTTGTCGAGATGGTCGTGCGGCTGGAATCTCACATCTCCAACGGTCACGGTGAGCAGAGTGAGAAGAGCCTTGGTGTTATACATGTGTACAACGCCTCGCCTGTTTGGTTCCCCACGGAATTTACCAGCGTTTTCCAGGCTCAGCGCTTTCACAATCATATCCAATACTGGGGCAGTCCCAATTTTGCTGGGGACGCGTCGAAGTACGTCTTTGCGTATTTAAAACGAGCTTCAGGGGTGCATTGTGAGATTCCTGAGCCGAGGGTTGTGCCGGTTGAGGAATACAATCGTCGTTTGAGGGAAATGAAACAATGGGGAAGGAGCTTTCAGCCTCTCTTTGCGAAGTTAAAGGCCACGGAGAGTAAACAATATGCCTGTGGATTGGTCCTGTACATTCAATGGCTTGCGTTTATGATGGTTATATGTAAGAGATTGGGCTGGGTTCTTGGAGAATGCTCGGCTGATGGATCTCCTGCCATTGAACCGACCGATGAGAGCGTTGACGATCTTTGTCGGAGAGGGGTACGATCTGGGGAAGAGCTTTGTGCGAATAAGTACTTCCTGAGGTGCTTTGTCTTCGATGTCGGAGTACTGCCGACGTACCTTTTATTCATGCTTGGCACGGAAGATATGGATGTCAGGTATCGGATCACCCAAGTTTTAAGAGGGATGATACCCAGGAGGGAGAGTGTGTGGGATAGTGCTGCTGTGGCCGGAATAGCTGATTTCCTTTTTAGTTGTGGACCATCTTTAAAAATACCCTGATATTTGAAAAGTTACATAAAGAAAGATCCTGTCAACAGGTCCCAGTGCGGTGAGCCTCGAGGAACCAGGACTAAATAGCCATTCTGTGTGCAATCACACCATCCTCGCAGCTCTGTGAGAAGTGTTGCCAAACGGCAATTGTTCCGCCTCACGCTCTTTCATTTGATTAGCGTTATATTCAGAACTTTCCATCCTTTCGTTGCCGTGATAATGAGAACCGGAGAAAACTGTCTGGTCGATTTTTGGCTAGGTATTCCGGTGGCGTGGCAGCCTGGTATGATGAGAAGTGATCAGTGGATGAGGATCCCGTCAGTGGGGAAAAGACGTGTCCTGAGCGACTACATCCGCGAACAAAACAAATAGATTGAACCTACCTCCAGTGTGTAAGATTGTTCTGTGGTGTGGTGTGGTGTTTACACTGCCCCCGCACATGCAGCATCACACTCGCTTACAGTGCAGCCTGCCCAGCCACAGGATTTATCCCGTGCTGACATTTCGGTGAAAGAAAGAAACTTAATAAACGCTCAGTTTGAGCCGAGGCGCCAACGATTCTTCTCAGACGGTTTCGTCCCTCCGCTGCTCAAGTCAAAGGCCGAAACATCAAGGCTGCTAAGGCATATGACCCGACACTCTGGAGTAGCCAAAAGCTGTAGAGATCAAGACTCCCAAGTGCAGATGGCGAAGCGAAGATGAATACACAGTATGCACATAACTCGAGCAGCTATTCTTTCAATTAATACAGAATCAGCTACAAGTCAGACGAACTTGAAGTCTTTCCATACATTGGCTTGAGTCTTCCAGCTATGACTACCCACCGTTATGTATACGGTCTGACAGATTCGCCAATGGACGATGTGAGCGATTTCATTACAATCTAGCCATGAAACAATGAATAATACATACATGAATAGCGGGTGACGCTTGGACCTCGGTACATTCAGGTTCGGCCATTATCTGAGATGAGAAAGTCATCAACTGCCAGGACTCCACTGATTGGACCCGTGCTCTGGTAATGCACACAGACTCTCTAGAATGTTCTGGCTCACAATCAGCCAGCATCTTCTTCCGACATTCTTCTAAATCGAAGTCATCTTGAAGGGTTGGGGAATGGCAAAGGGCAAAGCAAGGCTCTTCGGCGTAACCTGGCCGCTGTAGAAGTCCCCTTCTGAACATATTCCAAAGCTATCAGAGGGATCTCCAGGTCCCCTACGTACAAGATCCAAAGGATTCTGCTGCTATTCAGTATACTATTGACTGGCTTTGAAATAGCATCATACCTCCGAGCCAAGCAATGCTCTGATGAAATTGAACTTATATTCCAGGCCGCCCACAAACAATATGTTCTTTTCCTAATGTCACGTAAGCCTCAGTGTTGATTATTGGTAGTTCGAGATGTCTAATTGCCTTGTTCTTATTCTCATCCTCACTGTCATCGAACCCGAAACCTCGCCAAGTCCCTACGTTTGTCGACTTCCCCCAAAAGCCGCTGCCGGTCAACTTACCAGCACTCCAAGCATCTGCCGAAACGCCGATGCTAACTTGCTTTGTTGCGCCTTCCCAATAAGTGATCGAGCACCGCGGAGTGGAATAGAGCTCCGTGACAATGAATAAGGGTCGTCGTTTCAGCACTGGGCCAAATATCTTGTCTGCGAGTAGAATTGGCGCATTGGCTTTGCACCACTGATGGAACTGCTCTTTATGTGGGAAGGACTCGAACGTGACAGGGTCAGCCATAAGAACAGCACCATAGTTGCTTGACTTCTCGAATGCAAGATTCACGCCTGCCGAAGCTGGTGCTCCCGGAATGCTAAGAGTGATTCGTTAGTCGTAATTACTGTAGTTATTGATTGAGCTACGTCCAGACATACACAATGCTTGTGGTTTGCTCCAAGCCACAAGATGTGACTGTGTTCCCGAATATTGGTCCCCATCGCTGAGGTTTGCTGGAGCTTGCTACGGGCAGCGGTGACGATAGCGGTTTGTAGTTGCTGTGCTGAGACTCGATGTTCATGAGATCAAGTATGTCTTTCCATCTCCCATTCTCATCAAAGTAGCCGCAATGGCCAACCTTGAGCCCTTCGCTATCGGGATGATAAATCGGATCCCCAATGGAGAGATCCTTCAGAGACTGTATATAATATTGGGCAGCTTTTGGAGACATAATTGCATCCCTTCTTAGCTTCCTCTGAGTATGGTTCTGATTCAGTTTCCGATTTCAATCTGATGGTTCTGGTGTACTAGGGGAAGCGGGGCACACGTTCTAGTTCCAGCTCTCAATACCACGAGTCCCCAGCCTTTAAAGGCATTTCATGCTTCGGCCTTATGGTGCCTGTCAATCCTCTCGTGCAAATCCCTTTCTTTTTTTTTTTTTTTTTTTTTTTGGCTGTGTTGGAGTGGCTGAAAGGGCCAAACATCATTCGTACGGCGTGGGCTAACGAGCGGGGTATGCATTAGGCAGCTGAACCAACACGCCTTGTCCTTAACTCAGCTCTGAAGTCAGCTAAGGAAAACATATGCGGAGTAGCGAATTCGAGCTCATCCTCCTACACTGTTGGCATTTTTTGTTTATGGTGCAATGCTTAGTCGGCGTGGTCACTAGCTGTTCGCCCTTAAGGCGAGGCCAGCGCTCTGGCTAGGGAATCAAGTCTTTGACACCTGCACACATTCGTACCGTATTACATACAAGCTATGGAGGACGTCCTCGAACAAATCAACCAAGCGGCCAAAGGGGCCTTCCCGAACTCAATTACCAAATACAAATCTGTCAATGTGCTATTGCTTTCCTGGGAAGACGATGATCTAGGGGTCGAAGGTGATGTTCTGGAACTCAAAAAATTGTTCGTATCTGGATATGGATTTGACGCTGAACATTGGAAGATACCTTCCATGAAACCAGATTTCAAGCTGTCGAGTAAGCTCCTCGATTTTGTTACCACGCACGAAACACCCGACCCGAGGGACAGTCTCTTAATCATTTATTATGCGGGACATGGCTATCTAAACCCTCAGCGACAATCCGTGTGGTCATGGTGTGTAATATCCCCAGTCCCGATTGACGTTGCATGCTTCGTTTCTCCTAGGTTTCTTCACTAGGAGAAGTACCTAGTCTTCTTTGCTGTCCCGTCTCTTGCTCCCCTGAGATTACATTTCGTAAATCTCGTCTTTGTTGTTGTTGTGACATCAAGTAGTAAGTACCGCATAGAGACTAATTATTATACATAAGCCGTTCTTGGAACCCTTACGAGTTTTCCTCAAATCCTGTTGAAGTTGAACCGCCGAGTGTTGAGTGGCATGCCCACGAAGCCATATGCAGTAAGGCTGAGATGGATGTTCTCTTCTTGTACGATTGTTGTAGCGCAGCCGGAAGTGCTAGTAAGTTGACCAAAAAGGGTATCAAGGAGGTTATCGCCGCATCTGGATTTGAAACATGGGCCCCGGGTGAACTAGAGCACTCTTTCACCAGAGCCCTCATTCAGGTACTCGGATCGTTGTCACGGGCTCGTCCTTTCACGGTGGCCAGCTTGCATCAGCGGGTTCTTGAAAAGCTCCAGCGCTGGAGCCCTCAAATTGATGGCACGCAGTTCCGGACAGTTGCGAGCGACGGCCGCCTGACAGATATTGAACGAAGAAAGACGCCGGTACATATAGCGCTCAATCAGCAACCTGATTATTATCATAGCAGTATACAGCTTGTCGGACTGCTTGCACAACAACCTGGTGATAGCTCTATGAGATCTGACGAAAGATTTGCGCGCTGGAAAGACGGTACAGCAGATTATACAGATGTGATAATATCACTACGCATTCAAGCGAAACACAATCTCGAACCCGAGCAGATAGCGGAATGGATAAGAGATGTTCCTATGCTCGCCATGAGTATCAAGGTGCACGCCGTGGTGCATACAAGCGCTACGTTAGTCTTGCTTGCCATTCCAGTCGCTGTGTGGGACCTTCTTCCAGCAAATGTGCCTTGTTCATTTGTTGGATTTGCGAACACTTCGAACTTGATGTTTGGAAAGGAGCATCTTTTCATTTGGGATGAAGAGGAACGTATGAGATGGCATTCTGATTCGCGACAGCACTACCTGGTACACAAAGATAGACCATGCGCAACTGACAACCTTCGGAAGTGGTAGTACGATCAATACTTCCGATACTCCTCCGGTATCGAATCAGATACCCCTCAAACGAAGTATGCGACGCTCATGCAGAGCAAATGTATTGGTCATGCGCTTCTCAGGCCTCAGTCCCCTGACCTGTTCTTCCCTGGTGCCTGCGGGTATTTGACTGACACATTGCAACCCATAATGCTTCAAGGGGACCGTCCAAAGAAGGAGGCGGTTTCTAAGGAGTTGTATCTCGGACCCAAAGGGGCCGGCTCGTTTGGAGGGTTATCCTTGCAAGAGTATGTTTTGTTCCTTTGGCCGACATTCTTGTTCTATAATTCTGGCCGTGACAATCTGACAAGAAACAGAGGTGTTTTCATTTCATATGCGTTGCGAGATGGTTGGGGGGCTTTGCTCATTCCCATGCAGCAGGTCGTTCACCACAGCATTCCAGAACCCGACGATCTCCTCATGTGGGTAAACGTGAACGCGCAAAGTATTCTCAATCAACACCCAGAAGTTAAGAAACATGGATTCTACCTTGTTTCTGGCACGTACACTACAAATGATTTCTATATTCTTGTTAGAGACGGTCCAGCTGAGGCGAAGTCGTTTGTCCTTCGACGAACCTCTCAGGGGAATTTCGGGCCGCGATGGGTGATTCCTCACTATCCACGTGATAATATCACGTCAGAACTACACTTCGAGGAACAGGCTGTCATTTCCTTCGAAGGATTTCACTTTACATACAAGAAACTTTCAGTTCAAGTATAACCGTCCTATGATGAGCAAGCCCATATCACAATTACTGATCTTTGGTGTAGCGAGAACGCCATTCCACGACAATTGTTCAAGGGGAAGACTCGGAAAACGAGAAGGCTCTTTACGAATTTGAATATACCCCGTTCATTTGGCCAGCTAATGACAGGTCGATGGAATCGTGGTAGCATCATGATGAAAATTGAATACTTACTGTCGTTCGTCCATTTTCTCTCCCAACTCCAGATCTAACCGTTTCCGGCTGCAATTTTACAGTGGCGAGAGAAGGGAGAAAGAGTAGCGGCACAGAAGTATTGGTGCTAATTTATATCCCTTACTTTTGAACTCGATGAAAACTGTCTATGGTCATAGAAGTGAACCTAAGTAGAAGTCCGATCGGATGGAATTAAGAAAACAGATGCGCAGAAAGCAGAGCGAGTTTCATGTGCAAAATAAATCATGGAGGACTTGGAGCATCAAAGGATACATCTTCTTGAAAGTTCTTTGAAAGATCTTTTCCTTCCAGTGGCGGGAGCAAAGCTAGGGTAATCTTTCCTTTCAGGTCTGTGATGAGGTGTCACTATCCTCGTGAGTAGCATTAGGGGAACACAGAAGAGTCTCCTTTTTGTGTAAAAGATCGTCGGAAAAATATTGGCTCAGAGGGGCAGGCATGGGAATATGGAACAAGTTTTGCAGCATATTTATCCTGAATTTGCTTGGCTGATTTGGAAGTGAAATGCAATAAAATGTAGTCACAACGATGCTCTTCCGCCCATAACTTCCCATTTCTCATCATGCGCCGGCCCTGTGCAATGCTTTCCTCGACGTGGACTCTGGGGGAGACCGAGTCCTTGAGAATTCAGTCACATCGAAACCACAGGAGCCTGGATTGGGTGGCCGCATCTGACTGCTGCAAGCTGACAGTCACTTGACATGGTCTCAGGCAAATGGATGAATCAAGCTAAGAACTGGCAAACAGCGGAGGATCTGAGAATCAGAACAACTGCACATATAGCTCGGGCTTAAACTTCTGGTTGCACTCAGATATATAAAAGCAGATTCTATATCACGCCTGTCTTTCCTTTCCTGGGACAGGGGTCAAGACTCTCGATCAAGCTATAGTAACAAATGACTCCTCGGACCCGCACATTCTAGGATGACCATTCCCTTACTTCCGACTCTTGCTTTCACCACCTTGCGAATATCCTGGGCCTAAATCATGTATCGAAAGGCAGCAATTCCAGATACGAAGTTGCACTTCTGCTCTGCGTCGTCCTAGAAGGTATACTCCTGGACAAGTCCGCCGAATAGGGCAACGAGCATGTGCTATGCTCACTTCTTTGTAGGGATGTCGAGATGAATTGTTTCAATTCTATTGCCGTGTGCATCATATGCGACAGCCGTGATGTGGTCTTTTGGATCCCCAGCACTTTTGTGATCGCCCTCCCTGATTCATCGTTAGATGGACACGTCTCAAGAATTGAGCAATTTTGGTCAGTACACACCTGGAAATAAGCTTCTTGGTATTTGGAGGTAACGGCTTCGTGCTCTTTTCAGCTGCTTCCTTCAGAGCAGGACCATGAGCCGCGGCAACATCTGAAGGTCTCGCAGTGTAGTCGATAGTTGAACGGCTGTTCAACGATATCGTTTTGAGGCTTTTGAACGAACTGACGTTTCTATACCTAATAACGAACCGCCGTTCGTTTTGTAAGTATATAAACTAACGGAACGAGGTCGTTGCTAAGAACGAACGGATAAACTTACCTATAAATCTGCCTCTACTATGTCTCTAGTTACTTCCTCTACTCCTGGCCTTTTTAAAAGAGTATTCTGTTGAACCTCCGTATCTTTAGCTTTCATTTCCTACTTAATTGGACCGGTTCACGACTTTAAACACTCCAGATATTTAATTATATATATACCTATCTTATTCCGACGATCCGAAAGAGTGATTTTTACTATAGAAAACGCGTGTTCTAGATCGCTAGATATCGCTGGAAGTGAGAGTATATTAAGAGCTATTCTAGAGAGGTTTAGAAAGGCCTTTTATTACGTAGGCTTAAGCTACTACTTAATAGCGTTATTATAGCTGTAAACACACTCCGTCTTGTAATATTGGTTATATTCGTCTGTAATAAGGGTCGGCGTATCGATCTAACGTAGCTAGAGCTCGAACTTGTTAGTAAAAGAGGTATAAAGCGTTGGAGAAGTTAGAATAGTTGATTTTAGCTTGTATTCGTTGTCTTAGAGCTTCTGAACAGCTGCCTTTACTTTCTCCTGCTAAGAGGGCCTCCAGAACTTCTCGATATACGACTATTTACGTGCGGGATTTAATAAGAGAGCTATAGCGTAGGCTGGAGATTCGTTACTTTTACTATAATATTTGTCTATTTTCTGCTATCCTGAATTAACTATTGCAGATATCTTAACGTTATCTTAATACCTCTCTTTAGCTTTCTTAAAGTAAGTAAGTATAAAATCTATTGAAGGGAGAACTTAGTCGAGAGAGGCTTCGTAACTTTTAAGACACTTAGTAGATGATTTCAGGACTCCTAAAAAGCTCTTAATCTCACCTAAAATCCTTTAATCTTCAGTATCCAGGTGATCCGGTTCGATTTCCATGTCTTTATAAGTTGTAAAATATTCCTTAATTACCTCCTGTAATAACAGAGTAACCTTAAGTATTAAAAACTAAGAGTTCTATCGCGTAGAGTTATCTCTATAGAGGTGATAATTCCTAGATAAGGTGAGGAACCTTTGGAGCCGTAAGGTGCTATATTATATAAAAACGATGAAATTATAAAGCTTCCTAAGAGGTCCCTTTTAACGCTATTCCCTTATCTCTTCTATTATTTATTGCAGCTATCGGTTTATTATTATTTCATTCTCTGTAGATTTAATCGATTCGTCGTTAGTAATAAAAAGGAAGGCTTTCGCAGTAAGGTTAATGATATAGCCGGTATAGCGTAATCGGTGAGTAGTAGGGTTATATCGAATACTGAAGGACTCATGAAGATCTTACTTAAATTATTAGTAAAAGCTATAAGGAAAGCAGTAGACTTACTAAGAGCAAGAAACCTTATTATTATATTATTATCTACCGTGTTATCTATTATAAAATACCCTAATTTCCCTTGAACCTCCTAATCCTTTATTACCTCTATTACTATAGAGGCTAGATTCTCTCCTGTTTTATTCTTAGAGACCTCTCTTATTCCTCCTATAGTTCTCCTTACTATTCCGTTAGCTCCGACGTAATGGAAGATAATCGTAAGTATAGGGAGGTTGTTTATTAAAATCTATATATCGTAAGAGACATGTATCTTTGAAAGGGCGTTTTTAATATTATCTTTAACCTTACTTTTATAAGCTTTGAATTATCGTTCTACCTATATACTAATTGTAGAGTGAGAGCGTAGTAACTAACACGTAATATCGGAGTTAAGGTATTTAAGGAGTTCACGGAATTCGAGTCTTTCAGCTAGCTGTAAAGGTTGAGAGTATACTAAGATAAATCTACAGAAAGTTAGTATTAAAAACAGGTGAGAATACTTATATTACTTAGTATAGAGAAGCTCCAGCTTATCTGGGTTAATAGAGTTACTATCACTTACTCCTATATTCCGACGCTTAAATCGAGACTTATCTGCTATTTTAACCTAACGTTTAAAACTAATAGAGAGAGGTTATTAACGTGTAGAACTGCTATAGGTAACAGTAGTTCCCTGGGGATCACTTTTCTTTAATCTATAGGTAGCTAAATACTCCTCCGCAGACCGTGTGCCACTATTTATATAGTAAACCTTTGAATAGTAGCTATAGCGCTATATCTCTTTACTAGTAGCCTTATCGTAGTATCTCTTGTTAATATTCTTACTCGGCATATGCTGAAATATCTATGCCTAATGTTTGTTTTTATATGCTGAAGGCTCTAGAGGGCTAGGAGGCTCTAAAGGTGCTCTATAAGTTATTAGGTCTAAATTAATAGGAATTGGAGGTGTGATATTATCTTTTGTAGGTAGCGGAGCGAAATTGAGATATGCTTAACAATTTCCACGTCTCCTGGGAGTTAAAGAGCCTCTAGAGTAGTTGTTGGTATTATTTATAAGTTAACGTTGAGTTAAGGAAGGTATTTTAATAGTTTTAAAGATGAGGTTTCTTTATAAAAATCGCGTTAGGAGTAACTTAACTTCAACCCCTTTTTTCTTAATAACTACTCGGTGGAAAATAACAAATGATATATTAAATGAAAGATCTACGCTATAGCTTGAATTTAATGTTATTTTTATGTATTTATACTAAAGATTAGTAGAGTTTAATGCTTAGATATCTGACTTTCCCCTGAAGGTTATTAGAAGGGGTAGCACAGTCTACTTATATAAGGCTTAGCGGGAACTATACTAAAACGGGGTTAAACGACTCTGTTCCGTTGGAGATCTGACTAACTAACGGCTGTTCTAGGTCGCTAAAACGAACGCTAGTCCGTTTGGGGTTAGTGTAAACGAACGGCCGTCCGTTCCTGTTTTGCTAAGAACGAGAAAACTATCGACCACGCTGAGGTCTCGTCCACTCTGTCGTCTCTGTTGCAACTTCGCAGGCGATTTCAACGCCTATCTTGACAATTTTACCAACGGGAATGGCCTTTTTGATTGCGTTACCGGACATGACGAGTTGTGCTAGACTGGGAGGAACTGAGAGTGTAATGTTTCGACGACGAGATAAAAAAAGGAAAGCGCTGGTAAATACAAGAGTTCGAAACGCGGCTTGTGAGGGACGAATGATATCGAATAAAGTAATTAAGGAAGGAATCTAGTTATGGTACCAGCAATGTATGCAGCGTAGCAATGTTCTTATACTGCCACATTTCTTTGGTGCCAAACCAAGAGATGGAATCGACGACAGAATTAACGCCTACCCCGGTCCTGCTTACTGTATGTTTGAGTTTGAGAACGCGCGCGCTTGGCCAAGCGATACCACGTTTAGGCTCAGCCGCTTGGCCAGGTAGCAGTCAATTGTTCATCTGATGGAAATTTGATTCGACATCGATCAATCTTTCATCCAGAGCCAAGAAACGAAAAGCATGGCGCGAGTCACCGGGATGAGGCCGGAAAGGTCTGGAAGGCGTATCGCTCTATTCGATGGCAGCATAGGGTAGTAGTATTGAGTCCGCTCCGCTCGGAACCTGTGGATATTCAATGCGGCGCTTGGAACATATTTCCAGCTCGCCTAAGTGTGCAAAGGGTGTGCAGCAGGGTTGAAAAATGATTTGGTCCAATCGAATTTTTATTGTCGGCAAGTGTCAAGATCCAGGAGCCCTCTACCTGCCCCCAGAAAGTCCAGATAGCAGAGCTTAATCAATCGGAAAGCAGGGGACTTGAATGCCACCTATGGTACACCACTAAACCACTCATCATGTAATAATTGCTTCGCAGTTGGACGATCTCTAGGATCCAATTTCATAACTTTTAGCAAAAACCCCCTGTCTTCCTCTGTCAGACAGTCGTCCTCAATTAGTTTAAACGGCCTTTGCTTCTGATTGTCTTTGATGTGTTGAGTGGCCGAGGCTAGAATTGACCATCTGTCGCCGTCCTCTCTCGGGATCAGCTCTATATAGGACTTGGGAACGGGACCAAAGTGGGCTAGTTGTCTTATGATGATGTGAATCAGATACTCTTCGTCATCAGCTGTGGCGTCTTTAGGGTCGGGCTTGAACATGTGCCAGTTAAGACCCCATATAAGGCTTATGACCTGTGTAGATGTAAGCGTAGTTCAAGCAATGCGTTTTCCAACTACTACTCAGCACCTACCGTTGCGCCAAATGACCAAATATCAGTAGACTGCCCCCATCTGAGCTGCATCATAGTCTCAGGGCTCCTGAAGATGGCAGCTCCTACATGCGGACCGTCCATACCGACCTTGAGGTAATCCTTGGGGTCTATGCGAGTAACGTCGCCAAAATCAGCCAGTTGAACATCCGCGAATCGTGATGATCCAGTGCCATAGTTGACAAGAATATTGTCCGGTTTGATGTCTGTAATTATTATTGTTAGTTGCAGTCTTTAATGGTGACATGTGGGGAGCAGAGAGGCGGAGGTGAGCTGTCGGGAGCGACAGACCAGTATGCGTATACCCATCTTCATGCAAAGCCTGGATTGCTTGGAGCACTCTTTTTGCTACGAACTTCACATCTGAGCTTTTCAGGGTCTCCATGGCTGATGCATGCAAAAGATTGTCGTCCAGGTGCTGTAGGATCAAAGATGGAGGATTTTTGGTTTCGTCCAACACCTGACGTATGTAGGGGCAGCTGCGGAAATGCTTTGAGACATCCCGCTCGTTGTCGAGCCGGCCTTGGGGAGCTGTCTTAATGATAAATTTCACAGCTTGAGAATTGCTTTTCCTGGATGTAATTAGATAGCTGTGGCCGAGTTGGATGAGTGAAGCTAGTCTCACGTAGCTGTCCAGATGTCTTTGGCGATTTGCGCAGAGACAAGATAACTTCCCAGTTTTCCTTCGAGGCGTTGACCGATATTGATGCAAGCAGCCATTTGGTTTGTCTCCTTTGTGTTGTAATGAATGGCCAAGTGTCGAGCTTAACAGGGAAAGATTGTTGGTGATGATGGCAAAGGGATCAGAGCTGGCTGCATAAAAGTACAGTACCTATGCGCGCGCGTGTCCTTGGTCACGTGTGACGACTCATGCGCCAAGGATAACTTACCAAAGGTAGGTACCAGTAGAATAGGTAGGTACATTCTGTAGTGCTCAACAACAGAGACATGCCAGGGAGTGGTCTTACCAAGCTTAGACATACATAGCAAGGAAAAGTGCACCATTCTTTTATCACGAGTACTCCCTCGAGTGACTACCAGATTCTGGCTCAAAAGGGCATAGCTTGGCATCTATGATGCCAAGTTACTGCCCAGATAAACCTTTTACTATTTTTATACTTCAAAGCACCTTCAAGCCAAGTAGAGAGTTATCTTACAATTTCATATTTTCTTTTTCATCCCAATTCGAACTATAAGAAACATTATTGCACTGTCCTTCACACCCTTGGCAAAGGATACATACATCCCCTGTGTGAGATGTATCTATGTAAATATCAATACTAAACCTTCTCCTTACAGCGACATTAGAGCCGAGGTCAGTGACATGAGAACACAAGCCGAACACGGTCATCTGGGTCACTTTCAGGTGCTGCTAATCCAGACCTCCTCAATAGAAGAGAGGACTATCTCAATGAATATGATAGACACACGATATATTTACAGATGACGGCCGAGCCGAAAAGTGCACTATCGATACATCTCCTAGAGTAGATCTTGATCTTCATCGACCCGACCAGACCCCAGCAGCAAACGACTCCTCGGATCCCTACTCTGAAGCAAACCCTTCCTCTTACTCGCCCTCTCCCGCCTCCGCCACTTGACAGCCGCCAACCGCTGTATAATCTTCTGCAATTCCACAGCAGTAAAGTACTCTCCCCCAAGCGCCTCATCAATCTGCTTCGCTGCTTCTTCAAGGCTGACGATGGTGCCTCTATGATGCTCGTTGTAGCGGCGATTAGAGTAGCCGGGCCCGTAGTACATGATGAGGCGGTGGAAGATGGCTTTGCGGACGCTGCGGCGCTCGATGTGGACGCCGAGACTGTTGAGTTTCTTCAGGATGTAGATGCCGGATGTTATGGCTGATGATGCTTGTGCGAGCGAAGTTGATGTGGTGAGGAGACGGGACGAGTGCGTGCGACGAAGGAGTTGAGGACGGCTGGCTATGAAGCCCCATTCAATGATAGCTTTCTGTAGACTAGCTGGAAACAGCATGCGGACTGGGTGTAAACCGTGGGATGTCGAGAGCTCGGCCGGAACACGGTATCGACGCAGCCAAGATTCAGTTAACGTGTGGTTCTGCGGTCCGTAGTGCGTTGCAAGCCATATACATAGACGTCTCAAATTGCCCATCTGGCCAAGCATGCCAAGTCGTCGAAAGACCTCGTGCCATGCCTTTGGTGGAACATAAGTTCCAGATCGCATTATTGCCTTCAGCATAGCAATGCTCTCCATCAAATCAGGCTTTCCATTTCCGCCATCGCGGTTCCGCAGAGTCATAGGTCTATGCCCTGACTGACGTGGGGGTAGTATGTGCCTGAGAAGGAGAGAGATAGTTTGTCCCTTCACTGGTATCCCATCTAGTAGCATATCTTCAAGACCGCGAAGAGCAGCAGCAGGTTCACTGGTTGAAGTGATCATTCTCAGCTCAATGTTCCGCCTGTCGATGTGTGGAGAGAAACTAGCGAGAAGTCTGATTTCCAGTGTCCTGCGATATTGCGTCCAGTCACCCTCGTGCGCATACTTCTCAAGAAGAGCTTCTTGAAGCTTGAAGTTTTCAAGCTCGTCTGGATGCTGGTCACTGTTCAAGAGGCCATCCAACACGTCAAGCTTGCCATGTGAGGCATGTCGAGCGAATGTCTTGACGGCTCGGGAAAAGAGAGACGTTCCAATAGAGATGCCCAATTCTTTGAGCTGTTCGATCCTTGCGAGAATAGCTTTCGGTTCCGGATCTCGAAGTGCTATTGCTTGAAGTGAGAGAGGACCAATTTCCTGGATACCGAGAGCATGAACCGCGTTGATTGCAACATCCAAGGATATCCAAGTAGTAGCAAACCAGCGAGCCCCCAGCTCATCGTTGTATTTCTTGACTGGAATGTGCAATGTCTCTCCGTGTATGACGTTCATCAATTCCCTGGAAATCTTGAAGCTGTCTTCAAGCTTTTGTGACAGTGTGGATGCAAAAGAAACTCCACCTTTCACAAGGTCTTGAGTTACCCTTCTCGCGGAAGGCGGGTCATAATTAGCCAGATAGTGAACCAGGGTTTCGGCATGTTTCGCTGATGGCGGAAAGTCTCCATTGTTGCAGAGGAAAGAATGCCACTGCATCGCCAACTTGTACTTCTGAGACTGGCATAGGAGTGGAATGATCTTGTGGTACAAATCTCGGTACGGGAGCATATTATATAACTGCTTCAGCTTACCCAAGTCGCCTTCTCTAATAATCACTCTTCGACACATGTTTCTAAATGTGATTTGATTGGGTTTCTGGATCGCACTTAGACGATTGTGCCATGTAAGAGCCGCATCACCTTGGTGGGCTTCAAGAAAATGGCCAACGATGCATGGGTACACACTGGGATGTAGGCCACTCTCTTTGGAGTACTGGTAGATCTCATCTAGGACATCAGGATCCTTGAGTCCAAGTGACAGAAATGCGTACCACAGTGAGTCCGCACGATATCCTTTCGTAGGTAGCTGGATGGCTCGTTCTTGAATTGCACGCCAGAAATTCAGCACACCTGCACTTCCATGTATTCGTTGTCTGTATTCCAGAAGCATAGCCCACAACTCGATGTCGGTTTTGTAGCGAGTATCAAGCAGTCTTTTTCTGTCTCGGTCTGGCAAGACAGAAATATCTGATTCGTACTCGAGCCGTTCATGACTAAACATTGACTCTCTCCAATGAATCCGTCCGTTTGGCTCCATATATTTTGACAGTTCTGCTTGAATGTGACTTAATGCACCGTCCCTCGATAAACTCTCTTCTTGTCTTGAAGTTGTTCCCAGCAGTGCATTCGGTGCTGTCGAAATGAAATCCGGCTCCTTCTGTTTGTTCACAACCCCGCCAGGCCTCACTGCCACATGAGGATGTAACCGTTCCTGGTCTGTGTCGCCAGTCCCATCAATTTCTTTAGCCTGGAACTCGATTCCCTGACTCTCTCTAGCAGCAATCGCTAGCCCCGAGTACTTTCTCAGGCACAGATTCCTCTTCTTCCCTCTGCGCGACTCCAAATTCGCCGGCGCAAAGCATTTGGCGGCGCCCTCATTTCCAACCAGGAATCTCAGCAACTCTCTACTGGACGGGCTGGCGACCAGTGTCTGTAAAGCAGGCCGCATACTTCAAACTCGGTATCCTTACAGGCCAATTGGCGTATGGAGAATCGAAAATCGCCATTGCATCACGCGATAGTCGTCGCGATTGTCGGTTCCTGGGTGGTGTCTTGGTTGCTTTTGCTCTTCAGTCTTGGGTTTGCCAAGAGCATTGAAGCTCTGAGGTGAAGTATTAGTCAGCGTGCGCTAGTCCCATCCCGAGCTTCAACGTCGAAATCGAACCACAACAGCGATCAACGAAACAGAACTCTCCTCTCTTCCACCACAACTCGAATCCAGCATCTTCACAATGGCAGGGTAAGAAAACTCTTCAATCTCCCCCTCTTCGTACATTCCAGGTTTCCAGGACTGTACAATGCGACTCCTCCGAACAACGGGCGCGGAACTGAGATTGGCATCATTTTGCGGAAAGGGAACTAAGAAGTTGGACGGGGTCAATTGATATTCACGGATGGAGAAGAGGCCTGGATATGTGATACTTCGGCCGCTGTTGCGGAAATGAAGGACATGAAGGGCAGGAAATGCTGGATAATGTGGAGCTGGGCCGGCTTCTTCAAGCGGCTCCTTGGCCGGTCGCTGCCACGGGAGTTCACAACCACAGCACAGCTGGCATGTTTCAACCACTTCAGCGATGATTGTCTTCGAGAATGAAAATTGGCCTAAAACCCGCTCGAATTGGTCAGATCTTCTGACGGACCAGGGCGAACTCCATTGGACCGACACGATAGAACGACTCTTTTCCTCTGAGATTACCACGCTCTACGATCGAAACCTATGGAATAAGCACCAATTGCACAGCGTACAGATATAGAAGATAGATCATTGGCTAACAATACATTTCAATAGCTTCGTCAACCGCGAAAACCGTGTTCCCCACTACCAGCGCTTGTTCCAGGAGGGAGCCAGACAACATGTCCGTCAATGGAACCAGGTACGCTTCTTTCTCTTCTCGAATCATTCCCTTGAATATGGAAGAAAGGGGAGGACTTACATCAGTTGGTGGAAGAATCACATAGGCAGGATTAGCAGGAGCAGAGCGGAGCAGTCAGGCGAGAGAAGCGCAAAAGACGACGAGACGCAATGGGGGAACGTCAGCTAACAACCTCTCACAGACTCCTAAGAGCAAGATCATGCTGTACCCATACTACGCCGCTCTCTTCGGTGGTCTCGCTGGTACGTTACGTCGACAGCCCCTACATCACACTCTCAATTTCCCCTCCCACATCTCCCTCCACATCTGCCTCCACCTCTCCTCAAGAACAAGACTAACATCCTTCTCTCCATTAGGCTCGATGTACATGATGGTCAGATTGACCCTCGGACACAAGACCTGGTTCGGCAAGAACTAGACGACAGAAGCTATACCAACGATGATTGTAGATCGGAATGTGGGGTGGTCGTGGTGCAGGGCATTTGCCTTGGGATAGAGAGGATGGGAAGGGAGGAGGAAAGGACTGTACAATTCATACATGAATGGAGAGGATAGAGCTTTTCTTATCACGTTCACTTCGACCTATCTACCCTACCTGCCTCTCATGATGGCATGCCTGTGAAATTATCCTGACACTTTCCTTGCCGTGTATTGTCCGACTACTGCTCCGATGCGATAGATTGGAAAAAGCAAGCCCAAAGACTTATGTAGGCTCAATTATATCAAGAGGCCTCGAATTCATAAGCGGTAGTGGACCGTTAATGTTCGATGTAGGCATGCATGCAATTGGCAAGTATACCTGCGTAAAGTGTAAAGTTACACGATCAACGAGCTCCGCATCGCCTATCTTGCCATCTCATCTCATGTCTTTGCAACCCCAATATTCCTTCCCCTCATACGCAGACCAGACCAGACCAGACCATGCAGCGCCAATCCCAAATGTAAAAATCTCAAAATCAAAGTCCTCAGATCAGCTCAGGTCTACTCAGAGCAGCATAACGTCTACCTATCCTACACCCCATTTTCCATTCCGTTCGCCCCTACCATGCCTCGACTCTAGCTAACATGACGGCAGAGACTTCAAGCCCCCAAAAGTGACTTCAATCTAAAGCCCCTTGTTCAAAATACCCACAACATCTTCATCCAGCCCATCCATAGCATCCTCGCCACCCAGATCAGGAAACTCATCATCATTCAGCTTTCTTTTCTTCGCACTACCACTACTTGCCGGCCTTGCATACGTTGTGCTTAAACTACTCAGCAGATCCAGACCGGGAGCACCGGTAGGCGAATGAGCCGTGTAGTCTTGCTGGTAGAGGTTGTGGTTGCCATGGCCATTGGTGTGCATGCCTTGGTTAGCATGGCCGTTGTGGTTATGGTTTTGGTTGAGGTCGTATTCGGGGATGGGCTCTACAGCTGGAGGCTGTGGGTATCCTGGGGGTGTCAAAGCTTCGACTTCTGGACGGTCGGGCTCAACGGATCCGGATTGTCCGGGTGTGAGAGGGGAGTGTTGAGTTCCTGGAGAGCCATCGCCGACTGGTGTTGCGGGGTTGCTGTTGCTGAAGCCACGCATAATGCTCTCTTCTACATCCCGCTTCTTGTTATCGATTTCAGTTCTCCGACTTGATATTTCGCTCAGCTGCGCCTCTTCAGTTGCCAGCACTGATCGGTTTGTATCCAGAATCTTCTCCAATCCCTCTATGAGTAGCTGGCGAGCTTTGATGCTCTCTGCTACGGCGCCTTCGGCATTGGCGAGTGTCTTTAGCAGACCGTTCAGGCGTGCGGCGTGGACAGGTGGTGAAGGTGTGACGGTATTTGGGTCTGTCAATTTGGCATAGTCTTGATTCGCAGCATTGACTGATGTCTTGGTCGAAAGTACAAGCTTTGATATTGTTTGTTGAGGAGTAACGAGGGGAACAAGTTCGTTGGGCACGGCGCTTGCGCTGCTTGCAAAGATGGATCCGCCTGTCCTTGCATTGTTTGATCGGGTCTTGTCAAGATCTATGATGTTCCGTATCAGTATAAAGAATTAGATAGATGGTCCGTGGCGGAACGTACCGTCGATTCTTGTCTCAATGGCTTCCTGAATTGGGAGCTCGAAAATTTGTCTTGCCCTCCAAACTTCCACCACTCTGCGAAGCTTCTGCTGTACCTCATTGGTAGCCCCTCTGTATGCACATGCTGTCGCTTCGGCGATGACGGGCGAGAATGCGACGAGGAAGTCATCCTTGCGACGGGCTTTGGACTGCTGAGCAACTTCTACAACACCGCAGGTCATTAGCGTGCAAACTCCAATATCAATCTCCATGGTTGATGGAAATTGGAAGTGTTTTCTCCCTCTCGAAGTGTGTGTATGTTCCATCCAGGTTTGTATGCGTACCGTTTGCCAGATAGATCAAATTCAACCTCTTATTGCTCCCAGAATCCTTCAAGCGCTGCAGCCACAGCTGGCCAGTTCGATCTGCGTGTCTCCTGCGGCCGGGTCAGTACAGTGGAAGCGTCGGAGCGGTGAGAGGCGTCTGCGAACGAACCTGTGGAACATAACCCATTGGGCGACGGTGACCTGGGGAAAGTTTAGTATTGGGAACGGAATTGGCCAGCAAGCAAGCAACCGGCGGGTGGGCAAAGGCCAACTCACAATGCTCTCCTGCGTCTCATTGAGGGCCGACAGCTTGGCCAGAACAGCGTCGTCGTTGTACGACATGGCGTCTCGTACTTTGGGCAGTCGAAGAATGTTACGAGCAGCGAAATTGGGGGAGATGTAGGATCGTGGGCAGAACAGGAAGGGCGTTTGTTGATGAGTTGTTTACAAAGTTTGCTATTCCTTCAGGGTTCTCGGTTCACGCGTAGTGCGGTAACAGAATACGCAACGAGATCGCAATTGTTAGACAAGAATATGCAGAACAGCGGATTCTTATTTGTTTGCGTGGGTGACGAGTTTGAAGAAGTGAGCGACGACGAGCGAGAGGTTATTCACAACTTCGAGCTCTGGCTTCGAGCTCCAGCTGGCGATCTAGCGCTGTTTGAGCCTAGCGTAGTAACACGTGATATGTGCTCGACTTTGAAGATCACCCATCCTTTCATACCTACTTCTCCCCTATCAACGATACATGTTATCCACTTTATCGCTACGAGTCTGTGTAGATGTTGTTGAGTATGTTGTGTACTTCGATATACTGTTCTCATTTCTGAAGGCCTTCCGCATTTACGCTAGCACTGATACTTCCCATTCTTTCTCAAATCTTCCCGTTTCCTACTACTTGTTCCATGCCACCTCGTCCACCAAACCAGATACCGAAGGTAGCTAAAGTAACTGGGACGGCCACGGCGATGAGAAGCCACCATAGTCCTGAAGCCACAAACTTCTGAACGTCGCCATCGGTATCCAAGGCGAAGAAATTGGTACCGAAGAGGCTACACACGAAGCTTGCAGGCAGATACAACATCGTCAGGGTAGCGATGGTCTTCATTGCCATGCTGTCCTTCCGAGTCTCGTGTGCGATGTTGGTGCTCTCTTCAGCTATCCTCAAGCTTGCCATGCTGTCCCGATTTGCTGTCAGGTTGTATAACTGCTAAGCTGTAAGCTACGTGCTGGTCCTCATACTGGAGAAACTGAGAAAACCTACCAACCCGATCAGATTCTGCACTCTCTGTTTCCGATTGCTTAATCTTCTCGCACGATCAATACAGAAATCCAACAAGCAAAGCAAGCCATCGTTCATCCTTTCATGACTGTCGAAATCTACCTCGTATTCTCCTCCGAGCCTGTTCCCCTCTTTTGCTAACCTCTCCATATCCCTCAACAAGTTACGCAGATTCGATATGTCTCGGTCGTTGTAATGCTCTATGATTATCATCGATCGCGACAACTCGTGCAGTTCTTGGGTTTGCTGGCGGAATTCGTCCAGAGATTGCATGGCCATTAGCGAGCCTTTGAGGAGCGAATCCTCGATTAGAAGAAGGCTTTTCAGGTCGAATGTCATGATTTCCTCTCGGGGACCTATCGAGTCTTGTAAAATCACCAGGTGAAGTGCAAATGGATGCACCGTTTCTTCGCGTTGCTGAATGAGTTCGCAGAATCCTCGTATGGCATGTTCAGTAGTCTGTGATGAGTTTCGGAAGATGTAAATTGCTTTCTCTCGCCGAAAGCTATATCGAAATCCTATTGGCATCGGGTTTCTGTCCAAAATGGCATCCGTTGGGGACGGACTTGACAAATCGCCAACAATGTCGAATGATAGCCGCTCCCGAGCGTTGTAGCAAATCTCTGCACTTATCAGCACCCGGATCCAGTCCACAGCAAGGCCATGACATACCGAGAACAGACTCTCCATCTCTCCTCGTCATACTGCTATAATAGCAAGATTCCTGTTTCAAGGAAACAAAATTGAGCATCCGATTCAAGCAGTCTTCCTGGTCAGGAGTTTGCCTTGCCGAGTTGGTATCCAGGAACCTGATCATTGGGCATAAGCAAGACATCCAGCCTTTGGATCTTGAACGCCCACCCAACTAAAAGATCGCTTTTCATACTGCCGAAGTTGCGAAAGAAATCATCGAATGTTTCATCCAAACCCACTGGAAGTTGTTCGTCAGCCTTTCCGTCTCTGTTGAAGTTCGACAACACTCACAGTCCACCTCACGCAGGACTCGAAGGTTTCCTAGCCTTTGTGGTTTCGCCCTTTTTCCCTCATTCTCTCGCCATCCAAAACATAGATTCCAGAGATTCTGATCTGTAATCTTCGGGCTCCATGGATCCACACGTGACGGCACTGATATTGGAGCATCACGTGTACTCCAATCCCCAGAGGATCTCGGTCCTTGTCCAAAAGGTGCCCTGATGTTGGATACCGGCCATGAAGCGAAATCACTCGTCATTCTTTCCGCAGTCCTCGATACCTTTACCCCCGTATGAAGAGCTTTCGACTCTTGCCGTCGGTGAAGAAGGAAGGGTCGATCTCAGCGGCTGCCCGCTCTGCACGTGACATAGTGGGGGTAGATTTTTGTTTACGTTTTTCGCTTCACTCCACAACAACACTGGATCCAAACAAGGACGAAAACCTCATTTTGACAGATTGCACTTGACTTTGCAATCCTCGATCCAACACCTCTATCCCATCATTGCTTTAACTGCATCTTGTGTTAACTTGAATTTCACAATCTTCTTTGTTTGATAGATGCATAGAATCGTGTGTTTCTGGTGTTGCACGATCTTGCCACGATGATGCGACGTGGTGCAGGCTTGCGTGTGTTGTTCCCAACAGCTTCTGGCTTGTGGGCTCTACTCACGTCGGTTTCAAGCACTCTGAATCTTTCATGTTAAAAACAAAAGAGTTGCAAGGAAACCTTGACAGGAAAAGAGCTGTAGCCGGAGGACGTGGCCATGAAGAAGGGGCCAATATAGAAGAGCAGATATAATTACCTATTCCTTTGGCGTCACCATGGGTATCGCTGATTATCACCAACGTTGAGTCAGTCTGTCTTGCTTTTCTTGATTCACTAATTTAGATATGTGTATAATTCTTCACCAATCGGCAGCATATCCAAATCCATTCCAGCGCCTCGCCCAGTACCAGTCCACAATCAAGACCATTGGTCAAGGTATTAATCTTGGCTTTCTGCTCCTGGAATGTCTCCTCCAACACAGAGATGTCCTCCAATGCCTTTTTCTCACTGTTCAGGTGGTGTTTGATTCATTCCGCCGATTCGCGGATGTAGTGAAGCTTTGAGAGGCCCTCGTATCCGGTAAACTTCATTGCAGCATCGAGATCGTCATCGTAGCCCTTCACCGTGGCTTCCAAATCTGCGCACGCTGTCTTTGTGCTAATTTGACTCTTGGATGCACTTGAAGGGACATGATCATACCAGCGTGCTTATCTTGTAGCAGCTGTTTTGCCTCCTTCTCGCTTGTCACCAACTCCCTGATGCGGCTCTCTTGGGAATTAATGGTCTGGGTAAGTTTCTGCTCTGTCTTCACCTACTCATTTACTGAGTCTATCTGGCTTCAAATAGTTTCGTTGAGCTTCGAAAATTATCCGTTATGCTTATCAGCGGCATCCGTGAAGCCCTTGATAATCCCTCGAGCTTTGCAACTCGCTCAAGGCCGGTACTCTGAGACTCGAGTTGTCTAACCTTCTCCCTCTCCTCCTTCAACTCTTTGCCCATCGGTTCAATCTTATCGTTGAGCTTTGCGATGGCTACTTCTCTCTTTTCTGCCTTCTCCTTAAAACTCTTGATCTCTTCCTTGAGTCAAAGAGCCTCACTTCCGTTGTCTGATGCAGTCTTCTTCTCATCATCCACTTGACCTTTCAAGCTCCGAACTTCCTCCGCATGGTCATTTACCATCTTGTTCGAAACAATTTCGGCCTTCCTGGGTCGACCATTGAGATCAGCCGCCATACGGACGAGATTGGGAATGACCTGGTCCTGGGAACATTCCAAGTCTGCAACAGTCACAGCATCGGTGACTTGTCTCAAAAGCCCAGCGTGCTCTCTCTTCAACAACTGTCGGTCATTGCTGAGGTCTAGGAGGATTTGAGCAGAGGCCTCGATACAGATTTCCGCTTCGACAGCGTTACTAAGCCAATGAAGCACTCCAATTACATCTTTGGTGGTCCGCTTGGCATAATTCTGACATCTCTTCATGTTGCGCAGCTCTTGAACTAAATTAGGAATGAACGTGGAGGCCTCTTTCTTGTACTGTGGTAACATGGACTCTAGGACATTCATACCAGCTTCGACCTGCTGTACAAATAGATTGTCATTGGTGGTCGGGGTGTCTAATATGGTTAGTAGCTGTAATGTTGAGCCGGGAAGTAGATTTCTCACTTTCCAGCTGACACTTCAGTGTTGAAGTCTCATCTTTGTACTTAATCTCATCCTGCTCACAGGCTACAATGGTGTCACTGACGTCCTCTTCATGATCTGCTTCTACCTCTTCAGTCTCACTCGCCAATTGGTTGACTTTTACCTCAGCTTCGTCGAGCCCCTTCTGCAAGTCCGCGAGTGCGTCGGTCTTAGCTTTGATTACAGCGTTAAGGCTATCTCTCTGTCCATCAAGAACGTTTTGGCTCATCAATGTCTGGTCGTCGAGCTGTTTTTTCATCTTCTCGACTTTGGCTTCTTTCGCGTCATCTCTCTTGCGGCCGTGTTCCTGATACTGTTTCTTCATACTCCAGCACTGTGGGCAAGTCGTGTCTTTGACCTTCGTGGCTGCTGTGACAGGAACGAGAGTGACAGAGGCGAGCGAGGAAGGGGAACTGAAACCGAAATCTATAGTGGACGTGTCTGCCCAGTTGAATGATGGAGGGGGTTGAGCCAGTCCTGCAGCGGCAGTACCCGTACTCTTCCTAATTGGGATCGACGTGGCAACTGTGGAGTGAAGATTTGGAGAGTAGTGATGATCTGTTTGAATGGTGAAGGATGTGGGCTTGGTCAAGGTAGTAGCTTGTAGAAGCTGTGTGGGAAGTACAGTTATGATCAGTTTACTTCTCTGGACGAATGCCCTTTTCATCAAATGCTCGTTGTTATGGGCAACGACGTAATGTGCACAGGCGCGCGAAGAAACCTACGCGTCCTTGGGTCTTGCTCCTGGTTGCCAACAGCCCTCCTGTTCTCCCTTTGGACTACGGCTTTATTTAACACAGGTAAATCGATTTTTTGGATTGAATTAATGTCTTGCAATCAGTTCCAAAGCTTGGGCATAGATTTCCACGATGAAGTCCAGTCCCGCAGAGATGTTGTCGAAGTAGGGGCTTGCACTCGTGCAGAACAAGTTGAGTACATATACAGATATGGTACTCGGGGGAATATAGTCTACCCTAGCGGAATCTGACTTCCGTTTTACGCTGTTCCCATATGCTGAGGTTGATGTAGCTGATGATCAATCACCAAATGACAGCAGCATTCATTTCTCACACATAGGCGTCGAGGAAAAAAGAAAATCCTCATTAATGCTCGAGAAGACATCAAAACCTGAGTTGACACAATACGTCATGAGAGTTGATACGTTTAACATCATGATTCTCCCTGAGCTTTCAGTACTCTAAGATTCGGAGGTGAGCCGTTGTGAGAAAGTAAGTGACTATCTTGACAATGAACTACCTGGCAGAAATTCCGGTGCAAGAAAGTCAAAACAAGAACAAGAGATGCTTCTATCCAATATCGGGCTTGAACAATCACCAATGAGTCATTTTTAAGATATTAAGGGAGCATACGTTGCTGCAAATGACATCATGTTTGTGTGCATGAGGTGGGGCAAGAAAACAAAGTAAGCGATATCTGTCACGTGATATTAACCATCCGCCATTAAGGTATCTATCTACCTTGCCTATTCTTCCCTTGATGGTCAGAGGAATCTGAGTACTAGCTATCTCTATGTAACTGCAGGGAGTTATAGGTCACCAGCCGTGAATCCATGGCACTTGTATGGTGTCAGGCTCCCAAAGATTATTTCGATTTATAAGAAAACACAAATCGTTTCACAGCTTCCCAAGAAAATAAAACGCACCCAGTCTCGAACTGCATTGCGAAGATCGTTGATTTAGCAAATGTTGCTTCTATAAAATGAGTTGCTATTTCTCAACAAGTATGAGTAATCTCCGCCAAGATTATCCTGCGACTGTCTAGACCTGATGAGATTTTCAACGTCAGAACAGAACAAGCCCAGACTGCCTATCATTCACAGAAGTATCTGAAGCCAGATTAAAGTGTGAGCACCTATGATGTTCTGTAAATTGAGCCTGTGAACTCAATGATGCCTAGTAATCATTTTCAATCAGTTTTCTATCACAAAATCAGCAACTCTGTTGAGATCGATCTGAACAGGTCACAAGTACAGGTAACTGTTGTCGTTCCTTGACGAGATGTAAAATAGATCGCCCATAAGATTCAAAGGGTGCAAAAATCAAGTGAATTGCAGGGGCACTTGCCATATCCGAGTCATCTACCGATTCACCCAGCAACAGCGTCGTGAATGGGCTGTTGCTGGCGTGAATGGGCTGAATAACGTGACTTGGCGCAAAAACACACGGCCTCGCCTACTTTCACTCCCACTATATCAAACTCCTCCTTTCCAGTCCAACCCTTTCTTTCTTCTTCCACACCCACATCTTCACGAGCACCTAGCCTCTAGATCTACCAGCTCTTCGCCAAAGCAAGAACACAAAACCCCCCTTACAAATACACACATCACCAATACCACCTTCCTCCACCTCTCATTGTACTTCTCGTCTACATCGCCTTCGATCTCTACCCCCAAAATGTCAACATCCGCCCCGACTGACGAATGTCGTCTCCACAAATGTCAACTTGCCAAGCGCAATAACGTAGCTCATGTAGCGCGTTATGATAAGTTGGTCGAGTCTGCCGCTGCAGAGAAGAAGGAGGCGGATGAGAAGCTGGCTCTGGAGGTTTGTCGGCACCAGGAGAGAGTCAAGTTGGACCAAGATCGGACCAAGCGTCTTGAGATCAGCCATGACGCCGTGGTCAAGAATCTGGAGTCCAAACTCAAGGTGCTCAAAGACAAGTACCTCCCAGAGAAGCGCACTGCCGACAAGTGCAGAAAAGAGCATGCTTTGGTCAATCCTGGTGGGGAGACTTTGGTTGCAGACCTCGCCAGCGCCAACCGAAGAGGCGACCGACTGGAGAGAGAGAAGACCGCGATGGTGCAGGAGAGAGATACAGAGGCAGCGAGAGTTGCTGACGCTGAAAAACAGTTCAATGCTCTCAAAGGCGAGAAGGAGACCTTGGAGAAGGCAAGCAATGGCGAGATCAAGAGTCTCAAAGAGGAGATCGACCGTGTCAAGGCAGAGTTGGGACTCGCCCACAACGACCTGTACACGGCAAACGATGCTATCCGTAGCCTCCGTGACGACCTTCACGATTTCAAGTGTACCAAGAATAACCTTGTCGAGAGCGAAGATCTTCTTGGACTGAAGAAAGAAAAAGTAATCCGTCTCAAGTGCAAGCTGGAGAATGAAGAGAATCAGAATGATGATGACAAGCGGGAGATGAACGAGGCCCATAAGGCTACTGTGAAGGTCTTGGAAGACAAGATATCCGACATGGAGAACAATATCTCTGATCTCAATGTTGAGCTTGACGGTATGAAGCTCAGCCGAAGTTGTTTATACGTACTAACGTTTGCCAGGAGAGAAGGCATTCGCAGAACAAGCTACAGAAGAGGCAAAAAAGGAGATCCATGCATTGAAGGAGGAAATTGCTGGTAATTCTTATCACTCCTCCTCAGATATACAACAATGTTGACGTTAGAATAGCTTGGGAGGACGTGAGTGAGTTTTCGAATGGCTCATTTGAAGACTCTGATTGTTCATCGTTGTCCATTGCCGACCAATCCTCAGTTGAAGTCACTGCAAGTGATACTCAGGTCGGGGCTCTTGCAATCAACTCCGATGAACGCAAGCCGGCTGTGAACTCTCCGTCCACTCCCTCCATTTCTACCATTCAAATCATCCAAATATACGAGGAGAAGCCGACAATAACTGCTACAATCGCCGAAGCATATCAGGAGGAGTGCAGGCAGAACACGGGCCTTCAAGCCACGATCGTCACCCTCGAGGACAAGATCACTAATCTTGAGTCCACTAACAGTTGTCTTGAGGATAAGGTCACCGAACTTGAATCCGATACTACTACTCTCGAGAGCAAGGTCACTGCTCTGAAAGCTGACGCAATCACTTTCAATACCACCAATGGAAATCTTCAGGCAGAAATCGACACGCTCAAGGCTGACAACAGCACTCTACAATCGAAGGTCACCGAAGTCCAGGCTAGCAACGATACTCTTGACGAAAAGGTCACTGCTCTGCAAGCCGAAGCTAAGACCCTGAAGACAGATAAAGACAGTCTGAAGACCCATATTGAAACTCTGCAATCCGAGAGAACTAAGCAGGAGTTGAAGATTGCTGAGATCGAGTCAAGCAACACTGCCCTTGGAAACAAAGTTTCTGATCTAGAGAATGATGTTGATTTCCTCAAGTCCACTAATACTGATCTGAAGAACAAATTAGACAGTCTGAAGACTCAAAAAACCACTCTTGATTCAAAGGTTACGGTGATCGAAGCCGAAAACACCAGTCTCGGAAACAAGGTCACTTCTCTGACAACTGAGGTAGATGCCCTTAAGTCCACTAATGATGATCTAAAGACCAAGCTCAAGACTTCAAAGGGTGAGAATCTCGCCCTCTTGGGAAACGTTGCTTTACATGAAACTGAGGCCGTCAATCTCAATACCAAAAACACTAACCTTGGTGATAAAGTTGATACCTTGAAGACCCGAATAACCACTCTTGAGGACAAGATTACCAGTCTTCAAACGAACATCGACTCTCTTGAAGGCAAGAACAAGGTATTCTCAGGTTCTATCAAACACTACCAAAAGGAAAACAACATTCGACAAGCTCGCATGAAGGAATATGCCTACGGCATCTATACAGGTCAAACAAGCCCAAAGTTGGTGTTTGGTAAGGACGAATACCCAAGCGCTTGCTTGAACAACATTGGAAAGAAGGCATATCTGCAACTCAGAGTTCAAGGCCATAGGAACGAAAAGGTACAGGACTTGATGGCTGCTGCAGTACCGGAGGCCAGCGGCCCCAAGAGAGGAGGTCGTAGAAAGAACAATAAGAAGACCAAGGAAAACAACATTTCAAGTATCAAGGAGGAAGTCAATATCCCGATCGACAACAAGATGAAGGCACCCGTCAGCAAATTGCAGTTCGATGAGTCTGATCATGAGGGGCACCCCACTGAATCTCAGTCACTCCCTGCCTTATCTAAATCTTACAAGTCAACCTTCAGAAGTGCTTTCGAGAAGGAAACGCTTGAAGCAGGCGTCAAGACTCCTGAAGAGATTGTAAAGCAGGCCCACGAGCGCTGGATGAGCAGCAAGGCTGAAATCATGAAGCTGATGCCCTGGCACACCAACCAACACCCTACCAGCACAGTACAGAATACAGCTACACCCAGTCTCGTTATATCGAACATCATGATCACACCTGCGTCTACCAACTCACCAACCAACATTACAGTCAGCTCCTCCGTTGCACCAGGACCCGCTCCCACATCAGTACCTGCTCCAACCACACCAATGACTCCTGACACACCAAGTACTTGGTCATTTAGCTTAATCTTGGGCTATATGATCGGCTGGTAAGGAACGAAAGAGGAACGTCAAATTCCTGTACCATTACGATCATTTCCGATACGCAACAAAAGCCACACACAAGGAGAACAGGCCAGAAAAGAAGGACAAGACCGATGACACACACACAAAACGTACTGTACATCAATCCAACATATAATCACAGAACCCGGCACGATTCAAAGATGGAATCGGAGTCTGTATGCGCATCTTATGGATGCCCGGACTGAGCGATTCCAGTTCCGAGGAGGGCAGGGTTTCGAGATTTGAGTTCGGAAATGGGTAGAGGGTGGACAGGATTGGATTCCTTGGTGCCTTCAATATGTTTGAAGGTACTTCTGCTTGTTATTACTAGATATCGTGGTTCCTATAAAAATAGAAATACTTGGACACTTGGTTTGATATTTGCTTCTGTAAATGTTACTATATGACTTTCTTGTCCATGTCCTCTCATATAGAAGTGAAGAGCTTATTTTCCTGGCCCCAACTAACGTCAGGTGGGATTGCCGAGAGCAATTGCCCACCTCATCGTGTAATGCATAAACCGGCGAACATAAAAATCAACAACGCGACATCTGCCCAAAGAAGTGACGTAGATTCTCCAGTACATATATTACTCAGCATGTGTCAACAACTACCATGAAAATCCATTAGGAGGTCGACGGTTGGTAGTGAGAGTCGATAGGCACGTGACCAGTGAAGCGTCATCGGCCTCTATCATCTCCGCGTCCTCGAGCGTTTGGTCAATTCTCTGTCTCCGCTGCTACAAATGGAGGAAGACGTACCACTTCCGTTATGGTCGGTCGATCGTTTTCCTAACCTCACCAATCCAGCTCCATATGTCGGTCCAGATTACGGCCACCGCGATACCTCGCCGCCAACCCCAGTCCCTTGACACACTGCAAATTCAGAGAAGCTGATACGTACCACGTCTGCCTCCTCCACGACTTTACAGTTACCGATGCTCGCCTGAAGGAAGTCATGATCCGACATGCCGATACTGAGATCATAGTGAAGACAAAAGCTAGCAGAGCTGAAGTCAAGTTGCTGAAGAAGATGCTTGAGTGGGAGGGTGAACGGAATCAGTTGTTGCAGGATAGAGATGTTGCTGTTAAGGAGAAAGATACTGCTATTAATGAGGGAGTTAGAAAGGCACGGAAGGAGTGGGAGAAGACGTATGTTACGAAGAAGAAGTATTATGAAATGAAGGGAGGGCTAGAGGGGAAGTATAAGGAGGTTGAGGAGCAGTTAATGGATGTTCGGAGTAAAACTCTTACACTTTGAAGGGTGTCGCTCGATTTGGAAAAGGAAGGAGGATGTGGCTGAATGGACGCATGCGGGTATATGTCTGCTCCATTTGTAGAACACCCATGCGGGTTCCATAGCTAAAGGCACAGATCCAGCAGAATTGGCATTTTCCTGCAGAACAGGAGTTTTCCTCACACGGTGTTTGGAGGCATACTCTGTGAAAGGATCAAGAGTACCGCGACGTTCTACCTGCAGTCTCTCTAGGTAGTCAGGAAAGACATTTGCCACCGAGCAATTACCACACCATGCAGCAGCGTCTAAAATCATCGGAGTTCTTTCTGAGATGGAGAGTTTTCTACTCTCTCTACACAATCAACTATTGGAAGCGCTGGAAATCAAGCCCTCGCCATGGTTTTGTTTTCTTCGCTTATCAAACAGTGGGACCAGACCAGCGCTGCTTTACTCTTGACTCGTCTTCAATCTTTCCATAGACTGACTATACCAGTTCAGTGAAGATAAGAAAAAAGTAAGTTCTGGAATTGATATTTAGCCATTGAAACTTCACTGGCTACCTGATACAAGGAAATTGATCAATATGTGGGGCATTTTACGGACTAGCGCCATCATCATGATCTTCGCCCCTTGGACAGTCTCTTGCCGAATAAATGGCACACCATCGGTTGGTAAGAGACTGTTAGCAGTTTAGCAGTGATAATAATTAGCGATTTGAAGGAAGTGTTTGAGAATCTGTGTATTAGGGAGGGAAATTGTTCTGGAAGTCGGTGCTTGGTGGATATCCGAACAGGCATAGCATACTGAAAGCGAGAAGTGCTTTGGAAGATGCAATGAAAAATTGCCATGTTGCGGTTTATTATCATTAGAGAACCCCTTTGAGATAGCTATTAAAAATATTGTATAGACCTTGGAAAAAGAGTTCCTTGATAGCATACAAATGCCGTAGCCCGAACAGATCTACTGAAGCCCGAGGGTTTTCCGAATCCCCCCACATATCCGATGTAACTCCACTGCCGTTTTGCAAGCAGCATAGACAAACTTATCAGGTCGTACAATAATGAAAGTCATGCCACCCAAGTCCGTCCCAATCCGATACATGTCGTAATACTGTGGTACTGGGCGACCTCTGCAGAGATCTTCATCAGCTGCAAATTCCTCGCCTGTGGCAAGTCGATAAACGTCGTCTCCAACAGTTGTCCCAGAACTCTTGACTTTAGAATCCTGAACCAGAAAGGTTGCTTCCTTCTCAGAAAGAAAACCGCCTGACATCTTATCAATTCCACTCAGTGCGGACTTGAAGGAGGTCAACTCCGAAAGATTTTTCAGAAGCACCAAGACCTGGAACATTCCTTTTTTGCTTGGTGCAAAGATCACATTGTCAGTGAACTGCACGCGCAACTCCTTCGAGCAAGACATCAAAGAAGCACAGTAGACTTGTGGCAAGCTGATTCCTCCGTGGAACTCTCTCAGGAAAGGCAACCCCTCTTCTGCCTTGTAGCGAATCATGCCTTGGCCTCTCGGTCCAGCTTCCAGCTTCCTGTTCAAGGGCGGGATGAGTTGCATGAAGCGAAGGAGAAGTTTCATGAAAACGAACCTCCAGGTATTGCCCTCGGTACATAGCCTGCCATTGTCGATTGTCGTGGCAAGAGAGCGTTTCAACTGCTGAAGGCGCTCCCGATACCACCCTGAGAGTATTTGCTCGTGATTGCTGGTGGGTTCTCGGGTTGCTAATGCGAGCCGCCAGGCTAGGCTAGAGGAGTCTCGAAAGCCTGAGGATATTCCTTGGCCGCCAACTGTACAACGTGAGCTAACGGGGATGAAGAGCATCTCGGGATAGTCTTACATGGCGGAAAGACATGTGCAGAGTCTCCTGCTAACATGACTCTGCCCACTGCCCATTTGTTGCAGCTCCGGGCGGAAAATCCGAAAGGTCTTGATCGGAGAATCTCGATACAATCGTATGGAAAAGTAACAGGCTGGTCGCAGCTGATTTAGACAAGTCAGAACTCGTTCTGAAAACATCTCGCTCGCAGGTTGAAGTCATACATACCCGTATCTTGAACCGGGATGTGTCAAGTATGGCATGACAATCTTTTTGATCTCATTCTCTGCTGCCATAGCAATCGGATCTTCGTGCCTGTGAACCACGAACTCAAATCTCCACAACCGCTCGACACCGGTACCGAATCTGGAGCATATGGCAGCTCGAACAGAATTGCAGAGAAATCTAAAATCCTTAGGAAAGAAAAGGTCGTATACATCCTCCGGTTTGTAGCCCAGCTTCCAGAGAGGCAAATCCGGGTGAGTTTCTGGTGTCGGTGGGGTGATTCTAATGTTGAGCGCTACCCATGTTTCGTTGTACCCAAATCTATAGAGTAATTACTATCTCTTCACAGTCAAGTTAATTGAATTCCGCAATGCATCACTTACGCTGAAGCTTGCTCCATGATCACCCCTTTAGGCTCCAAATACTTCTTCCTTGTGTAGCCACGCTTACCATCGCAACCGACAAAGAATTTCGACCGGATCCTCTTCCTCTTTCCATTGGCATCTTCGTACTCACAGTAGACCCAGTCTTTGTCTTCCTCGATGTGGATGACGTTACAAGATAACCTCAGTTCGCAACATGGATGACGGGCCGCGCTGAGTCGGAGATACTTTTCCATAATTGGCTGACGATGAGTGATGATACCAACGTGCCCAGTTCCACCCTCAGTCTTCATTCATTATATGGGTCAGCAGAACCGTAGAAATAGAAAGAGAATCAGAGCAACCCACTGTGTGCATGTTCATGATCATAAAAGGCTTCTCAGACAAATCATGTCCACTTGTTATAAAATTAAGAATTCCGATTGCTAGTTCTCGTCAATAGCCGTCACATGGTACCTTCACTGAGAGCAAGACACATACATGATCCCATTTCGGTGTAGATCTTGTCGTAGAGCCCAACCTCCTGCAAAAGTCTAAGGCCATCTTCGTCAAGTGTAATCCCACGCGGGTCATTCACGATTTCAGGTTCTTTCTCCAGAACAATGTTCTTGACGCCGAATTTGCCAAGGAGAGCTGATAGAAGACCACCAGTCGGACCGCATCCAGCGATGACTACCTCTGTGGTGTCGATATTGCCGTCGAAGGACATTGCTACTGGACTATAATCGAAGAAGAGATAAGAATGTAGTTGAGAGGCGAACTAAGTGTCTGTACAGATCTAAAATATCATCACCAGCCGTCCATCGCGGTCTGATCGTATATTTAAACAATAATTTATGATAGGTAGAACTTTCAGGGTCCTTCTTCGGGTTTGCGGGCACAAGACGTGCCGCTTCGTCTAGGGTAAGAATTCCACCGAGTACACCACTAACTTTCTCCTATTCCACCGCAATCGTGTCACTTGTCCCTCATTTGTACCGAGATTGAAATTCTGTGGGCGTAACATTGCATGGGTCGGTCATGGAACTATTACAGTGAGTGGAAATGCGGAGACGCGGGGTGATGGAACCTCCGCGCTAAGTCTCCAGGATGCGAGTGGACGTGTGGGCACCTGGATGTTCGGATTTAGTGGATGTTGTCCCAGGCGAGACAACCTACAGCGGTAGAGTTTCGCGAGGATGTGGCTCCCGAACCGCTTGATCCAATGAAAATAAAATGGGAGACAAGGTTTCCAGATTGTTTAAGTATTTCAATGCTTCATGATATGCTGAGATATTGGAGCTTCGTAAAATTTCCCTTAATTGCCATTGAGATACAACATTTGCAGAAACTTCAAGCGTGACGACAGGGGCGCATCAAATACTCTTACTTGTGAAAAGTAGACTGGAAATAACATACTACGCAATTGATCACTCCAAGATATCAAAAGTTTGTGGAAAAGCGAAAGGCTTTAGTCTTAGACGAATTGCATGGGGAAAAGATCCTACGCAGTCAACGGTATGAGATACTCCATACCTTCTCAGATACTGGCAATAGTGAGACAGATGTTGTGTCCTGTTACACACAGTCTTTCTATCGTCTGTATTGGATTGTATTATGCTAACCACGTAAGAGAAGCACGCGTACGTTAGCAAAAGATGGCTGGGATTGCCGAAAGAAAACAAAAAATGCATGAAACCGCCTCGAGCCAAAGAAATGTAGGAGACAAGTGAGACTGCTCGACACACTCAAATAGATATACGGAAGAACCGACCTGTCTATTCGGGTGGAAGAACTATATCGGGATATCTGTCATATCCATGGTCCGAGGAGTGCTGCTGGAACCCATTGCATCGCATTCGCCCAGCATTAATATTTCACTAATGATCTGGGAGTCAAAGGAACACAATAAAGGCAAAGGAACAGAATAGAGGAACATGAATTTTTGGGGAAGAGGGAAACTTCAACGTCCTAAAACACTGATTTGAGAAGCTTCGTAGAGAAATGTGGACAAAATGTGGGCAGTTGGGGGCTGAAATTGCGGGGTATGTGGACTAGCGTCTCAAGGATCCTACCACTGCTCCAGCGGGTGCCAGCCCCAATTCTGGCCCTGATGGCTAAATTTTACGGGCACCTCTACGTACCCATCTTTTTGCTCCACAGGCTGTTATATCAAAAACCCCAGAAGTAGTTACACTTGAGTCTGCAGAGGTGCCATCTAGCCCACGGTTTGTGAGGGACATACTTAACCAACCACATTTCAAAGCTCAACGCCACATCTTATATTCGGATTTAAAAAGTCTTGATCAGGTCTTGAGCAGTATAAGGTCTTCTGTTCCAGCGCGGTGGAGGTGGAATACATTTGTTAAAGTCTACCTTCTCCAGAAACACGATGTCAATCGAGCATAACCTCACGCCAGTACAAGCCTAGAAACCACAATATTGGTAGAGTCAGTCCCTTCCCTATCATTTATCGTGTGGAAAGTCGTTAGAAAATCAATTTCCTGACAGCATGGTCAGCTATTTTGTCAATGTTCCAAGTGATACCTACCATCTGCCTGGCCGATCGCACAAATCTTTCCTTATTCCGGTGCCGCAATGACAAAGGCTCCCACGATTTTATCGAGTGATAAATATTTGGTGCGATGACCTACCGATGTTCTTTCTCAACCTCCACGAGAACCACGTCCCCTGTGATCGTACCTCCAGACATGCTGTCTCTGACTAACCCTGGATATCTGTGTGGACATATTCGAGCTCTCCTTCTTGATGTATATTAATTGTGATCCAATTTTCTCTACAGAAAATTGAGGTGGAGAAAAAGGTAAATGTGTTGCCATCCGGCGTCTCCCTTATTTCGAATGACTTGTGACTGGGGGCAGAATCAATTTATGCGAAGACAGTCTCAGTAAAGATACGATATCGCTATCGTCGCTGGCATTGTCCGGTGGCCAACTACTATTTCTGATCATAGATACTGGCGAATCCTGGCTTAAGAGGTGGCTGGAAGCAGATGCACACAGAGTGAAGCCCATAAAGAGAGATGTTGTTGAACTTCATCGTGTTTAATCTCGCTTAGGTTACAGACCTGTCTTGTTTTTTTGCTGGGCGGATGCGAGAGAAGCTCTAGCTTGAATGGCGGGATTCTGAGCTCCGGTGTAGAATAAAATATCGCATCGGGTAGGATATCTCGATGATGAGATGTGATTTACTTCCTGGGTCTTGAGGCAGTTTGTTGTTCCCTGGGTTCGAGATCCCGGATCTGTTAGCCAATACTTAATTGTTTGCGCAGCGGTCGAATTCTTATTTGTGGCTTCCATTAACGAAGTCATCATGCTTGTAATTTTAACTCCTCACATAAATAAATACCTGTAACAGCGTTCCCTTTCGTTCTTCAGGTCGGTAGAAAAGAAATCGGAGTTCCCGACATCTCCCGTGACAATCTGTCAGTGGGTACGTTTCTGACTTTCGCTGGCGAGTGGCGTTGAGCGGCTGTACCGATGGCACCGGAGCCGGGACGTCAACGGTCCTCTCAATTCGCCTGTCTCCACGCCCAGATCTGATAGAGCGGGGTATCCCCCTTGACTGGGGAGTTTCACCTGAACCCATCGAAGCTTATTTTGATTTCACGAGCTTCATCCTCAATGATGCATTCAATGCCAGGTACCGTTCAACGACAGCAATAAAGATGCCGCCTCAGCAATGCACTTATTGCTCCAGAACCTTTAACCGAGCAGAGCATCTTCTCCGTCACATCCGATCGCACACGAAGGAGAAGCCTTTCAAATGCGGAGCTTGTGGAAAGGGATATTCTCGTGAGTACGTGATTTGTGATTTGCCGTTGCACATATAAATGGATTATACTGAGATTTATAGGGACACTTTGATCCGACATGCAAAGCTTCACTGCACGGCGAGAAAGCGAACGACATTACCAGAAACGTCGGAGAATCATGGCGAGATCGCACTGTTGCACGGAGGAGGTGTCTCTCCATGTAAAGCAAACTATTTGCAATTATCAGAGCGAAGTCAAGCTGACATGCTTGGACAGCTGATGGACACGCAATTATGAGCACTCCAAGTGACCATGATAACTCAGGACCGAGCCCTGGTCAACCAATTCTCAATTATGGATCGAATGTGTGGGATTTCCAAAACCTAGGATTTCCGGACGATGCTTCGCTATGGAACATGAATGGTGGCTTCTTAATGAACGAACTGGGTACACATGGGCCTTCCTCCCAAATGCACGATATTTCCATGACTTACCCCACTCTCTTCGACGATGCCGGTTTACAGAACGACGGGGATGATTATCCGTCTTCAAGCTCCAGCAGAAGATCACCTACCGTGATTGATATGCGAGATATCTGGTTCACAAAAATAAAGAGAGCAGATCATCTGGTAAACCATTTGTCATCGCTTGCACGCCGCCCCTCCATGACGAGATCTGTGACTTCACCGAGCGAATCGGAATTGGTTGATGAAGATTGTCGGAGGGAAATTAGCAAGGCGTTGACGCATCCACCTCCACAAGAGGACTTACTGCCATCCTCTCGATTTCTGGTATTCTTTCGTGGAAGATGGAGCATAATATCTACTTAGCTGACTACTCTCAGAATCTGTCCGTGCGAAGATACTTGAAATGCTTCCATCCTATCCTTCCTATGTTACATGCAGCAACCTTCCAACCGACAACAGAGAACGGTTTGTTACTCATATCGATCGCCTCAGTGGGAAGTTTGTTCCTGGCTTCGCAGTCTGCGGTGAAACGAGGACGTCGGATTTTCGAAGGCTTGAATAAAACTATTCTGATGTCGGCGAGTATTCCGACTAAGTTGTATTGCGGCTTCTTACAAGGTATAGGACAAGTTTATCGGGCATACAAGCGATCAAATTGTGGCTATGATCCAGGCAGCTGTAATTGGACAGACTTTTGCTCTGCTATCTGGTGTAAGTGAAGTGTGCCATTCCTATGTTTGGGCATGTACTAAATTAGAGAAGGATGCCAAGCATCTGGCAATTTTCGACTCGTATCACGGGACTTTGATCTCGGTATGTCAACTGGTTCTGTCAGACAGCTGAGTTCCTGTGATAACCAGAATCAGTTCGCTCGGAGAGAGGGCATGTTCGAAACCCGTCCGGGGATGAAACCACCTGAATTCTCATCCGAAGAAGAGCTCGACTTCGCTTGGAGAGAATGGGCACGGCAGGAGCAACTGAGGAGGTCTAGTCCCTCTACTACTTTGACTTACCTTAGACTGATGAGATTCTAGGATCGTTCTTGCACTACATATCCATGATGCTGAGCTGTCGTTTCTATACCATCGAGACTCACTGCTTAAACACAGAAGATCTCAAAATGAAACATTACAGACGAGCTTGGCATTCAACGCTACAACTGCTCAAGATTGGGAGGCTTGTCTGAGGACTGCAGAAGAATCGCAGGCTGATAGTAGGGATCTGCATCATCAAAGTCCAAGCGACTCCTTTGCAGCTTACATCAAACTCGAAGCAATCGGTGTTCTGATCACAGAAGATCGACGACAGGAATGTTTGGAAACAACATGCAAGAACTACGAAGACAGTCTGCTTAGTTGGCACCAATCTTTCACCCGGAATCAACAGTTCGATAAAAGTGACGAGTTCTCTCTAATACCTCTGTGGCACTGGACGTTCATGAACCTCCTCGTCGACCTCGACCTGATCGAATCTGCCATTGGTCGAGATGGTCCAGAAAGAGGATATGAAGCACTCGAGTACGTTACGAACTGGGTGTCGACCAAAGATGCCGCTCGATGCATGATGCATGCCTTCCTGCTCCAAAAACGTCTCGAAGTATTGAAATCCGACGATAGCCCAGCAATACACGTCCCCCGAATCACGTTCGCAGCTGCTATCGTTTCGTACTGCTATATCGCGTATGGACCTGGACATGACCCACTCAATGGTTCGAGTACTTTATTCGATATGGCGGTTCCGGAACTTCGCGCTCTGAGAACGGATGCGAAGCAATTGACATGCATCTCAAGATTAACGTGGAACCGCAATACGACTTCATCTGTAACTGCAGCGACGTTATGTGTCCTAAATGGATTGTTAGAGAGAATGAGTGTCTGGGGATTGGCGGGGAGATTTGCGAGTATTGTATCCCGCTTAATTGATGCGGAAGCGTGACGACGAGGATGTCAACAACACTTGCTCCAAACCATTCCTGCAATCCGAGACTTCCAACAATCGGGTGCTGTGGTCTCCGTTGATCACTGTGGTGGAACCAAGATGTGCACAGCGAGTACGAGGTTGCGGTGGGACACTGTCACACACGTCTATCCCATCTTCGAATTCCCGATACTTATCCCATCAAAAGACCCCTTCTGGAACATGTCTGCCCAACTACCCAACAAATAGTCGCTTGGCACCTGAATGAATGCATTCTTAATATCCAAGGCCGGCACTTCACAGCCACTCAGCAAGCTTGCACAAGGCGTGAATATTGAAGGACAAGGCGCCCATTCCAAGACAAGCTTATTTTGATTTGGGTCAAGAGAATCCCCCGAAACTCAAAACTCAAAACAAGATTTCTACCCGGAATTATTTCGTCGAATGTGGCGCCATCATAAACTGGCCAGAATTCTTCCATTTCTTGTACCTACTCACTCTAGTTCGAGGGGCGGGAATCAATCGAGATATAGTTCTTCGGTATCTATGACGACCTGTCTGCAGTTCCCGCTCTTTGACTCTACCACGACCAGCAGCCACCCACATTGCTCGCCGCTCTACAGCAACACGTAGCCATAGTCTACAATCAGCAATCTTTACGATCGCAACAAGTCAAGGCGAACATTCGCTCACGATGTCGTCCCACGTTTCCCCTGTTGAAAAGCCCTCAATCAACAACGGGCAGAGATCTGATATTGTCCCGACCTTCTGTAATGAAAAGAACTCTGTAATACAGAAACGAGTCGAGGATAATAGCTCGTCTTCCTCTGCCGATATGCAGTACACCAACGACAACGAGGAGCCAGAGCTGCATGCCCGAACATATATCGCGCTCGCCGCTATGTTCCTGTTGAATATGGTGCAGGTTGTGGCGCTGCTGGGCCCGCCGGCGATGGTATGTCTCTATCTTCTTCTTGTGTTACTTCGACGCTGAAGTTTCCACTGGATTGTAAAGCTCAGAGGAAACGGGTGACGAAAATGAAAGGCTGACTATGTCGTTACAGCTCGCATACATCGGCGAAGATCTCCACAACGTAGCCGCCGAGTCCTGGATCCCAAACTCGCTTTCTCTCGTCCAAGCCGTCATATCGCCGCTCATTGCCTCAGCCTCCGATGCTTTTCAAGCACGTAAACTGTTTCTAGTCGGGCCATGCCTGCTTTCCTTCATTGGGTCTGCAATTGCTCCCGGATCGGCAAGTATCTATCGTTTGATTGTGGCCCAAATACTTATTGGGTTTGGGTTTGCGACTGTTCCGCTGGCTTATGTTATACCTAGTGAGATTCTGCCGAGGAAATGGAGACCAAGTAATTGAATTCTTGTCTGAAAGGAGACTTTGAAGCTAAAGGGCTTGAACACAGTGGCACAGGGTGCGATGAATGTTGCAGCTGCTCTTGGAGCTTGTTCAGGGCCTTTGATCATTGGATCCTTGATAAAGCAGAATGCACATACAGGATGGAGAAACTTCTACGTAAGTCTTCATTGCCTTTGTATTGGTGTCTTGCTAACAGCAACCAGTGGACCCAAATGGCCCTTTGGGGAGCGTGTACACTTAGCCTCTTCTTCGGATACAAACCGCCAAAGCGACACAGTCGACTCGATCACTTGTCCTTCTTCCAAAAGCTTGCACGCCTAGATCTCCCCGGATGTGCACTTTTCACAGCAGGGCTGACACTACTACTTGTGGGAATGAACCTGGGCAGCAGTTTGTACGAATGGAATGATGCTCCAGTACTAGCCACTATCGTGGTCGGCTGTGTGACATTGCTGTCTTTCGGACTTTACGAGTGGAAATTCATGAAAACCGGAATCATTCATCACGATCTATTCCGCGGTGGTAAAAGCCAAGGTCGCAGTCTCGCAGTCTTTCTGTGTCTCATCTTCATCGAGGGAATCGTGCTCTTCGGCTACATGATATTTTACCCAGTCATGCAAGCATATCCATCTCTTCATTCTTCCCCTACGTACTAACGCCAAATAGTACATCCGCCCTCTTCGAAACCGACCCTTTTCTTCAAGTCGCCCGCAGTCAACCCGCCTGGATTTGTGGAATGCTCAGCACTGCCATATACGGTTTGCTCAGCACCAAAACGCGCTCCATCCGCATTCCCATCGCGATAGGTTTCACCATACTTACTGGTGGCCTCATTGGCCTAGCCACCATTCAGCCTACTGATTCAACGTCTGCTATCGTTTTATCTGGGCTCTGGGGCATCGGATTTGGTGCACCGCTCTGCCTCATTATCGCTGGCGTCCAGCTGTCCACGCCGCATAGTCTCATCGCCACTGCTACTGCTCTGACGAGTAGTACAAGAGCTGTTGCGGCGACGATGTTTACGTCGATTTTTATAGCTACTGTTAATGGCCGAAGAGAGAGATTCGTCCCGAGTTATATCGCGGAGGCGGCTCTCGGTGCTGGCCTTCCTCCTACATCAGTGCCAGCATTCGTCGGTGCGCTTGCGTCACGGAATATGACTGCGCTACCAAACATCCCGGGAGTTACTCCAGCTATAATAGGCGCTGGTGTGACAGGATTGAAACAAGCTGTTGCTGATAGTGTGAGAGTGGTGTTCATGATTGTAGCGCCGTTTGGTGCTTTGGGTGCGCTTTGTTGTTTCTTTTTGGGGAGCTTTAAAGAGCAGATGAGTTATAGGGTCGATGCTCCAATCGAGGAGTTACATGCGAAGCATCACCAAGAGAGTGGAGATAAGTTGGCTTAAATTGGTGGGATTGCTGCGAGGGATTGCTGATAGACTTTCTGGAGGACCAGCCTAGTTTGACTATTGCCAGTTTGCTCATTACACATGACTCTCGAACGGTAATAATGTATGGATAGACTCTTTATAGTCTAAAAAGTCGAGACGTGTCTTCATTCTATGCTGTACGTAGTTTTGAAGACATATGTCCAATGAGATATATACCGGCCCGATGTGATACCTAATCAAAGTTTCCCTAGAACAAGTATGGCAGATGCGTGAGTTCTTTGACACTACCACTTGACATTTATCCTATCTTAAATAAACAATGTCGCAAAGTTTGAAACCGTCCTATTCGGCTACCCTTCAGCAAAGCATCATACCTTCTCACATTTCTGGTGCCTGTGGATATGTACACGTGACTGCCAAGCTCCTGCTTCAACGTCAACTCGACCCTGAGTAGTAAGGTGGTGTCAAGCAGAAGTCTCCTGAATTACCATTGCCACTGAATACTACTCTCGATTACGTGAATAGCTTCTGTCCCTAATCTTTTCTCAGTCGTTCTAGGGCCAAATCATGACGTGCTCTGGCAATACAGAGAATCCGTCCACAATGAAAAGGCAAGCAGGAGAAACATGAGCAACGGGGCTTAGCTCACAGGGTGCAACTTGCAGAATGTTGCATTCAATGGAGCGCAAATGGGTAGCTAGAGAAAGCTGATGCTGTCACGGTGGGTTCAGTACAGCCGTACTTCTGGGGCTACTGCGGAGTTTCCACGCTGTGAGCGACATGTATTCACGATCGAAGCTTTGTATACCAGTAGATTACTCAAAATCATGACGATGGTGCGACATGGGTAGCATTGTGTAGGCCCAATTGCAGCCCCTGCTCCGACATTTCTTCATGTCAACAAAGAACGTGTTAGCCCGCGTCTCCTATGCATCGCCAAATCCTGCCCGCTGAGTTCCTTTCGGTAATTAAATGCATGTTATTCGCTCCAAGCATGATTTCGATCCGTCCAATGAGTCCCAATTCACCTACTGTATAAACATGAGTCGGAAACATTTTGCTGTTTCAATCCGCGCTAATAATAAGCGAGGCCATCTCGACAAGAGCATGCCAACACATGAACGTTGCACTTTTTCAGATCCAACTATTCCCTTCGATAAGTATTTTCTCGATACGGAGATTCTCGATATCAAACCCATTCACTACTACCCATTTGCCTCCACAGAGAAGACGAGCCTCTTCCTTGTTCGCTATTCGTGCGATCGTACAAGTCAACAACCAATTTGCGAAAGCCCTCTCGACTACGACTGCATATTCCACACAACCTCATTAGACCTCTCTAACTATCTTCAATTTTTGTAACAAGTACACAAGTACTTCGGTAAGCTCATTGAACCCCTGTAACAATGCTTCAGAGCGCTGGACCTTTGCCGTTGCGGACCCCTGCACCTTCCACCATCCAGACAAAGATTGTGACTAATCGCTGACCAACTTAGTGCAAAAACTCAAGATGCCCTATTACAACATCGATGAAGACCCTTACTACAAGTATATTCTCAATGGTGGCAACGCATCCTCGTCGGATTCGTGGGAATCTTCAAGTGGTGCCTATAGCTCGCAGGTTGGTAGGGGTAATTTGAACTTCGCCAATCACTCGAGTCCCTATGGCGCGACACCAGCACCAGCTTCGACTGAAGATGACGATGAATTTGGTGAGCTCGAGATCCCTGCGGAGGGCTTCGGTGAGCCTCAGACGATCGAGGAAATGCAGCGTCCACGCCAAAAAGCGAAAACCACTTCTCAAGAGGATGGCCATATCTTTCCAAGCACCGAGACAGATAGTAAGTCGAACGTCTCTGTCGGGAGACCTTTCGGTCTTGTCAGAATAAACATACTAATATAATCTAGCCACTTCAGCCGTCCAGCAGCTGCAGAAGGATCTTAACGCTGCTCGCACTGAGAATGCCAATCTGCGCAGCCAGGTTAGTGCTACTCCGAAGCCATGGCCAACAAACTACCAAGAGCTTCCCCTCATAGATCCAATTCGTCTTGAGATTGAGGGCATGCTTAATCAGGCAAGAAAACATTTCGACACACTGGATGGAAACGCCAATTACTATAAGAATGAATTGGACCAGGCTCTTGCCGCCAATACGAATCTTCGAGGTCAGCTCGACGACCTGAACTCTGCACCAAATCCATTGCAGGGACAGTACAATCAGACTCTTGACACCAATCGACGTCTTCAAGGCACGATTGATCATATGAACTCTGCACTAAACCAATTGCAGGGACAATTGAGCGAAGCTGTCGCGGCCAATCGACGATTTCAAGGTACGATTGACTTCTTGAACTCTGTACTGAACCCATTGCAAGCCGATTTGAACCAGGTCATTGCCGCCAATCGAGGCCTCCAGAGCGAGATTGACTCTTTGAAGGCAGCTCACAATCCATTGCAGACACAGCTTAACGCGGCTGTTGCGACTAATGGACGACTACAAGGGGAGATTAACTCCTTGAACTCCGCTGCCACTAATCCATTGGCTGGCGATCTCAAGAGCAAGAACGATGAGATTGAGGATCTACGGCAGCAGACTAAGACACTCACCGGCTCTGAAAGCCACTTCAAGAGTCGAGCTGAGGAGATCGAGCTGAAGCTGAGTCAAGCCATTATCCACATCGATGAGATGAAGCTAGCCGCCGAGAACGATAATATCGCCGCCAACAATAATCTCAAGGCGAAGCAGAAGATTTTGGACGCCACTGAACGGAAGCTCAGAGCTGCGACTCGGAAGCTGGAGGTGCACAAGCCTTTGGCAGAGAAGGAGTTCAAGCTTGAGGAAGAACTGAGAGAAGCTCGGGCTGAGAACAAGCAGTTGACCCGCGAAAAGTTCAATTTGATCAAGGAGGCTGACGAGAGAATCAAGCTCCTTTGTGATGCCAATTTCAACTTGAGACTCGAGCTGGGTGCACCGGGCCGCAAGGTACAGGTAGCACACGCACAAGTCGCCGCCGCTAAGTTCGAGCGTGACGCACTTGAAATCCTCACCGCCGTCGAGAAGGAGGAGAAGGAGGAGACGAAGGAGGAAATTACCGTCGATCCTGTCCCAGGTGCCGGGACCGAGAATCCAGCCAACATCGATCCATCCATCCCCACTCCAGCCGATCTCCTTGCCGCAGCCTCTGCCTCTGTCAAGAACAGTATCGGTCCAAAGGTGGCCTTTTCCAAGGAAGCTACGCTTCACGTTAAGCTCACGGCTGGCTTCTTCTGGCATAAGGTCAAGCACACAGTCTTCTGGTGTACAATGCTCTCCATGCTTCTCCTGTGGCTCGTTAGCAAGGATATTGTCCACGACGAACCTCTAGTCTTTGACAACTTGGTGGAAGACCTGTTGGAGGAAGGTTCAACATGGTACAGCCCTCATTTTGTCGTTCCCAGTTTCGTTCTGGTCGTCGTTTGCCTCACTGCTCTGTACCAACATGTGATCGAACGCAAGGCCGAAGCTGAGCGTCTTGCGGTCAAGAAGGCAGAGCGAGAACTTAGTACTTTTCTACAAACTCACAGTCTGGCAGAGAAGCAGGCAGCCCGAGAGGCGAAAAAGAAGGAGCAACAGCGAATTATGGAACGTCGTGCACGCCAACAGTCTCAGTCCACCGTAACCTTCACCCCTCATCATAACAACAACTACTACTACCTCAGAGCAAGATATTGATCCCACTCACAGATAAGTGAATTCTCTCTGCGTTCTTCTGATGGCGTCTCTCCTATCTTTCTGGGATTGGGACTCACCTCCGCATGATCGAGTTTTTGCATACATTTGAGGGATCAGGCCTCTTTGATAGGGAGGAGATGCTGGCATGATTGAGTACATTTTCTTTTGTCTTCGACAAATAAAACTCGAACTGTAATGATTGGTGTTCTTCTATCCCCCGATGATGAGATAAACATAACCACTACATCGATTGAGCTTCTTCTCACTTGTATCTTCGCTACCTTGAACATGGTAAGTCTGATTACCTTTCCTTTCTTGAAATGGAATATTACTAATCATTTCTCTAAAAGTATCTCACTTAAGGCTTATGTCAGCTCATGATTCTCTCTGGTCGTGTGGCGTTTCTCTGTGCGAAGGATGAAACTTCGCGGTCAGCGATCGAGCTTTTTCCGAGGTTTGCTTCTCATTGAGTCTCGCTATTTCTAACCATGATTAGTTTTCTGGGCTCTTTTAATCAATTTTCTAGATATTACCTTGTTTTTCTTCACATTTTCTTATCGCGCTCCGGCTACACTCCCCACTTTCTGCTCGGCAGGACAACAACTGAGCTTATTCCAGGCTTCGAGGGTGAGAAATGAATTCTGATACCATTAAGAACACATTGAAAACGGACTTGTGGGGGATGTCTATTCTTCCGGAAATTAGCATGGTTTTAGAGGGAGATTGAAGGTGGATTTGGGACCCAGTCACTTCAGTATCGCGGCTCCAATGGACGCACGAAGATGGATGGACTAGAGTGATAACTCACATATCGGATTGTAATCTAGAAGCTGTTACCTGTTCTGTAATCTAAAAAAATAGATTTTCCAATACGAATGTTGACCGTGTTGTCACAACTCTTCAATGGGAGTTGCGCTGAGTGTTCAGAACTTCATTACGGAACAAGTTGAGGAGACCAAATTGAAGCTGTACATCCATTACCGGTCTCTCATAGGATCTCACAGCTGTCATGATTGGCGAATGAATGTCACGCTCCATCCACCATGTGTTCAAGCAATTCTTTAATTATTGTTGACATCGTTTCCTTTATACCCCGATCCGCTCCGAACCACTTTCTGATCTATTTCGCTTTTGATATTATCTCGGTCTATTCATCTGTTAATAGTGGGTATGCTACGACGGATGACGACTCGATGACTCTTTTCCACCCTCAATCGAGCCGAAATGTCTGAAGACAACGTTTAGATTGTGCTAGTGCGCAATTAAACGAGGTGCCCGCAAGTTGCAGCTCATCATTGAGATCACCCTTTCAGCTATGAACTTCTTCTACCATACACATAGTTGACATTTCGAACTTCGATGTTCAATCTTGAATCAGATCTCAAGAGATAAACACAGCAGAAAGCAACTTCTACCAGCTCAATGGAACAAAATAACCACCAATACGGCTCCGGAGAGACAGCTCCTCCTATCTCAGCCCCGTGTGCAGTGACCAGCGAATCTGCAAGCTTCGACAACGAGAGTTCCTGTAAGATTTCATGTGATCCTTGTCACGTGAATATCGAAGGCTCTAGAATAGAGCTTGATTTGTAAAGCATAGAGAGCTCTAGAAGCTCTTCCCTATGTATATAAACCTACTCTCGACCTACCTTTAGACGGTTGAGGCATGCGAAATACAAGAATTTGACAGTTCCTCCTCCTCCTTCTTTACACCTTGCAATCCGAAGAAGCGGAGCAGAGATGACGAGGAGGGTGAGGTCTTGGGTCGGCCAAAGCTTATGAGGAAGGAAGAGCCCAAGGGCAAGGAAAAGGAGGCAATTTTGAACCCTAGAAAGAGACGAGGCTCTCTACTAGGCCCAGAAATGGGTTTCACACCAGATGGTACCATTCTACATCTTCTTCTTCTTCAACCAAACCTTAAAGCTAATTGGTAATAGATCAATCGATGATGCCAGATATTCATGGTGCACAATCCTCCATCTTCAACCAGCATGACGTGTCTGCGAATCATTGCCCAGCCGATACTTCTGCGGCAGATAACACGTTGGTGGCCCAAGTCAGTGACATCTCTACCAGACCAATTTGCAAGATGAAGGCAAGACTCGCTTCAGATACTGAAGTCAAGTACCCATCGGTCTCTTATGACAATGGTGGGGAGGGTAGTTCTCGTAATCCTTCTGTATATGATAACAATGGCTACCAGCAGCAAAGTGGCGTTTCTCAAGGTATACTTTGACAAGACGCTCTGTATGTATAACATGTCTCTAACCTGCATAGTTCAAGGCTACAACCACCCCCAAGAAGATTGGACTGGCTATCAGGCCTCGTACGACGATGAGTTCTCTGATGAGTACTCTGACGAACAAGATATGCAGCAACAGGGCTATAACAGTGCCTACAGCGGCGATCCCAGTGAAGCATACGACCTCAACAGTCAACGACATCAATCGGACCATGAATCTACTACGTTCACCTGGAGTGAGGTTGCAAAGCTGGTTCAAGACAGCATAGCTGATACGGCTGCGACGAAGAATGATGAGATTTTTTTTCTACGCCAACAAGCAGCATCGAACCTGGAGGAACAACGTCAGATTGACAAAGAAGAGCATCTTGGTATCTTGAGCGAAAAGGACGATACTATCAACAAGATCCAAGCAGCCTACCTGGAGCTCGAGGCTTCGATTCCAGCACAGCTTTTGGAACGCGAGCACGCGACTCGTTCCATCTGCGAGACTCAGTACGAGACCAGGAGACAGGGATGGCTGAATACAGTCGGCACCAAGGACGCCCGGATTCAGGAACTGGAGGGTCAGCTGCGCCAACTTGCCAATGCTCCTCCTCCACAGGCCCGGATAGAAATTGAAGAAGACCCACAACTTGCTGCTCTTCAGGCAGAGACTACTACATACGAGGCTGAGGACGTTAACAAAGTACAGAAAGAGGCAGGGTACAAATTGAAGGCGAAGAAGGCTGCTGACGATCTCAAGAAGGCCTTAGAGCTTATAAGGACCCTGACAGAGGAGAAAGCTGAGCTTGAGAGCTCAAAGAAAAATTTGGAAGAGTCGGTCGAGAAGTTGACAACTGAGAAACAAGAGCTGACACAGAAGCTTGAGCGTTCTGACTCTGTCGTGGTGAGCTTCCAAGATAAAAACAGCCTCGCACAAGGGAATGTTTCAGCACGGGAGAGGCAGATTCACGATACTCATGCGAATTCCCCTGACATGGAGGTACGGTTGCATGAGATAGTGGATGAGATCAAAACTCCGAAAGAGAGTGCGGATGATTTCACAAATCTCAGAATGAAGCTCAGAAAGAGTGAGGATAAAATCAAATCACTGAAGCCGGAAGCACGTAACCTTCCCGATATCACTAATACTCTCGAAACGAGCAAGCAGAAAATCTCTTGTTTGGAGACTTCTGCCATTACTACCCAGGATTTCCAAGTTAACGATCAGAAGCTCTCAGTGCTGGAACCTACTGCAATGACGAGCAACCATTTTCAACTCAATATGGGGATATTCACTGTTCCTCAAGCTGCTTCCAGAAAGCCTATCCGCCGCACCCCCCGCCTCTCTCATCTGAGAGCTATCCATGGTCCTTCCAACACACCGCTCAGCCAACAGCCTCTCCCCACTAAGACTAGTCACGACGTTCCAGTTACTGCAGTCAAGACACCATCTAGACCATCTTTGGTGGTGGCAGCGGAAAAAGATCAACCTCGTCGCTTGATCTGCAACCTCCAGTTGACTCGAGAGAACACTGACCTGAAGGATGCGAATTCTCAACTAAGCAAAGAGATCCGAAAGACCGAAGAGCAAAAGGCAAATGCCGAAGCCAGTCTCAGTAGTGTGACCGCAAAATTCCATGCCCAGGGACAGGAGCTGTTACGAGTTGCCAAGATTAAGGACATAATGGCTCGACTCTTGGTACTTGGTAGTGTCTTTTTACTCTTCACATTTCTCTGTATCCCTCATCAAATTTCCAACCCTCCCAACCCAGGTCAACAAAAGAACGCTTCTATCATCGGAGTCTCACCTCCTAGAACTGAGGTCCTGACCAAGATCTACACTCTTCGGGAAAGCGAGAAGACTGATACTCTCCAGTTCGAAGACATCTATCCTGAATACATCTATGGAATTCCAGATGGAGGAGAAAATAATGCAGAGAGTATTCGAGTTAGCGAAATCTACCAAGAATATCTGGCCGTCATGAACGACAGGGCTTCTCGTCGTACCTTCCCAAATCCAACAATCTCATATCCTGAACAGCCATCGCCTGCCCAGAAGCACAACATTTACGATGTACCTCCGATGGAGGAGAAATATCCGATAGCCCCGCTGTCATTCGCGGAGCCAAGTACAAGACTCGACAAGTCTGGATTCCAAGTCTGTCTCGAGGAGCTCGCGAAAATTATATTCGCTTGCCTAATAATTTGTGGGTTTTTTGGTTCCATTGGTCTCGTGATCGAGGTCCAGAACTGGATCGAGCGATGCAAGGAGAGAATGGCAGATATGAAGTCATGCCGTCTGGCTCAAGTTCAAAGAATTGAGCTGGGACTAGAAGGATAGGGTAACCTGTACTGCAATGCACTTTCTCCGTCGATGGTGAACGTAGAATCGATATTGTTCTTGGAGTATGGAGAAGCAGCGACAGGAGTTTCGGTCATGGTAAATACAGTGCGGTACTCCTACGAGAGCTTTGTATATCAGGACAATCGCGGAATCCAAGGCAAGAGTCAAAGGGTAACACTGTATGGAGTGCTTTCTCATTTGTCATTTTAGTTTGGTCTTTACTTTTCCATGTTGTGTTTTCATGAGGTTGTATCTTTTGTGTCAATGTCAGAGCTTACCTTTGGAACACGTGCGTCGCGTTTAGGGTCTACTGAGAGGACGGACTTAGTCATACGGTCAGCTAAGCTACGGATTATGCCGATTGTTGCAGAGCTATGTCAGAGGAAAGCCTGGGAGCAGGATGTTTTGGATGATCATTTATTCGGTACTGTCTCTCAGCAGCTAACCTCTGGGCTACATTGGTAGACAAACAGGTTGTGTTCTCGGATCTTGGTCGTGGGCAGGACTATGGCAAGGGATTCTCAGTACTGTCGCATGGTCAGCTAGCATGTTGCTATGCGGATAGTTGGACGCTCTGAGAGCCTTGGGAGATCAAAGAGTGAAAGTCCAAGCTGATTTTGGAATAAAATTGGCTTATATCAGTGGGATTCTCAAACGACTAGCTACCCCGCTGGCTCATGTCGATAGTTAAGCAGTTGCAAATAGACCTCCCGAATCATGCACTACTCCAAACTCCCCTAGGCTACTTGCTTGATACCGGTTTATTAGCGAACATTATGGAACACTTGTGCAAGTGCTATGTTTTGAGCAGCTCCACTTACATTCCGGTCGTTTAATCTATCCCAACTACCCGCAACGTGAACTTAAACTGGTCACAAAACGGCGATCCACCTTATACAGTGAATCAAAGATGACTCGGTTTATAGACGACTCCTCAGAGTACCATCTCGGCTCCATCAACATTATTAGTGCTAGCTATTTTAGCTGGCTTCGACTGAAAACTTCTCAACAAGTCGTTGCTCGACTAGATCCAGACTCACTTCAGTTACGTCATGATCGATTGGCATAGCCATCATTAATGAATAATCAGGTTCTCACCTTTAGTCACTAATTTGAAATGAATTTCAAGTAAACAAACGCTTCTGCCTGATTCTTGACGTCTTCAACACAAATAACCACTTGGCACACATACATTCACAACTTACGTCCAGATATTCATAACAGCAGAAGACAATGGCGACCACCAAGATCGAGTATGTCACCAAGACCATGGCGTCCGAGTCAACCTCTACTTCTCTCCCGGACGTGGAAATGAGCGACGTTCTTGAGATGTCACTGGAGTTTGGACCACCTCGACAAGTCCCGGGGTGCCCCCCGTCACCCGAATCTACAGAAGAAGATATGGTACAGCCAAAGATCAAGCTGAGTGGTCTTCCATCATTTTGGCTTGGTCCGCCATCTCTAGCCGCTGGTCTTTCCCGTGCCGCTTGCTTTGGTCTTCCTAAGCAATCAAGTACGACCACGAACTCCGCTCGAATGGCTCGATCTACCATCAACAAGTCTCATGGAAGTGAAAAGACGTCCCTGCTCCCTGGAAGACGACAAAACTCTATTACTGGCCGTGGCAAGAAAAGAGCCCTTGATACAGGAGATGAAGAATACAAACCTGTGAAGGCTGCCAAGATTGCGCCAAAGAACACGAAGAAGGCTACCAGCAGAGCCAATCGGAAGGCTACTCAAAAGGCAATCAAAACGCTTTCGGATTTCTCAATCGAGTAGCTCGACTCCGTGTTGATTACTTTAGGCTCCATCACAGTCAACATCAGCGTCTTCACTCTCCTCAACTGCCACTACATCCGTTTGCGGTTCGGGCCAGTGGAGCCTACTCCAAAAGGTGAGCATCGAAGTATCAGGGATTGATAGAGGTCTGACTAGATTATCTGCAGTGATGGGAGTTCACTGCAAGGATTGAACATGGGAAGCCGCACGGGTCAGATTTGGGATAGTAGTGGAGTGATAGTAGCTAAAATTGAGAATCGTCAAAGGCTGAAGGACACAGACTTGAGCTGTCACGCACGACTTGAGCTATCACGCACGACTTGAGGTGTCACGCACAACTCAGTCAACAAAGAATAGATCCATGATCTTCAAAGTCCGAATGCTTTTCTTGTTGCCTATCTTACATGTGAAAATCTGATATACCATGGAGACGCGCTTTGATGGAATCACGTACCACGACTCCGCTGGGGTACGCAATGAAATTGAGATAAAAAAGCTGAGAACTCTTCTATCCATCTCAATTAGAACCGTACTGACACAACTATTTTCACCCTGGCGCTCTCAAGTGAGATGTTTTCTGTGCGTAGCCAAGCTCTTAGCCGGGTGGCTTACAAAACAAAAGTGACAGCATGCTCTCTACCTACCGACCTCTTATTACAAACGAAGCAAAGCAAAACATACCTCGACACCGAGAACTTGCGTATTAAAATTTTTCCACACAAACCCAGCCTTGAGAATGGAGGTAAACACCTACAAGGCCAAAGCTGATCAGCCTCCAAAGCTGCAGGCGCCTCAACAAAAGTCTCGTGTAAAGCCAGCTTCCAAATACTTCGCGCGTCAACCAAATCCCGTGGATACATCTTATGTCGACCCCACCCGCGACGGGCGAAGAGAGCAATTTTGGAACTGAAGATGTCCACGGTGCTGATTACGTAAGGTAGCTCGCTTAATTTTCTCCCGGTTTGTTGACATCCAGTTTTGTCCTGCACTCAGCACTCAGACCCTTGGCACAGCGAGGAAACTCTAAACAAAGCCCCATATAAATTTTTCTACCATGTTAAACTTTTGAAATCTATTCAAATGGTGTTGACTCAATATTAGTCACGGCACCAACAATTGTTGCAATTTTCTTGCTCTTCCTTTTTAACTTGCAGCTCCTGTGAAGTACCTGAATGAATCAACTCACGTCCAACAGCGTCTCAACGGAGATAAAAGCCACTAAAGAACATAGCATCGAGGTTTGACAATCTAGATATAATTCTAATCCACACCCTAATCTGGAGACTTTCTGTCCAAAATCCAACGAAATAAGCAGCTCTCCAACAGAGAGGCGTGCCGCTGCTGGGCTTTGCCAAGTAACACCCGATGAATCCAAAGAGTCACAGATCACCAAGTCTAAGTCAATGTCGAAATATCTGCCTCGCCAGAGCCAAAGCAATTTGCGCCAAATTCCTAGCTTCAGCTATGGATTGCCGCCAACCACCTCCCGACAAAACTAAGAGCACAGAAGAGAATGACTCTCAAGGTCATACAGGCAATCACACTCTGGACTTAGCCGCATCCAGCTCCGCTGCATCTGATCAACGAGACATCACACAGGCCGCCTGTTACTCCCCTTGCAACACCGGTACTTATCCCCTTAACTGCCATTCAGAACTCATTTTCTACGGGGCTCGGAGCTAGTGCACGTGCCTTGCTGTAAAGGCAACCACCAGACTTTTAGCGCCTCGCTTCAACGCTGTGTACTGTAAATGTGTGTTTCTGGCAGTTAAGGGGATAACGGCGACCCGTCTTACATCTACGACCACCAAGGAGTATTATGAGCATGTTGATGCTTCCGACCTTTTTGAGACAGGATCTAACAAAATTGATATGTTCAGTTGGGAAATCCCGTCACAAACTATTGTTGGCGTCACTTTGGTCATTGTTCCAGCCTATAAAATCACCCTGGGCTGCGGAGCTGTATTTGGGCATTAAAGATGAACATTTGAACGATTCGTGTTATTTTTTTGGTTGCAGGGACTTAATAACAGGTCTGCAGGGGAGAGGAAGCGTGCATAAATAGTTCCTGGCATATAAGAGCCAGCAGTGGAGGATGAGAAGTTGGGGAAAAATTCTTGCTGAGGCGGAGTTTGGGTTATTTTTTTGTTATTTCAATCTTTTCATTGTCCGTTCTTAATAGTTGTATCTTAATTTCTGCTGGGATCGGAAACTAGTGAAAAAGACGCCTTGGCCGTATGACACGCGAGATTACGTGGCATGGAAGGCTGCTGAAGGAATAATCTGGGTGCTGTATTCTCTTTGGAGGGAAATGGGTGGGTGGAAGCTTCTTGGACGGAAAGTCTACTTCTGTTGGTGCATTCCGTTCTGATTCTGGTAGTACAATCTCGGAAGAGATGTGCCGGGGAGAAATATCATACGGAGAGCGATACATAGTTTAGGCATTACAGAAGATTCTTCTTGTAGGGGTTAAAATATGGTCTCACGTCATCTACATTTAGAGGGTAGGGGCAATGGCTTTGGTTGCTGAGACTAGTTGACAGTTCAGCTGGGGATTGAAAAGCTAAGACAGTCAAGATTTCGTTGTATTAGCGCTTCGGGGAACATTTTCTGGAGGAACTGGCGATACGGCAGCGACACGTCTATTCTGAGCTGCGATTGAGTTTGGATTTGGTAATTGGAATCAGGAAGTGGTTCGACTGGAGGGAAAAGCCGAGCTCCATAGTCTCACAATACCATGACGAAGATATGGAAGAAGCACAGGATACACTATGGTGTCCGTGGTTTCATATTGGGAGAGTGAAAAAATGTGCGCAAGTGGTATTTGATGAGAGCCTGTACCAACTTCGCATTCTGTAGTGTTTACGGCATCAGGAATGCTTCTTATTCTTCTTACAGCGTGTGTATCTGGTCCCAAAGTGATTGGCAATAGTTTTGAAACGTCTTACCAACATGAGTCATACTCCATTGTGATATTCCCCTCGTGTCTCTTTGACGGGGATAACTTCAGGCATCAAATCCTGCATTCAGCATATTTCATAGTAATTTAAACTTTGAGGACCAAGTAACTCAAAAATGGTAAGGATATTAGGCGTTTCTGATCTGTCCAGTGAGCATAGCACCCTTGGGGTTGACATGAGTGGCTCTAATCATTGCTCGAATGGTAGCCCTGTCATTCGGCTGGAAGGAAGAAAGGCAGGAGGCCAAGATCGGTGAGCAGTAACAACTCGACTAGACCAGACACTTTAATTGATATTTCGTACTCATCTCATGGTGAATGAATCTGTAGACGCGCCTACTTAAATGTGCAGTCTTGTTTTGAAAGTGAATTTCCCTCACATAAATCTTTAGCACCCTTTTTTAACTTCGCGAGCGGGGCTCACCACCCCAGCCTTATCGACAAATTCTATTCTCCTTCCCACTCTCCATATTGTGCTCCGACAATCTTTTTAATAAAAAAATCTTGGTCTTCAAAGATGTACCTAGCTGCTTCCGCAAGCACAAGAAATTTGCCACACAGCTTCCTTCATTGCCTTTTGCATTCGGTAAACACCCTCGAGAAAAAAAACATTATCTTTTAATTAAACTGAATTTTTAGAAATAGCTCTATAACTACGTATTATAGAGCGTTTCTAAATAGCGTAAACGATTCCTAAGGGTCTATTACCCTAATAGTATCGCGATAAATAATAATTTAGTTATTAGTAGAGAGGAGGAATAATAATATAGTAAAATAAGAGAAAATTCTACTCTCTAAGGCGTGTTAACTTAAGGCTTATAGGAGTAATAATACTAGGAAGATACCGGTACCTTAGAAAATATAGAGTAATTATCTTAATTCTATTATTATCTACCTTAAAAGACACGAGAAATCTAATAATATTAGTATATTATATAGTATAGTAAAGTCACTAGCTTAGGAAGTTAATACGAACTACTACTAATAGATAGCACTTACTTATAAGCTCTTATTAAGAGGTATATCACTAGGAGCCTCTAATACAACTATTCTAATAAGATAAGTACTTTTATCTCTAGCGGAACAAGTTATATAAAAAGCTCCCTTCTATATAAGTATTACTATAAGTATAGCTACACTAGGTCTTAGTAAGTTGAGATATACTCCTATAAACTCGACTATATCTATAGTAAGAGCCTTATAGCTTAATATACTTATAGTAAAGGAAATCAAGCTAGCTATAAGGTTAATTAAGCTTAGGGATAAACTACGGGAATAACTATAGAAAGTAGAGAAACTAAATAAGTATATTATAAATACTATAAATACTAAGCTAGCTATAGCCTTAAGGGAGGTAGATACTAGCTATAACTAAAATAATAGTAGATAGACTACCGCGATACTATAAGCTATAAGAGTATAAATAGGAAAGTAAATCGAGTTAGCTAGACTAATACTAAGTAAGGATATCTTCTTATATATAACTAGCGTAAAAGTAGCTAAAAAACTGATCTTCCGAAAAGAGGAATAGTAAGAGAAGCTTATACTAGGTTTTAAGCTTATAGTTACACTACCTACCTATAGAGTAGTAGTCTCGAGTATACTAATCTATAGTATTAATAGAGCTAAATAGGAAGAAATAAAGGAAAAGCTATATATAAGTAACTTAGAACTAATTAAGTATCAGTAAAAAAATCTAGCTCCAGGCAGCCGCCGGCTAGCCGCCAAAGGCGCTATTTTCGCTATTCCAGCCTAAGTTGCATATCGATTAATTTGACAGCTAGCGACCCCTAAAGCGGTATATACTAATTTAAATTAACGACATAGGCGCCTAAGGCGACTAAGGCGCTATAAGTGCTTATAAGCCTAATTAGGACTAGCGTATAAAATAAAAGTGGGCCCGATTTTTTATTTATTATATAAGATATATTAGTAAGCTTAGAAAGCTTAATAATACTAATCCTAAGGATATTAAAAGTACTTATAAAGGTATACCTTATAAGGGGGTATTATTAGGCTTATATCGCCCGATTAGGCAAGGCGGCGACTCACCCCTGCATAGAATTTACTCGAATCGAATTATAAGCTTATTAGCGTGTAACGGTCCGGTATTTACTCGCTGTAAATATAGAAAGCTATAGTTAATCTCTAATAATCGAGAGGTAAGTGTATTATATAGACAGAAGATAGTTATTAAGTATTAGAATACTATTTA